GGGTGTGTCTTTGGGACTGTGCCGCAGCACAGTCGAAACTGGTCTCTAGGGCGTGAAGCTTCTGTTTCCCTCTCCCTCTATCTCTCTCTCTCTCTCTCGAGAAGAGGAAGAAGATACGAGAAGGGCAGAGCTAAACGAACTACGCCGGTGCTGCCGTACCTTTCCCGTCGAGATAAGCGCTAGGCAGGGAAAGATTTCACCGACTTTTTTTCTTTTCCCCCAGCCGTTGGCCCAGCCGTTGGCCTAGACCGTGGCCTAGCCGTTGGCCCAGACCATTGCCCCTGCCCCTGCCCCTGTCCCCTGCCCCTGTCCCGGCCGAAGTCCCCTGCCCGGCCGAAGTCCCCTGCCCTAGCCGGAGTCTCTTGCACTAGACGGAACTTTCTTTTTTCAACGAACCGAACTTTCCTCCTAGGCAGAGCTTTCTTTTTCGACAGAGCTCTCCGGCAGGCTCTATCTACGGCAGCTGCTTTAGTTGCAGACGGGGACGTCTGGTCTTTGTTGTGGAGGGAAGACACCTGCGCAAGCAGCAGCAGCGGACATTTTCTGGTTTTTCTTTCTCTGCCTATACGACTAGCAGCTTCCACGGGACCAACAGCTCTTCGAGACCAACAGCTCCTTCGGCCACAGCCCAATAGCTTCCTTGGCTACAGTCTCGACAGCTCCTTCGGCCACAGCCCGACAGCTTCCTCGGCCACAGTCTCGACAGCTCCTTCGGCCACAGTCCCGATAGCTTCCTAGCTACGGTCTCGACAGCCCCTCGGCTACGGTCTTTTGCAAGCTCTTTCTGCAGCAGTCTTCCTTGGCAGTCTTCTTCTTCGGCAGTCTCTTCTTTCGGCAATCTTCGATAATTTCCTCGGCAGCGCCTCTAGTACGGCAGTCTTCGCCTCTAGCACGGCAGTCTTCTTCGTCTAGCACGGCAGCTTCCTTTGATTTTATTCCTTCCCGCACGATCAGATGGTCCCAACAGCTCCCTTTAGCACCAACGGTCCGGACCAACGGCTCCCATTGGCACCTATCTAACCATCCGATTACGCACCCAGAGACTGCAGGCACCTCTCTTTTGCCTTGTTTCCCCCCTTTTTAGCAGATTTCCCGGCAGACGATGCCGATAGACAACCTTTTCCGTCCTAGTAGACGATTTCTTCCTCAGCAGACGTTCCGGCAGACAACCTTTTCTATCCCGGCAGGCGATTTCCTCTTTGGCAGACGTTCCGGCAGACAACCTTTTCCGTCCCGGCAGGCGATTTCCCCGGTAGACTTCCTTTACAGCAGACGGACCTTTCCCCAGCAGACAGCTTCTTCGGTAGACGAATTCCTCTATAGCAGACGAATTCCTCTACGGTAGACAGCTTGTTCCTCGATAGACCTTTTTCCTTGGCAGACGACTTTCGCGATAGACGACCTTTCCGACAGCAATAATAGCACGCAAGAGATCCTTCCTTCCGCCCTTCCCGGCACGGTCCGCAGCAGCCGACGCGGCAGGCACCTTTGAGCAGTCTTAACGAAAGTGTGAAAAATCCCCCCTTTTTGAAATACCTAAAATAAATAAGATAAGAACAGCAATCTCCGGTATTCTCCTCCTAGGCATAGGTATTTGCCTAGGTAAAGCTGGCTAGACGTAAAAGTCGCCGGGGGAAAAGAGGGTATGATTTTTGAATTTTGAATGATTTTTCCGGGTATTTCTTTAGGGACTTTTTCCCCCTTTTCCTTTAAGATTTCTTTCCTCTACCTTCCTCGTTAGCTTCTTCTTTCCCTTGCCTATAAGGATCTCTCTTCCCTCTATTGCTATTTCTTACCGTTGGTCTCTAGTTAGCCTATTAGCCCGTTGCTTGGTCTGTCCCTTGGTCTCTCGTTGGCCTGTTCCTTGGCCCGCTGCTTGGTCTATTCCTTGGTCTCCCGTTGGGCTGTATCTTGCCTGCTTGCCTGCTTGCCTGCTTGCCTGCTTGCCTGCTTGCCTGCTTGCCTGCTTGCCTGCTTGCCTGCTCGGCTACTTGCCTGCTTGTCTGTTTTCTTTATTCCTTGGCTGTTGCCTGCCTGCTTGCTTACCTAGCAGACGAGGGCGTCTGTTCTTTGTTGTGGAGGAGTTTGACGGGGGCATCTGTACCCCAAGGAACACACACAGCCCGCGCAGCAGAGTCTTTGGCAGGGTCCTTGGCAGGATCCTTGGCAGAGTCTCTGGCTAGCCCTCTTCTTGATCAGATGATCCCTTGGCCCCTGTTCGTCTAGGGAAGAAGGAGGGAAAATTCGGTCTATAAAAGAGGTCTCTTTTCCTCCTTAGCTAGCAGATAGCATTAGCATTAGCATCTTCTTCTATTATTATTATCTTCTTCTATATCTTTTCTCCGCTAATATACCTTTTTTGGCCCTCTTTGCCTTTGCCTTGCCCTGCCTAGTGCTTTCTCGTTTCCTTCGTCCCCCTTAGACCCCCTCGTCCTTCGGTATCTAGCTGCTGCTGTTGCCGTTGGCGTGGGTGTGTCTTTGGGTGTGTGCCGCAGTCACCGTCAAACTATTCTTATAAGTACTTATTAATAAGGCGGCTTATATAGCTAGGAATAAACTAATACCTTAAGTAAAATAAAACTTACTTATTACTATTATTATTATAGTTAAAGAAAGAAGAAGAAGAAAAAAGAAAAAAAAAGGGGGATACTACTTTATATACCCTTTAACGGAAGAGGCTGCCTAAGGCTAAGGGAATAAGTAGCCTAAGGCTTATATATATCTAGGCCGACCGCTAGCCGCCTAAGGGCGTATATAATAAAGTATACTTTTATTTAAACGACTAGCTAGCTAATAGGTATAGAGCTAGGTACTAGCTATATAAGTTAATAGGCGCGGGGATAATAAGGCTAGTAAGGCTAGTATAATTAATAAAAAAAGGGTAAGGTAAAGCTAGTAGTATAAAGAGCCTAAGGCTTAATTATATAAAAGCCGCTAATAGGGCAGCGCTATACCGCGCTAAAAGGAGGGTATTATATAAGAGTCTTTAACTATTATAGGTTATAAGCTTAAGCTATAGCCTAAGCTATATAGTTATATATAAAGGGCTAGATCCTATATATATATATAGGCTAGCCGCGTATAAAAGAGCTCTATATAGCTTATTAATATTATCTTATTAATAGTACTTATATTTATACCTTTACTTACTCTATAATAATAATAGCGTTAATAGCTTATAAATAGCTTTAAAGGTAATATTAGCGGGTAAAATATAATCTAGCTATATAAACTAAGCTTATAACTCTTAGGTAGTAGCTTAAGAGTATAGTAAAAGAAATAATAGTATAAAAAGGTAAATTTAGTAATATATATCTTAGTCTATTTATTAAGATAAGGGAGGGGCTTATATAAGTATAGTAACTATATATAGCTAGCTAAAAGAGGATATTAAGATATTCCCTTACTTAAGTTAGGCCTATATTATATCCTTAGGCTAGGAGAGTTATATTAGTTAAGTAGGCTCCCTTATATATAACTATAAGGTCTACTAGGCATAACTATAGCTTCTTATACCTACTCTCCTTAATAGTACTGCACTGCCCCTTATATGTATTTTAGTAAGAGATATCTAGATATATATAGAATGATCTCCCGGGCGCTTAAGAAATGTCCGAAAGCATAAAAGGCGAGAGTAAGGCCAAGAGTTTTCGAGACTCTCAAACGAGTCGGCGGCTATCTGGGCCCTGAATCCGTGTTCTGCTCGCATGCTGCCGGGCCTGGCTGCTTCTCTCGGCCCCGTACCTTGAGAGCTGCTTGGTGCAGAGTAAGGTTTGGCTTGGGCTCGTGCATCATGGCGTTTACACAAGGTCATCTAGCGTGCGTCGCTCGATGGCTTCCTCGGTGTCATTTGTCACGGGTCCGAGACATATTTCCCTCAAATGCCGGTGGCTCCCCGTCATCATATTCCACACGCCGGCGGCAAGGGTCAAAACAAACACTGCGTTTCCGAGTTACGGTCAGTAGAGTTTGACACCTATCCTCGGAGATTGAGGGGGCGTCTTTGGAGGTAAGAAAGGGCATGTTTCGCTGGCATTGACGGAGATATTTTGCTGAGGATACCAGCTTGATTGCGCTGCGCACCTCGGCCACGAATGCTCACAAAAGGTCTTGCCGACGGCAATGTTTCTCGTCATAACGGCTTTAATGCTTGAAGAGGGGTACCGTCAGACATGTGTCTCAAGGGCAGCGGAGAGCGACCCTGCCACTGGCGCCAAAAGGCGATGTAGATCTTCAACGAGAACGATGGGCCCGTTCTCGGGGGTATAGGCTCTACGCGCAAGCCGGGGGGCTTTTCATATGTCTTGGTCCGCCGAGACGTGAGCCATTGCTGCCTCCAATGTCTTTGCCAAGGTCTGACTGAAGGCGGAAAATATGCGATGCTCCTTTCGCCTGTGCTGAGCTGGAGTTTTTTCTCCTTGCTCACGACATTGACGGGATTGGGTAGCAGATGGATTAATGATATCAACAACCGGACTCCAGCTTCCCGTTAATGGCTGATTTAATCTACGCTGTTTTGATAACAAAACGCAGCTATTTCGACTTGGCGGCTTATGCCGCTGGAATTAATCGCATGTAGACTTGCCCCAGAGCACTTGACATGACCCGAGTTTCTTTCTGCATCTCATTGTGTCTCCATGTCAGCCATTTCTTCTCTGGCTACTCGTACGTATACCTAGATTCCGCCCCGGCAGGCATGGAAAAGAAGGGACTGGTGCAAGGACTCTGAGTGGCCGTTTAGCCTCCCTTTTCCGACCAGGCACGGCAAGGTATGCTGCTCGTGGGCCCTGGAATTTCAATATACAAACACCTCGAAGGTATACCGACGACAGTAGGGACATGGACTATTTGGCTGGGCCTCCATCGACTATATGAAGCCTCCGTGCTTCCGCCTAGAAGTCGAATCTCTTCATCACACTCACATCTCAACGGTCTTCAGTCAGCTCAACAGTCCCTCACCCAAAGGTCTAACTCAGTCTTCGCACTCCCCTCAATTCAAGATGAAGGTCACCGTTTCCATCGCCCTTTTCCTCGCCGCTCTGGCCCAAGCTGCCGAGATGGCTCCTCAAGACGCTCAGGCTGCCCAGGTTATTCAGGCTCCTCAGGGGGCCGGCCGGATGGCCGAGGGCGATTTCAAGATCCCCGACAATATCAAGGCGCTCGGCAAGGACCTCGCCCGCTTCGGCGGCTGCTTCCTCCAGCGCTTCTGGAACGACGCCAAGCACATCAATTGCGGCCAGTGCAAGAAGGGCGGCGACTACCACGAGAGCAACCTTGTCTCGTGCATCTGCAACAACCAGGACAAGGTCAGCCACAAGATCCGCCGCAGCTTCAACGTCTGCGTCGATCAAAAGGCTCCCTTCAGCAAGATCATCAAGGAGGTCGGAGCCGGTAAGCACCACACCCTTGCCCCTTGACATCTTCTTCGAGCTGCTAACCAACATATCAAAGACGTCGGTGGCCTAGGAATCAGCGCTCTCTGCGGCGCCTACCACGGCGGCCAGCACCACGGCTCCCACGGCGAGCATCACCACCCTGCGCCTCGCCCCGAGCCCTTTGGCCCTGAGTACCACGGTTAAGGTTCTTACCTGGTTAGGATAGGCCCGATAAGTATGATGAGAAAAAGGTTGAGAGTCCAACTCGAGATACGGTCGTCGACGAATTAATGCTGCTGATGAATAAATCTATATTACATAAAGTCCTTGATGTGTTCTTTGTGAGATTAGTGTGTGACTGACTCGACCTTGACTCTTACGCATAACAATGCAGCCTATGCTATTGACAATGATTCCCATGCCTGCTCAACACTCGCCAAGCAGTAGTTCACCTGCTTGAAGATTATGAGCGGATTGTTGCTTCGAAGCCGGAAAGCATGTGGCTGAGTATCATGTGAATATGAGTTTTTGAATGCGTCAGAGGGGCAATCCCTCTGATGCATTCATGTGGCGATGCATGATGCACGGATTCCCCACGCATTGCATATCAAGTAAACATACCTGGAATAAAACTCACGGTTTGCGGTCTTGCCCAATAAAGCTTGCCAGAAAGGAGAGTCAAAGAATAAATAGTGTTCTAAGTCATCAAGCCAGCAGCTAGAAAGAAAAGACTTTCATAATACACCGCCGTTGAAGAAAGTTGTCCCATCGTGGATCGCCTCCTCGTTTGGTTACTCACAAAACGAGACGCCCTCCTGATACCTACGGCCGAATCTGGCGCGGGACGGTGTCGGGATCCTCGTCAGTCAACCAGGCTGTCTGAACGTAATTGCAGACAACAAAGACCTCATCCTACCACGCGTTCCCAGAGTTGTCTCTCAGTACTGGATAATAATGTCCGAGCTCTTTTGAGACCATTATGAGCAGGCTTGCAAACTAACAAATAAATCAACTCAAAATCGGGCACCCGATTTGATTTAACTCGGAAACGGAAATCGCGGATTTGATTCAATTAGGTTTGGCTCATATCCGATTTGGATTTATTTGGATTAGGCCTTAATATAGCTAGCTGCTAATATAGCCCTATCCTAATAGTCTTAATATTTTAATACTAAATTATAGCTTCCCTTAGCCTTAATATATAGGGATAGGTTATCCTTATATTGATATATATATATGTGGCTCCTTGGGCCCAGCTTATATAGGCATCCCTTACCTAAATAACGGTTTGTTGCCCAATAGGAAGGTTAAAGATAACCGGATAGCAGATAAGCCCTCTTCACACCAGGTGGGCATCTTAGAGAAGAAGAGGCAAACGAACGTGTCGATAGTGCTTAGGCTGAGCTGAAGAAGGCGGTCAAGGATGCGTTTGGGCCCTTGGAGCGGCAGCTGTCGTCGACGAAGCCTTTCGAGGTCTTGGTGGCCGCGATCCGGAACGATAAGCCTGTATCGCTGCTTAAAGGGGTAGGGCTTAGCGGCGGCATTGCTGTCAAAGGTCCTGCTCGGGCCTTGGCGATTGCAAAAACGGCACACAAGGCAGCCAAGATTATTACAAGGGCGTCAACATCGACATTAAGACGGCAAAGGTTGCGAGCAAGTCCAAGAGGTCACCAAGGCGCTGGGAGCGGCCGAAGGGATCACTGACAAGGTCACGATGGAGCTGAAAAGGGTCAGCTTCAAGGTTAAGAACAAACCCAAGGCGAGCGGAGAAGGACAATCTGATCAAAGGTCTAGAGGGACTCATCTCGCTGCGGAGCAAGCAGCAGAAGATGAACCTGGGACTTCTAGACCTCATGACCAAGGCCATCGGCAAGTAGGTGTCATCCGAAAGAGGAAACAAGTGGACGGCTGACGATGACGATGACTCGTTTGTAGATGGCAAGAATCTTCTGGAATTGTTGGCCGAGGAACTCGATCTGGTACCTAGATAAGACAGTGGATGAGAGCCGGCTCGGCCATGGTGCTACAATCAGCCGCAAAGAAGGATACAATTCGATGATGCATAGCCTGATAAACCTGCCAACCATCTAGCTACCTTAGTCCTGCGAATCTGATACCGGTATTTCATAGTCTAGACCAACATATACACCCCGCAGTGCCCATTGATGGCGGTCCACCATGGTGATGGACGAACTCACGACTGTTACTCTGCTTCTTGAGCACACATATAGAATTAGTCAGCCCGGGCCCTTCCGCTTTGCGAGGAATTACAATAGAAGTCGATGCGAGAAGCATCGTGGGCGCTTACACTTCCCGCGTGCGATGAATAATATTACGGCCCATCTTCTCCAATACCCTTCCCTGATAGACACGGTCCCATCACGTCGTGACACTTCTTCACTACAACCTTGCACTGCCAAGCCAACGGACAAGCTAGACAAACTTGCGCTGGACCTCGACCTTGACGCAGCTGGGGTTCTGAGGCCTGGCCCCGCCATTGCCCAAGACCCAGGCCAAGGTTCGGTACTGGTAGGCGCTGTAGTAGGTCTGGCAGACGTACCAGTTCTTGAGGGCCTTGCCCGTGTTGCCAGTGGGAGGGGTTTGCGTGTCATCGAGGTAGCTTAGGATGGCAAGCTGGCTCTTGTTGTCGTCGAAGCTGACGGGCTGTGATGTGTAGCCGGGCTCAAACAGAGGCAAGGCAACGTTGGTGGATGGGTCACTGTAGAAGCTCATGGGCTCCGACACGAAACCCTGGCCTGCACGGAGTGTTGTTAGTTAGAATGTGAATCCACGACCCGGGGCTCCATAGAGTCGTGAGTACCATTGCCGAGCGGCAGGTTCCAGGCCAGAACGCCGGGAGACCCATAGCCCTTGATGGGGGATTCCCAACCCTCGGTGGTGTTGAGGAAGAACCTTGCGCCCGAGCGACCAGCAACGCAAAGCGACTCAATCGCGGCGCCGGTATGGCAGGCCGCCAGCTGCTGGCCGTTGAGAGACACGTCGGCAGACTGGATGACCAGGTTGAAAGGCTTGGACTGGACCTGCTGGGCGCTGGTGACGCCGCGGAGCAGCAGAGAGGCGAGAAGAGCGGCGAACTTCATCTTGTCGGCCGAGGGCAAGCGGGGAAACGGGTGGTGAAGCGGGGGACGGCGTCGGTTGCCAGTTAAATACATGGATGCTTGGGCGGATGACGGCGCCGAGCAGGGTGAGCGCCTCTCGATTATATATTATATATTACATATACGAAGTATATGCACTCGGCTAAGGCGCCGAGCCGATGAGCGGTCGAGCGATTGGCCGGTGCGCTAGAGCCGGATGCACCTTCCCTCCGGGGCTCGGCGACGACATCATCATGAACTCATTGATCTACAGCAGCATCGAGTCGCCCATCGCGAGCCCCATTGGCTGACCAGCCACCCAAAGCCCCGACTGTACCTGTGCAGTCCATACCATGGCCTCGTTCTCCGTGAGTCCCCGAGACCGAGAGCAGCAGCGGCAGAGCCTCCGACGCGGCGCGCTGACGTGAAGGCGGCGCCGCAGCGCCTCGTGCGCTTCCTCGCCAAAGACGGCCGCGTCTACTACGGCGATGCCATCCTGGAACAAGGATCCAACGTGGCCCGATCAAGAAAGGCCCGCATCATCGACGGCGACGTCCTCGGCAAGCACCACGTCACAGACCGAGTCGCCGACATCCGCCTCCTGCTGTCTCCCCTCGCGCCCTCTCTCGTCGGCACCGTGCGATGCCTCGGGCTCAACTACGCAGACCATGCCAGGGAGACGCGCATGCCCGAGCCCAAATTCCCCGTCCTCTTCTACAAGCCGCCCACCGCCCTGTCTGGCCCGATGGACCCGATCCCGGTGCATGCCATGGCGCAGGAGGGCGCCGGCCTCGACCACGAGTGCGAGCTGGTCGTCGTCATGGGCAAAAAATGCACAGACGTGGCCGAATCCGAGGCTCTCGACTATGTCCTCGGCTATGCCGTCGGCAACGACGTGTCACACCGGGACTGGCAAATCAAGCACGGCGGCGGGCAGTGGTCGCATGGCAAGGGCTTTGACGGGTGGGCTCCGTACGGCCCGGCCATTGTCACGGGCGACGTCATCAATGATCCCCAGAAGCTTAAGATCTGGACAAAAGTCAATGGCGAGAAGCTCCAGGTCAGTAGCACGCCGCCGCGGCAGCCAGAGCTCTGGACCGACTCCTCACCCGCTGTCTAGGACGGGACCACGGCCGAGATGATCTTCGGCGTCAAAAAGACGATTGCCTTTCTGAGCCGCGGCGTAACGCTCATGCCGGGCGACCTCATCTTCACGGGAACGTGAGCAGAGCCCTTGCTGCGGCAGTATCCAATGGAGGCTCGGGGCATGTTGGGCTAATATTGGGACATACGCAGCCCTGCTGGAGTGGGCATGGGCCGAAAGCCGCAATCGTGGCTCAAAGACGGCGACATCGTAGAGGTTGGCCTCGAGCACGTTGGGACTTGGTAAGTTGTTCCGCCGCTGTTGACGACTTGCACAACTGCACACTGGAAAGCAGTACTGATCCGGCTGGCCCGCGTGCAGCACCAACAAGATAGAGTTTTCGAGGCCAGAGTCGACAAAGTCGAAGATGTGAACGCATCACGCGGCACTTTCGGTAAGTCCGTACTCGAGCGCTTCAGCGAAGGAGGAAATGGGCCGCGACTGATGTGCCGTGATTCAACGTGAGAAGCACAGGAACGGACGGGGGCGATGCTGGATGTCGGCGACGGCATGTATGAACCGGCATTGGTTGTCCCATCCTTACACCTCGCGAAGCCGGTGTTTTGTCTCTTGCATATCAAAGGGGATCGTTTTGGCTGGCCTGGGAAATGCCGTTGTGCGTCGAAGCACAGCTCATCTAGGCGGGTACCCTTGGTACCTTGAAGAACGTAGACACCTGCGTATACTTTGCAGGTCACAACCCCGCGGCCAGTACTTGATTCACTAGCAATAACGAGGGGCCCGCGTAGTATCCGCTGTTAGTGCACATCTTGGCTCACCTCAACTTCTCACCAACATCAAGGGTCGAAAAGAAGTCGCCCGTGACAGCCTCAACTCGCACTCCCACCCGCACGATACATTTGCATCCCACCCAAATGCTGGCTGTGCCAACCACGACCCCTATACGATAGCGACTGAGCCGGATTCTCAGTCCAGAATGGCGGCCTCGGCCGAGCGCGGAGCACCGCCCGCCTCTTCGCAGTGAGTTCCCGCACCCTCGTCTGTCTCCGTGCCGTGCCCAAGGACTGACACCGCTCCGCAGCCCGCTCAAGATCTTCGACGCGGCCAAGCGGCAGGACAGGTTTCTGTATGCCTGTGCGCCCATGGTGCGCTACAGCAAGGCAGGCCACCCACTTGCTCCTCGGCAAGACCCGGTCGCTCACCTTGACTTGCCTGCAGCTTGCGTTTCGGCAGACCGTCCACAAGTTCGGCGTCGACCTGTGCTGGACGCCCATGATTCTCGCCAAGGAGTTTAACCGCAACAGCTTCGCCAGAGACAGCGGTGCGCCCCTTCCCCCAACCCCCGTTCCTCTCCCAAGAATAATCTAGAAGAACTGAACCGCGGCACCCACAGACCTGACCATCTCCACGCTCGGCCCCCAGCCGCCCACCATCCTGCAGTTCGGCGCCAACTCCCCCCAGGAACTCGCCCGCGCCTCGTCCCTCGCGGCGCCCCGCGTCGCCGGCGTCGACCTCAACTGCGGCTGTCCCCAGTCGTGGGCCTGCGCAGAGACGCTCGGCGCCGCCCTCATGGATCGCCGCGAGCTGGTGCGCGACATGGTTGTCGAGACGCGCGGCCGCCTCCGCGACGATGGCTGGGCCGTCGGCATGGAAGGGCATGTGGAGAGCCCCCTGGGGAGAAGCGTCAGCGTCAAGATTCGCGTGCACGATGACTTGCGGTGCGGTTTTTGAACCCCTTCTCCCTCTTTGGCACTCTCTCTTCTAGACAGCGCTTGCAAGCACGGGCAGCTAAACAAGGCGCCGGACCCCAGGAAAACGATGGACTTCTTGGACACGGTCATCGGACACCCGCAGAACCGCCTCGTCGACTGGATCACCATCCACCCACGAACAAGACACACCCCCTCCACCGTCCCCATCCGCGCCGAAGCCCTCGAGATCCTCACGGCAAAGTACGCCGCCACGCTCCCCATCCTCCTCTCCGGCGACGTCTTTGCCCTCTCCGCCCTGCCCTTCAAAGCCCCGTCCGACCCCGGCCTCTCCACCACAATCACACCGCCACCCCTCGAGGACGACAGCCTTCGGCCCAGCAACACCCGTCTGGCGGGCTTCATGTCTGCGCGCGGTCTGCTCGCCAACCCGGCCTTGTTCGCCGGCTTCCCGGCCTGTCCGTGGGAGGCCCTCGAGACCTTCATGTGCAACGTCGCCCGCTGCCCGCTCTCCTTCAAGGTCGTCGTCCACCACGTCTCGGAGATGTGCGGGCCCGGCATGGGCGCGGAAAAGTCGGCGCTGCTGCCCAAGAAGGAGAGGATCAAGCTGGCCAGCCTGAGCAATATGCTCGAGCTGGTGGACTTTTTAGACGAAAAGATGGAGCAGCAGACGGGGAGGACGGGTGGCTTGCGGCGGGACTTGTGATTAATGACCATCACCTCTAGTGTTGGAGACACCGCGAAAGGTCCCGAAGCTGTCAGATCTGGCGAAACTGTCTGGTGTCGTTCATTTTACCGTTCTATATACCCATCTTCACTCAGTGCATCGGCTCGTCGCGCCACAATCAACCCGCTTTCATCACCTCAAAGAAACAAGACTCCCGGTACGCTCACAGCCCGGCCAGGACGCCCTGAATGCCCACCGACCCCGAATCGTCACGTCGCTGCACAAACGCCCGGAAATCGGCCTTGGACAGCTTCCCCCTGGCCCCAGTCTGCCCCGGCGCCAGCGTCCTCGACTTCTCCCGCAGCGCCTCCGGCCCGACGATGAAGAGCGACCCAATCTCGGTCAGCTGCTCCACGGCTGCCGCCACGTCCTTGCTGAGCGGCCAGTCCCTCATGGTGGCGACGTACTTGGCGATGTCCTGGGTGACCATGAGGCCGCCCGTGGCGTTGACTTGGAACTTTTTGAAGTGATCGAACAGCAGCTGGTGGATCGCAAGGGCCAGCTCGCTAAAGAACTTTTCGGCGTTTTGCCCGTCAATGGCGTTGCCCGCGTGCTTGCTCGCGCGGCCGAGAAACGTGCAGATGCTCAGGCACGTCGGAGTCTGAAGAAACTCGAGCTCCGCATCCTTTGGTCGAAAGTCCTGCTTCTTCTGGCCGCTCAGAGACTTGGACGTCCAGTTGGTGATGACGTCGAGCGACACCTTCAAGACGGTGTTGGTCTTCCTTTCGATCGAGTCGAGGGCCGTCTTCTTCTGCGCCTCCATGCTCTTGCGCACTGTCGTGTTCGACTCGGCCAGGCGGATGAGCACGATCCTGATGAACCGCTCCATAATGGACGACACGGTGACCGCCGGCCGCACGTCGGGCAGGAAGGACAGATCGGGCTCCGTTTTTGCGTTCTCTAGCATGGTGGCCTGCATGTGCGCTGCGTCGAGCGCAGTCTCAATGTAGACCTGTCCCATGCTCGTGAGCAGTAGGTTCAGGAATACGTTCATGTCTTTGGGCGTTTCGGCCCGCAAGCCGAGCTCCAGGGTCCGTTGCACGCTCTCGGCGAGCCACTTGAGCATTCTCTTGGCGCTTTCAACGCTCAAGGCGCCGTCTTCTTCCGATACCTCAATCTCGTTTTTGTTTTCCTTGTCTTGAAGACCGCCTAGTCGCAGCATGAGCCTCTTCTGCGTCGGCGTCAGGTCCGAAGACTCGAGCCGCTCCAAATAGGCATCCTTGGCCGAGGCCATGAGCTGGGTTCCCTGTTGGGCCAGAGAGGCCATGAAGCCCGTGGGCATTTTTTTCCGCCGCGAGTGGTATATCGTGAACCTGAAGAGCAGGGAGCTGTACATTTCCTCCAAGCTCTTCTTTTCGCGTTCAATGTACGTCGTTCCGACCAAGTAGGGGACGAACAGCTCGTCCATCTGCTGGTCGAGGGCTTGCGCGATCTGCGCCGAGCAAGGCTCTGGGTTCTCCGTCAGGCCATGCGTCTTCAGGTCTTCGATGAGGGAGCTGATGTAGCTTCTCGACGAGTGAAGGGATCTCAAGAAGGCCAGGGCGGAAATCGTCTCGGCCTTGTCAAGGACTTTTTCGAGGCGTTGCTGAATGGATTGCTGGAAGACTCGCTGGATAAACTTGACGAGGACAGTCTCGTAGTAGGGAAAGGCCCGCCTGATGATGAAGGACTCTTCTTGCATGACTATTTTGACTTCGTCGACGAGTGACTGGAGGCTTGCCTCGACCCCGGGCGGATCCGCGTCAGGGTCTGCCAGGGCTTCCCACATCTCGCCGTCGGCCGTCACCTCGTCGCTCATGAGCTGGTCTCGGTCGATGAAGAACTGGTGCTGGTTGACAAAGACGGCGATGACGCTGGCGCCGCCGTTGAAGTCGTACAGGACCTTTGCGCATTCCGACATGTCATCAAAGTTTTGTCGTCTATAGCTGTTGTTGAACTGCTTGAGAAGGTCCTGCTCCAGGGTCTCACAGAACTTCTCCAATATCTCACGGGTGTTGTGAGCTTTGTTCAAGCCGTCGGCAGCCCCATTCCGCTGGCCATTGGCGTGTCCCCAGGAAGCGGGATCGAGCTGCTGGCTAATGCGCATCAGCTGGCGGGCGATGACGGCGCACCGAACCTTGTTGTCAGCGCCTCCCTGTCGCTGGATGCCGTCGAGGGAGGTGAGCTGGCCTGTTTCGCTGACTTCCGTCCAGCATTGTATGAGGAAGATGGCATCCTGTGCTCGCCGTCGCTTCCGATCCAGCTCCTCGAGCTTTTCGCCAATTTGCACGGCGACGTTCCCCCCGCCATCGGACCTGCCGTTGGAGTCGGGCACGTTGATGCCTCCCGAGTTGAGCGAAACGTCAAGGGCTTCGAAGGAGCTCATGGACTGGTCGAGTTTCTCGCCAAGGGTGTCGAGAGTCTGGTCGTGCTGGATCTCGGCCCTCCGGACCTGGGAGAGGAGTTCGGATTCTTTCTCTTGGAGTTCGTCGCCGAGAGATGCGAGCTGCGATAGGGCATCTGATGGCGGAGTCAGTCAAAGGCGCATATTTGGTAATGGAACCCGCATGTACTTTCGAAGGTGCGGATCAAAGGCTTCGAGTCGAAAGCTGCTTGCGCGGGGCCGGAGCGACGGTTGGCTGGGACGGCGCTCTCGGCGAGGCTGTCTACAAAGTCTCGGACAATAAAGTCCTTGCTCGAAAAGGTCTCCAAGGTGAAGCTCGGGCCCTTGGGGAAGAGGCTCTTGGGCCCTGAGCTAGGCCGCTCCATCTGGGAAGCGGGAGGAGATGGGCAGCGGCGAGCGGCTACATGTGTGTCAAGGTGGGCGCGAGTCTGAGGCGGTCCCGAGGCCGGAACCAGAGGCGATGCCGCGTCGCGAGTCGACTCGTCGGAAGCGCGAGACGCAGCAGCATGCCTGTACCGGGTGAGCGGGCTGGATGATGCGACGTCGAATGGCGAAGTTGATGATGAGTAACGTCGAATCAACTGCGGGCCAGGTCCACGTGCGCTACGACAAGCTACAAAGTACCCCTCCGCCTGCCCACTTGCTCTCTGGCGTACAGCAGCTGCGCCACAGTTCTGGCTGGCCACTGCCACGAGGCAACGACGTAACGATCCCCTGCGAAATTGCGGCGCGGCATTCGAGAAGCCCAGCCGAGCCCAAGGCTTCGCCTCGTCGATGGCTGTGCTTGACACATACAAATGCCACTCTTTTCCCACCCACCAGCGACTTATGACATTCAAGTCCCTTCATTCCCTCTTTCCACACTTCCCTCAAGGCGACAGTTGCAGCAACGCAATAATCACAAGTCCTCGGCGGCAGCTTCCCCCTTCGAAACCCCCCTCCACCCCTCCGATCTGAGCCGATCCACGACACGGTAGCTTCGCCATGCCCGTGAGCGCCCGTGCCCGCGCGGCCTACAGAGCCGACGAGCTACAAAACCATGCGCTCCTGAACGAGCAAGAGAAGAAACGGCTGCTCAGGGTGAGAACACTTCGCCGCCTCAACGGCACTGGTATATTGACTGGCACATGGCTGCAGGCAACCCTCCCCGCCCCGAGCGAGATACCGAGCGTGAGCACATCGTCGTCGGCCTCGCATCAAAGACCCAGACTAGGCGTCCGACGCTTCCTCCGCAACCAGCTCCACGTCGTTGTCTTTGCCATCCTCCATGGCATCTTCTCGCTCTACATCCGCACCCGCCAGACATTCAACATCGTCTGCTACCGTGTCTCCTCGGTCCTCTACTACCACCACGCTACGCCGCAATACATTCGACGAGACGTCACGGGGCTGGAACGGAAGCCCAAGCACCTCAGTGCCATCCTCAAGGCCCAAGAAGACCACCGGGCAAAGGCGAATCTAGAGCGCCTCATCGACGAGACGGCCGAGCTGGCCACCTGGTGCGCCTGTGCCGAGATACCCATGCTCTCCATTTATGAAAAGACAGGTTCGTTGTCGCCAAGATACCCCCCATTCCAGCGTTTCTCACACTGAGCTACAGGAATCTTGAAGAAGCACATGCCGCGGGTCTACGACGCTGTCATCCAGAAATTCACCTTCTACTTTGCCGGAGAGCATCCAAGCCTCTCCGTGACTTCGCCGCATAGGGACGAGTACTCGTCGCCGACCTACGAGCAGAGCAGCCATGGACACTTGAAGCTCCACCTCATTTCTGCGCAGGACGGCCGAGAGTCCATTGTCGACCTCACTCGAACCCTAGCGGAAATGTCGCAAAAGGGAAAGCTCTCGCCCCGGGATATTTCCATCGAATTGGTCGACACGGAGCTGTCCGAGGGCATCATGCCGGAGCCGGATCTTCTCATCCTCTTCAGCCCCTACCCCGAGCTCGCGAGCTACCCGCCCTGGCAGATTCGCCTGACCGAGATATTCTGCCTGAAGGACAACGAAAGCTTCGGCTATCAGGTCTTTTTGAAGGCGTTGCGGAAGTACTCGAGGGCGCAGATGCGCCATGGGAAATAAAAGGTACCACGCGCGTGTGACACGCCGCACAGTTTCCGTTGTCGCAGGATACCCCCTCACGACTTCCATAGAGTCATCTGGCGGCTTCCCTTGTCCCAGCGATACACGGGACCGCCGCCAACGTTGTAATTGTAGTAATTCTCAGTCCCGTCCTTGACCATGGCTCTGCGAAAGGTGATGTTGATCCTGCCGCCGTCCTCCTCGTTCTTGCCAGTCCGCTTGGGGATTGAATGCAGCCAGTTGGACTGCGTCCTGCCGCGCATCAGCACCATGTCGCCACTTGCGAGCGGGAACTTTAACGGCTTCGCTGCCGCCGGGGCTTCTGCCGGACGCCCGCCGGAGCTGGACGGCGGGGGCGGCTTGTGCTTGAGGAGAAAGTCGCGGCGCGCACCGAGGGAGAAGGAGGCAATGGCCGGGTCGGGGCCGAGGAAGCGCTCGTCATCGCTGTGGAAGGAGATGCTGTCGGAGCCCGAGGCGTAGTAGTTGACGAGGCAGAAGTTGAAGCTGCACCCTGTGGCCGTCTCCGTGGATCTGCGCAGGCCGTCGAGGCACGCGGGGATGGGTCGCGGGGGATACCGGTCGTAGCGCTTGTCGGCTGCCTTTGTGCCCGTTGCCTTGTCCACGACACAGCCGGCCTCGTCAAAGGACGCCGTGTCGTCCAAGCCGAAGACGGTTGTCCATCTGATTCGCTGCTCAGCCTTTCAATCTCGTACGTGCCACATCATTACCAACCCCTCTCAAGTCCCCCTCTCGCTGAGACCTGGGCCACGGAAAACCAAGAGAAAGAAATAGAAAGGGGTGAGGGAGGAGAGTCCAACCTCGGCGTGCGAATGCGCGTCTGCACACCTCCCCTCTTGATGTCATACTCGACACGATAAAACGGCAGCTCAGCGCGCAGAAACTCAAACATGCCGCGCGCCACGGACGCAGGCATGTACGGCTCAAAGCAGAGCAGGTCGAGGTCCGGCTGGTCGTCGACGGCCTTTGCGGGCCGCGCCGGCGGCGACGAGGCGGCGCCGCCCAGCGACGGGGGTAGATTGGCGATGGGGAACGGGTACCGGGGGTGTGTCGAGCTGCCGACGGCCTGTGCCGACCTGTGAGTACTCGGGCGCTTGCATCTCCTGGAATGCTGGAAGCTGGGGAGTGAGGCTCACGATGTCGGGGGGTGGCCCCTCGTTGTCCGCCTGAGATTTGGCCCGTTTGGACGTCGAGCTGAAGAAGGCGTCCAGCGTGCGTTTCTTTGACATTTTTGCAACCGCCGCGGTACCTCGACTCGTTCAGCTCAGAAAACAGAGTTGGATTTGCTCCTGACGGGATACATCGCCTCAAAACTGTCCAAGTCGATCAAAGTTGACGTCAAGTCGTGACATCACACCCAACCCCCCTGTTCAGCCTCGCCGGCGCTGGTTCGTCGGCTTCTCCCGTGGTGGATCCCCGCCACAAACCTCCCTGCACAATTTCCCGTCAGCCTCGCGGACCCTTGATCCGACACATGCCTCACCCCCATCACTTTTTTTCGCTGAACCCTGCGTCGACAGACACTCTCAGACGACGACCTCAGTCACGGCGCGCGCAACTTCGCACACATGGACAAGGTAAATCCCACTTACACCCCCTACTAACTCACCCCCCCCTCCCCTATCACCGTACGAATCAGTTGCCCATGAACGAGACTTCTTCAGTCAGCCCAAACAAGACAGACAACTCACCTCCATCCTTCACAGGACAAGTGCCCATCCAGCCCGGCGATGAATCTCTTCCGCGCCCCCGCCGCCGCCCGCGCCGTCAAGATACTTGACAGGTCGCTCTTTGCCCGCACGCTGCCCACGGCCGCCGCCTCGGTACGCGAGAACCGCCTCATCTCAAAGTACCGCCAGCAGCTCGAGGCGACAAAGGAGCTGCTCGTCCTCGACAGGCTGTCTACCGTGACTGTTGATCCCGACCCGGCGCTGGCGGCCCAGGGCAGAAAGTGCTTGATCCTCAAGCCGGGCATCAAGCCCGCAGGTATGCGATTCCGGTCCCGATGGATGTGTTTTCTCGCGGTGGCGGCGCTGATTGATGTTTTTTCCCCGTGAAGCGCCTGAGACTTGGAGCCCGGCTCTTCAAGAGGCTTCCAAGGCCGGGGACTTGACTGTTGTTTCGTTGGAGCTGCCCATTGGCTATGAGCTGTGGAGTTATCGTATGTGAACCCCAGATCATCCGCAAAGACGAGGGAATCTTACTCACATACTCCTTCGCAGTGGATGTCGTCAAATCCGTGTTGCCAGAGGAGCTGCATGGCGAAATCCCCGTTGGCTTCAACACGGCTGGTCATGTCGGTGAGTGCCCCCGGAATCCGTAACGTCCAGTCTCTCCGTCCTGACACAAGACCCCCCCCTCTAGCACATCTCAACCTCAGGGAGCAGTATATGCCCTACAAGCATGTCATAGCACAGATCATCGTCGACAAGAACCTCCACATCCGCACTGTAATTAACAAGACGGACAACGTCGGCACCGAGAACGAGTTCCGCACTTTCGCCTACGAAGTGCTTGCGGGTCCAGACGACATGCTCGTTGAGGTCAGCGAGGCCGGCTGCGCCTTCAGTTTCGACTACTCCAAGGTGTACTGGAACTCGAGGCTTGGCTTCGAGCACCAGAGAATCACGGCCCTCTTCAAGCCAGGCGAGGTCGTCGCCGACGTCATGGCTGGCATCGGGCCCTTTGCTGCCCCTGCAGGCAAGAAAGGCGTCTTCGTGTGGGCCAATGATAAGAACCCGGAGAGCTTCAAGTACTTGAACGAAGCAATCAGGAGGAACAAGGTATGCCATCGCCGGCTACGCTGGGATTGGCAGGTTGTTTTGGCGCTCAGCTAACCCTTTCTCAGGTGACGGAGTTCGTCAAGCCCTTCAACCAGGACGGTCACGAGTTCATCCAAAACGCAGCCGACCTCGTCTTGGAAGCGTCCCGCCGCGGCGATTGTGCCCTTGTCAAGCCCGCGAGGGTGTCCAGGAGCGCGCCGCCGGCTGCCCGGCCTGAGCCAACGCGCATCCCCATACCCCCTACCATCTCTCACTTTGTCATGAATCTCCCCGCATCCGCCCTCGAATTCCTGCACAACTACCATGGCCTCTACCATGGGCATGATGACCTCTTCGTCCCGCATACCGAGACAAAACTGCCAGTGATTCATGCTCACTGCTTCGCTTCCAAAGCAAACGACGCGACCCCCCTAGACGACATCTGCCAGCGAATCTTCAATGAAATTGGGGTCAGGCTCGTGCCAGGAGATGCGGAAAACGACGGCGCGGTGACCATCCACGAAGTTCGCGACGTGGCCCCCGCAAAGCGCATGTTCTGCGCCAGCTTCCGCTTGCCCGCCGAGGTCGCCTTCGCGCCTCGTCCTTGACGGGGAGGGGAACGAAGGTAACGGGGACTTTTTCGTGCGTCGAAGCTTCCCGGTTCTGCCCATGCCACAATGCAGACCTCGACCAAAGCAGGACATCCATGAAGATCACGGCCCGCTGGCGTGGTGCAGCGCGGGAATTGTCGGGTTACTTGATCGGGCTGATCGAGGCCGGCCGCCCCGTATTTACATACATACCTCGGAACCCCACAGCACGGCGAAGCGCAGAAGGCCTCGGGAGCGTGAAGGTGTGCAGCAATTTCGACATGCAGCCGGTCAGCGATATCTCTCGCATGATAATCGTGTGGGGAATGCCCGCCTGGCACGTCTTTTATCCCTGGGAGCAGACGTGACTCGCCCGTTTCCTTATCGCAACGAGGGTGTAAGTGGCGATGCATCAGCACAGGACGAACGCCCGTAGGGAACTCGACCTGTTCACAGCGGTTCCCGTATGATCCAGCTGCACTGCATCCGAGCGGTTCGGCGCCGGCGGCATGGAACAGGACTCTGGAACCCCAAGCGACGGCCGCAAAGGCCTGGGACGAGGTCGACTCTGGACTTGGGCTCGTGAAAAGCGCGTGGGCAGTGACTCGGGAATTTCGACGTGATTCGTCGTTCCATCTGGCGCGTGGCGACCCTCCTCGCCGGTTTTGTGCATGGTTGTGCTCTGTTACATTCATGCGCAGCGATGAAAAAATACGGGAAAAGGCTCATGTCTCGAGGCCGAGGACTCAATGAAACGGGAACGTCGCCTGCAGAACGGGCTTGACATTCCAGGACGACAAGACAGGAATGGCTTGCCTGACAAGCCTTGAGCTGCCCTGGATATCTTCTTGACCCAGGGGCTGGTACGGTAGCGGTGGTGCAACTCTGCGGAAATGTTGCAGCGTCAACCTGTGGCGGCACAGTCAGTAGCCCCCCGTATCCATGCCGTTGTTGAGTGGCAGGCGCCCCCTCTTCTTGAATATCTTCTCCTTAATGACCACTCAGTCTGCCGAATCGGAACTGATCGCGGCTTGGGCGGCGAATATTGCAAAAGTCTGTGGTTTCTGCACAGCAGCCGGGAGCCACCCGGGAGAAGGGGGACCAGGAAACGGGACTCTCCACAATTGACGGGCCGGGTGGCAGCGGGCCGGGTGGCAGGCTTATTTGCTGTCATTGTTGTGAACTTGGTTGAGCAGGGAGGGGGATGGGAGGAAAAGAGCCCCGAGTGGACATGAACAAGGCTGAGCTCTGTGCGCTAATACTAGCCATTGCCCGGGCCTTGTTCTACGTGCAGGTGGTGTATGTGGTCCGTCAAGTCCCCAGAGTCCCGTCGGAAGCCAGCCAACTCTGTGCGGAGTCGTGTGCGTCCTTAATGGTCCACGTGGATGGTGAAAGTGAGTTCTCAAGGGGCGTCCTCTCGAGAGGTAAATGAGGCCACTATGATGAATTCGAGCAGCCGATGCGTATCCCAGGATGCACGCCGTCGTATTTTTGGTTTCTGGTTTTTTGCCTCGTCTCTCTTGCGTCCTGTCGGCCGCCCCGCAAGCAGAGCATTAAGAGAGTGTGTCATGCTATGCAGAGAGTTGCCGCGGGAGCATGGCGTGCTTGTCGTCTGCACTGCCCGTGCTCGCTACAGCCACTCACTTGACTGCAAGACGCAGCAGGCACAGCTGCAACCTGTAGGCCGCCTTTAACCTGCATCGGGGGTCTGACCATTAGTGCAAATCAAGTCCGGTTCTAGAATGAGGTCGTGTGCTGCTATGCAAGACGACACTGGCTCGCGGAACAAATGGCTCGTCGTCTCGCCTGTTGCTGCATCTGCCACACCCGCACACCTTCAAGATGCTTGGACTGGCACATCTCTAGGTTGGGCTGGGCATGTCAGCCCCGTCATCGACCATGTCCTCTGGTCTTGGTGTCCTTTTGGCTGCATCAGCGGCCCATTGGGGAATCCTGATTGTGCTCCGTTTCTGCAGCTTTTGGCTTTGGCCGAAAATGCTCGCTGTCCCCTGTCAGTGTTGAGATGCGCAAGCTGCCGACCGGCCTCGGGGCTGGGTCGGTGATGGGGCATGATGCAGGTTCGAATGCTCCAGATACCCACGCCTCGTTGGCAAGGGCAAATGTGGGATTCCGCTGGAGAGCAACATGTCGTTGAAGAAGTCAAATCGAGTATACATACAGGTGGGGACGGTTGCCTGGTGCGAAGAGGGGCCGGAGATGCGGCCAGAAAGCTTGCTCGACGAGAGCCACACACAATTGATACGATTACGGCCGGATGGCGCGGTGCATCTCTCGGACTCGTCGGTTGATGAGATTGGCGGAGCGATTGCCAACACAAGGTGTTACTGCAAGAGCATGCAGGCTACAGCGCAGCTAGCATGGCATTGTGCTTCCACTGATCCAGCATTGCGTGTCGGAGCTGCTGTCGGCCGTTAGTGGCCAGCGTGTGGGCTGATAACAGTCTTGGAGTGGCCACAAAGTGTGCGGCAAGATGCGAGGGTGATGGAAGCAGCTCGTCTGGATCAGGGTCGGAGTCACCGCCGTGCTCCTTGGACGGGGCGGCAGCGGGTTTCGAGTCCAGCATCCGAAGTGATCTTGTCTCAAGTGTAGGCCAGAAGCTGATATATGAGAATTAGATCCCGGCCGTCCCAGCAAATTCCAGAAAAAAAGGGTGAAAAATGGCCCCAGGCCCACGGCTTCGAGGCTAATCTACTGGACCGAGCCGTAACGTGTTTGAGCGGGAAGTCTGGTGTTTCAACTCGAATGTGAATTTGCAAGAAGCTCAGCAGTGTAAGCACACAGGAGCCTGCTCAGGCTTATCCGTCCAGTCTCCGAATGTACAGTACGGCGGCAAGAGCTGTAGGAGAACGCCCCCCTGGACAGCGAACAGGCGGCTTTGCCAAAGCAATGCCGTGGTCTCGAGGCGGGTCACCCTTGGTCAATGAGGCAAGAGTTCGTCGCCGCGAGACAGTCAAGCAGGTTCGCAGCAGGCTCGTGCGGGGCATATTGCCCTGGAGTGCCAGCATAGCATCAGAGGCGAGGGCGAATCAGGATGGGGGGTGGGCGTGCAGTCGCTTGCATCGGGTGTGGGAGCCAGCAGCGGGCCGCGAAAAACACGCCGGTTCAAAACATCATCGCATCGTTTGTCCTTTACGGCCGAAGCGGACCAGTCGTGGGGCCAGGCCGCAGAATTGTGCAGGACGAAGAAGGTTGCAAAGGGGCGACAACAGGCCGAGGCGACGTCATTGACGCGCCAAGTCGATTCCGACAGTCTTGAGAGTTTCGGCGGAACAGACAGCAAAGTCAGAGTCTCGCGTACAATGCTGTACCGAACCCGGGGTTCACATACCTCTTGGCTTCCTTGTCCCTTCCCCGCGGTCCAGCATTCAGGAGGCGTTCGCGCAGCATGCAGGTCGAGACCTGGAGAAGAAAAACCTGGCCATTCACAGGCTGGCGAGCGACGATGGCGGTGCCGATAAAGTTGGTCCCGGTTGATTCTGCGCTCTGGCATGTATAGTACGAATACTTTGTAGCTACCGGTATTTGCAAAGCCCACAAAGAGAAGTGCAGCGATCGGGAGAAACCGGGGCTTTGTTTCTGGAGGCAATCGGCGGTGGGTTGAATGGAGATGCAGCCCTAGATGAAGCCCCCATGTCAGCGGCGTGGCACCTTTGCCCATCACGGTGCCTCTGTGGGACGCCCCCTGTGGGACGCGGAACATTCAGGGTCCCTTCCGTTCCAGCGTGTCTTGTGCAACGCGACGGATGCAACCATAGGGCGATGTAGAGGGTCGCATCAATGGGATTCCAGCTGATGGCCAATGATGCTGTTGACAAGTCGATGGAGAAGACAATGCGATTGAGGGGGAAGAAGCGTTTCGTAGCGCAAGAGCTGCCGATTGCCGGGCGCGCGCTTGCCCTTGCCACACGAAGATGCGGTGACGGCACTCAAAGGGGAAGGGCGCACAAAATAGGCTTGGAATTGCAACAAGTACCTGGCTAGGTACCTACTCTACTCCGTAGTCCGTACGTACTGCCTAAGATACTGCCTTAAGATAAGCAGTGAAATCAAGCCTTGATCGTCTCGACCTCGAATCTGACACCGGACGTGCGCTACACATGACACGGACACTGGACGATCCCGGGCCGGGCGCGAAACTCGTCCTCTATCGAATCGTGCGTAGTCTTGGACCGTCTATCCTGTGTCGCTCAGTCAAGGGCAGTGCAGTATATGCCCAAGAGGGCAAGCCACAATGGCCCCGTCTTTACCATACTCGGCGAGCCGGTAAACGCACCCATCCGCTGTTTGAGTTGCTGGTGCTGACTAGCATCCATCCTTAGTCGCCAACTTGACGACGCGGGCCAAGGAAACTCCCGCTCGGACCTGGTTGGCGAGGATAAGCGACCGGAGACGCGGGTGAGCATGTTTACGACAACCTGGTTAACCACGCGGTGAGTACGGAGTACTCCGTACACGAACAGGTAAGCTGACATGTCTTGGGGTAAAGCAAGTATCTCGATGCATGCCAGATCTTTAGAGGGACCTTGACCTATCACGCGCGACTGAGACATCCGGAAAGGGTTCCGCATGGCATGCAAGTTGCAAAGTATTGTACCGAGCCGGCGCGTCAGGGTCGATACCCCAGACAAAGAATATAGTCGACATGCCATGCATAGCAATACGAGGCTCGAAACCTTTTGGTCATTAGCAGGAATTCTCACCCAGCGAGGTCCGGCCGTGCGTCTCCAGGCCCACAGGATTTCGGCCAAGATGAAACCACCATGGCGATGAGATGAGCATTGGGGAATACATGGGTTAAGCGGTCCTGTAAGCATGCCTTCCCAGGACCCAGGCCAACAACAGCCTTCTCTGTACAGGTGTTGGCCGAGTGTCGCCGCAAGAGCTCGAGCCCACAAGGAATGGAGGGCGCCGAGGCTCGTGTTGACTAACTCGAGTGAGTCTCCAAGGTTAACTTTTGTCGGCACGGCCGCAACCGTGTTACGGGAGGACCTCCCTCCACACTCTATGCCCGGCGGCTCTGGGTTTTTCTTCTGTTTTTCTGGTTTCTTTTTTCGTCAACGCTCAGTCTCGACTCGGCATCTCCCATTCGTGCTGACCGCCTCCATGCCCTGCTTCCGACCTCATGTGACGGCAATACAGTCTCGTCGTCCCTGGGGGCATAGCAGGTGCCGGCCTCACAAGCTTACATGCACCGACTTCTAGAATTCCGCCGGTGTAGCTTGTAAAAGGTACCGAGTAGCCTGTACCATACGGTGGACACCGTGTCCGGGCTCAAAGGCAGAGTACGGATACGGAAGACGCCTTGTCAGCGGCGGCTCCCGGAGACTCGTCTCGCGGCTTGGCGGCCCCGAAGTTTGCACGGTACCACAGGCAATCTTGGGTTGTTTCCGATGGGGCTCGATTTGCCTCACGGATGCTTGCCTACCTCGATCATGCGTGCACAATGGCCATGTGGTCCGTCCTAGACAGTTAAGCTGCGGTACTACTTGCTGCCTGGCCGGGTCTCGCATCGCTGGTGATGCTCCATTTCCAAGGCATCCAGGCATTGCAAGGCGCCTACTGTATGTACGGGCAGTTAGTTACGGACGTCGAAGCGCCCTGGGCACCAATGGCAAGGCCTGGTTATTGCTGCGTGTTGCGCTGGTAGGCAGTCGTCTGCTCTGCGCCCCCTCTCTGCCTCGCGGAGCTATCTCGATGGGTACAGGAGCATGCTTTGTCCATGCCTGTGTACCGTAGCAATCGCCGTCTTGGAGGGTTGGCGGGATGTGCCAATCTGCAGCCCACGGTACCAGCGGGCGCCCGCCCTTATGCGGCGGCACGACGCACGATGCGCATCGCATAAGAGGTAGCTGGTGTCGACGACTCCCAAGGAGCGCCGACCGGGATACCGAGTGCAACGCGGCCCAGGGTGGCATCCCCTGCGACCCTCGCCGACCTTGGCGAGCGGGCACCAGAAAGAATCTTCCGTCTACCGATACAAGCTAGCTTACTGCTCTCTCGCCGGTCGAGGCCAAGGTGGTGGTGGGTGGGTGGCGGGCTGGCGGCTCTCGCTTTAGCGGTCATCAAAAGGCCGATGGCGCGCGTCTTTTGGCCCAAGGATCCATCCTCGCACCCCACTGGGCTGGTTGCCAGGTGGTTAATTGGAAGTGGTAGTGATGGTGGTGGTAGTGGTGAAGTCGCAGGGACGTGTTTGAGCGACAGCCTCTTTGCCGTGTGATCATCGATATCTCGACAGGATGATTGTGCGGAGCTCCACCGTTGTCGGGGATTTTGATATCAACCTGAGGCAGGCGGCTACCTATCATCGACAGATAGGGTATCGGTCAATTGATACACGTACATACATAAGGTACCTGTAGATAGGCCAGTGAGTACCTAGGTACCTAGGCTACTAAGGTAAGTGAGAGGGTGGGTAATGGCCGTGGAGAGAGTTGCGCCGCCACACCCACCTTGCTGTGAAGAGTAAGGTGTACTGCACAGAGAATGGTGCAAGACGCAGCCAGCTACTGTACGTGCGACCACGATGCATTGTGTGTGTGTGTGTGAGTGTGAGTGTGTGTGAGTGTGAGTGTGAGGGAGAGAGACAGAGAGAGAGAGAGTGTGTGTGTGTGTGTGTCCTGATCATGCATGCATGTATCCAGTCAAGAGGCAATCAGTCAGTCTGTCGGTCAGTCCACCCCTCGAGTATTATCTCTTTGCATTCAGTATCTCCTGTTATTGATCACGACACCAACCCGGCCGGTCAAAGGGGAAAATATTTGATGCAATGGGTTTCATGCGCAGGCGGATTGGCCATGATGGGGGAAAAAAGGGAGCGTGGCTGTGGCCCACGCACGCTTTGGTCTGGCCAATGTACCTTGCTAACTATCATAGGACCCGGCACCCGGGTCTGGGCTCGCTTCCAGGTTGGTTGGCGGTGGAGGTCTTTTGTTGGCAGATGCCTCCAATTGGGCACAGCCAGACTAGCGTCTTAGATTGCTACGTGCAGCCGAAGATGAATCTTGGGCAATGGATCTCTGAGACAAGCAAGACGGCAAGAAGAGCAATGGAGAGAACCTTGAATCGGAGGTGGGGGGTGGAAGAGTGGACAGAGCAAGGAAGGGAAAGCTAATCGCTGCCAATGGGCCTGCGGTGTGTACATGTCGCTCTCTCCCTTCGCCCTCAGCGCGGACCCCGTAGCAGCTCTCAATCACGAACCTGTCGGTCTTGGAGCGCATTGCACGCCAAGATATTGTCGGTACTTCAATGATGCGTCGGCACAGCACGGCGTGACTGCGGAATGCGCGGAGAAGCCTTTGGATAATTAGGTACCCAAGGCACTGTAGCGTGCTGTGCTGTGCTGTGCTGTACCACAGGCGCATTACAGTGCTACATTCATGCCTCTGTCCGTCCCAGACGCCCACCAGCCGGTACCTGCACGCTGTACCACCCCGGCGTCGCCCCCCGGTCCAGGGAACCTCGCCCGCCCGGTCTCTGCGCCACGCGGGCACGGTAGCAGGTACGACGGTACCTACTCCTCGGTACCTCGTCCACTGTACCTAGGTGCAGTAGACTTGCTCTAGGCGCGTGCGGGAGGGCGGGGGGTGCTGCTGCAGCGCTGGGCTCCTGCAACCGGCGTGCCGGGCCTGCGTCCGGCCAACCGCTTCCCCAAAGTCCAAGCGTCGATCCGTCTTCACCCGCTCCAGGTGCTCGACGCACGCATCTCTCTCTTGCTCGTTTTTCCTTCTGCGTCTTCCTCTCTTCTCCATCTTTCCCTCTCTCTCGCGCATCCAGCCATCCTGTGCTCCGCTTTCTTCCTCTTCACTCGCACAACGCCCTCCCTCGCCCGTCGCCGTCGTGTGCCCTTTATTTTCTCCCTCCTCGCGCCATTACTCCCGTCGCAGCAGGCATCCTCTTCCTCTTCCTCTTCCTCCTCTCGCCTCCTCGCTCGACCACTCGACGACTGCCCGCCTCCGCTGCCCGCCGCTTGTCGTGTCCTGGACGACGCCTATCTCGTCTATGACCCTGTGGCCCTCATTCTCCCCCGAACCGGCAGCCGTTCCCGCAACTTTAACTTCTCTCTCGACACCAGCCGCGCTGCTTGTCGACACTCACCTCGCCACTCAGTCCGACACTCCTCGCGCATCGACGACTCATTACTTGCCTCCGTCGGACCCTTTCCCTATCTCCCCGGCGGCCTTCTACGCCTGTCGTCTTGTCACCTGCCGTCTCTGGCCTCACCCCGGCTCATAATCACGTCCCATGAGTCGCTAGCCCCCGCCGACTTCCTCCCCGGCACCGCGCCGCCATCTCTCGTCGGCGAGCCTTCATCCCCCCTCCACAATGGCCGCTGTCCTCTCCTCGTCTGAGGACAGCAGCTACTTTGGCGCTGCCTCGCTGCGTCGCTCCCAGTCGCAGCCCACCTTTGTCGGGGCACCCTCACCTCGTTTCCCTGCCGCTCACAGCATCGGCGCCTCCTACTCGCCGCCCTCAAAGTTCTACCCCGACTCCGAACTCTCCTCGTCTCCTCCCACCATCCAAACAGAGTCCACCGACGTCTCTCTTGCCTCGACGCCCGCCAGCAATCTGTCCATATCCTCCGACTATGACGATACCTTGGCCTTGGACGAAGACTCGCCCGACGACCACTTCAGCCTACCCCTGCTCTCCCAGGACAAGTTTTACCTGCATCCAGAAATCCAACACGACGACAACCTAGAACCCCCGCCGAGCCCCAAAACGGGGGATTCCTTCAACGTATCTCCTGCCGACGCTGACACCTCGGCGCTCCTTTCCGGATCTGAAACGCCGGACCGTGTCGAGCACGCCGAGGATGACAGTGCCATCGCGACCAAGCCTTCACGCCAAGTCGACTACCTGTCACACGACTGGAAAGAGGAAGACATTTGGTCGTCGTGGAGATATATTGTCGCCAAGAGAGGCGAATTCCCCAATAGCAAGAGACTGGAGAATGCGTCGTGGAGGACATGGATGAAGGCCAAGAATAACCTAAAAACCATTTCCGCCGAGGAGCTGAACTGGTGTGTTTCCCCGCACCCCTTATGGCCTCTCTGCCCCTGCAATCCCCTCTAACCTCGTCGGTTCAGGCTCAAAGACTGCGACGTCACCTGGCTTTATGGGCCACTGCAGTCCGGCTCGAGTCGTCTCCACCCCACGCAAACGGAGCCTTCCAGCGAGTCTCTATCCAAGTCAGAGTCCTTGGTCAACCTCGACAAGAAGCCCATCCTCAAGAAGCGGAGCATGTCGGAAGTCATGCTGCAGAGGTCGTTGACGTCGTCTTCGCTGCTCAAGCAGGCCACGGCTGCCGTCCAGGCACAGGAGACGAGAGCCGTTCTCCGACCGACCATGGCGCGAGCAAGCACTGACTGCTATCTCACCTTCCCGCTCTCTGCTAGGAGGTCAAGCGCCGACAACAATAGCTCCGTGACCCAGTCGACAGACTCATCGGGCTTCTCTTCTCCCTTTCCCGAACGGAAGCACATTCACTTCAACGAGCAGGTTGAGCAGTGCATTGCCGTCGATGTCAAGGGCGACGATGAAGACGACGAGGCCGACGTCGACCGTTACGGTGAAGACAGCGACTCTGACGACGGCGTCGTGATGAAGCGGGTTAGGTCAAAGAAGCGCGCCCCCTTGACGAGAAAACGGACCAAGAAGGCGGCGCCCGCCGAGGGCAAGACGATTGCCATGCTCCCTTCGACAACGCTCAAGTATCGCGAGGACACGCCTGAGCCCTACGAGTCGGCTATGAAACACGGCATGGGCGTCTATAGCAGCCCCATGATCTCGCCGTCGTCTTCCCAGGAGACACTACGACCTACCAAGCAAGCTTCGGCCTTTTACTTCGGCGAGGAGGAAGACTACGAAATCAAGGATGGGCCGCAGAGTCCACCCTCTGGCTGGCGCTCCCCCCCCTTTGACCGGGCTGGAGGGGGACTGCAACGGTCAACCTCCACGGGGAGCCTCTCGGATCAACCTGTCGGTATGCGTCGCACCTCTTCCGGCATGTTCATGCCCTTTGAGGGGGACGAATCCTCGACCGGCGATGGCATTCTTGGGCGAGTCATTGACACCGTCAACACAGCGCGCGACATAGCTCACGTCATCTGGAACGTTGGCTGGAGGAAGTGACTCCTACCATCCGCCGTGGCTCGCTGGTGACGCGGATCCATGATCAAGGCCCGAGGTGGGTCAAGAACAACCAACGCCGACGATCTGCGACCCTGTCACCCGGCTGGAAACCACTTCTGTACGACTCACGGCGACCATCTTAAACCTGCCGAGTGAGAAGCGCCCAGGTGCACTACGGCGGGTATCGAACACAGACGAAATGGGGGCACGGTTGTGGGGCTCTAGAACCAGGCGATGGCAAGCCTGCCTAGCACGATGGCCCACCAGCCCCCGTACTCTGCTCTGGGGAGGTTTGGGGGGGGTGGAAGCATGCTGCCCTCTTTCTTTCATCGAGAGGGCAGCTCGGCCTTGTTTAGGGCTTACCATGACGGTTACTTGTTACTAGTGGGTTTGGGGAGCTCGCATCGGCTCTCGCGGTGGCTAGCGCATCGTCAAAAGAAGAGTCTTGATTTTTTCTCATTCAATTTTTCCTTTTCTGTCTAGGACTGGCCCGGACACGGGAAGAGGCGAAACGGCAAGAAAATGGCAAAGGCCCGGTACACCTTTGCACGGTACGGGCGTTTATACGCGTGTGTTGTGTTTGCGTTTTGTGAGTGTGACACGATCTGTGTTTGGTTTATTCTCGCATATTTGTCCTTTCCTCTTCTTTCTACTTAATGTACTCTCTGCAAACATGTGAGAGATGGAGGGAGTTGAGAGAGGGAGCAAGAGACATGGGGTTTGGGAGAACGGAATCCCAGAACAAACCATTCACAGGCCCTCCCGCATCGGGGGGGAGGGATTCGAGGCCCCTTTGAGGCAGCGGCGAAGGAAGCCACGACTTGCTAGAGGTGAAGCAAAAGAGAACATTATGACCACGTTCGGCGTGGAATGCACACACGATGATTGGATGTAACCATGGCGATGATGTGACTGTCGATTGGGACGTGCACGAGAGCCAAAGCGGAGAGTGCTCACGAGGGAGACAGGAGAGAGAAAAGAAGTGCGGAGTGGAGCGGTTGACGGGTTGCTGCCAAGACGGGCGGGCCGTTGGCGTGACTGACTTTGCCGGCCATGGCTTTCGCGACCACGTCATCTTGGAAAACGCCCATGGAGGTACGTGTACAGTGTATGGCAGCCGCCGCGTGGGAGAGAGGGAGAGCCCACATGCGCCCTGTGCCCGGCGACGGGCGCCTCCGTCATCATCGCCCCCGCCGTCGCGCCTCCATTGCGCGTTTCAGGATGGTGTAGCCCCCCTCCCAATGCTCCAGCAGCATTGACCTCGATGACGGCATTGCGCGCGTCGTTTGCCTCCTATTCCATCCCCCCCGCACACGACCAGCAGGGGAGAAGGGAAAATAGGACAAGTTGTTGGGGGAAAATGTCCTCCCACGGTCCACGACTGCCATTGTTGGGGAAGAGCGCGGGGAAGCACGAGTGCGGGGGAGTGGACGACGACCTGACAGCCACGGCCGCCGCCACAGGGGGCGCGGGGGCAACGGCAGCTGCCACTCACGCCAAGCCTGGCTCCATCGTGGAGACATCGGGCGCCCGCCCTCCACCGGCGACGGCGACGGAGCCATCGCTGTGGCGAACGGCATGTGGCGCCTGCAGCTCCGCCGGCCTCGACGCAGGCTGGCCTTCCTCTTGCTGCTGTTGACCGAGGTACCGCGTGGCGCGGAGCAGGATCTCGCGCGAGTGCACGTTGACGTCGACGAGCTCCACCTCGAACTGGTCGCCTAGCCGCGTGTCCTTGATGAGGCGGCAGCCGTCGAGCCCGGACGCGTCCAAGATGGCGTCGAGGTCGAACAGGTCGAGACGGCCGTGGAGGGTCGTCTGCATGCGCATGCTGACGGTGAAGCGGAGTGCCGGCGGCGCCCTGCCCTCGAAGCGCCACGCTCGCACGAGGGCGATAAGAATCCAGTCCACGATACCGCGCGACATGCGCCGCGCCTTCTTCTCGCGCATCTGGAGCATCCGCAGCGAGTCGCTGAGCTCCGCCGTCTTGAATGGCACGATGGCGTTCACCTTGTCCATGGCGGGGTCGATGCTGCGCTTGGCACTGCGTTCAAAGGCCAGCGCCGCGTGGATCTGCCAGTGCACAAGAAGATCGGAGAATCGGCGGAGGGGCGACGTCGCTTTGGCATACATGTCCAGGCCCAGTAGAAAGTACGGTCCGGGCCGGGCGGAGATTTCGATCCCTCCCGTCAGGTTGACGAGTTCCTGCCGCTGTCGCTCGGACGGCTCTATGCCCTGCTGGATGAGGGGGTAGATTTCGTTCCAGGCGTAGTCGAACGCAGCCTCGCGGTTCTGCGCCGACTTGATGTCTTTGCGATAAGGGATCGGGATGCCGCGGGAAGCGCACCAGCGTGCAGCAATTTCCCCGGCCAACACCATGAAGTTGGACACGACGGAGCACGCCGTTGACGTTTCCCTCTTCACCTCAATATAAGGGTCGGCCGGGACGACGGTTGCCGATTCCGACGAGCTCGCCGTCTCCGGAGCGGCGTCAAAGATGACAGAAACGGATGGCCGGGGGAAAAAGTATGGCCATGCGCCTTTGGACAGCCTCTTCCGCCTGACCGCCTCCGCCAATCGGTACAAGGTCAAAAGATCGTTTTTGCCATTCTCGGCCAGATCCTCGGCCGCGATCATGGGCCGTTCGGGAGCAGGCGGAGCTTGTTTTGGTGGCATTCCCGCCACGAGGCTGTGGCCGCCCCTGACTGCGACGGGCGGCGGAGGCTCGTTGCAGAAGTTGGATACGTCTTCTGGATCCAGGTAGAAAACGTCTCCGAGCGTGCCGGGTTCGACTTTGTAGTCCAGGACGTCGCCGGCGCTGTTTACCTTGGCGCTGAAGGTGAGAGTTGGGCCACCGCTGCGCAGGGAGAATTCCTTGACGAGGCCCTCGGATTTGTAGTCGCCTGCATCCTCCTCCCCTAGCTCGGACGGTATCATGGCCTGGAAATGGCCCGGGAGATAGATGTTTTCCGGAACGAGCTCCATGAACTTGCACAGCTCCGAATTTGGCCTGATGATTGACGCTGGGTCGGCTGCATGGATGTGAACCCAAAACTCGTCGGGTTCGCCAGTGCGTTCCAGTGAGATGCCATCGTCGATGACCGTGGTCGAGGGCGCGTCGATGCAAAATATCGTTTCGCCACCAACTATCTTATCTCTGGCGTCGGCGGCAATGTCAGGTCTTTTGGACGCCTCCAGGTGATCAGGGGTTTCGCGGCTCAAGCCACCTCCCCTGGCAACTGCGACACCCGGCAAGCGAGGCTTGTAGCGGGAAGGGATCTCCCATGGCGCGATCCTTCCAATCTCTTGCAAGAATGTCCAGGCTGTGCTTTGATCCAGTACGACGCCGTCATATAAATCGAGAGCCCGCAGGATGAGAGCGCCAGACGAGTGAAATCGGGAACCAAGATCGAACAGGTCATAGCTCGCCCACCATTCAAGGTACGACAGGACGTCCATGCTAGGGGGAGACCACTTCGTTTTCGGCAGCTCCACGCCGCGCGACGCCTTGAGGATGCCATGTGATGTCCATTGGCGCATTTTGCGGCTTTGAGAAACAGCCAGCCTTGCTTCAACGACGAATTTGCCAAACGTGATTTTCTCTAGGTCTTTTAGCGTGAGGGGCCTGGAGTACTTGGTCATGGCCTCGGTATATTCGCGGACCATGGCCGCGACATTGTTGATGATGACGGTGTAGTCTTGTGGAAAGACCTCGACTAGGTTATCCGGGCGGTGGCAGTCGCTTGAAGCATTCATGAGACGGAAGCCAATATCTTGGCGATTCATGGCCGTGTGGACGGCGTAGAGAGCGGGGGAAGAGAAGCGACCGGCACGTTTCAGCGACGAGGGCAATAGGGCGTCGGCGATTTCGGACAAACTGAGATACCTGGGATTTTTGGGGAGAGCCAAGCGTGCTCCTGCTTCCTCCAACCTACCCAGATTGGCATCGAATATCGTATCGGCCCTGACCTTGAAGTCGGCCATTTTCTTGATCAGCGCTATCCCTTCCTCTCTAGAAGGGCCTCCAAAATTACGGCGCATGTCTTCCAAGTCTTCCAGCGAGACGTCCTTGGGGATCTTGGCTAAGATCGGTTCCAAGTCAGACAGGCTCGCGAAGTTGGAAACGGTGAAGACGAAGGAAAAGCCCGTGCTGGTGATCCATCTGCCGTTGCTTGCGTAAAAGTGGTTGCAGCCGCTGAAGAAGCCGAGATAGACGCCGAACAGAGGGACACGGGAGCCGAATTGCCTGGGGAAAGTCAGCTCGTGCAATTAACGACAAGTATGATCGGGAGGCGACCTCAGCTCAACCAGATCGCCAGGGTCTCGAGAGTCCAAGCCAACAGCGGCGCCGCCATCATCCTCACTGGCTGGGTCGCCGCCGGAACCATGCGCGTCTTCGCCATTGCTAGGTCGCAGCCGGTCCATTACGGATGAGCCCGTTGCCTGCGTTCGGTTAATGGTGTTTGATATGGTACCATAGACGGACACATCGAGCGGTAAATCCCGGATATCTCCCTGGCCGTTGAGCAAATCCCATTGTTGCAAGCGCTCGCGAATGGGCAGGTTTTGTAGGCGCTCTGCGGAATCGTCCGGGCTCGTCTCCTCAGGCTGGGCATTTGGGATGTTGGTCCTGCCAAGGGACGCAATCGCAGGGGACAGAGACTGCGTCGTCGCCCACTTGCGCAGCGCATTGTGCAAGAATAGGCGGCTGCGATGTGCGCCGGAACCGACTCTGGGCGAGGAATCAGACTGCCCGACGGCCAAGACCTGAGGACTGCCAGATGCGCGAGCCAGACAGCGCCGGCAGACGAAGGGGGGACAGGAACGCGACAGCATGGCGTGCGTTGGTCGGAGCCGGCGCGTGCAGCTTGAGCCAAAGGCTGGAGTCGTATCATAGCTGCTGCGATTTTCCTGGGGAAATTTTCGGCGTCGCGTTGTCACGTGATGGCACAAAAAGACCCTTTCCGGGACAACGGCCATTTTACGCCACGTCCTGGATTCCAGCCAACGCCGACTGCAGTGTCGCAAACAAGTCAAACATCACCAACGTACACGGGCATTGTGCCGCCATGATCTTCGGGAGTCCCTCGCTGCGAGGTCGATGGCCATCTCCCGAGTCTCTCGGTCGCTGGTCTAGCGTGCGGGGCTGCCAAGCCGGCGCCATCTTGCCAAGCAAGAAACCAAGTGATTTTCATAGAGGTCGACGACGGCTGCCAAGGGATTGGTTTGTGCCACGCGCCCATCTCGACGACGAGTTGGCCCCGACGCACATTACTCCGTATGTGTGGGCGCTTCACTTCACCAATACAACGTTGGCGGACACCGCGTATAACAGGCCCCGACTGCGCGAGGGCAATGCCTGCCGCTGAACTACAGTTCGATCGTGTACTGTGCGAAGTACTGCAGCCGGAGCGAGCCGGTCGTGCAAGGTATTACTTCCGAGACTGGCGCCACCCTTACATACAGCATGCGGGCACATGCATGACCATAGTTCTCGGGCCACGGCGAGGGCCATGACACCGCTGTCCGATGATGGCGGCGGCGGGCCTCTTCAGCACCCTTCAGCACTGGGTCGGCATAATCAAGGGCAAGGGCAAAATCCCGAGGCGACCCCCAAGTCACAGACCGGGTGCCGATACGGTCGTGCGCCTCGAGGCAGCACGGACCAAAACAATGAGGGAATCCTCGGTCAGACTCGGTCGAGGCGTGAATAAACAGATGCGTCAACAGAATTATGTCGCTGACGACAAAAGTTTAGGCAGCATTATGTCGGATGCTTGGGCCAACACCAACGTCGGCGCGAGACGCAGGAACAACCAATCCGGCTTTTCAGCCCGCAGGGGGCCGGCCCAAAAGAGCAAGAGATCGACGCGGCAAGGGGCGGCCGCCAACCTGCCCTCGTGTTCACAATTTCGTCTCTCTAAGACGAGAGGGACAACTAACGGATGGCTTGACAGATACTGTACATGGCTCAGAGCAAGGACGGCTCACGAGCCTTCATCTCATTTCACTTCACCAACCCTCAATCTGGGCCAGAAGGGGGCAGAGGCGCCAAAAGGCTTCGAGAGGGGAGGGGAAAGTAAGCGCCGGTTAGGTGATTTCCCATTCATTTCTTGGCCGACAACGAGCGACCCCGGATGACCAAGGGCCAGGAGGCAGGGGGGGTGAAGCTGACCCCTTTTAGTACCGAGCGGCCGGTGGAAATTGCCCACCTACAAGTGCAGGCGGGTAATAATATGGCACCCAACCCAACCTTGTCCACTCTCCCCCTTATTCGCTTGACGCCCTCCGGGCCAGGATCGGACGGACGGCGAACACGGTGGCTCATCAGCCCCCTGTCTCTCTCTCCCCTGCCCTGCAGCACACCAGGTACATGTCTCCCGCCTGCAAAATGGCGGTGGCGGCATGTACCCGCTTGCCGCTTCTCGCGAGCAATCAATCAACTCGACCTGGGCTAAACAACAAAAAGCGCCAACAAGTCCGAACGGCGTCTTGGGCGAGACCCCACATGGGGGCCGCTGCATTACGGTCTACGGGGGAGTTCTTGCAGTCCCTATAATGGGCGGCCATGGTCGTAATATCACCCCATCCCCGTCTATCTTCCACTGCTTCCCCTTCCCTTCCTCTTTTCTTGCACGGATCGCCCATGTCGAGGTCGTAAAGAAGGCTTGTTTTCGCTGCCTTCGTCCCTTCGTTCTCTTCATCGCAGTGTCCCAACTTACCGCTTCACTCTTTCAGCGGGCATTCTTTTCTTCCTCTTCTAACGACGACCCCTGTTTCCAAGAGAAGAACAACCCCCCCAAAAACTACACATCAAGACGACTTGATCCAACATGAAGGGAGGACTTGCTGCCGCAGCCCTGGCGGCCCTGGCTGGCGGCGTCAGTGCTGCTTTCCACGGTCACGGCCACGGCCATCTCTTCGCCAAGAGGAGCAACCAGACGGGCGAGGTCTGCCTGCCGGAATGCACCACCATTTGGTCCGTCGTGACCGGAGAGGCCACCCGTATGTTGTACCCTGAATGATTTACCAAGAGGGACACAAATGATGTCCGGAGCAATGAACGGGAGAGAGACTAGCGTACTGACAGCGCCAATAGTTGTTCCTGGAACTAAGACGACGACGGCCTTCTCTACCGAAACAACCACTATCACCGTCGTGAGCGTGACTCCCGCCTATCAAGCCCCTCCCCAGCAGTCCGCTCCCCAGCAGCCGGCGATCAACGGCGCTCCAGTAACACCTGGTGTCCACACCTTCCCGGCCACCACGATCACCGTCACCGAAGCCACCACCGTGTGCGCTGCCGCGTCAGGCATGGTGACCGCCGGTACTCGCGTTGTCAGCGGTGTCACTACCATTGTCGAGGGCGCCACCAACATAGAGTGCCCTGTCGCAACGGTCTACAACCCAGGAACCTACATCGCCCCCGAGCAGGTTGTCACCGTGACCAAGACCGGGTACGTCTACTACTGCCCCTTGAGCAAGTCGGGCCTGTCCACTTCTACTCCTGCGCCCGCCCCCCAACCCACGGAGGCTGTCCCGCCGCCGCCTCCCGCTTCGACGTACGAGGCCCCCGCTCCCTCCACGGAGGAGGAGGCCCCTCTCCCGTCCGCCGAGGTTCCCGTTATTTCGACTGAGAAGGAGATCCCCGCTGGGCCTGCTGAGGAGAAGGTGCCTGTCACGACTCAGGAGGAGATCCCCGCTGGGCCTGCTGAGGAGAAGGTGCCTGTCACGACTCAGGAGGAGATACCCACTGGGCCTGCTGAAAAGAAGGTGCCCGTTACGACCCATGTAGAGGTCCCCGTTGCCCCGAGCCACAAGCAGACTTCTCCACCTGCCTATTCTCAGCCCGGCCCGGCCCCCAAGCACGGCGACTCTGGAAAACTGGTGAGCGGTAATGACCATTTCGGCATCACTTACACCCCCTACCAGCCGTCCGATGGCAAGTGCAAGTCTTCGGAGCAGGTCGACAAGGACATTTCCGAGCTCAAGAAGGCAGGCTTCACCACAGTCCGCGTCTACTCGACCGACTGCCGCACCCTTGAGAACGTGGGCAATGCCTGCGACAAGTACAAGGTGCAGATGATTGTCGGTGTCTTCGTCAAGGACAAGGGCTGCAGCTATGATGCTCCAGCCATTAAGGAGCAGATTGACGAGCTCTCCAAGTGGAACAAGTGGGGTCTTGTCAGTCTCGTCGTGGTCGGCAATGAGGCCATCATGAACGGCCACTGCAGCCCCCGCCAGCTGCGCGACCTCATCACCACGGTCAAGTCTAAGTGCCCCAGCTACAAGGGCAAGTACACCATCTCGGAGACTCTCAACGTCTGGCAGCGTCCCGATGTCAAGTCGGAGATCTGCGGCGTGGTTGATGTCACGGGCGCCAACATCCACCCCTACTTCAACTCCAACGTGTCGCCCGGCTCGGCCGGTGAGTTTGTCGCCGGTCAGCTCGACCTCCTGTCCAAGATCTGCGGCCACAACGAGGTCATCAACCTGGAGTGCGGCTGGCCCACGCGCGGCAACTGCAACGGCAAGGCTTGCCCCGGCAAGACGCAGCAGGCCGAGGCCATCAAGTCGATCCGCGAGAAGACGGGCAGCAAGACCGTCTTCTTCTCCTACGAGGACGACATGTGGAAGGAGGCCGGCTCGTGCGGCTGTGAGCAGAGCTGGGGCACCGCGGCCTCGTTCAAGACCGGAATTTCCTACTAGTCACGCCCGCATTTGCGTGCGGCATCGTCTTGCGACTCCGCCGTATATAGTCCTGGCGGGATGTATATGCACGAAAGCATCAGCCGGCACCGACGCCCACTACGACATGCTCTCACCCTCGGAGTGGACCACGACCGCAAGGCAGCGGCGGTCCGGCCTGGCTTTTCACCTTCCCGAGGGCAAGGGCCGGAGTGGACGGTGCTTCAGCTCACTCATCACCTCGCTACTTGACACATGAGAGTACCTTGACTGGAGAGCGCGCGTGGATGGGGGCTACCGTCCACCCTTTCCTTTTCCTGTTCTTCTTGGTTACACCGGCTGCTCTCTAGTTTCTCGTAGTGTTTGGTCTGCCGTCAATCGATGAATGCGCTTGTACATGGCGTACGGGCTCCGGGCCAAGGGGGGGGAGCTGGGGTGGGATGTATAGCCCTCCTTGGCCGGTCGCGCCCAGCACATACGGGTCTCTGTCTCTGTCGCTGTACATTTAGCATCTAGCTCATTGCGCTGTAATTTTTAAGTGTCTACCACAGAGCACGGCGTGTCTTGGATCGGGGGTTTCCGGGTGGGCCAGGCTGCCTGTCTTGCCGCCTTGGAGAGCTCCCTCGCCCCCCTGTGCGCCCTCGATGTTCAGCCTCCCTCGTTGGGCACGCAGCACACACGCCGACGCGCTAAAACGCATGGCCCTCTCGGGGAAATAAAGGAAAACCCGCAGACGCACAGCGTCGCCGCAGCCACGTCGCTAGCCCGCGCGCCCCTTTTCCCACGTGGCCGCAGCCCGCAGCGCCTCGCCGTGCTACTAGCCCGTCCTCCCGCCCTGGGCCATGGGCGGTCTTGCACGACCCCCCCCCTTTCTGTTCCGCAAGGGACATCCGATGCGTGTGCGGGGCCTGCCGCGCTCTCCGTCTCCGCACCGCCCCCAGGGCAGGCTGGGAATGAGACCGGACGAACCCAAAAAAAAAAAGGGGGGGGGACAGTATCGAGAAAGATAAGAGAGGAAAACAGGAGAGGAAAAGTAGCGGGAAGAAGAAAGTCCTGGGGAAACTTGCGCCCGCCGACTTCTCCGTCTCTCTAGACGAGGCCGAAAAAGGGGAAAAAGGGAAATCAGAACGAGCACGCTATTCCAGCTCCTCCTCATATCCGTACAGAACTAATTACCACCACCCGCGCTCCCGCGCGCGCCGGTCCAGCGGTGGGAAAAGGCCCGTACGCACACTCGCGCGCGCGCAAAGACCAGCGTCTCGACGCTCTTTCCCATCCGTAGGGCCTGCTTCTTTCCTTTTTTCCGGACCTGTTTCCACCTCTCCGAGGGGGCAGAGGGAGTGCGTGGCGGGAGTGCGGGCGTGAGCGGGAGCCGGTGGAGTAAGGGGCCGTGGCAAAGCGCGAGCGAGCGAAGAAGAGAGGCGGGCGAGACGGCCTCTCACCGACGGTCCGAAAAATCGCGAGCCCGCCCGCCGTCTCTCGTGCTCGGAAAAACTTGGCGCCGTTGAGCGCTGCTCCCGTATCAAGACAGCGTAAGCGCGCGCGTGCCTCTACAGGCCCAAGGCAGGCTGAAAGTCACCAGAAAAACAATACGTACTCACCAAGAAACCCTCGCTCTCCATCTCACTCCCACGTTGGCATCGACATGGGACTCACGGGTTTTCACGGCACGGGCCAAGGGGGGAAGGGGGGTAACAAACCAACGGCATTGAGTGCCGTTGGTCCACTGCACCCATTTGTATGTACCGAGTACTGTATGCAAACTCATCAGTCCCGGCGCCATCTTCAAGCCCTTCCGTCATGCCATGACCGCCAACCAATCAATCATGGACCCAAGACATAGCTTCCCCCTGTTTTGACCGCCGTCATGCAGAGTGAAGAGAACTGGAAACACCTCATCATGCCCCGGTCTGCTGCCCGACCGCCGTGGCGAGGCTAAAGCCGCTCACAAGCCACGGGCCACAACAAGTAAAAGAACAAAAGGAACATCATCGTCCACGATGGCCTGTGGCGTCTCGGACATGGGAATAGAAGTAAGAATAAGAGAAACATAGCGCAACGTGACCCCACCATCCAGCACGGGTGTGCCGTGTTTCAAACGCAATCATCCAGCGAAAACGTCGGGAGAGTCGATAAGTCTGCTCCGCTATGGCCAAGATAGGAGTGGAACGGGTGGGCAGGCCGCCACGCTTGCCACGATAATCCAAAAGGAGAAGTGAAAAAGAACAGCCATTGTCTTGGTCAACGTATATATGTATGTGCCGAGCAGAGGGGACACCGTCAGAGATTCTTCGCCGAGGTAAAGGGAGTTGTGTTCGCGAGTGGCCGGTGAGCGCGAGGGCCGAAGCTCCAGGATGAGGAGGGACGTCATGTCGAGATCGGGACGCGGCCAAGGGATTGACGGCGATCCTTAGAATGGCTCGGGACCCTCGAGCAGCGTCGGCCGACGGTTGCGCGACCACTCATCGGGCCACAGCCCGTCTTGGCCGCCGTCGGCGAGCCAGGGGCGGGACTGCCGCCAGGCAATGCCCGGCGTCGGGTCGGGTCCGCCCCCGCAGCGCTCGAGCTGCAGGAGGCCGCCGCGGTGAGCGTCACAGCAGAGCACGTTCAGGTCCTGCCCATCGTTGGCAAATGCGAGGCCGCCAATCTCGCTAAACACATCGATCGTCTGCTTGCTGGAGAAGGTCTGGGCGTCGATCAGGTTGATGAAGTCGGCCTCTTCGGCCGCAGCCAGGATCGGCCGCCCGCTTCCCAGTGGCGAGAAGCGCAAGCCACGGACGCCCGCCATCTCGCTCCTAATGGTGCACAGCGGCGTGCTCACGCCGCTCGAGTTGCACCACCGCCGGGCGTCCCAAATCTTGACGGCCTTGTCCTGGAAGCCCGTTGCCACCGTCCAGCCGTCGTCGGACCAGTCGCAGGCGAAGCCGTAGTCCTGATGACCCGTGAGCTCCTGCAGCGTCTCCCCCGTGTCCGCGTCGATGATGATAGCCTTGGGATGGTCGCCGACCAACACCCGCAGCCGCCGGTCGGGAGAAAAGGCCGAGCAGTTGAGGGCGAAGCCGTACATGGTCTGCGATATTAGCTTTTCCGTCTCAATGTCCATGACGCGGAAGCCCCGGTCGTTACTGGCAATGCTGGCCACCGGCCTTGCAGACCGCCGCGGCGTGTGAATCCTCAAATGGTTGGTGATGCCATCGGGCGAGATCTGCCCTTCGGAGAAGCCCTTGGCCTCCTCCGAGTCGAGCGACTGGATGCAGTAATCGCCGTTGAAGGTGCCACCCATCAGAATGCCATGGGCGGCGTCCAGGGTGGATATAACGCCGCCCATGGCAGGGAACTCGCGCAGGTTCAGGGCCAAGTCGGTCTCTTTCGAGGCCAGGTTCATCCTGGTGATGCCGTTGGGACTCGAGTAGTACGCCTGTGTCCGAGACGGGCATGCGAGCACGCTTCGCAGTTGAAAATGAGCAAGGCTGACGTCGGGGCGAAAGGTCATCTTCCTGAAGCGGAAGAAGCTGTCTTTGGAGGCGATGCGACGATCCTGAGGTCGCTATTGGCAGGATATTACAAGTCAGCAACCGCTCGCCCGCGCCGCCGGCGACGGAGGGGCCCAGTGCCACTTACACAGTTGTCGGATCCTGCCCGGTTCACGTAGTTCTTGTACGTGCGCCGGCGCCTGATCCTGGCGTCCTCGCGGGTCGTCTCCATGGAGGTCCAGTCCAAGCCCTGAAAATCGCAGTCATCCCCTCTGAGATGTGCGTACGTGACGTTCTGGACCGTGGCGCGAGCCTGCTTGTATAGTTGGTGCAGGTGCGGCGGCCGTGGTCTCGTCACCGAGGAGAAGCAGCCTCGGTGAGCCCAGTCGCGGAGAAAGTCGACGAGGCCGAGATTCTCGGAGCCGAGGATGGCCGGGTTCGGATTGCTGGGCTGAAGGGGGGGAAGGGGATCGACGAAGTCGTCGAGGAAGGGAGGCTGGGTCGTAAAGCCCTCGACAGGCTCTTGATGTGGGACGTTGTCGGCCAGCATGGGCGTCGGCGGGTTGTTGGCCCAAGGAGGGGCCGGGAACTCATCATCCATGATCAATGCAGAGACGTCGTGCGGGGTGTGCAGCGCAAGGGAGAAGAGGGATAGCAGATGGCTGTTGTGTTCTTGGGTACTGGGATAGAGGGCAGGAGGCTGGTCATTATGGTCGTCGTCGTCGTCGTCGGTATACCAGTCTTGGGCGTCGGCTCCATGCGAGTCGAGGTCAAAGTCGGGATCGAGGCCGAGGGGGTTGGCAGAGGTGAAGAGGGCGGTTGCGACAACGATGTCGTCCAATGGAGCACCTCCGTCACTGTCGCTCATGTCCAGGTCGTGATCCGACGGGACAGAAAGGTGCTGCAGGTAGTGTGCGGGATCGTGGCTCGAGTCGGAGTCGGTGTCGGTGTCGGAGTCGGTGTCGGTGTCGGAGTTGGAGTGGTAGTCGTAGTCGTAGTCGTAGTCGTAGTCGTAGTCGTAGTCGTAGTCGTAGCCGTCGTCGGATGCTTTGCAGGCGAAGTCGTCGGCGTCGTCGGGTTGGAGAGGGTCGCCGCGCGGGATCGCCTGGCCATCACCGCCGGGTCGAGAATCCGGCACGGGGGCGGCCTCGGTTAGGCAACGAGAGCCGTCTTCGGCCTCGCCGTCGTTGTCGCGATGGGCCCCGGCGTCTGCTGATGGGGGGGACAAGGAGGAGACGGCGGCGCTGAGGTCCCAGTGACGAGGTGCTTGAACGTCATGCTGCGGCAGGCGGCCGTCTCTGTCGTCGACGTCGTCGCGAGGCCAGTCCGGCGGGGACGGCGGAGGTCGCATGGCTCGAGTGGCCAGCGACAAGGGGGGGAGGCGGCTGCTGCGCCTGTGTCGCGATCTAGGAGCGACGTCTTGACCCTGTCTGCAGTCCAGCGTTGCAGGGCTCTGCCGGGCGAGGAGCCTGTGGTGCAGGCTGGAGCGTGCGGTAGCAGAAGCAGGAAGCTACTGCTGCTAGTCGGACCGGATCTGTCATGGACAGCATGTACGGCGTGCGCTAGATGGGGTTGCTTTTCCCCCCAAGACCCGATACGTTGTTTTCGACCCTCTTTTTTTTCTTGTTCCTCCTCGACCCAGTGCCGCGGGTGTTATTTATCTTTCTGGGGTTTGTGTGTGTGTGGTGGTGGCTTCTTTTCTTTTCCCGACCTTTTTTTTTGGGGCCTTTCGTCGTGGCTTGAGCGCGGATTCGAAATTGCTTTTGCCAGCTATGTTAAGGATCGAGACGTCAGAAAAAGGAGGGGGATGAAAGAGAGGAGGGGGGGGGGTGCGTGTCTAGAAGGCGCACACAACTGTATGTGGTATATGTGCTGCTCGATGGCGGGGGATCAGACACAGACGGCAGGCAGGCGGAACTGGCTGGGACTGGCTGGGCCTTGAAGGTGTGGGGAGATTGCGAGTGGGATGGATGGACGTTTGGTTGGGGGTTCGGTGCGTGCAAGCGAGGAACTCGTGTTGATAAGTCGGAGGAGTGACGGTCATGAGTTGGTGTTCCTTGGACCGGGCCGGGGTTTGGAAGGGAGATGGGGGTAATTAGTGAAGAGAGAGAGAGAGAGAGAGGGAGAGGCGGATATGCGGATGCCTTATGTCAACTCCTGCTGCCTTGCCAAAGTTTCCTCGGCCGCTGTGGCCTGCCTCCTGGCCGCCTGTAAGCCGACCTCCATCAGCGAACCCAGCACCGAAGTCCAGCAATGAAGTCCAGCACTGAAGGCCTCATCGCAGCCGCATGCCAATTCATCACGACGCCTAACACATCCGTACAGTACACGCCGATGCACCCCGTTCTGCCTACTTACTAACCTTTGGGAGCAACAAGACCCCCCTTGCGTTGGTGCAGGTTGGGACGCCTGCTCGCAGTCTTTTTTTTTCTCCGACCCTGACGCAACACCTGCAACAACGTTGTCGAAGACAAACAAAAAAAAAGGAGGGAGGGGGTGGAGGGAATTTCGCTCCCGTGTTTGTTCGCGACATGTTTCTCCTCTTGTCATCATCGTCTCATCGTCCTTGCTGTGCAGAGAGAGTGACAGGCGTAGTGGGAAATGGCCGGCCGGGTTCTTGCTTCTATTCTCGTGCACTGCTTGGGGCGTGTTTATTCCGTCTGCTTTCTAGAAAGGCCCCGGCCATTGGTTAGCGCGCCTGCTTGTCAGGCCTGTGATGCGTCTAGCAGCTTCTGCCCGTCCATGCACCCGCCGCCAGCCGCCGTCAAGCTCCCCCAGGCCCTGTCCCCCCTCAGTGCCCCCTCTCAGTGCCCCCTCTCAGTGGCCCCCCCAGATCAAACACCAACATAGCCTGTACCCCAAAGACGCCATCCACAGCCAGGCCTCTACTCTCTCTGCACACGACACGTGTATCTCGATGCCCGCATGCATGCACTCCGAAAAAAATTTGGCTCTGTGGACGAATTCCAAAGCTGTCTGTATCCGTATGTACATGCAACAGCACGTAATTACAACAGTGTACTGTATGTACATACATACGACAGACAACAGTAATACAGGCGTGGCGCTCCTCGTCGTGATACCGGCCAGCCGCCTTGGCGACGCTACGCCACGAACCCTCCAGGCACCCAACCCACTGTTTCTTCCTCTGCTCAGTGGCACGCACCCCAACTGGCCCCAATTTTCCCTCTCACCGGTCCGCTTGTCTTTTATGACAGATGATTGATCTGTTCCTCTTTCTTCTCTTCTCTGCCCCTTCTCTGCCCCTTCTCTGCCCACCTGCCCTCCTTCGCCCACCACTCACTCACCAAAGTCCGGAGGCGGCGGAGCCGCGTCGCGTCTCGGCACCTGTTCACAAGCGCCACAGCTGCTCCTTGGTGTAAAAATGCCAACATCATCCGTCTCATCGGCCCTCGCTCACCCGGCCGGCACGCGTGGCAAACAATGTGCATGCATACATACCTTTGAATCAAGGTACAGTAGGTAGTTTGGCCTTTGCTCGTCCTACTGTACACGACCTGGCCTCCAGTTACTATTAGTTAGTTATAGCTTCTTTCCCCTGGCAATAATGCACAGCTTGGCATGTGTGTGTGTGTGTGTGCGGTGTGCGTGTGTGTGTGTGTGTGTGTGTGTGTGTGTGTGTGTGTGTACAGTACGTGTGGTGTCTGTGTTCGTGTCTGTGTCTGTGTCTGTTTCTGTGTCTGTGTCTGTGTCTATGTCTGTGTGCGTGTGCGTGTGCGTGTGCGTGTGCGTCCGCGTCCGCGTCCGCGTCCGTCCAAGTCGTCCGTCGTCTGGAATCACCACCGCCCTCCTCCAGCTAGCCGTTGCATCTGTACATACATACAGTAATACTGCACATACACACATATCCGTACATACGCAGACAAAGTCGATCCACTGTCACTCTCCTCCACCTCACTCGCCCACATCCCGCCTCGCAACTTTGCAAATTGCACCCCCAATCCTCAGCCTGCCCCTGTCACATCCGCACATGTGATACATCACCGAGCATATCCCTCTCCCTTTTGACTGCTGTATCATCCTTTTCATGCCCTCTTCTCTAGCTCTCTCTTCGCTCCCCCTCTCTCTCTCTCTCAACTCCTCGTTGCGCCCTGCTCACCCCCTCCACAACCCGTCCATCGTCTGCATCCCGCCCACCCCCAGCCCCTCACCGGTCCCGCATCCTGTCCGCCACCTCTCCCTTCTTCCAAAATGTCACGTCTTCCTGTTGCCCCTTAGCCGACTTCTCCGCATATACCTTGCCTCGTTATATCTCTCTGCCTGTCCCAGTTTCACTAGTGCTCTTGAACGACCCATCATCATGACGGCCTAGGCCAACCTGCCCGCTGACCCTCCGCACACGGAACCCACTCGGCAAACCACGATGCCGTCGGCTATCAGAACTTTGCCCACGACCTCCCCGCTGACACGCCATTTACTACTCGTCACTGCTCCCTCGTCTCTCATCACCTCTCACCCCGTCGCCGGGCCATGGTATATATGTGTGGACGGCCGAAAGCACCAAGAGGGGTGCCAAGGGCCGAAAAAGTAATGAGTCCTTGCTGGGCTGCAAGAGAACGAGGCCCCTTCGACCGGGTGAATGCTTTTCTTTTTCCTCCGAGCACAGGTGACAGCGGGTGAGAGAGGCTCCTACCTCGGCTCCTACCCTCGGCTCCACTGGCATGCCATCATGCTCCCCTCGGTCCTCGCATCCCCGCCGAGCATGGAATCCTGCTTGCACACGCCGGCGCCCCGTTGCGTCTCCTCTTCTTGTCCTTGCGACAGTCCGTCTTCACGCCTCCCAACGCAGCATCCCCGCCCTGTACGCAACGCACATGCCTTCCTGCCGCCACCCTGATGCCCCAACTCCATGGGCCTCGACCCGCAGATGGCCACGTCCTCGAGCCTGCGCCCCCGCCGCTCGCCCTTTACCACTTGTTTCCGAGTCGCCTCTCCGCTTTAAGCTTGATCAGGTGGCCCAATGCCTCTTGCAGGGGAATGAGCTCTCCCTTGCTCTGCGTGCTCTGGTCATCGCGGTTTCGAATGTTGACCGTGCGTGACTTGGCCTCCTCGCCCCCCACGACTGTCCATCATCGTCAGCAAAGGGCCCTGGACGGCAATCACAAACCAAGCTTACCGAATATGAAGTTGTACTGCTCGAGCTGCCCCGTGCGAATCTTCTTCTGGAACGTGTTGCTGCTCAAGTCGACGTCGGCAAACAGCCCCTCGTCGTGGAAAATCTTTTGCACCTCCTGCGCGTAGTCGTTGACGCCCGGCATGACGGGGACCACGAGGACTTGACGCGGACTGAGCCAAAAGGGCCACTTCCCAGCAAAGTGCTCCGTGAGAATCCCAATCATGCGCTCGAAGCTCCCCAGCACCGCTCGGTGAATCATGACGGGCCGCGCGTACCCCATGGGCAGGTCAGGGTCGTCGGACGTCGTGGCGGCCCCGCTGTCGTCCTTTGCCGCCACGTATCGAAGCTTGAATCGGCGTGGGAGGTTAAAGTCCAGCTGGATGGTGCCGCACTGGTGGTCTCGCTTGAGAGCGTCGTACACGGTAATGTCGATCTTGGGGCCGTAGAAGGCGCCGTCACCGGGGTTCTCTTCCCACTTGGCGCCAATTCTCTGCGTAAACGAGTCGAGCGCGACCTTGAGTTTGGCTTCGGCCATGTCCCACAGCGCAATCTCGCCAATGTACTTTTCGGGACGCGTCGAAAGCTTCAGCTTGAAGTTGAAGCCAAAGATCCCATATACGCCGTACAAGAAGTCAAAGGCGCCCTCGATTTCCGCTCGGATCTATACCCATGTCAGTCCAGCCGCCTCATCCACCTTTCGAATCGACGAACCTGATCAAGCGTGCAAAAGATGTGGGCGTCATCTTGCTGGAATCGGCGCACGCGGGTGAGGCCCGACAGCGCGCCAGAGAACTCGTTGCGGTGAAGCACGCCAAAGTCGGCCATGCGCCAGGGCAGCTCGCGATAGGTGACGTCGGAGTGGGCAAAGATCTTGCAGTGGCCGGGGCAATTCATGGGCTTCAGGCCAAACTTTTCCTTTTCGACCTCAAAGGTGAACATGTTCTCCTCGTAGTGGTTCCAGTGGCCCGACACTTTCCACAGATCGGCCTTGAACATATTTGGGGACATGACCTCGACGAAGCCGCGCTTCTGGTATTCACGCTTCATCAGCTCCATCAGCGAGTTGTAGATCCTCGTGCCGTGTGGCAGCCAGAATGTGGAACCAGGAGACATCTCATCCCAGAAGAAGAGTTTCTGCTCTTGGCCAATCTTGCGGTGGTTGCGCTTGGCGGCCTCGGCGAGGAACGTCTTGTACTCTTCGAGTTGCTTCTTGTCGGGGAATGCAATGCCAGCGATGCGCTGGACAGATTCGTTTTTGCTATCACCGAGCCAGTAGGCAGCCGAGTTCTATTCATGTTAGAGCAAGGCCGGCGACATGGGTGTCGACCGCAACGTACCCTCAGAACGGAAAAAGCCTTGATGTTTCCCGTGTGAGGCACATGAGGCCCTCGGCACAGGTCGATGAGGGGTCCACATCGGTATACCGTGCTCTTGGTGCCCTCGGGCACACGCTGGTTGATGAAGTATTCCTTATACTTGCTGTACTTGAACATTTCCAGGAGCTCGTCTTTGGTCATCTCGAGGCGCTCAAAGGGTTGCTTTTCTTTGATGATGGAGTTGGATAGAGTCTCCAGAGCCTTCTTGTCCTCGTCGGCAATCACGGCACTGCATATCGATCAGTACAGACAGGATAAGACCCTTTGGTCGTGGAGACAAGCGTACCCTTCCATCTTGGCCATGTCATAGTAGAAACCCGGGGGATCCTCAGTCGGGGGGCCGTTGCAGAGGTAGCAGCCGAACCGTTTCTCTGCCGCCTCGCCTAGAATGTGGGCCGAGGAATGCCAGAAGACCTTCTTGCCTGCTCCAGGAGTCAGCCACACCGGCGTAAACGGCCACTAGTCAAGAATCACATACCCTCTTTATCCTCAAAGTCGATGAGCTCCAGTTTGCAACTCTTCTCCAGCGGCCGAGTGAGGTCCCAGAGTTCTCCGTCGACCCTGGAGATGACTGTTCGCTCAAGCAGGGATTTCGAAATCCCCTTTGCAATTGCGCCGGGCGTGGTCTCCCACGAGGTTCCCTTTTCCTCCTTGCCATTGGGAAGGGAAATGGTAATCTCCTCACGCGGCTTGGCTGTTGACGCCCGTCAGTCGGGCCCCCGAGCGTAGAGGGCGAATCGGGACTACGCACCGGCAATCTCGGCGTCTTGTCGAGCCTTGACCTTGTCGAAAATGTCAAGCCGGTGCTTGATGAAGTCGGGGGGTGTTGGGAGCTATCACAGTCTCAGCACAATGGCACGGCAAAGCAGAGGAGGAGAGTGTGCTTTGCGAACCTCGAGCCCCGCGTTCTTGGGGCCTTTGGCGCCCTTGTCCTTGGGCTGCTTCGCGGGTCGCGACGGGAGGCTCTGCGCGGGAGCGCTCTCCGCCGCCTTGGAGGCATCGGCTTGTTCAGAAGACGACATGGTGAGGATTCTTGCTTCTGGGTTGGAGTGAGGAAAAGTCGCTGCCTCTCCCCGCCAGACGTGGAGGGGCAGAAGTGCCCGACCCTTATTAAAGTGCACAAGGTGGGGTTGACTCAACGGGTACTTGTTACTGTACTGTGGTTATGCGCATTACTGAGTACCTACCTACCTACCCATCGGCCAGCATGAATCGGCCGTGTCTGAATCGAATCACACAGCAGACGGCAGATCCTCGGGTTCGCACGACGACGGCGGCCTGCTTCTCTTGCTCGTCTTCGGACTCAACATGTTGGAGGAGCAGAATTCCCATACGTAAGCCCAAACTCTTTGATATCGAGGCCAGCTCGGTAAGCCAATTAACCTCCAGAGCGCCAGTATCGAATGCGACGGGTATCGGCGCCATATCCCAAGTCCCAGGCCTCATGTTGCAGAGGGGGGGGGGCAATAACAAGAAAAGAAAGAGGGAAGGAAAAGAGTCGCCGATTCCATGCAGTTCCAAAATGAGAGTCACCACCTCTAGCCCTCATAGGCCGTACCTCGTGACGCACTCCGCCCTGTGCGTTTCCAGACAGTCCAACGCGCAGACCCTCGTCCCACACTTCATGCACCGCACTCGCCCCCAATAACCGCACACCTCGCAAAAGGCTCTTGTTGGATAAAAGTCGTCCCACGTCCCTCGGGCCTCCAGATAGGTTAGCGGCGGATGAGCCAGCAGTTTCCGTAGCTCCTCGTCCGAAGGTATCTCGGGCACGCGCGACACGAGCAACGGGTTGCTGTCTTCGGGGTGAGCGGCCGGCGCGGGTCGGCACGGCGGCAGGAGGATGGGGGCGGCGGACTCGGCGTCAACCATGGGCGTGTCTTCGGCCTTGGGTGGCTGTTTGGCGGGCGCCTCCTTCTTGCCCGGCGCCGGGCGCTTGTTACTGCTCGGCCCAGAGCCGCCCGGTCTGGTGTTGCCGCTGTGAGCGTTTGAGGCGGCGTCTGCAAGCGCTTGCATGGCGAGGAAGTCGTCGAGGTGGTTCGCAAACGTCTTTTGCGACTGCATGATCTTGCGCACGTTGGGCGTGTACTTGACATGGGCTTCTCCCGTCAGTGTCCGATTGCCTCGAGTTCACCCGACATATCCCACGTACCTCTTCCGCTCTTGACAGACAGCGGAATCGAGCTATCCCTGCCGCCATCTCGGTCCAGCGCCTCGACTTCCTTACGCGCCTTGGCCTCCTGCCGCGCAGAGAGGTCTCCGAGACTGAGGCCAACCCCGGGGGCGTTGCGGGCTCGTTTGCGGTTCGCAGGCTGAATGCCGGCCGAGCCGGGATTTGGACCCGTGTCTGGAACGTAGGCCCAGCCCGGCGCGGCCGTCGTCTTGCCGCCGGCGAGCTCGATGACGCCAAAACTGTTCATCGTCTAGACTTTGCGAGTGGTTTGAGAGCTAGAGAGCGCGCGACCGCGGGGCAGGCATAGGCGGTGACGGGTCTGTGATAGCTCCACCCGTGGGGTAGAATGCTAGAGGATACTCGATTGCCGTTACCGGATAATTAAAGACCCATGCTTGCACCCGAAGGGTTTGTGGCTCGGCTTACTAACTGCTGGTAGATCATTCTCTCGGCTCACTCAGTCCTTGAATTCAATGGAGCGGAGCAGGTAGCTCCAGATCGTCTATCCGGAACTACTGGCAAAATGCTAATGCCGTTTCTTCAGTCATCAAAGCATCAAGTCGACAAGGTCAGCCGCCAGCCGTTCAAGCATCAACAGACATTACGGTATATAGCTCCTCCCAGGCAGGCGCACCTCACATGTCCTCTCCAACACTGGCTAATAAGTCCTTAGGCTCAGTAATGCAAGCACCCCCGGCCGGGTCCCGGAAAAATCCGCAACTGCCACAGCTCAATACGCTAGCTCCCTCTAGCCACACGTAGCTCCAGCCCACGGCGCCCAGGTACAGACAGCCCGACTTCCAACCTTCTTGTCCCTCCCCAAACCTCGGCCACACGCAACCTCGCCACCACCAACAACAACAATATCCACCATGCCCGGCGCCGCGAGATTCCTCCTCCGAGCCGCCGGCAGCCGCACCCTCCTAGCCGCGCCTCGCCCCTTCCACACCTCGATGCCGCGGCGCATGCCCGACGCCGCCGCCGCCGCCGCCGCCGCCCCCCTGCCGCGTCGCAAGCCCATGGGCGCTTTCCGAGGAGGGTGAGTCTCGTCATCGTCCGTTTTGGTCCCTGTGTGTCCCGTGTGCCGTGTGCTGCTGGGATTGGCAGGGAGAGAGGGCACGGAAAAGGCGCAGACGGGATATCATCCGCTGACACGATGCGGCCCCGTCGGTGATGCCTAGGCTCTTCGGCTTCCTCTTCGGCTGCGTCCTCTCCGGCGGCGCCGTCTACAGCTATCTCCTCCAAGAATACAAGGCCTCCAACGACCTTCTCACCGAGGATATATACGTATGCCTTCTCCCCTTTGCGAGAGACAGGGCTGAGGCCTCGGAATGCGTCGTCGTCTCTGAGCTGACAGCCGCCACAGACTCTGCAAGCTTCCGTCACCCGCTTGGCCAACTACGTCAAGACACTCGAGGACAAGACCCAGGGCAAGAAGTGAGGGACATTGAGAGTGTGGTTTGAAGGGTCGGGTGATGCAGCTGGCCAACAAAAACCATGCCAGCTGTCGCAGGCGATTCTGCGGCTCAGGACGGAGTGGTGATCACGCATGCCACTAGTTTTGCTATACCTGTAACAACACATCGGCGGGGAAGGGGGAGTCTTGCTCCAATGGCATCGCGAGGTGTAAAATGAACTATATAACTCGACGTCATCGTCACGGCTGGCTCTTTTAACCCGCAGCATAGGCACCGAGGCTGATCGTCAAAGAAATTCCATGCTCTCGCGGAAACTATGAAACCTCAGATAGTCAAATGAGCCGCATTTCCACGGCTGCCAAATCATCACAGCATGGCCTTTATTATGGCCTTGATCCCATACACCCTTGGTCCAGTTTACAGCTCGTCGTGGTCTTCCTCCGTCTCCTCCTTGTCCTTCTTCTCTTCCTTGTCCTTCGGGGTAGCGGCAGGAGCAGCCTCCTCGGTGCTCTCCTCCTTGATGGTGATGCCAGCCTTGTACTTGCCGTTCTCCTTGATGAACTCGGCGAGATCCTCGATGGTTCGGGAGCCACTGTAGGTAACAGGATCCGTCTTGCCGCCAGCCGGGAAAAGCTTGATGGTAGGGAAGCCAGAAATGTCGTCGGGGACGTCGTTGGCGGTGGCGTCGACCTTGGCAATAACAACCTTGTCCTTGAACTCGCTTGAGGCGTAGTGGGAGGCGAGCTGCTCGTACTTGGGGGCCAGAGCCTTGCAGTGGCCGCACCACGGAGCGTAGTACTCGATCAAGACGTCCTTGTCCTCGTCGAGAACCACCTTTTCGTAGTTATGGGCGACGACGACGACAACGTCGCCTTCTTGCTTGGTGGGTATGGGTTCCGACTTGATGCTGGGCTCAATCTTGCCGGCGACGTACTCCTCGACAAACTTAGCAACGTTGTCGTGACTAAGCTCCTTCTCCTGGTCAAAGGGGTACTTCTTGTTGTTGGTAATGTCTTGGATGGCGAAGCAAGGGAACTTGTCCGTCTTGAGGTTTAGGTTGCCGGCGTGAGCACCAAATTGCTTGGCGTCAATGGTGGCGAAGTTGATCTTGCCCTTGTGCTTCTTAGCAATGGGCTTGAAGGCTTGACCAAGGCTGTCACGCTCCTCCTCGGTCTCGGCGAAGATATAGGCCAGGGGAACGCCGGCAGACATGTAGTCAGAGTAGGTCTCGGGGCCGACCTCACCAACCAGGGGAGTGGCGGCCGTCTTGGCGAAAGAGGTGATGGCGTCGACGTCAAACTTTTTCTCAAATTTGTTCTTACCCTCGTCAAAGGTCTTATAGAGGACAATGGAGGGGAACTTGACGCCTTCGGCCTCGGCAACCGCCGCGTCGTTTGTGGCGCCGAACATATACACATTGCGGAGCGACGAGGCGACAGAGGTGAAGGTCTCGTTGGACGTCTTGTCATCGGCTGCGAAGTAGCCGACCAAGACGACATCGTCGCCCTTCTTGAAATCTTCGTGGGTTTCCTTGGTCAAGATGGAGACGGGAGGCAGGGCCTGCTTGATCATGTAGGATTTTATGCTGCGGAGTAGTAGTTAGCGGCGGCGGCATGCCTTGTGTGGGTTTGGTCAGGGTGGTGAGACTCACGAATCAGCCTTGCGCTGGCCCTCGTATGGCTGGACATTGTCGAGGCCCTGGAAGACCTTGAGGGTGGGATAGCCCTCAACGTCATACTTTTGGCACAGATCGGCCTCCTCGGTGCAGTCGACCTTGACCAGCTTAATGCCCTTTTCGATGAGGTCGTTGGCAGCAATCTCGTATTCGGGGGCAAGGGCCTTGCAGTGTCCGCACCAGGGAGCGTAGACTAAAGGGCAGGGAGAGTGTCAGCAAGCGGATTGTCTGTGGAAGACATGGGCAACCCACACTCGGCCAAGACAAGCTTGACATCGCTGGCGGAGAAGAAGTCATCAAACGTCTTGCCCGTCAGCTGGGTGACGTTTGACGACTCGGCCGTGGCGATGCCGGCGAGGGCGGCCGCGAGACCCAGGGCAACGCGCTTCTGATACATGGCGAGCGGTGGCTTTGGTCGCTCGCTGAGGAATCAATCGTTGGGCTTGGGGGGGGATTGGTTGGATAAGAAGAAGCCTGATGAACGAGCCCAGCAACCGAGCAGAGGGTGGATTGGCGGGAGGAGGAAAGCTGTGACGGAGGGAAGAGACGGGATAGGGGAGTTTTGTACCTTGTTGCTTTGGGTGGCGCCTCAATTGGACAAGTGTCCCTATTTTTTTTTCCTCAGGTACTGTGGCAGGTACCGCGGCAGGTACTGCTAGCAGTACGGCTCGAGACAGGGTCCAATGCTATACCCCCCGATGTGCGCCTGATCCACCGCCGCTGATTCCCCGCCTCCCAGCCCGCCTGGCTGCCACGAGCGCCAGCCAAGAGGTGGGCATTAGCGCCGCCTAGGTCTAGCGCTCTTACCTGCAGCGCCTCCTTCTGGATTCTTGCTCCCTCCACCTACTTATCGTGCTTGGTATCCGTACTCTCGCCATGTCTGGGAATAAAAGGGGGGAGGCGTTGAGCAGTGGGCTTCTAGGTGCAACTCTGTCTACAACTACTAAGGGTACGGAGTACCTACCTACCCAGGTACCGTGGTCTGGCCTGACGGAGGGTGAACCCCGAGGTGCTCAGAGGGTGGTAAGACAAGCAGCTACTATCCGCTAGCACCATCACCTCATCCGAGGGGACACGCTGTCAACTTACCCAGCAAAGCCCTTCGTTCAGGTACGGGTACAGTACGAGTAATATCAACCGAGGGCTGTGCTTATGGCTGTGCTTATGGCTGTGCTTATGCCTTGAAGCATACCAGTCATTGCCTGGCGACAGATACCCGCATCGTTTGATGCATCACCCTCTGTCCCCTAGTCAGCATCTGACAAATCGAGCTGTAAATCATGAATTACCTGCGGTAATCTGTCCTGACTCCCCATGCTCGTACAGTAGTAGTACATGACGCATTATCGCGATTGCTAGTTCATATTCATCAACATCTTCCAACGCCTTCTCCCCCTTCTCACTCCCCGGATTGGGACTCCAGCTCCAGCGGCGACTCAGTTAGGCTGACTCGGGTGCCAGTAAATGCCATGACTCTACCGATGCGCGCCTGCGGATGCACACATCGGACGCGAGCTCGGCGCTATCTGGACGAACGTCTGAACAAGACCGAGTCGACATGTCGTGACGGGGCGCCAAGAGCGGCTCTGAAGCCGGGGCCGTGCTCGATCCCGGTAGCCGGGACCCGCGCCTCCACCCAGACGCGGTTAAAGGAACAGGTGCGAAAGGCCACCACGGAGCACGCACAGTGGTTTTGCGGGCAATAGTGCGTGCACCACGGAGTACAGGGTAGCCGCGCGCCGTTGAACCATGCCAGCTGGGGTCCGAAAACGTTGACGCCATCCTGGCCGGCTACACGTCCCACCACAGCAAACATCAAGCGTGCAGATTCCTTGGAGGCAAGATCAATCGTCTTTTGTACAGTACAAAGGGGCCTTTCAAGGAGCCCACGCCGGTCACGCCAGGCGCAATCCACCAGACGTCTCGCGTCACGTCCTCTTGCTCCCCAACTCTAGTTGCGCAGAAAACCACCAAGTACACCCTCGCGGTGGGAGGGAGTCAAAATCTAGCAAATCGGTCCAAGTCTACATTGCTCGCCTTGCCCGCCCGGACACGTGTAATCGCGGGCTCTCCTCGCCGCTCGCTCTTCGATCAGACAGTCAATCGCCGAATTTAGTTCGACTCGTCCCAGGTGGGCTTCATGGTCCATCGCTGGTTCTCGGTGCCCTCGGCAAAGGGGACTCCGAGCTCAAACAGCTTGGTGACGACGGTCGAAAAGTCCTTGAAGAAGGCGTCGTTGTCCTTGGCGTACTTTTCCGTAAAGGGCTTGAATTTCTTGTCCTGGACCAGCACCATGTCGGTCGGCAGCATCATGAGCGTCTTGGTAGTCTTGTCCTCGTACTGCTTGGGGCCGTTCCACTTCTTCCACTGCCACTTCTCTTCCACGAGCAGGCGGTAATAGTCGTTGGTCAGGATGGTCGGGGAAAAGGTCCAGGGACCGTCGAAGCCAGATCGGTCCGTGTGGCAGCGGCCCAGGGCGTGGGCGCCGGACAGGGCGACAATCTCCTGGTCGTTGAAGCCCATGCGGTTGAAGATGTTGCGGAGGTGGTCGGCACCCTTTGTGGCGTCAGGCAGGCGGCCGTCGGGAGTGCAGGCCGACACGTCTCTATCGCTGCGGCCGGGACGGTAGGGGACGATGGGGCCCTGCATCTCCTGAATGGCGCAGACGCCGCCGAGGATCCAGAGATCCGAGTATGTGATCCAGGGGAACTTGGCTGTCAGGGATAAACAGTCAGCTTCCCGAATCAACGGCCGGCAAAACGACGAAAGAAGTGGAGGAGGAAGCCAAGGGGTATAGAGGACTCACCCTTGACGGGCTGGAGAAAGTCCCGGGCGGCAATGAGACCGGCATTGGCGCCGTGGTCAGACTCGGGAGCAAAGCGCATGGTGGCGCCGTTGCTGCCGCCCGTGCCGGTGGCCTTGTCAAAGGTGCCGCTGGCGTGCCAGGCGAGACGCAGCAGGACGGGCCCGAAGCTGCCGTCGTCGTAGTCGTCCTTATCCTCGAGGCGGCTGGCAATCTCGTTGTAGATCTTTTGGTAGTCGGCCCGCGTGGGGTTGACCAGCTTTGTCGAGGCCGCCGAGGGCGCGCCGTCGCTGGTGTAGAACCAGTAGCCGAGGCCTCCGGCGGCGGCGGCTGCGGTCAGGTACAGCCAGGGCGCCGACGACGACGACGATGACGACGGCTGCTGCTGCTTATGGGACGGCTCGGACGAGTACCAGCGGCGGCCCTGGTGGCGGAAAGCCTGGCGAGGGGCGACGGCGAAGGCGCTGCTGCGGGCCGAGGCGCGGGCCGCCGCGCGGGCGAAGTGGCGGGTTGCAGAAGCCATCTGGAGAGGAAAAGAAGGAGCTGGAGAGGGTGCAGTTAGCTTTGTGAGTCAACCGTTGAAGGCGGGATAGCCGAGCAGGAGGGGAGAAGGAGAAGAGGTCAAGTTGGCTGGGAGCTCGAGGGCGAGATGTACCGTGTGGACGACGAGTAGCGACGACTTTCCCCCTTCGTTACGCAAGGGCGAGACAGACGCTGGATAACGATGGGTGGATGAAGGTGGAAGAGAGTCGCAAGTCCAAAGGGAAGAAGGGGAGTTGGGAAAAAGAGGGCACCCCAACGTAATATATTCGTCTGGTATATCCGTCTGGCTGGGCCCTTGTCCGGACCTGCCTGCCCTACTTGCTACTTGTCTGCGGCGACGACTGCTACAAGGAGGCGAAGCACCCTAGGCATGCATTAAGCTATAGCAGTGCACGAGGGCGAGGGCAAACGGCGACGGCGTCTCCATCGGATTTGGCATCTCGTCGAAATTGGATTTCTGTGACTGGCTGCCGGCCGTCTGCCCTGGTGGGCTCGGGACCGCCAGGACCCACGTCGGATACGGACCTGGTACCTTAATGCTTACCTACAGCAGGTACTGTATAATTACTAGGTACCTCCTTAGAGAGAGAGAGAGGCTTTATTACACTTTTTACGACCGTTTTGTTGCTCGCCCGGGGGAGAAATAGGTTAAAATCCTCTAGATGCGATTCGCATGCAAGTGTGAATTGCCTGCATATTGCACTACATAGCTCGGGTGCATGCGTCTAGAAGCTAGAAGGGTGTTCCGCTCTCAAGGTACCTCGCCTGGAACCTCGGCTATTATTAAGTTACTGCGAAATTCGAAAACGGTGTCTCGCGCTGACAATCGGTCTTTGCAGCTTTCCCCCCATTTTCCCCACCTCAATCAAATCCTTATTCTTCTCTAATTAGGCATTCTTTTCTTTATGCGACAGACATCTTTTCAGAGCGAGACACCTGACACTGCATTACTACTACCCGTACCCGGACCCCGCTCCGAGCTTGCTCCGACATGGTGCGAAACCCTGCACCGCTCCGTCTGGAATCCTGTAACCCTCGGAATTCCGCTCCGAGCCTCACGCGCAAAACTTCTTGCGGATACATGCCGTTTCCGAGCTTACTGTCCGACCTTGTCCCATTCCACATGGCATACAGCCCGTTGCTTCTGATTCATCCTTGATACGCTCTTCGTGACCTTCATTGCCATTGCAAAAGGGACTCGTGTGGCTGGCTATCCTATCCTCCTGTCGAAAACACCTTGCAGTCCGCTCGTCCTCGTCCAGGAGCCAACCTCTCCAGCCATCGTCCATTACCTACTTTTACATTTCCTTCCGACTTCCGTAGCCATTTATCCGCGCACGAGACATCCAACCGTCAGCCCTTGTCCCGTCTTGCTACGGGTCCAATGGCTATAGTACAAGAACAGGTGCTCCTCTCCATTTGCACTTGTTCCACACACCACCCAGGGCTCGTCCTCTTGAGTCGTTTAGTTGAAGTCGGCGGGACCCTGCATCGCCGCGTTGGGCTCCATGTGCGCTTCGTAGAAGAAGAACATCCTGGATTCAGCCTTGCGCTTGCTAGCCTCGTCGAGCTCTGGGCCTGCAGCCCCATTCTCCCTTGCGCCAGCCTGCATCGTCGACGCGCCCGTCACCGACGACGGACTTGGAAACCCGGTCAGCTCTCAACTTGCCACGGCTGTCGGTAAACTTACCCAAACGTATCTCGATCAACCTCAATGTACTCCTTCATCGAGTCCTTGCCGCCGTGACGAACCAGGAAATCCAGGTAGACCTGCGTCAACTCCTTCTTTACCGCAGGCGACAGGCGGCTCTTGCTCCGGAACTCGTCAAATGCGTACTTCACCCGCTGAGCAGTTTCCGCCCCCTCGTCCGAGTGCGTCGGCTGCTCCAGCTCAAACTGAAACCACTTCTCCCAAAAGTTGCGGCTGTCCCCGTACCACTGCGCATTCTTAAGAAACACGGCGCGAGCCTGCTCCGCAGAGCCCTTGAACTTCCATAACAGCAGGGCCCACTCAGCCACGAGCGCGGCCTTTGTGTACAGGTCGACGGTAGGAGCGTCAATCTGATCCTTGAGAGCCTGGACGGCGGCCTCGAGACCCTTCTGGCGGCGCTGAAGATGGGCCCCAGAGATGATGACCTCGATGCAGTCAGGAAGCTTCATCAGAATGGCCTCGTGAATGTCTTGCGCCACATCAGCCCGGCCGTGGCTTTCCTCAAAGTACGCCCACTGCATCCGAATGCCAGGGCGGCTAAGGGGCACGTAAAATGACGCTCGAATGTAAATGTGGCGCGTCTCTTCGTCTTTGCCGGCCTGCGCAGACATCCATCTGGCGTAGCGGAACCAGAACTCGTCGTACATGGCACAGGCAACCAGGCATCGCTCGTAGAGGCCCACGACGCGGTGAAAGTCGGCCTCTGCCTCTTCAAAATCCAGGTACTTGCGCCAGTTGTTGAGCTGAGCGTGGTCCAGCTCTGTCACGTGAAAGAATTGACGCCCGAGCTCCGACTCGAAGGTCCAGCGCTTCGACGTCTCATTCTGCGTTCCCATGTGTGTTTCATAGTAGAGGGCGTCGATTTTGGCCCGGATCTCACGATCAATCTCCAGCTCGGGTCGTTGGCCACCACCTTGCGCCTCCAACTCAGCTTGCACCTCGGCCTGGATACGGCTCAGCACGTCTGCGGGGACAAGCTCGCTGAGGGGGCGAGTGTGCGACATGGTGCGAAACCGGTCATAGTAGCGATTGAACTGGTGCAAGGCGATGCTAATGACGCGAATCAAGATCGCAAAGATGCGATCGTGAGCCTCTCGGCGCTCCTCGTACTCGATGAACTTGTCCCAGAAAGGGTGGGACATGAAGTCGATTCCGACAAAAGTGGCAGCGCGCTCAAATAGGCTGCGAGGCTGCGTCAGTACCGACTGGCCCAAAACCAAAAGACAAACGGGGAGAGGATGGGGGAAAGAGGGTCAGTACAAGAAAGGGGATCGTGAGACCGGGGAAGCAGAGACCAAGAGCCGAGATCGCCAGGTGTTCGACGGGGGGGAGCGTGCGATGATAGGACGACGGGCAGCTGTGGAAAAGCACGCGCGGCTTCAAAAGAGCCTGGTGCGCAATCATGAGAGAGCATCCCGGCATAATAGGGCCAGCGAGGGCATATCTCACCATCACACACGTCCGCGGCCGACGTGTGAGGTTCACGGATATGGGCGACGACGCCATGACTGGAGAGCCTCGCGGCGGGATGCTACCGTGGTGGCTATGTGTTACGGGTAGGGAAAAACCATCCAACAACTTACCCTCGGACGATTTTGGGGTCGTGGGTCGTGTCCATCTTGAAGCGACAGTACTCGGTCCACAGGTCGACCGAATGGGTAACGCAGGAGCAGCCTCGCTCGTAGACCTTTGGGGTTTATCTTTAGCGCTCTGATGCGCTCCATTGCCGTTGGAGTGCCCACCATTTCAGCCGACTCAGTGCCAGCGATGTTGAACTCGAGCTCGGCATATTTTTTCCAGTAGCCAAAGAAGAGGGGGAATTTGGTGAGGAAGCGATCGTAGGAATCGCGGAAGACAGCGAGAGCCTGGGGGCTCGAGTTGCGGCTGAGTCCGCCCTCGAGGGCCTCGCAGGCCTTGAGGAGGTTCTCCCAGCTCTCAAAGTTGTCCGGGTCGGCTTCCTGCGGTTTGGCGCGTCAGCTCTGGAACACAGACGGGCAGGGCAGGACACGATAATCAGACTCACCACTTCGGCCTGATACTTGCGGACGTTGGCGAACTCCTCGTCGGAGCCGCCATACTGGCCAAAGTCGTTCATGGCGGGCGGAATTCCACTCTTGTTGGGATAATGTGGTGGTGGAAACGCAGGGAAGTGAGGGGCCTCTGGGGAGCTTGCCCGTGGACTTGACAGCTCCTATCGCGATGATGCAACGTGGCAGAGGAAAGGTGCAAAAGCGATGCAGCTGTGGATGATCAGGTTATTCCTGTCCCGGAAGTGCGATGAGAGGAGGTGGATGGGCGATGTGGATGGGCGATGTGGGTGGGCGATGCGGACGGGGAGGGAAGGTACCTGCGTGCAAGGTAGAAAGGTGGCGATGTTGTGGGAGTTGACGCGGCGAGCAAGGCTGACGCGAAACCTGGGTGATAAGTAGCTCTTTGGCGTGCAGCTGGCGGAAAACCTGGTGGCGCTGAGTCATGGCTGAATGACTAAGCCTCCAGGGAGGGAATGTCTCTTCCATGGACGAGGGCCGGCCGACGAAAGATTTTCTTCCTCCCTCCATATGGCTGGTGATGATTTCTACATAAAAACAACATGATAGGAAGAGACTGAACGCTCTCCGCATGGAAAGCATGATCTCAATTGTAAATCTGAAGCCTGGCAGAAAGACTTTATTATTGTGCTTCTATTGTTGCCATGGTCATTCAGCCTAAGCAGGCGATGGCCATCTTGCATCAGGATCCGGCCGTGGAAGACGGCGAGGCTCTAGACGAAAGGCCTGGCAGCAGTGCCTGTGGCGGGGGTGTCAAGGGCACATTTATGAATTAGTACCCCGAGGAACGGATATTTCCGCCGGCTATTGTTGGGCTTTTGGTGGCAGCTCAATGAAGAGCTCCCCTCGTCTGCTGCTTGCATGTGAAGCTGAGTTTTTCTTGACAAAGTCTCTCGCCAACCCTGCTCGATGACCCAGAAAGCGCTGCAAATCACGAGGGATCCTCGACGCACAGTTTTGTCAATGCTATGACATGCATTCCGACAGGCCATGAATGAATTGGCGTCTCGGGGCTCGGTTTGTATTGCGAGACTCGTGGCACCCAAAGTTTCCATCCGGCTGCAGTGCTGCAAGCTCTGTATACCATTCAGAGAAGCGTGGGGCCGCCGTCACAGCTCGCCTGCGCTACCCTACCCCGTGGGCCACGTTACCACAAGGCGCAGCGACGTCATCCCCCGAAGCCGAGACAAAGCAGCCCTGAACCCTCTGCGCCCGACCCAGCATCATTCGCCTCAATTGCTCTCTCCGTCGGCCCTCTGCGCCATGGACGGGCCTCACTGCTGATGCAGCCCTGCTCCTCGCATCTCCCCGCCTGGCGCTGAGATCTCCCCATAACCTCGTGAGCCTCGTCTCGTCCTCCGCCTCATGGACCAACCGACGGACTCGTGGGCCACGCCAGCTCCCGCCCCCGAGAAATCGAGCGAGCTCTATATCCGCGACTATCCCCAACGATCCATTGCCATTGTCTCCTCCTCCCATGCCCTGATCCTGCGCTACAGCTTCTCGGCGAGCGAGGGCAGCCACAATGGCTCCCACATATCTTTGCCCTCGGCCAAATCGCGGGCTGCCGCCGGCGAGCCCTTGACCACCAAATGCATGGTCGAGTTCTCCCCCATCACGAGCCGGCTGCTCAAAGACTACCGACCGTTGACCGCGCGGCCCGTCTATGGGACCCTGGGCCTCATTGCAGTCAACGGCGAAGTCTTCCTCTCGGCCATCACCCATGCCGTGAGGGCCGCGACGGTGCGCCCGGGCGAGACTGTGGAGCGGATAGCGAGTGTGGCCTTTTACTGCTTGAGCAGTGCCGACTACGACGATGTCGTGCCGCTGGACCCCCTGGAGCCCGACGTGTCAGATTCTGCTTCCGTCTACAGCAACAACTCGCCGTACGGCCAGGGTCTGAGCCGGCGCGAGGTGCCCATGGAGCACCCGTGTCATGAGCTGCGCAAGCTCCTCAGCAACGGATCCTTCTACTACAGCACCGACTTTGACGTGACAAATAGACTCCAGGACAGGTAGGACTCGATGCTCCCTTGACGTGTTATCGGCTTCGGTACAGGCGCTGACTCGTCAAGGCCCATTGCCTCCAACTCATTTGACATTGACAACTTTGACGACACATATCTGTGGAACTCGTTCATGATAAGCCCCCTGGTGCAGTTCCGTTCTCGGCTCATGCCCCAGGAACGCGAGGCGCTGGATTCGTCGCGCATCCTGACATCTGCGATTCGAGGGTTTTGTAGGACCATGACTCTGCCGCAGAGCGCTTCGCCCCTCAGGGGATCCAAAAAGAGCGGGATGCCGTCCTTCCTGACCCTCATATCGCGTCTCTCCTGCAGGCGAGCAGGGACTCGTTTCAACTCGCGGGGAATAGACGACGATGGGCACGTGGCCAACTTTGTCGAAACGGAAACAACCTTCTGGAGCCCAACAGGCATCCTGTTCTCGTATGCTCAAGTACGGGGGTCGGTCCCGGTGTTTTGGGAGCAGGTTGCCGACCTCATTCCGGGGCGTCAGAAGATTACCGTCACAAGATCACCAGAGGGCACGCAGCCGGCCTTCAATAAGCACTTTGAGGATCTCGAGCTCATCTACGGTGCGGTTCACGTCATCAACCTCCTCAGCGAGACGAAGCCGGCCGAGGCGGAGCTTAGTGGCATGTATCGCAACGGCATCCGGCACTGCCCGCTGAGCAGGCCGGGTGCCGAGGGGTCGGCGGACCATGCTCTGCTGCGAGAGACGCACTACGACTTTCATGCAGAGACCAAAGGGCCGGCAGGGTACGAGGCTGCGCGGGATATCCGCCGGTACATTGAAAACTCGACGGACGGCTTCGCGTACTTTTTGGCCGAGGAGTCGAGCGACGGCGTCGAGGGAGGGGACGGCCCCGGGGACGGCGCTCGCATGGTGGTGGTGCTGCAACAGGAGGGCGTCTTCCGCACAAACTGCCTCGACTGCCTGGACCGGACCAACCTCATCCAGACGTTGATCTCGCAGATGGCCGTGGAGGCGTTCCTGGGGCACCGAGGGGAGTTTGCGGCGTCGGACTTTTGGATGCGGCACTCGAGCCTGTGGGCGGACAATGGCGACTCGCTGTCCAAGATCTACGCCGGGACAGGGGCGCTTAAGTCTTCGTTTACGAGGCACGGCAAGATGTCGCTCTCCGGGGCGGTGGCGGACATGCGCAAGTCGGTCCAGCGCATCTACCACAACAACTTTGTGGACCCGTCGCGGCAGGTCATGATCGATATGCTGCTGGGCCGCCTCATCGGGCAGGCGGCGGTGCATCTCTTCGACCCCATCAGCGACTTTGTCTCGGTGGAAGTCGGCAAGCGGAGCGACGAGTACGCCTCGTTTGAGAAGATTAGCATATGGGCGGGGACGTTCAACCTCAACGGGCGCACCGACGGCATCGACTACGACCTGACGCCCTGGCTGTTCCCGCCGTCGCTGGGTTCGGGCCAGCCCGACATTTACGTGGTGGCCTTTCAGGAAATCGTCGAGCTGAGCCCGCAGCAAATCATGAATAGCGACCCATCGAGGAAGCACCTGTGGGAGAAGTCGGTCAAGCGGCTGTTGAACCAGCGGCAGGCGAGCCTCGGGGGCGACAAGTACGTGCTCTTGCGCAGCGGGCAGCTCGTCGGGGCGGCGCTGTGCCTGTTTGTCAAGACGTCGGTGCTATCCAACATTAAGAACGTCGAGGGCAGCGTCAAAAAGACGGGGCTGTCGGGCATGGCCGGCAACAAGGGGGCCGTCGCCATCCGGTTCGACTACGCAAGCACGCCCATATGCTTCGTCACGGCGCACCTGGCGGCCGGGTTCGCCAACTACGACGAGAGGAACCGCGACTATGCCACCATTCACAACGGGCTGCGCTTTCAGCGGAACAGAGGGATAGAGGACCACGGTAAGACTTGCTCTGGGTTTCGTTCTTCATTTTGCCCTCTTATCCTCCAGCCCCCCCATTTCTCTTGCAAGAGAAGAGAGGAGACGGTAGACGGTCTGTCCCAGAAATGGGAGCAGTATTTATAGCAGGCGTACTGATGCGAACACTTAGACGCCGTCATATGGTTGGGTGACTTTAACTACCGCATTGGCCTGGGCCCAGAGGCAGCACGGACCCTGATCAAGAGGCGCGACTTGGAGACGCTATACGAAAACGACCAGTTGAACCTGCAAATGGTGGCGGGCCTGGCGTTCCCCTTTTACTCGGAGGCCCGCATCGGCTTTATGCCTACGTACAAGTTTGACGTTGGGACGGACAATTACGACACATCGTGAGTGCGGCTTGAACTCGTTGGCAGAGCTCAACCACTGACGTGCGTCCAGTGAGAAGGCGAGAATACCTGCGTGGACGGACCGCATCTTGCGAAAAGGGGCCAACATACGGCAGCTGTCGTACGACTCGGCGCCGCTGCGGTTCTCGGACCACCGGCCGGTGTACGCGACGTTTGAGTGCAGGGTCAGCATCATCAACGAGGCCCTGCGCCAGGCAATCAGCAAGGAGCTGTATCAGCGCCGCAAGGCCGAGGTGGGGGACACGACGGCGCAGGTGAGCGACGGCCAGGAGACGGAGGACGAGGACTTGATAGGGTACGACGCAATCGAGCCGGGATTGCCGCCGGCGAGCTCGGATCGCCGAAAGTGGTGGCTGGACAACAGGCAGCCGGCCCGCGCGCAGATGTCGGTGCCAGAGGGGCCGGAGGGACAGGCCATGGCGCTCAACCCGAACCGGGCGTCGAATCCGTTTGGGCCCAGCGACGAGCCGGACTGGGTGGCGGTGCCGCGGACATCGCCTGGGCCGTCTCTCTCGAGCATGTCCAGCTCGCCTTATGAAAAAGTGATGCCTCCAAAGCCGACACTCATGCAGGCCGGGTCTTCGAGCGCGGCGGCGAGGAAGCCACTGCCACTACACGACGGGCCCAAGCCGTGGAACAGGGTGGACGAGGAGACGCGCACAGGCAGCCGGCCAAATTCACGGTCGTCGGGACCGCCGCCGCCGCCGCCGCCTCCTCGGCGGCAAGCAGCGGGCTCGCGGTCGGGGGCGGTGACTTCATCCGGGGACGGAGGAACGTGGCCGGAAGAGAGGCCGGCAAGTCCGCCGCGGGCGTCGTGGGCGGCGGGAGGGTGGCAGACGTCGCCACAGAGCAAAGGCAGCGGCAAGTCACCGCCGCCGGTGGCCAAGAAGCCAGCGCATCTGGCGGGAAGCAGCTCGCCCCTCAGCGAAGACGGGCCACTGCCGACGCGATCGGCGACGGTCGGGGGGCGAAGCAGCAGCAGCGGGCAGCAGCAGACGCCGGGGCTCAGGGCGGGGTCGGGGTCCAGACCGGCGGGCCGCAGCAACACTCTGGGAGGCGGCGGGCCAGGATGGGTGGCACGGGGCGCGGGAGCTGAGGAGGCCAAGGCTCTAGCGAAGCAGGCGGCGGCAAGCGGCGGCAAGGGGTCATGGCAGGGCCAGGGCAAGACGGCGGCGGACCTGCTGGACATGCCGGAGGAGAGCGGCGAGGAGATGAGCGGGTGGGAGACGCTGCAGCCGAGTACGAGGGCGTAGGCAGAGACAGCTTGGAGGCAGGCCGGCACATGAGCACCTCACGTGGCTTTGGATGAAAAGGTGGTGACGATGCACGGCCGGTTCGGTTTGTACGTGGCCGAGGCGCCGCTAAAGGCGGGCGAGGTGTGAATAGTCTGCATGGCTGTCTTGGGTGACTGAGACATGCACCGGCTGGGGACGAACGGCGGGGACGAACGGCGGCGGGGACGATGGCGTTTAGCCCCGCCGAGACAGAAGTATTTGGACGCGGCGGCGTTTCAGGGCCAATGCCTAGCGAGTATCAGAACTGGCTCTCGGGGCCGCGAGACGTGTCCGTGTTGGATGGTGCTGTGAGCCGTGCAAAGGGGGAGAAGAGGCGAGGACGGACGGCAGCGCGTGAAAGGCGGGCCCGAGGACGCAGCAAGCAACCTGCGGCCCGTGAGCATGGCGCCGGCAGGGCGGCAAGGGGTGAAAAGGGGAGGGGTGAAAAGGGGAGGGGAGAATGTCTGCTTTTTCCTCCGGCGTCTGGGCGCGGGAAACAAAACAAAGCAAAGCAAAAACGGAGAGAGAGAGAGAGAGAGAGAAGAGCAGCTTCGTGTTGGCGGGCCCGCTCAGGTTACCTACAGTATCAGTACTTAGCAGCCGAGTTCCCGGTCCCGGCGGCGCGCTCTCCACCCCCGCAGAGAAGACTGGCCCCAATGTCGATCCACCCGGCAGATGCTGCTGCGGTGCACAGGGAACGAACGGCACAGTGGCCGGCGGTATGTAGCCTGCATGTCGGCACCGCCGGGCCCGGCAGCTTCTCTGACGTGGTGCATGCGTTGAATGATATACATGCCCAGGGAAGCCTTTGCTCTACGTATGCGTATCCAAATAAACCCATCCGCTGAGCCTTGCATTCTTGCCCTTTTTTCCTCGGGTTGCAGCGCACGTGGGGGAGCCTCCGAGGTGGTGGCTCCGTGCGTGGTACCTTAAGGGTACCTGGCGCCCACTGTGCACCCACTGTGCACCGGGCACAGTGCAGTGCGGCCTCTGCCAGCACCCCGGCCTTGTCGAGGTACCTGGGCCTTGGCTCGCGTACCCGCCCCGTTCCCTCTCCCCCCCCCACCGAGGTACCCCCCCCCGTACCCCCACGACAGGGGCCTCGGCAAACAGACTTAAACTCTCCGCTCCCGCCCCCAAATCGTCGTCTCGTCGCCGCCTCTTTGCCTTTTCACCTGCCACCACGTTCCAGCCGCGACGGTTATACGGATAACGGGGCGTCCATGTATACCTACCTGTACTTGCCTGCATGCTCGCAATACTTTCATATGCCCGCCGCTCGCGCCTAGCCAGCCTCGCCCTCCTCCCATCCGACTCTCCGCTCTCCTCTCCTCCTCCTCCTCCGCCTCTCTCTCCCTCCCTTCTTCCCCTCCTCCCCCCCCCCTCTCTCTTCCCCTCCTTTCGCATTTCCATACCGAACGTCTCCCTCTCTCCCTCTCCCACACACTCAAACACACTCTCATCCGGGCCCGCCAGGCACACAACGAACTGACACCCGCGGTCCCCTCAACCTTAACCTCACCCACTTGCAAAAGTCCCAAAGTCAAAATCCCTTTCCCGTTGGCTCAGGGGAAGCAAGCAAGCATCCTTCAAAGCTTCTTTTCTCCCCCCCACGCGTCGTCCCCATCGCGTCTGGCTGCTGCCGCCTTTGCTGCCCAAGTGAAACCCCCGCGCCTTGACATTTTTTGCACGTACACAGAGACTTCCAGCCAGTATAATTACATGCGTACTTTCGCCTTCGCACCGCCGCCTCCCTGCTGCTGCTGTGCTCGCACAACCACTTGATCTCGTGTTGCAGACCGTCCGGCTTCACCGCCGGCTTCCCGGAGCAATCTCCATCACATGAAATACTCGACGCTGCTCCACCGCTGTCATCGGCCCCCGGCAACAACCACGATAGAGCCCGCATCAACTACCGATCAAGGACATACCAAACGAGAGAATCCGCGGGAGAATCCGCGGGACGAAGAGAGCACACTTGTCCGTCGACCGTGGTGACCGCCGCACCTACCCACCCACCCCCTTGCCTTCATCGCATCATGCCCGCCATGGCCGCCGCCACGGCCGCTGCTCTGGCCGCCGACCAAGACGCCCTGCACCCCTCGTGCCTGTCCGCCACCGCCCAGACACGCATCCTCGTGTGGCGCTCCGAGGTGGCCTCGGCTCTCGACCCGCCCGACTCGCCGCACTCGTCCGCCTCCAGCCCCTCGGTCCCCTCGGCTTCGTCCTCGTCCTCCGCCACCGTCACCACCACGGCCGCTTCCTCCTCCCTCCTGCCCCAGCCCTCGAGGCGTCGCCGCTTCTGGCGCCGCATCGTCCGCCGCCTCTCCGCTCGCCCCGATGCCCGACCCGGCGCTCTCGACCCTGCCACCGGGCTCGCGGCCGGGTCCGACGAGGTCGTCCGCACCGCCATGTACCGCCTCGACGACCCCTTCTTCGATGAGGTTGCCCTCGGCGAACCCAGCAGCGACGGCGGCCGGGGTGCCCTCAAGGACAAACAGGAGCGCCTACACCGCGCCGCGAGGCTCCTGATGCACCAAAACGCCATGGGCGTCCCCGCAACAATGGCACCATAGGGCCGGGCCGGTGACGCGCGCGGGAGAGCAGGCAAATGTAGCGTTCGTCTTGTTACTTGGAGTCGTCTTTTCTTCTCTTCTTGGGTATCTCGGGAGTCAGGATCCGGCATATGGCATGTACACATCCCTCGGCAACACACCAATACGATATCCATCTCACGAGGCTATCGGTCTGTTTCTACTCAAATAATCGGCTAGATGGATCACGAGTGAACGAATGGGAGGACTAGCGATGGATCAACGAGTAATTCTACAAATTGAAATAAAACCAAAATCACCATTAGTACCCGTTTCAACCTTCAACCTCCCGCCGTGACTTGAGCCCGACATGACTCGGGAATCGGGAAGCGTCTCATGCCCTGGCATACATACATGGTGGACTTTAGCCACATGCCCGAGCTGTCACGGCCCGTCCGTGTTCAAGGTTTGGATTCCGAGAGTACCCAGTTACACAAGCGGACGCTGAAGACGGGGAGACCAAGGACCCCGAGGCTGTTCAGCAAGCGCGAGAGGCCTGTTTCCGAACGTGTCCCGCCAAAGTTGCCGTCTCTCCATTGGGAATGAGACGACGACTTAACGAAGCTTGTTCTCATTCCGTCACAGAGCGACGTGACGGCAGAAAACCGCCGGCGGTGGCTCTACCACTCCCTCCCACTCGACGCACTTCACTGCTTGCCCCCGAGAGCACACATAGCTCAAGAGCAAGCACATAACAGATCGGCCGAACACAACGGCCACGTCCTGCTGGGACAGTGTATGAATATAGGTCATTGTTTTTCTGCCTCTTCTCTTCTGCTCCTTGTTTTTTTTGGTCTGGTTTCTGTGGGAATGGCTTCGCCGAGGGGGGGTGTTTTGTGAGCGGGAAAGAGCCGGGAGATTCCTCTCTCAAGAGAGACGAGCCGAGCCCAGCCGACAAGAGGCAAAGCCATGGAAAAGCAAAAGCGCAGTTGCATGACCGATCCAGCCAAGGGAAAATGGTGAACCGGCAGCCTCAAGTCAAACAAACAGAAAAACACCGGGGCAAGCGTGGTGGAGGGGACCATTCGTGAGTGACATTCTGTACCAGATGGAGAGGCCGCCACGCGCAAAAACAAAGCGTGGACAGCCACCAACCTCTGATCCAACCGAGCAACAACAAGACCCGTGACGAATCCACAAGCCGCGCCTAGTTGCCATTGTTCGACCGGAAAATCCCCCACGATCCCCTCCTCGCCCTGCCATCAAGTATCAACGGACTGCGCACCTGCGCATCATCACCTGCCTGCTCGCCTGCCCTTCAAATCGAGGCACGCCGGGCTCGCCATACGCCGGGGTAACAAATGCGAGCAGGCGGCCAAACATTGCATCTCGGTTCTCAAATGCCGGGATGCCCGTGGTATCGGGTGAGTGAGAGAAAGAAATTTACGAGGCAGCGGCGGGAGCGGGCTCCTCGGCCTTGGTCTCCTCCTCGGCGGGCTTGGAGGCCTCGCCCTCCTCCTTCTTGGCAGCATCACCCGCGGCGGCGCCCTCGGCGTCGGCGCTGTCGGACGAGGTCCACAGAGTAAGGTTGTCACGCAGCAGTTGCATGATAAGGGTGCTGTCGCGGTAGGACTCCTCGGAGAGTGAGTCAAGCTCGGCAATGGCATCGTCGAAGGCTTGCTTGGCAAGGTGGCAAGCACGGTCGGGCGAGTTGAGGATCTCGTAGTAAAAGACGGAGAAGTTGAGGGCCAGACCCAGGCGAATGGGGTGGGTGGGAGTCAGGTCGGTCTGGGCAACCTCAGTCGCGTTCTGCAGATTGTCATCCGTTAGCAGATGAAGCCAGACGACACAAAACGCTCAGAGGGGGCCATGTAGGAGTAAGAAAGAAAGGAAAAAAAAAGGGCGCGGCGAACGCGTTCTGACAGACGCCGGGAGACGACGTACCTTGTAGGCATCGTGGGCAGCCGTGGCGGCAACCTTGCGCTTCTCGCCCGAGGCGAACTCGGCGAGGTAGCGGTGGTAATCACCCTTCCTGTTTGCGCAATGCCACGGTCAGCAACATTTCAAGGGCGAGACTGATGAGCGGTAATTACGACAGGGGGCGAGGGCGGGGCGGGCAACGGCGGAGATACGTACATCTTGTGGTAGAAGACCTTGGACTCGCCCGAGGCAGCGTTGGGGATGAGGCTTTCGTCGAGGACATTGAGGACGTCCTGGCAGACCTGCTCAAGCTCGGCCTCGATCTTGTCACGGTACTCCTTGATTGTGGAGACGTGCTTCTCGGAACCCTTGGACTCCTCCTTCTGCTCGATGGAAGAGATGATGCGCCACGAGGCACGGCGAGTGCCGACGACGTTTTTGTAGGCGACGCTGAGGAGATTACGCTCGTCGACGGTGAGCTCGCCTCCGATCTTGGCGACCTCCTTCATGTAGGTGACCATTTCATCGTAGCGCTCAGCCTGCTCGCAGAGGCGGGCCAGAAAAGTCTTGCTATAGTGCCATGGCCCAGGGTTAGCACGGGTGATCTCGCGAGCGGTGCTCCTGATGGCGAGGCTCCAGGTGGATGAGCAAACCTTTCACGCTGTCGGAGAGAAGGCGTCAGCAGTGTCCAGGGGGTGACGAGGAGGACATGAGGAGGAGGGGAAGACAAAAGGCGGCGAGCCGCCAGCAAACGCGACAGAGACCGCGATGGTGGGGCACAAGGGGCCAAACGAGCCGAGACGGGGCTTGCGCAGGCTCGTCGCGGCTCGGCTCGAGGCAAAGGAGGCGGGCATGGCGGCGGCGGGTGCAAGAGGAGGCCAAAGGAGGCGGGAATGCTTACCTCGTTGGTCATGGTGGCGGCGAGACGACGGCGACAAGATGGGAGTCGAGAGGCGGTGCAAAGTTGGAAGTGACGAAAAAGACGCGCGCGAGACGATGGTGGGGAGGAGGGAGGGGGATGAGTTCTGCGTGCAGAAATGAGGCGTTGAAGACAGCAGAAGAGGGGGCGGGTGTTTATATTTTGAAGGTGGAAATGGGGTTTGGATTTTCAGGCTGTCCCTTGGGTTTAGGGATTTTTTGGGTGAGGGGAAGAAGGGAAGGGCAGTGGGTGCCGGGGCAGCTGGCGGAGCCCGGGAGCCAGATGGCGGGCGGATGGCAGAGCCTGGGGGCATTGCATCAGCGGGCCACCCTCGACAGCCGCCGCTGTCTCTCACTGAGCCAGGTCCCCAAATTGCACACCTTGTATCTTTTGGCGCGCGAGTCGCCGGTGGTACTGTAAGGAGCATGAACGAGAGGTGCCTCTTATCAGGTAGGTACTTATATCGAGTTAATCCCGCGCATCTGGCAGCACCTCGAGGTACCTCTTCGGTGACGCGACTTGTTATCAGCCGTCTTTTCTTCGCCCTCCCTTCCTGTACATACGTGCCGAGACCCTTATCTTTGCTGGGTAGAGGGCGAGGGGCTGACATGTATCCGCATGTGCAAAGTACCACCAGAGAGGTACTGCACTACCTACCTAGGTAGCCAGTGCAGCAGCCACAACGGCCTGTAGCATAACTAGCGTTTTGCCCTTCCCTTGCCGCCGTGCTTGGCTCTCCGCCTGTTGGGAGGCGGTCGATCGATCCTCCTCCTCCACTGTCCGGCTGGCTCCCGGCGGCAACTCCACCCTTGGAGGAAAGGTACTCGGTACTTTGCGCCGGATATCTTGCTGGGCAACTCGACTCTTCTTCATGGTGACACTGTCGTCACCAACTCCTGTTAGCCAGCTACTCACGGCAGCGCCTCTGCCCGCCTAGTCTTACTACCTTAAGTAACCCCAAGATAAGGTCTGCTGGCCAAGAGTCAGCCGCGCACGCGTGCTTCAAGGGCCACTCACCTTTCGCCCTCACCTCACCACTCAACCCTCAGTCATTCGAGTCAACAAAGAGGGCACCGGCACACATAACGCACTCGCCCTCGCCCTCGCCCTCGCCCTTTATCTGTTCCGCCGATGCCGCTGCCCATACCCATACAGTAGGTAAGTTACTCTGTCGCCGAACTCGTACTGTACATGACGAGCCCAGCTAGCCCTGTGAGCACGTCTTGCATTGCATTGCTTGCTCTACCCCGGTTTCGTTGCTCACAGTCTGTTCCCACGACCTCCATCAAGCATGGTTGTTTCCCATCTCGAGCCTTTCTCGTGCTTCCTTTCCCCCTCTTCTACAGTACTGTACAGCTTCTTCACTGAGCACGCGGAGCGCTGAAGCGACGACCCCTACTGCACTGCAGGCCTACGCACACCAATCACGCCGACTGGAAAAGGCCCAACGACCCCTGGCGACTCGGCCGTGCCCCCCCCCCCCCGTCATCCCATCGCCGGTTCAGCTGCTCCCACCTGCGTCATTGCTCGTTATACGTCATGGATATGGTAGGTGCCCTGCCACCAACGCCGCCCTCGAGTCGCTGAGCCACCAACCGTACCCTGCCTCGACCAATCTACATCCGTCTGTTACATCCGTCTGTTCGTAAAGCAAGGTATAGAATGTAGCTGGCATCACGCTTTCGTCTGCCAGCAGTACAGTACCGCGTGGCCCAATGGCACGCAGACACGCGGGCCTGCTCTCCCAGCAACCAGCAATCGCGACCACGCAGCGTCGGTTGACGCCTTGTACTGTAGTGTTTTACCTGTACTCCATCCCAGCACAACGGACCGCCCGAGCGCTCTCTGTGTAGGCAGGTGGCATTCAAGCACCGAGAATATGTAATGTATTTTAGACGCAGGGGTTGTTTGCTCTAGTACTCAAACAGAGAAACCAATCGGCCATCGTATTTGCTCTGTGCGCTCACAAGGGTATCGAGATGCTTCTTCTCCGTCGCATGACCACTCTCATCCACCGGTCGCCATTCTGCTTCGCATTTAATCTCAAGCCTCCTAGGATAAGCATGTTGCGCCCAGCCTGCAACTCACTGCTCTTGCTCGCCGGTGCCAGGAACGCCCGATCTCAAGACTAGAGCTCCTCGGCCTCGATTCCCGTAGGCTGTGCCCGTCCCCAGTTCGCCGGGTCCCCGCCGGGCACACACAGGCCGAGCCTCCAGAAATAATCTCGATGGGCAAAGAAAAGCTGCCAGAGCCTGAGCCGCGTCGGCAGAGTCATGGCCTCTGCCTGCTCGCGCGCCGTCGCGCCGGCTCGGCTCAAGCGCAAGAGGCTTTCGCGCACGATTTGCCAGGCGCGACCCCCGGCTCCTGTGCTGCATGCGGGATCGTTGTCCCCAGCGCAGGCCCTGATGTCCTGCTCCGTCGGCGAGAGGCTGGGCTTGGTGATGTAAATCTCGCCCGCATGCGACCTGTAACCCCATTCGTCCCACGGTAAAAGGGGGACGGGGTCGTCGTTGTGAGTGACACGGCGGTACGACAACGATTCCGGGTCCGCCACCCCATCGAGCCCAAACACCTTGTCAACGAAGCGAGCCAGCTGGTAGTTGCCTACGCGCGGCTCGCCAAACGTCGTGACCAGCACGTCGTCCCATCCCAGCAGCAGCCGGAGCTCCAGCGCCGCAAGACAGGCGACAGCGCCTCCCAGGCTGTGTCCAACCAGGTGAATGGGGAGGGACGGATACTTGGCTTTCAAGGCCTTGAGCTCGGGCAAGACGACCTTTCTCGCGCTCCGCCACGACTGAAGGAAGCCCATGTGAGCGGTGCAGTTGGCACACTCGTGCTTGGGCTTCCCCGGTGGCCCCTCGTCTCCGTCGTCGGGAGATGGGTAGGGAACATACTGCTGTGGGATTGTGCTCAGATCCACGACGGTGTTGGTGATACTGTAGGTCCCACGAAACGCGACCAGGATGACGCCACGCCCGGCAGAGGACACGACGTCGCCGCCGGGCCCGTCTGCCCCAGCATCTTGTCGGCCGTCATCTACCGCGATATACCCGCAGCTGTCACTCAGAAGCACACCGGTGTTCCACGTAGCGACCAGAGACAGCTCGGGGAAGTCGCTGCAGCGGGACAGGCATTCAAAGGGCTTGCGCACGCCCGTGTTGCCCACGCAGTAGGATATGTCGACTATGCGCGACAGACGCTCCAGGTCCGTGAACAAGGGTGTAGAGATGGAGGCAGTGCGCCGATGATAGGGCGCTGGCTCTGTGCCAACGATCTTGTGAGCCATTCCGGCGTCGGGGCTCACGAGCAGCTGCGCGAACAAGAGGGGCGCGAGAAGAACCATGATGGCGGCAGGCAGCCTATGCTCATGGCATGTCGCGGAGACTCGCGTTGGGTATCGTGCCCCTTGATGTAGGAGGCAGTCGATGAGCGGGTCGGCTGTGAGCCGCCGAGGGAGTCTGCGCGGCGAAGCGGTGGCAAGACTGCCAGTGTCGTAGTTACTGTGAGAAGTTTGTAGGTTGCTGCCTAGGATTGACCAGCCACCCAATGATGCTTGCGGGCGACGGCATCATCTGTCGCCGCGTGGACAGGCCGCAATTCGGCAGATGGCGGAGTCTAAGGCGAATGAAAGGGGCAAAAGGAGGTCTCGTGAGCCTCATCTCATCACGATTGGGTGAGGTCACTGAGGTCACTGGGGTCTGCAGGGTACCGAGTACATGCCCTTGTACGCACCAGCACGAGTAATTAGCCGACGACGGCTCCGCAAATGATAAGTCCGATGCCTCGATAACGCCTTGTACTTTGTACTTGGCGAATAGCATCGAGAGTTGGAGCAACGGGTTCGACGCAGCAAAGACATGAATTCTAGGTACTGGCCCTCAGCAAGCTTGCAAACAGACTAGAGCTATCTGCGACAGCCGATGGGGAACGCAGGTCGTCTTGGTGGCTGCCTGTCCAAGTGCCATCTCCTCCATAGCGCATCATCGGTCGTCATGCGCCTGAGCCGCATTGACAAACCAGACAAAGCGGCCGGGAAATTTTCCATGGAGATCCACAGACGTATGCTCGCTTGTCTGGTGGGAATCTAGATACATGAATCAAGGAGCTTGGCTGAATAATCATCATGCTTCCCAGTAACAGACTCGTCAGGTGTCCCCTCCATAGAGAACGGTATCGAGCTTGAGTGTGGCAGCGCTGACGTCGGCAAACGATGATCTATCGATCCCGTCTGGTTGCTGTCAACCTAGTCCGCGCTGGGCAATGGTGGGATCCAAGACGGGCGAGATGCTGGTGAAGTTGGACGCCAAGTCGGTCTGGTTGGCGACACACCTTCCGGCTTTGCCTTGGCAGGAGAGCAAGACAACGACGCTGCCCGATACTTCGTAGGCTGGTATTCTGTAGGGATATTCCACGTCAGGCCTTGACCACGCAGTTCCAGGCAAGATTTACGGATTGGGAAAGGAGTCAAGGCGAGATGGCCCATCACCAACAGTCTTCCTGTGACCGAACATGAAGGGGTGTTGAGCAGGATCCTGGCTTACCCCTTGGTGTCTGGGCAGGCTCGCTGGATCATCAGCAGCGACTTTTTTTCATCCTGCCAGATAAACTTGACGTCCCTGTTCTGGCACGAGAAGCGCGGCGTCAGCCAGTCGGGCGTTGTCGACACCGACGAGGCGTTGAAATGGCAGCTCGTCGACACCTGAGTGCTGGCGCTGAGGTACGTGAAGTTGTACGAGGACAAAGTGGCCTCCGTGTCGTTGGAAATGCCAGCAAAGTCACGGACATGGTAGTCGCCCGGCAGGATGCACTTGCTGGCGGGATCTCGCACTTTTGCCAGCAGGGCCGGCGGAGGGAGGTAGGCCGTTGCGGCGACAGCGATGCCGGGCAGCGAGGCGAGGATCAAGGCTGCCAACTGCATGGTGGCTTGTCTGATGGTGTTGTCCGATGGTGTTGGTCAGGCCGCGGAGAGGAAGGAGAGTGCGGTTGAGATGGTGCTGAGTCCGCTTGGTATGGATGGACGGGAATGACACGAAGAGGAAGAAAGCAAGCGATGCTCTCTGATATAAGTAGGTAGGCACGATGACACGGGACAGCAAGGGGGAAAGTTGGAACCTATATGCCAAGGAGCGAGCAGCCTGCTGCTTTACCGAGCACGTAACACCACACTTGATGTGATGAATTGGTGCAAAGTGAGGAGGTGTGTACAGATGTATGTCGACAGAGTATTCGTTTGTTGAGGTCATCAGCTCCATCCACGCTGCCGTACCTGCAGGCGGGGACACACGATGCGGACGTGGCCCGGCGGCAACTCGGAAGTGATCGTCGCAGCATAAAGTCTCTGTCGATCCTGCAACCCCGAGGTGCAGATACAGTAGCATCGCTCTCGGACGCGCGCATGCTTAGATATTGGCAGGCCAATGAAGCATCCATCTGGTCGTTGGTCGTCGTCATCCAATCACCAGGGAAGCCGAGTATCAACACCCATCTCACCCACGACTTGCCGTCTGGCCACTTTTGTTGTGACTGGGCCGACGCCGACGTCTTACGTTTGCAACCCGGGGATAAGGAAGAACGCGCGGATGTTGTGCCGATTGTTGGACGTGTTTGCTCGAGGCATTGGATGCTTTGCCGCCGGCCCAATTGTATGGTCGGAGCTCAGGCATCCTCCTGGACGGTGCAACTCCATTCAAGGTTGTGTCCCTCGCTCTCTTCTGTGGCCGCGAAGCATGGCCGGGAGGTCTCAGTGATTCGCACTGCTCCGCGCCACCTCTTGGGCGACATGGCAAGTTGGATGATGAATTGCGCAACTTCCATGTACGTATATCCAGAGCCGTGATTGGTCTGCGCACGACCCACCACCATCAACGCTGGCACTTTTACCCTCTCCAGTCACGTGACCCACAACTCGGCAAAAAATTACGCCCACAGCAACTCAGCCAGTGTGTGTACCGTGGGTTTTGCGGCACCCGCCAGAAATTTCGCCCCTCCTCTTTTTCCCTTCCTCGACATCACCCAGCGCCGTTGTCGACAAACGCCCACCCCCGACAACCCCCAAGATGGCCAAGGAAGCGCCCGCGAGATCCGGTCTGACCGTCGGTCAGAACCGCGGCCACGTACGTGTCATTTGCCGTCTCACCTCGTGGAGGATCTCTCTGCTCCCCTGAACCTCTCTTCGCGCGAGGTGGGCGAACACCCAGCAGCAGACGATGGACGCTGACATGCCGCCCTCTCTCCTCGTGCCTGTGCGCCTCTATAGAAAACCACTGCCCGTGTCGTCAAGCCCCGTGTCTCCCGGACCAAGGGCCACCTGAGCAAGCGCACCGCGTTTGTCCGCGAGGTCGTCAAGGAGGTCGCTGGGTGAGTGTCCCCTACAACTTTCAAGCTCCCCGACTGTCTTCGACGTTGCCATTGAGCAAGTATGCAATTGCATGGGCAGGTGTGCAAGAATCCCAAAGCATTCATGCTGCTGGGAGTCAAGTCGAGCCGAGTGAATTTCGAGCGACGTGCCGCCTGCCCTTAATTGCACTACTCACACTTAGCCCAAAAGCCTCGTGCTAACAATTCCTCTCTCCCACAGCCTTGCCCCCTACGAGCGCCGCGTCATTGAGCTGCTCCGCAACAGCAAGGACAAGCGTGCCCGCAAGCTGGCCAAGAAGAGAGTACGTCTCGCCCCCCTCCCATCCCGACGTGCCTCGATCCTTCAAGCGGCCTCGAGATGCTAACGATTTCATCGTATAGCTCGGAACTTTCGGCCGCGCCAAGAAGAAGGTCGACGAGCTCCAGCGTGTCATTGCTGAGTCCCGCCGTACCGGTCACTAAAAGGAACGGCTCGTGTTTGTCCAGCGGAGAGGGAGATTTCCGTGCCAAGTCGCTGCAGGGTTTCGCATGGGATTGGCGTGGTCACGGTTTCATCGGTTTCGACGACTTTAACTGCATTGCGGCAGGGCGCTGCTGCGGGCTACCGGAAATACCAAATTCAAAAGCAAGGTTGCCAACACAATGAGGTACATGCATGAGGATATTTGAATTTGCCTCATCTGGACACACCTTGATCTTATCCAGAGCGAAAGCCATTATCAAACATTGCCGACGCCATATACTCCTCGCATCTACGTAATGCGTATCCATGTAGAGAATAACCTGTAGTAAACGCCCGAGCCCACGCTACGAACCATGGCAATCCTCCGACATCATGGCTTACAAGCCAGTCCGACAAAGTGCCACCAGTGATACCCTTCACACAGTCGACCCTCTCACTTCTTGCCCAGCTTGAACCACTTGGGCATCTTCTTGCCCCCTCCGTCTCCTTTGCCCTCGCCCCTGTCGACCCGGGGAGGCTGCGGCTGCAGGGACGGCGCCGGCTCGCCATCGTCCTGGGTGCTAGGCAGCTCAGGGATCCTGACGGCCTGACCTCTCTGCGCCACATTTGCCTTGAGGAAGGGCTGCTGGCGGGCCTCTAGGGGCACGTCGTCGTCCCAGACGAGATTCACGAGCACGCGGCCCGAGAACTTGTAGCCCTTGATGATGCTGTGTCTGGGCCCGCCGTCGTCCTGTATGGCCGTCTTGCCGCCAGGGAGGACGAGGCGGAACGCATGGCTGCGACTGGCCATGACCTGCCGCACCGCCTCGTACAAAAACGCTCCCGTCTCTTGCGGGCCGATCTGCCACTCGCTGCTGGTGTTGTCGGGGAAGCGCACCTTGACGAGGACGGACTTGATGGCCGCGATGCGGGCCGCCTCGGCCGCGGCTTTGTCCTCGAGCTCCTTGTCGGATGGCAGGCGCTTGTTGCGCGACGACTCGAGCAGACGGGCCTGGTGCAGTTGCGCGTGTGCGGCTGTCGGCGCAAAGTCTTCTTCATCGGCTGGCGCGAGGGCGGCGGCGGGGGTGGACCCGGTCGGGGCGAGGAAGACGTTGACGGGCTGGTAAGGGTCTCTGGACGTGGTCGGTTCGTCGCTGGAAACGGCTTCTTGGTGTGACTGTTGGGTGACTGCAACCGTGGGCGGCTGCTGTGCGGGAGGTTTTCGGGCTTCGGGAGAGGTGTTTGGAGGTGCTGGCGCAGCGTCGGCCATGGCTGTGTCCTGAGATTGCGCTGCGGTCTCGTCCTTGGGCTTGCTGTCCGGCGTCGAGTCGTCCACCTTGTCATGTTCTCCCCCGGCCTCCTTGAAGAACTGGCTGATCTGCTCCATGGCTTCGAACAGGGTCTGCTGCGTCGTTCTGTAGGAAAGCCGTATCAAGACATTTCCCGAGTTGTGACCCAGCTGGGAGAGCGTCTTCTGAAAGTCGGCAAAAGTCGATAACTCCCTCCCCATAATATTCAGCACCGGCGTCTCGTAGTACAGTTGCCCGCTGCCACGGCCATCCTCCAAGCCGCCCGCCACGCCACGCGCCGTAATGTTGACGTTCCTACCGCCGCTCGCTTCGCCGCTCTCAAACTGGCGCAGCACCTTCCATAGCGTCAGGTCTGAGGGGAACTTGCGAATCAGCCGCCCGCCAGGAATCTCCTTTGCCTCGGGCTGTGGGATCTGCAGAGCGATCTGGACGGCAGAGGGAGTGTTTGATTTCTGGACGAGCTCGAGCTTGGCGCCGGGGAGAAGGCCCGAGGCGCGCAGGGGAACGGAGAGATCGACCTGTTTTTGCTTGTGTCTTTTGCCGTTGTTTCCATCCCCGCGGTCAGCGTAGCCGATGCCTGCATCTAGCGGAAGCCTAACCTGAGGAGATATTTATCGCTGGTGAGGTTGAGCTTCTTGCAGGCTTCTTGGAGCACGTCGATGAGGTAGGTTCCGGGTGAGACTTTGATCGTGGTGCGCCGCAGGTCGGTGGCGATGACTACGACGTGTGAAGACATGCTTCGGGTGGGCTTGCCGGTTGACGGCGGGAGAGGCGTTGTTGGGGCGAAGAGTTGCAGGAAAGCAGAGCAAAAGAACGTGAGGGCAGTGCGCCGCAATGACGACGCTATGCTTATCGTGGGGCTGCAGCGGGGTTGATGTTCGTCAGCGGGCAGATGGATGCTGCTAGGTTGGACGATGGCGGCGGCGACAAGAGAAATTGGGCTGCAAGCGAGAGGGTAGCAAGAGTCTCTTGCGGAGGTTGTGGCCTCGTTCAGTCGGCCATCCGTCTGCTTCTCGAACAATCTCCAAGCTGATTACGTACAGCATGACGAAATGCCAAAGACGGGTGGGGTGAGCGAGCCTCAAAGGGCACCTTGCCTAGGTACGTACCTAGGTAGGTACCTAGGTAGGTAGGTGCTCCATACAGGCTGCTTTGCACGAAGTACATGTCTTACGTAACCCATGTCCAGCAGCTGGCAGAAGCTCGGACCAATCAACTGCGCCAGGCCCAAACAGCTCCCCCCCCCAAAGCCGCGCCAGACCGTGTTTGCCTTGCTGCTGCTGCTACTGCTGGCCATTGCTGAGCGCTGCCCCGGAGCTTCACCTAATACTCTTTAACCTCCGTCAAATCCGCCCTCTCTCCCTCCAGGCCAACAACACGTCGACAACCCACCACGACCACTTTTCGCCGCTTAGACGGGGGGGATCAAGCGTAGCTGCGCAAGCACCCCGGTGACCGATCCACGTCTTCCGGCTCCAACGATCTAGATCCTCTTGAATCGAGGAGAAGCACCAGCCCGGCCACCATGGTGAGCAGTCATATCGTCACCACCCTTGGGCACGGCTAACCGCGAGCTCTCTTCCAGTCGTCCCCCTTCTCGATCAGTCCGTTTCCCCCATCCAATCGCCCGTCATGATGATCATGGCCAGCTGACAACCGGGGTCAACGTTCCCCGTCCCGCGCAGACGGCGGCGCCTGTGTCGCCATGGTCGGCAAGGACTGCGTCGCCATAGCTTGCGACCTGCGCCTCGGCCTCCAGGCCCTAACCGTATCCAACAACTTCCCCAAGGTCTTCCAGTACGGCGACGTCTTCCTCGGCCTCACGGGCCTCGCCACCGACGTCAGCACCGTCAGCGACCTCTTCCGCTACAAGGTCAACATGTACCGCCTCCGCGAGGAGCGTCCCATTGCGCCGCGAACCTTTGCCAATCTCGTCTCCTCGTCTCTCTACGAGCGCCGCTTCGGCCCTTACTTTGTCTCCCCCGTCGTCGCCGGCCTCGACCCAAAGTCCGGAAAGCCCTTCATCTGCGGCTTCGACAGCATCGGTTGCATCGACTTTGCAAAGGACTTTATCGTCTCCGGAACCGCCTCAGAGCAGCTCTTTGGAATGTGCGAGGGTCTCTGGGAGCCCGACATGGTCAGTTTTCCAGCCAGCTGGTGCCCTGGTATCCTTTTTACGGGGCAAGCTGATTGCTGACACGTTCCTGTCTAGGGCCCCGACGCGCTGTTCGAGACCATCTCCCAGGCCCTGCTGAATGCCGTCGACCGTGACGCCTTGTCCGGCTGGGGCGCACATGTATACATCATCGAAAAGGACAAGGTCACCAAGAGATTACTGAAGGGCAGGCAAGACTAGGCTTATGGCCGAGGAGAGGTGCCGCGGATGCAGTTCGTGCCCGCCGAGCTGTGGGCCGCGCGGGCTTGCGTATTCCCCCGTGTACGAATACATAGACGGTCAATCTTTGTCGCCGCCGTCAATGAAATGGCCAGGCCATATCATTCAATTACTCGTGGATACACCCAAGTGTCAACCTCTAGCGCTTCCCATCGAATATTCCGTGCGTTTACCCCTGGTACCGAGAGCCGTTGTGAAAAGCACACTTATCCCGCCGATGCCAGCCGGTCTATGCACAAGTGTCTAAACCTCTAGCTCAGTCCAGTCACCAAATCTTGTCTATACATTCCTTTGTTCCCAAGAACTCTCCCCTGCTCTATTGCTCCTTCTTTGTCCGGCGCGTCTGGTCAGTCTCGCGCGTCGTCTGCATGAAGAATTGCCGTTCAAAGAACTTGAGGACCTCATCGACGAGACTGCAAGAAAAGAGTCAGCTAACCGCACACGACGTTGAAAACCAAGCCGAGGTCAGGGACATAAGCTTACATTACGGGGGCACTGATGAGGACCACAGCTTTCCACTCCATCCAGTTGAGCGGCAGGATGGCAAAGAGGCCCTGGAGGAACGGGATGTAGAGGAGAGCGAAGTGGAGCGCCATGGACAGGGCAATCGCGTAGACGAGCATCATGTTCTTCCACAGGGGCAGGGTGAGCAGCGACTCGCTCGACGACAGAGCATTCATCGCGTTGAACATTTCAATGACGACCAGAATCGACAGCGACACAGTCGAGCCTGCCTTGGCCATGTCGTTGGAGAACATTTCGCATCCAATCTCAGGAAAGTCTGCAGAGCAGTGGTGGAAGCGCGACAGCTGCCTGAATGTGATTTGGGGGCCCTCGGGGTTGTACATGAACCACCAGGCGTAGCCGGCCACCGTGGCAAGTCCGACGTAGGTACCAATGATCAGGTAGCGGAGGAACAGCCAGCCGCCAATGAGGGGTTCGTCCCGCTTCCGGGGCTGCCGCTTCATAATGTCGCCGTCCGGGGGGTTGAAGGAGAGAGCAGTGGCGGGAAGACCATCGGTGACCAGGTTGACCCACAGCAGCTGGACGGGGATCAGCGCCTCGGGCATGCCGAGAGCCGCCGTCAGGAAGATGGACACGACCTCGCCAATGTTGGACGAGATGAGGTAGCGGATGAATTGCTGGGTGTTGTTGTAGATGGCCCGGCCCTCCTCGATGGCGACCTCGATGGTCGCAAAGTTGCTGTCGGCGAGGACCATGTCGGCGGCCAGCTTCGAGACGTCGGTTCCGGAGCCCATGGCAACGCCAATGTCAGCCTTTTTGAGGGCCGGCGCGTCGTTGACACCGTCGCCAGTCATGGCAACGACCTCGCCGAGCGACTGGAGGAGATCAACAAGCTTGGACTTGTGGCCGGGCTCCACGCGGGAGAAGAGCGATGCTTTCTGGGCCGCCTTGAGCTGCTCGGCGGGGCTCAGGTTCTCAAACTCGCGACCGGTGTAGCTCTTGCCTCTCAGGTCCTCGTGCCGACCGAAGACGCCAATCTGTCTGCAGATGCTCTCGGCCGTGTTGCGGTTATCGCCAGTGATGACAATGACCCGGATACCAGCCTTTTTGCACTGCTGGATGGAGCCCGGGACTTCCTTCCGAGGAGGATCCAGCATGCCCACCAGGCCCAGGAGGGTCATGTCCTGCTCCAGTTGGGCATATTCTGAGGTAGATTTGGCGGCGAGCAGCGGGCTTTTGGAGACGTCGTCAACGCTGGCCAGAGCAATAACACGGAGACCTCGGTTTCCGTACTCAATGACTTCCCTCAACATGAGATCAGAGAGCTTCTCATCCAGAGGGACCTTTTTGCCGTCGGGGCCGAGAAGCGCGTGGGTACAGCGTTCGATGATGGATTCCGGTGCTCCCTTGACGAGTAGCTTCTTTTTCTTGCCGCTCTGAACCAGGACAGACATGCTCTTGCGATCACGCGAAAACTCGTACGTCGCGAGCCGGGGCAGCTTCTTCTCGTACTTGGCGCTGGCGAAGTGGACGCAGTCGTTGGGGTGGGTGCCGGCCGGGGCGCAGGGTCCAATCTTCTCAACAAGCACTCTCAGCGCACCCTCGGTCGGCTCGCCAACGCTGGAGAAGGTGGCTGTGCGTGCGTCGTAGGCCAAGTGGGAATCGTTGCACAAGGCCGCGACCTCGGTCATCTGGCGGATCGTGTCAGAGGTGGTCGAGAGATACTCGACGACTTGGCCCTTGATGCTGATGGCACCCTTGGGCGCAAACGTCGTGCCTTCCACGTCCAGCTCGGCCAGGTCGGTGCCCTGCTCGTTGAGGTAAACCATCTTGTTGACGCTCATCTGATTGGTAGTCAGGGTCCCAGTCTTGTCTGAGCAGATGACGCTGCAGCTGCCGAGCGTCTCCACCGAGGGCAGGCTGCGAACGACGGCGTTCTTTGCGGCCATCTTACGAGTGCCAAGCGCCAGACACGTGGTGATGACGACGGCTAGGCCCTCGGGGATCGCAGCGACGCCAAGAGAAACGGCAATCTTGAGGTAGTAGATGGCACCCTTGGTCCAGCTGCCATGGCTGGGGTCGTTAAAGTTGGGAATGTTGATGAGCCAAACCAGGATGCAGATGACAGTGATGACCTTGGCCAGGTTGTCGCCAAAGTCGTTGAGCTTCTGCTTCAACGGCGTGGGCTCCGAAATCTGGGCAGTGATGCTTTCGTGGATGTCTCCAATGGCAGTGTTGGAGCCGGTCAGGACAACGACGGCCTTCGCTCTGCCCGTGACGACGGTGGTTCCGGAGAAGAGCATGTTGACCTGGTCTTGCAAGACGGCGCGATCATCTTTGACGATGGCCTCTTCATCCTTGCCCACGCTCTCGCTCTCTCCCGTGAGAATGGCCTGGTCCACGGCAAAGCTGTTGCTCTCGATGGCGATGACACGACAGTCGGCAGGGATGCGGTCTCCCACGGAAACCGTGACGATGTCTCCCGGCACCAGTTCCTCGGCCTTGAGTCGCGAGACGTGGCCGCCGTTGCGGATGACATTAGACTCGTTGGCCGAGTACTCCTGGAGAGCGGCGATTGCCTTTTCGGCGCTGCTTTCCTGCGAGACCCCGACCACAGCGTTGAGGATGAGAATAGTGAGAATCTGCAAATAGTAACATGGTTAGCAATTGTGACAGCGGGGGACGGCGGCTCGGTTGATGTGCTCACCACGGCGGGATCGACAAAGGCACTCCAGCCGCCTTCGTCCTCGAGAAGTGCCAGCACGAAGGAGACGGCGGCGGAGCCGAGGAGAATGAGTACCAGCTGGTCCTTGAACTGTTCCAGGATCAACTCCCAGAGGGGCGTAGGAGGTTCTTCAGGGATGGCTATTGCGGAAGGAAAGAGTTAGCCGAGCTATGCGGGAGTTGGGGCAAGGGAAGCAAGCACGCACCGTTGCGGCCGTATTTCCTGCGAAGTTGCTCAACCTGCTTGTCGCTGAGGCCATTGTGCTCGTGAGTCTTGAAGTTAGCGAGCACCGTGGCAACCGGACGGGTGAAGGCGCTCTCCATGGCGAAGAGGATTCGCGCCGAGACGGCTCGCACGCAGAGATCGGAGGACTCGGATTCAGCGGCGGGTCGAGCAAGGTGACAGACAGCTGATGGGATCGAGGCTGTTACTGAGGGAAGCACCGCGGCGCAGTCGTCTCTGGCTCAGCGAAGGGGTGTACAGGAACAAGAGAGTGCGGGAAGACGAGAGGGAACAAGGCGAAGAGAGAACCGGTCAGTGACGGCTCAGCATGGCAGATTTGTCGGACGGAAATGGTCAAACAAGGACTCCACGCGGCGGAGAAGAGAAGGTTGGCGAGAGAGTGGTGCGGTGCTCGTTGCGCGAGAAGGCCAAAAACCTTGTAACGTGTTCGTTCGGGAAGCCAGCTGCGGCCACCAATCGCGCGGTACATGTCATCCTGAGGAACGCCACGTACCTCGGCGCTGCTGCAGGCACGCAAAAGGTACCGGCATATCTACAAGGCACGCGGCGGCTTAGCTTGCCGGGCTGGGTCTAGCTCGAGCTCCGCCGCTCCGAAGGTTCCAGGCCGGCTTACGGAGTCGAAGCAACGGCGGGGTCTCGCCCTTGCAGCCTGTAACACGGCGGTTCAGGCAACCTCCAGCCGCCTCGCTGCCTGACCCCGCAGGCGAAGCGATAGGCCTTTCTGCAGCGGCGTTTGCGAGGCCATCGTGGCCATGGAAAGGCGAAGCCACCTGGGTAGAGTGGTGATTTCTCCCCGTACACCAACATACCGCCTACATCTCTCACCCCAAGGTGAGCTCGAGCCGGTAGGCCACGGACAATTCCTAGGTGTGCCTTTTGCGCCGCTCGGTGCACACAGAGCGCCCCACAGCCCGCACGCTGCGCCATTGGAGGTGCATGCGGCACAAACCGCTGTGGTTGTACTGCGTGGCTTGACCTCCAAGGTCCATTCACCAGAATGACAGCGCTCCTCGGCCGGCCAAGACTCCGTGCGCGTCGAATGCGTCGTGGGTCGAATCTTCCTCACGGCTGAGAGACGTCACCGCAGCGGCTGCCCTCGTACCGGACAAGGTCCGTCGACCCCGGCATCGAGGCCGATGCCATGCTTGGTAACTTGGACAGCTCGACACCAAGTCTTTTCCGCGGATGCCCTTGGCGTCGATGCGTCGAGAGCAGCTGGCCTCTCAACCTTGGTATACTCCTCCACACGACGGCTTCCTCTTCGCCGAGAACTCGCATCAACATTCAATGCGCGTCTGCCCCCCGGGGACCCTGCCTGCCCTCTCTCCTCCGCAGCGGTCCGCCCAGCTTCTCCGGCGCGTGACACCCCCCGATGCCGTACGAGTCGTGAGACAATTACGAACTGCGGCGGTTCGGGGAGCATCCGTCTGACTGAGCCATCAAGCCCATCAACTCTTGCGCCTACGTAACCAGACAAGCCAAAGGCCTTACCTCGCCGCTCTTCCATGAACCGGCTCCTTCCTGGTCTGCCCGTCATGTGCTCCCGCGCGGGCGACAGGCCAGGCGGCCGAAGTTGTGCTGCTCCTTCCTCAAGTTGATGTCGCCGCGGGCTTGCCTCTCCAGCTGGCTGCTCTTCGCCCCTCAGAGGTCCCCTCGCTCCGCTTTCTTCTCCGTCATCCCTCGTCCCGTCTGTATCATTCTTCTTGGCTGCCTGCTTCTATCTGGCCGACATGATTTGACCCTCTGCCGATTGTTTTCTTTGCTCCTTTGGTGTCTTCTTGGAGCCAATTTTGCATCTTCTTTTTTGGACCTGCTCCTCTTCCGCCTTCGCAGCTGCGCCATGTCTGCCTCTTCGCCCTCGTCCTCTCCTCCCCGTGCTTCGACTCCTGGCATTCGTCACTGCAGCCAACATGGCCGCTCGATCGATGATCAGAGCCTGCACCTGGACAACGACGGGCTGCGGCCGAGCGCCAATCAAGCCGAGTTGGCATTGGGGCTTGGGGGCCTCCGTATCGAAGGCTTTGACATCCTCAAGACGTCGGAAAGCATCGAGAAGCTTGGGGAAACTCTCCGGGCGCCAGGGTCCACCAGACGCGCGGCACGCGCCCTACATGACATCGAGCAGCCGACTGAAGATGCGCCTGAAAACGAGGGACCCCATGTTGCACGACCCTTCCACAAATGGGTGCGATCCTTTCACCGAAAGGCGAGGCAGAGGCCCCCCTTGTGGGGTTCGAACGCTGGAACTCATCCCCAATGGTTCCTGGGCCCGGAACACGACGAGCACGTCTCCCCTCGAGCGTCGGGCAATCAAGAGTCCTCGTCCTCAGGCTCGTCATTCAGGTTCGTCTCGGCTGTTCGAAGTGCTAGCGTCAGCCTCGCCAGCGTCAGTATCGTGGCGCGGTCCAGGAGAAACAACGCGCTCTCGCAATGCGTCTCCCGAACGGATCGCAGCAGTGTAGCTTCTGCCTCTGGACCAAGGGTCTCCGAAGACAGCGCCATGCTCGACAAGGTGGACGTGATCGATGCGGCCGCGACCGAACGTGCTCTGCAACGGCGACGCATCTTGGAGGAGCTCATCAGCACAGAGGAGGGCTACATTGGAGATGTTCGCTTTCTCATGAACGTATGTCCCACTGCCATCTGTCTTCATGACTGAGACGTTGACGGTGCACTAGGTCTATGTCACCATTCTGGCCTCGCTCCCCGCCATGTGCATGGGTCTGCGATCATCAATCAACAAGAACCTTACTGAAATCGTGGAGCTTCATGAGGAGATTCTCGGCGAGCTCCATCAAGCGGTACCTCACTCAGAATACACCCAGTCTCAAATGACCCCAAGCCTTGCCACCAGGACGAGCCCGCTTGCGATCGATGGGCCGGGGCATCGCCGATGGACCAGCGTGGATGGGGTTATGGGACACAACAACCGAATGGCGTACCTTCAAGGTGTTCCTGGGATGACGACGGAGCCTCAGGTGGCGGCAGAAGTGGCCAAGATCTTTGCCAAAAAGGTGCTGCCCCTTTATGATTCTTGCGCCTTACACGGTGTAACGAGTCCCACTAACTGCACTCCAGATGAATCGGTTCTTCATATATAAGGAGTATGGAGCAAAATATGAGTTGATGATCAAGGACGTTGCCTCGGCCAACCAGGCCATGCCGCAATGGGAGACGTATCAAAAGGGCCTCGAAACGCTTGCGTCAATCCTCGGCTCCGCCAAAAATGCCGACGAAAAGTCCAAAAAGGCCCTGACAATGGGAGACTTGCTGGTCAAGGTGAGTCGCTGCATGCTGGTTGGAACCCAGTGAGCTAACCATCATCGGTAGCCCATCCAGAGGGTCTGCAAATATCCGCTCCTCTTCGCCGAACTCCTCAAACACACGCCGGTGTCGGATTGCCCCAACTCGCACATGGAAGTTGACAGCGTTCTTACGAGGCTGCGAGAGGCAATGGCGGAAATCAATCGTGCCACCGACGATTCTCTGACCAAGGCCACGCTCGAGAGAACCTGGCTGCTGCAAGACCGGCTGGTATTTTCCAACAAGGTACAGGTCGCCCCGAGCCCGTGACAGTAAGTGTCAAGACCATGGGCTCACCCTATCGTAGAGGCTTGATGCCGTGTCCAAGAATCGAGTTCGCTCCTTTGGCCACATTCGTCTTTGCGGCACGCTGCACGTCTGTTGGCAATCACCGAGTGGAGTCGATGGACAGTACTTGATCTGTCTTTTATACCGCGACGTCCTCTGCCTTGCCTCGGCGGGGAAAGCAGATCAAATATATATCATCCATGCCTGCATCAATTTGAACGGGGCTAGCATTGAGGATATCGACAACGGGCGAGGTGAGATGGCGGCTTGATTTGCTCTCGGCATTGTGGGTGTCGTCTCTGGCTAACGGATGTAAAGGACTCCAATGCCATACGGCCCCCTTTTCCTGGAAACTGGTCTTTGAATGCGACCATCAGCTGTACGAGATGATCATGACGGCCTGCACGCCAAAGGAGGAGGTGGAATGGCGGACAAGGCTGTCCCGGCCGGTCAAGGACAGCTCCGAGCCAAGGGATCCCAGTTGCTTCGGCTCTATGGACTTGGACATGAAAAGCCTGGGCACTGTGTTTGGCAAGCCAGGTCGGTACCCGTACGCTGCGACTGACCGACGAAAGACGAGAGCTCTAACCGTGAGTCGCAGGTACCATTGCTCGGCGCGTGTCAATTCATCGGGCCACGACTGTTGGTCCGAAATCACCGCTGTGCCAAGTTGTGCTGAAGAACACGAGCGTCGTACGGGACACGGCCAGCAGCGCCTCAGCAGCGTTGACCATCAACCGCTCGCAGTCTCTTCTGGCCACGCATGCGCGGATGTCTGTACTGTCACCGGCTCGCAGCGAGCGGGCGCGGCTGGAGGCGCTGCTAGCCGACGTCTGGAGCCGAGAGGTACTTCCTTTTCCGGGCATGACGACTCGGGCACGGAGCGAACATCTGGTTCGGGCCTCGGCATCGACAGTGATGAGGAAGCTCAGTGTTGCGAGCATCACCAGTTCCTTCGCTCGGAGATCTGGCAGTCTAACGCATAAGTCGAAGCCCACTGATGATGCTCCCAGCAGAGTGGATTTCAAGCGCCGCGGCTGGAAAAGCTCGACCGATGACGTTTGGCCAGATTGCAAGGGCGCGGATGCGGACACGATACGAAGAACGAAGAGAGCTCGAATTGGGCGTGGGGTCCCTGCCGGGTCAAAGGCAGAGGTCGATGCGGAGCATATAAGCTTGGCGGGTACGAGGACCGCTCGCCGCGCAAAAATGACCCGAAGGACGAGTGGAGATGAAGGCACGGCATTGCGCGCAACGTCGGCCAACAGCCTGCGGTTGGGCGAATGTAGACTGCCTGCGAAGTCGAAATCGCACGTGGATATGGAGAACAAGTGCCAGAGAGCTGGCGATGAGGTTTCGATCCGCGGCCAGCGGGACAAGTCTGATGGGAACAAGAGCGATGGAGTAGGCCACGGATTCAGGAGTATTTTTCGATAGGCGATTGCCTTGAAGCCGCTTGGAGGGGCTTGGAGACGGGACGATGGTTTGTGGGGACCGGTTGGACAGCTCACTTATTTGAAGGGTAGCAGAGGGCATGTCATTGGTCTCGTCGTTGGGCTTTATGGTGGGGTGGGGTTTAGCCAGGCCTATGGCACGGCGCGGTGTCTTGCAGGAGCGACAGATTATACAAAGTGCAGAGTGGGCATGCCAAAGTGCAAGATTCGTGGCGAGTGGATCAAGGATGAGGCAATGGATGGATGAGTGGGCAGCCGATGACGTAGACGCTGTTGGTGGTGATGGGAGTGGATTCTGTGGAGGCGGCGGAGCAACTGTCTTGCCAAGGTACAAGGTACACACAGCTTGCCGTGCCTTGCTCTTTACCTAGGTTAGGTACGGATACTGACCCAAGCTAGGGGAGTAGGCAGTTTTGGGTCTTGCTTGGGCGAGGCCAGCTCGTCGAGGTGCTGCAGTACTTACTGTAGCTGACGGAGACCAATTCTGCATCACCTTGGGCACGGGAGAAGTGCAGGAATGAGAGGAGCACAAATGACCTGATGTACCAACCGCGTGTACCGGGAAAGGAGGTACCTCGTGAGCGCCCAGCACAATGACGTAGCTCCCAGCCAAGCTCCTCCCGCGGCACAACGAGCCCAAGCTTCCCTTTAAGGCCGAGCCCGCTTCCTACTTTCCCTCCTCTCTCTCCCTCTCTCCCTCTCTCCCTCCCACTTCCTCCCTCAACTCCTCGCGACCTCGCCAATTGAACAACAAAACCCCATCAGCTTGCAAAGACAAACCAACCTCTTTCACCACCCTCAGTTGACCGATTCATCGAGTCCAAGGCCAGCCGTACGCCCTGCACACCTACAGTGAACGTCCCTCAGTGAAGGATTGACGTCACGCGATACCCCGCCTTCAAATTCTTCAAACAACTACCGTCACACCGCTCCGTCGATAGCAAAATGACTCGAGGCGAGGCTTCTCAGGTCAAGGTCCACTACAAGGGCAAGGACGAGGACTTTATTGTTCTCGTGGACGACGAGGCGACGTACAAGAAGTGGCTGGCGGACAAGAGCGTTCCCTTGGCGCACTTTGTCTCGGCCTTTAAGATCTTTGTGACGCACAAGTGAGTAATGAATGGCTTGGATCCCCCCCCCCCCTTTCCAGCGTTATCTTCTTGCCTGCAGCTCCCACCTTGATTTCTACGATGATCGAGGTTGGCAACTGCCATCTGGGATGCCACCTTGCCATGGGCCCTGGCTTCAATTCGTGGTGAACGCCGAGGCAGCTGACTCTGTCTTGTAGGCAGGGCACTCAGGGCATGATGGACACGGCGTCAAAGGCCACGCTGGACAACCAGTTTGGCACCTCGGTCGATGAGGAGGTGATCAAGCAGATCCTAGAGAAGGGCCACATGCAGAATTCAGAGGTACGCACGGCTTCCCTACGATGGCCCAAGCCCTTGACAAAAGTGACAATCGCGTCTAATACTTTGATTTTGTCAAGATGTCCGACCGGCAAGGGCCCAAGAACGACTCAATGAGCTCCATGAATGCTCATTAAAGGACTGGCGTGGACAGGGGCGGTGCCGTTGGCTCAAGCGCATGGTGCAACGGCTTACCCGGCAAGAGACGAGGGGAAGGAGGCAACGCAAAACGACTTACGAGCCTCGAATAAGGAATGCTGGCAGGACGGCATGGACACCCTGTGTTATCTTACCTGATGACGACGGAGCAGGGGAGTAGACAAATACAGAGTATTCCGAAAGGCCTGGATGGTTCCGAGCGTGAGGCCGGCGTATGCCTGCCTGACAAAGATTGCTCAACGTCGCACTTCTACTTTGAACCTGTCGCCCTTTGATGCTCTAATATGCCACCGGGAACTTGGGCCCCATTCCCTTCCATGCTGGGCCTTGGCCGAGTTGAGCTTCCAGTAGGAAAAGAAGGAGGCGCACATGGCTCATAACCAGCGACACTCTTGGAACTGTGGCGCTGCGTGTTATGTCCTGCACAGAGTATAGCGGGGAGCAAGAAGCATCTAAAGAGGGGCAGAGGGGGTGGGATGGCGGCCGACGGGGGTTTTCGCGCATTATTCCGTGCCCTGGGGAGTACAATACAGAGGCACGGGTACCGAGACGCAAAAGGCACAAGCCGCGCAACCCCGAGATTTGCGCCTGGCCGCGGCAAAGGGGGGACGGGTCGGTACAACCCAGGTCCCAGTACCGGTCCGGAGCAGCAGCGAGGTACCGCCGCTCGGATGCAGCCAGGGGTGGGGACGGCGGGATGAGGCGGGGTAGGGAGCGTGTATGGGGGTTGCTGAGCCTTCGACAGAGGAAACCGAGGCACGTTGGGAAGTGGAGAGAGGCTTGTCAGAGACCTTGGGTTGGGTGTCATGGTGCGGGCGGTGGTTTGTCTCATCCGGGTCTCAACGCCAGCTCGTGGGTGCGCGCCTCGGCGGCCATGGATGCGCCCTGCTTGCGTGGCACGTCGGAGTGCACGCACTTGGACGCACACACGCACCACACACACGTGCGCGCAACGACAAGAGTGAGAGGAAGTGGGGATGCGAGAGTTTGGGAGTTGAAGCCTTCCGTTCTTTCCTTTCCTTGAGCTAAATTACATCTGCTCTCGGGGAGTTTGCCCCCGCCCGTGCCCTGTTTCCATACAGGCAGGGCAACGAGAATACCAACGCCAACGCTAGATGCAAAATGCTAAATGCAAATTTCCAAGGTAGACGAGAAGAAATAAGGGATACATCCGAAATTATCGTGCCTTGTTTTCCTTCTCCCGTCGTGGATTCATGATGCGCGTGTACGTCGAATATCCACATCAGGTCGTTACGCCTTGAGGCCCATGCCTCCTCGCACCTCTCGCTGCGGCAGGGTCCAGGGCTTGGCGCAAATCATCTCGCCCTCGCTGTAGGCCCAAAAGTAGGCGCCCATGCCGATCATGTAGTAGATGGCCGAGTTGGTGGACTGGTACATGAGCACCGAGGCCAGCGCCGTCAGCGGCAAGACGGCCAGCCGGAACTCGAGGGAGCGGTGAAGGCCGGTGCCGGCGACAAAGCCGAGGGGCCACTCGAGAGCGAGCAGGCCGAGGCCAAAGAGGAGGTTGATGATTTGCAAGACGGGCACGGGCCTGACGGCCGCGTCAAGGTTTCGCGTGATAAAATCCCAGAAGATCTTGGGCCAGAAGAAGCCCTCGATGGCAGCGGCCACTTGGTCTGTACATGGCTTGTTAGCATCCTGTCATGGACGTCGACATCTGGAGTTGAGACAACGTACAGATTGCAGCCGTGAGGATAATGAGCCGGGCCCAGTGGTTCTTGATGAGCTTGCCCATGATGTTTTTCCACTCCTGTCTGCTGCTGGGTTCGGATTATTGCTTGGTGACCGTTGGGCAACTCGGCTTTCCTCTTCGGAACCCACCCGTGGGACGATGAGGTGCAAAAGATGCAAATTCGAAGCGATTTGACGAAGGACGGATGCGGTCCAAAGGATCAAAGAATAGTCGGAGCACGGTGACCAGACCTGCGCCAGTGAAGGATTTGAGAGAAAGTTGCCGGTGATTACAGCGCGTGAGAGGATAAAAAAGAGAGTTCTCGACAAGTGAAGTCTGTGCGAGAGGCGAAACGTGAACAGACGCGACCAAGAGCGCGGGGACGAAGAGAAAATGCAGTAATGGGGCAGGAGGAAGGAAGGAGGGCTGGACGAGAGGGTGGAGGGATATGGGCTGATTCTATAACCGACGATGGGGCACCGTCGGCAGGGCTGGCAACCCGGACGAGGGCTGCTGCCAGTGCCGAGGCCGATGACGGGCAAATCGTGTGTCAGATGGCAGACACGGATCCAGTCTGGGATGTGCCCGACTCAGCAGCAGGGCAACAGGTCGGCAGTCGAGGGCGTTAGCAGAAGGCATCCGGACGGCATAAACCGATTCGTGGTCCCGCCGAGAGCCCCAGGGAGAGCAGTTGCAGAGGTTCGTGGGTGGAGGCGAGTCGTGAGAGCCGCAAGACGGCTTCGCAGGGCAGCTGCTCGTTGCGGGTCCGCCACGACGACGATGGGCTATGCGTCCGAAGTACCAGGGCTAGTAGGCGTGGGCGAGAGAATTCAAGGGGGTTGTTTTGGTGATTTGGGCGTCTGACACTCGGGTTGGTAGATCAGACAAGACGACGTCGGAGGTTTGAGGCAGAGCAGTTTTGGAACCGAGTCAATTTGTGGAAAGCAGGGGTGTGGGTGGTATTGACTAATAGGTGAGTGAGGGCGGAGGAAGAGGGAGAACAGTGATGAGGGTTTGTAAGGCGCAGGGTGTGTTAAAACAGACACAGAGCGAGAGGGAGAGAGAGCAGAGAGGAGAGAAGGCGAGGGAGAGGAGCGGCGCATATGTTAAAAGCGCGAGGTCGGGCCTGCGGTGAGAGAGAGCGCCTGAAGCACCTGGCAAGCCAATCACGGGGCAGCATGTACAGACATGCGCATGTATATACGTGTGTACATGCGTGCAATCGGCCATGGCTCCAGGAGGACCACCGACTGCCGCACGCTCACTCACTGTGGCGGCATTGGACGGCAGCAAGCCACGGACGTGCTGACGACGGCAGGGGCCAATGCAACAAACAAGAGACCAAGATAAAACCCCATCCGCATTGGATGTTTGGACGTGAATCTCGAGGAAAATTCACCAAAGGGCGGCAAAGGTGGCTGCTAACTACTAGGTACCTGCCTAGTCTCGAGCACAGCAGGTGTGATTGGGACAGACACAGAGGGCCCGGCGGCTAGAATGCTGGACGGCGGCCTATCAGCACCTCGCTTGGCGCTGCATGCGTCCTACTCTTGGAAGGGTGGGAGAGGGGGGCAGACGGGCTTCTCGTACCTGACTGGGACTGTACTGTACCTTGCTTAGCGGCCCGATACCTTGTTCGGCCATCAAGTCCCCCAGTCCCGTCACGACTTGCCCTGCGCTGCCCACCTGCGCTGCCCACCTGCGCTGCCCACGTTGGAAGTAGCCTGCGCCAGTCTTGAGTACCGGTACCGACAGAGGCTAGCGACGAGCCTACAGAAAAGCACTAACCTCGCTGTATCCAGTGCCCAACCATCTGAGTTACTGGCCTGACCGGAGCCGTGACAAGAGATGGCCACTTTGCTTTCTCGTCTGCTGGAAATTGCTCCTTGTAGCCGGATTCAACAGGTGCGTGGCAAGCGAAGTGAATCTGTGCGTGCAACACACAAGGTGCGTCGTCGTCCGCCCCCCTGAAGGTCCAGAGAAGAGGCACAGCATGGCCGAAGTAGGAAACGCGGTGTTAAGAAAAGAACCAAAAGCGTCCGGTGATTGATAAGTTGATAAGTCACGACCTAAAGATACCTAGGATGCTAGGTCGGTACCTAGCTGCTGGCCAAGTCAGCTTCTTAGGGAGATGCTGCGCCGCACTCGCGCCGCGGCCCGTTGCAACGCGCTTAGCACCCGAGTCACCGCCCACCTGCCACACCCCGGCGACCCACCGTTCTTCTTCACGACTCTCCGTCAGCCACTACCTACTCAACTAGGGTAACCGTCGACAAGTCAGTCCAGCCACCTTCTCGGCCTCGGATAGCCGCCGACAAGATCTCCCCGCTTTTCCCCTTTTCGGGGGCTTCCTGTCCTGTTCTCTGCCTAGTTTGTACAGCACCCAGAAACGCTGACGTGGATGGATATGGACGTGGTCATGGAGGGAAAAGACGCCCACAACGGGCCCGATTCTATTTCCCGCTCGAACGCTTCCACTCCACTCATACGCGTGCCCGCTCTCTCCGTCGCCATCGCACCGGTGCTTCCCTTGCGCGGACAATTGAGATCCCTCCGACTCTGAGCCCAAGTCTGATTCCAACAACGGCTTTTGTCCCGACGCCTCCATCTCGCCATGGGCAATGATGGCGCACGTGGCATAGGGGAAAGCTCGCCAACCACGCAAAGCTCACTCTGTTACGCCCCCTGCCTTCTTGGACGTCAAAGATACAATGCTTGGGCATATCTTTGTTGCCGCCGCGCGCATCAGCTACCACGCGAAAAAACAATAAACGGGGTTACCGGACCCGATGGTTGGTCCACATGAAAGCACGGCCTCTACCTTTGATGAAGACTACCCCTTCGAGTCCCTTATTGGCTTTCGTTCTCTACGCTCCCTTCTTGTCCCCCAGCACGGTCCCTAGGGAGAATCCTGAAGCCCTGGGGCATGGACGTGCTTCAGCCTTTTCAGGCCTTCAGGGCCGCCAGCTAAAACATGCCAAATCCCTCTCCTCTAATCAAACTACGCTCACTGTGGTGATAAGGAGCAAGTCCAAGCTATCCTCGCGGCGAGAGGCTTCATGTCCGCTCTTCTTGTCGAGCGATCAATGCACCCTAACGCGAGACACGGCCGTTCCATCCTACAAGTGCGGGGATGCATCATCCTGCCTCCTTTACATGAGTTTGTTTGTAGATGGCCGTGTTTGCTCTCGTTCCTTTGAGTCCGCGCACTGGCTACACGTGCCTGCACGCAAGAATCCCGAGCGAATGGACGAGCCTGGCGCCCATCATGAACACACGAGCCGGGATAATAAAATGGACTGAAAAAGAAAACGCACCCCGTCGCGGCGGGCCGCCATCAGCCGGTGCTGCATCGGACTATTCCATGCCCCCTCCGGTCCAGCACTCGAGCGGATTCGCCCACGCCTGGCCAAGATCCGAGACAATGGCACGGGCGGTTCTGCACCGCTCCTCATTGGCCTCTTCCCCTCCTGGGGATACTAGGCTTGGTGGCTTAAGCCCATGAGGGTGCGACGGCCAAGCAACTTTGCCCTATGACCCAATCCAGGCTCCCAGCCGTGCTGTGCTTAAGCTTGTGATTCGACGGCGTGGCTTCTCGTACAGCGATAGCCGGCTTAGCCACTTGCACTCCCTCGTATTGTAGCAATGCTGATTGTTGTCGGGCCTGGCGCTGGGCCTTTCCAAGGCGTCGTCTTAGCGCCGCGGCAACGGAGAGCAGTGACAGGACACTGGGTCTCGAGTACAGGGCATAGTGCGACTGTCGAGAGGCAGGCAAGGCAGGGCTGGCAGCTACCAAAGAGTTCAATGAGTACAAACAAATACAGTGACCTCAAGTGACGGTGCCGTGTCGATTCCTCACGCATGGTCTTGACCGCTCTCAACCAAGGCGAGCAACGGGCCCGGCCGTGAGAAAGGCCGTCACTCTTTGGCCATCTGCATGCCCCAGAAAGTAGCAAAGCTCGTCCTGCCCGTCGGGGTCGAGCGCGTGCTGCGCCAGGTGGCCGAACCCGGTGCAAATGTCGGAGAGGACGTTGGTCTGGCCCTCGCCCAGGGGGGCACCGACCCCCGTGCAATGCGCCAGGAGATGTCTCTGGGTGCTCGTTGCCGCTTGTTCGTGAGCCTGCTGCGCGTCGGCGGCGGCAGCACACTGGCGTCTCAGCGATTCGAGGCAGGATGGCAGCTCAGCGGCCGACGAGACGGGGATGAGGGGGATGCAGTTGTCGCGGCTCGGCAGCATCCTGGGGGTAGAAGAGCCAGTCAGAGAGATGATTGCGACTGCTGTTACCGCGCAACTCGACTCCTTGGGGGGTCTGTGGAAGCGCGTACTGCATCTGCAGCGTCATGAAAGCTGCCATATCGTCCTGACTGGCGACGAGGAAAACGATCGCCGTCTTGCCTCCGCCGTCGAGGAGAGGAAGCCTCTCGATGCGCTCGTTGGCCTGCGACGTGCCAACCTGAGCAGCGGAGAAGAGCAGGAGCCGGAAGCATCGGTCGCGGCCTTGGTGCAGGCGCGTCAAAAAGCCGACGTCGTGCGTCTCGAGCTTCGTCTCTGCACGCAGAGTCAACGGGCGACGAAGCCGGGTCCCCGTCTGTCGGGCTGTTACCTGTCCAAGAGCGCGTTGTGAGCTGGGCGACGGCCGGGGCCCATTCCCGTCGCTTCCTAAGAGAGGTGCAGAACATGGCGCTAGCGGTGAGCATCGATGTCGAGTTGGACTCACTCCGGTTGGTTTTGAGCTTGGGTGCGATTCGCCATTGATGGAGGCAACTTTTTTCTATTCCGTCTTTCTGAGAGGGGATGGTCCAGGTTTTCAATGCCCTGTAGGTGGAAAGAGCTCTCCGCCTCCTGCGTTTCCCCCAACTCCCCTTCCTTGACGCCGACAATGAGATGACGATGGCGAAAAAAACAGTAACCGTAAAATAAAGCAGGGCAACACCGCGCCAAGTAATGGTACATGGGCAGGACATATATATAGGGGTCGTCTGCACGTCTCGCGTCCAGGCATGACGCTCCCTTTCTCGCCGAGGCAGCGTTGGTGTCAAGTCTCCTTCAAAGCCGGCAGCAGAGTTTGTTTTGTCTTTGGATCCTGCAACGCCCTCAGCGCCGCCTCGAGGGACTCGAACCTCTGCCTCTGTTTCTCCTCGGAGTCGGCCAGTTCGTCCTCCCGCCTCTGGAGCTCCTCGAAGCGCCGGTTGAGGTCGTCTATCCGTTCCTTGTTGATGTCGGGCTTCTGTGACGCCTTCCAGTACTCGTATATGATGAGCCCCCCCGCGACGCCCAGGATGAAGGCGTCGCCGGTGACGTCGGCGAAAAGGTCGACGGCCTTGGCTTCCGGCAGGGGGCGAAACTTTCGCTTCCACACGTTCTGGAAGGGGAACTTGTTGCGGCCCGACGACGACGGGTCTGGTTTGGACTGCACCTTGGCTGCCTCGTCGCGGCGCGTCTGCTCCTCCGTCTTGACCGTGGGCGCCTCGGCCTTTTCCTTGGCCCGCCGCTCGGCCTCGGGGTCTCGGAGGATGGCCACCGAGAGCCTCATGTTGAGCTGGTGTATGGCCTGGCCGTATCTGGCGGCAAAGGCGCGGAACCGAGGGTGGTCGTGGGCCTGCGCCTTGATGCGGTTCTGTCGCAGGGTCAGCGGGGAAGGAGGATGACTCTTGAGTCCTTGTTGCTTTACCGCGCCGTATTTGGAGACGTGCCGCACGAAGAGCGCGGCGAGCTTGAACAGAGGCAGCGGCACCATAGCGGTCCGCAGCGGCCTCGCGCAGTGGCCGGCTCCGGATGGGACAATACGTAGAGGACGAGGTCGAGCGCGGGTTTGGGTTGCGGGAAAGTGGAGGTTCTGGATGAAGGGACGGGCGGGGACGGGCGGGCCGGGGGAGGCTCGACAATCCGGCCGACTCGGCCCGAAGCTGTAGCGTCGCCCGCGGGAGCTTGTGGGTCAGGACGGTGACGGTCGCCCGCCTGTTGTACGAAATAGTTTCCATGAATCATGGGTATAAAGGATCGTTGAGAGGGTGGGCGCATGGTTCTACTTCCTTTATTTACTGCAACTCTATTGGTGGCCGGCCACCTTGATGCCATCGGGCAGTATTAGTTCGTAATGGAAGGACAAGGAGCTCTGGCCACAAAGACGGCACAAGCCCGATTGTTTTCAGCCACTCCCCTCTACCCACTGTATGAGGATTGCGTTTGAAGATGGAAAAAAGGAACACAATAGCTTATGATATGTTCCGAACCGAGGTTTGCAATGACGCACCAACCTAATTCTCTCTCTTGCACCTCGCCGACCTGCTCCTTTCCGCCTATAGGGTAGGCCAGGGCGGGGGCCTCCTCAGACCAATCGGCCGCTACGGTGCCCCGACACCACGTTCCGAAGCGCCGGAAGGCTCCGGCAAGTCTTTTCACGGGGCATCCAGTCTCAGCTCGTTTATATTGCCGCCCAGATGGCAACTACCGATCTGACTCTGCTCTCTGTGCTACAACTTGTGTAACCTGTGGGGAAGGCCAATGGCGGGAGCTAGGGCCAGGTACAGCACGGGCCACTTGGTCAGGGTGTCCGTAGGTACTGGGAACCTGCCCTACAGGCATGCGCCGCGCGGGAATTAGTGTACTTGGATACCGGTGTGCTCATTGCAGGCCCGGCGCGCACTGGTTGCGCGGGCAACCAAATTGGAAAGTACACAAACCGCACGCCTGCCCGCCCGCCTGCCTGCCTGCCCTGCCACTGCGAGGAGCAAAGCAAAGAAAGCCCTTGCACCCACCTTCACCACCACCACGAAGTCGCGCCCCTCGCGATCCAACGTCGACAGGCCGGGCCGGCCGTTTCGAGATCACCAACCGTGCTGTGCAACAGATGCCTGCCTTCCCCATACATGTCCCGACGGCCCTGATTGCTGCACGCTCCGCGTCCTGGCTCATCTCCATCCTCGGCCGACGGCAGTGCAGTTGAGCGACTCGGCAGCAATGGCTCATAGGTTGACTGCTGCCAGAGCTGCCGTCGACATGGAGGCCTTGTCCCCTAGAGATGCCAATGCCCAGCGATTGCCCAAAGCCGCCGAGGTTAAGTCCAAGACGGTCGCCCAGCTGAGGGCCGCAAAGGACAAGGAGCACCCTCCGCCGCCGCCTCCCCACGTCACCGAGCCTTGCAGCTCTGATCGCCCAGATGGCGCCGTCTACCAGGTCGGCAGGCTGCTCGGCAAGGGGGGCTTCGCCATTTGCTACAGTGCTCAGCAAGTGTCGACCAAGCAGAAGCATGCCCTCAAGATAGTCAAGAGCCGCATGCCGCCCAAGATGGAACAAAAGGTAGGTCGCATGCTTCCTCCGCCCCGACTGCCCTGCCCTGACGCGTGCCTCTAGTTCCAGACAGAGCTCCAGATACACTCCAAGATGAGGCACAAAAACGTGGTCCAGTTCCTGAGAGCCTTCTCATTCGACAGCTGCACCTACCTCGTCCTCGAGCTTTGCAACAACGGCTCCCTCATGGACATGGTGAAGCGACGCAAAGGATTGACCGAGCCCGAGGTCCGCTTCTACTCGGTCCAGATTGCCGGCGCCATCAAGTACATGCACGGAAAGGGCATCATCCACCGCGACCTCAAGATGGGCAACATCTTCCTCGACGCCCGGATGAGCGCAAAGATTGGCGACTTTGGTCTTGCCGCCTTGGTGGTGACTGGTAGGGACATGCAGACCATTCGTCGCACCACCCTCTGCGGCACCCCCAACTACATTGCCCCCGAGATCCTGGAAAAGGGTAAAAAGGGCCACGACCACATGGTGGACATTTGGAGCCTGGGCATCATAATGTGAGACTGCAGCCGCCTTGCCCCGTCCCGAGCGCCCGCTGACCTTGTCAGGTTCGCCATGTTGACGTCCAAGCCACCCTTCCAATCCTCGACAACCGACGAAATCTATCGCCGCGCCCGCGAGAGAGACTACGAATGGCCGACGGCCGACGCGTCCCAAAAGTACATCAGCCAGGAGGCCAAGGAGGTGGTCGCCACCATGCTCGAGGACGCAGACCGCCGCCCGGACCCAGACGCCATCGTCCAGCACCCCTTCTTCACCTTGGGATACATGCCGACCGAGGCCGACTTGAGCCCTCGCCTGCGCGAGTTGCCCCCCGAGCGTCAGGAGTTTTACACGACGCGCATGGGCAGCTCAATGCAGGCACAGTCGTACCGTAACTTGAAGGACATGTGTCGGGAATGCTGCGTGGGCCCCTGGACCCAGGTCCAGCTCATCCACACGCAGATTTGGAAAGAAATGGCGGCCGAGGAAAAAGCCGGACTGACTCCGGCGATACCCTTGGCCGAGAATTTGGTCTACAGGCCCTTTGAAGAGATTGTCAAGGAGCAGCAAAAGATTCGCACAAAGTACGCGTCCTCGATCGTGTCGCATTCGTTGCTGCCCGCCGCATACTCCGAGGACCCGTTGGCGAGCACCCAGAAAGCAGCAGCCGTCGGCCTTTTGCGACAGCCGCCGCAGAGCTTTGCCGCTCAGCAGCGAGCTCAGAACAGGCCCCTCACGGTTGTCCCCAAGGCCAGGCCGAAGCCTCTCGTTGAAGCCGCCGCGCCTCAGCCACCCCAGGTCTCGCGAGTTCGATCTCGACAAGATGCCGCCCCCGCGACGGCTTCCAAGGAGGTGCCGGAGCGCACCGCCAAGAGCATGCGCAGCTCGGTGCGCACGACGCTGCCCTCGGCAAGGTCGGCGCCCAGTCTGCAAGTCGCCGAGCGAGCGGCGGCCATTGCCTCGGACCCTCCGGCCTCCCTGAAGAGGTTCAGCTCGTCGGACTCGATTCGACCAACGACGCTCTTTAGCCCGGACGAGAAGACGGACGAGATGTCCGGAACCAAACCCGACGTTATTCTGGACCGGCTTAGACGGCTTCAGACGGAACTGGAGAGGGCGCTCAACTCCCGGACCATGGCCATCATATCGTCAAAGACTGTGACGCCGCCCCATCCCCACGTCGTCGTAAAATGGGTCGACTATACCAACAAGTTTGGGCTCGGGTATATTCTCAATGATGGCAGCGTGGGATGCATCCTGCGCGATGTTCCCACCACCGAAGGCGTCAAGACGGCCATGCTGCCCCCTGCCGGCGTCTTCATCCGCGGCGCCGAGAAGCATATCCTCCGCCGGCAGGACGAGTCGTATCCCGACAGAAGCCAGCCGATCCCGATGACAGAGCCAATCAAGTTTTTCGAGAACAATGGCGAAGGCGGCTTGGCCGAAGTCTCTGTGTCACCAGAACAGTTCCGCGTAGCCGTTGGCGAAGATGGCACGGCGGGCAAGATGAACCCTGGCAAAGACATTTACCAGCACCGGAAGCGGGAAAGGATCATCCTGTGGAAGAAGTTTGCCAACTACATGATCGCCTACGGCAGAGACGAGGCTGCCCCGGCTGAAGAGGCCGAAGCGGCGGGTGTAATGTCTCCTGGCCGGAGGGACACGACGGCAGAGCTGGTGACGTTTTATCAGCGGTTCGGGGACGTCGGGTGCTGGGTATTTTGCGACGGCCATTTACAGGTACGGCTATCCATGGCAGCATGTCGTGATGTATGAAGCAGTCAGTACTAAGCCACTTTGCAGTTCAACTTCCCCGACCATACAAAGATCGTCCTCGATGCCACGGGCACCTGGTGTCACTTTTGGCACCTGCCGCAAGAGGCAGCAGAGAGACTTGCCACGACGGGCACGATAGGCGCAGCCGCGCTCGACGACCGGGCGACGTTGACGTACCCGTTGCAGACGCTGCTCAACTTTCAGTCCAAGCCATCGGCGGCCCGCTCTGCGCGGGCGTCGACGTCTCGCCGGCGGCCAGAGATTGACCCGGAAATGCAGGGCATCCCGGCGGCAAACGACTTCCGCCGCAAGGTCGAGTTTATCCGCAACGTGGTTCGGGAGTGGGTGGCCAACGAGGGGCTGGGCAACAGTTCCATGAGCAGGGAGACGAGGCTTCGCTGGACGGGCTTCCGGGAGACGGTCAACGCGACGATTCCGCAGAAGCACGTCTGGGTCACGATTGGGGCCCGCTGGGGGGACCAGCGGCTGTCGACGTACGTGGACCCGCGCAAGCCGTGGGAGCTGGGGGACGAGGTTGACGGGTCCAAGAGATGAGCGCCCTGGAGCCCTGTCCCCCCCTTCTCTTTGCCTTCTTTCCCCCTTTGACTGTCCCTTCCTCGTACAACTGTTGCCTTGACACGCTCTCTCGCTTTGGCTCTTTTTTGCCTGTGGGGAGCTGGCGGGCGTTGCTGCTGCACCATTTGCTTTTACTACAGGGGGGCTGGCGCGGCGACTTGGGGTGCCCTTTTTCGATGATTGACTTGGGGACCGACTTTCCCAGATTTGCTGGACAGGAGAACAAACTGACTGTCTTAGCCTTTGTTGTTTCGGGTTGCTTTGCTTGTTTGGTAGTGGCGGGGAGGGGCCTCGTCTGCAGTCTAGGAGATTATGGAGACGGGCTCGTCGTTGTTGTTGTAATGCATTGTCAACGCTTTACGTGTTGGACTTGGGCATCTCGAGTTGGCCGGCTGGCTGGGCGTGATGAGCATGTTGGGGATGATGGCCTTTCCAGTGAAGCATCCATGACGAAGCATTCGGCCTGTTGTAACTGCACGGGCGGCTCATTCGCTCACTCGCTCATCCACGCAACGGCGATATCAAGCTTTGAGCAAGGACAAGCAAGCACACATGTCCAGGCATGCATGCATGGTAGCAGTATCATTAGCGCTCCGGACCTGTCCGGCGGAGCATACGCGAGAAAACAAGAAGCAACACGTCGCTATACGAGGCCATCCCGACGAGAACCCGACGCCAAGCTGATGGATGATGAAAACCTTGCTCTCCCTCGCCCTTCCCTTGCCTCGCCTGCATCCACATCCCCTTTCCTCTCCCCATTGAAGCCTACTTTTTCTTCTTCTTCTTCAATTAGTCCACGCGTGCTGCCAGCTATATACAAAAAAAGGGGCAGGCAAGGCCGGGCTGAGAGTTCCATGTGAGAGTTGCAAGCGGTATGATGGTTCGAAACCGGGCCACCCTGGGCGATGAAGCTTGCTGTCGTGGTTCGCGCGCGGGCCCGGACGTCTCTGCGCCCACAGAGCCAGAGCCAAGGCCCGTCCCCGCTGTTGAGTCCGCTCTCCAGCTTGATGTGTATGTATGTGAGAAGAGTCAAGAGGGGAAAAGATAAACCGAGGCCAAGCTCTCCATACTCCACCCTCGCCGCGTGGCGCCCTTCGTGAAAAAACAAAGCCATGCGTCTCATACATCCAAATGATACTCGTCGTTGTGGTACGGCCCGGGCGTCGAGGCCCAGCCGCTGCCGACAACGTTTTCCCTCGAGCCCCAGTAAGTGTTCTTGGAGCGTTTCTCGCGCTCAAATTCGGCCCACCTCTTCATGGTAATCTTACTACTGTCAAACTCGCCCTGATTCTCATGTCCGCCCTTCTTGGACTTCTCTCCCGCCGTCTTACGCGTGTCGCCCCACGAGAAGTCGTCAAACTTCCAGAAGGCGTACGTCGGGAGAACAAAGTTCCAGATGGGTAGAGAGAGCAGGTAGATTAGCATCCAAATCACGTACGACCACGAGTGGGCCGTCACGATGATGAGGACGCCGGGGAGACCGAGGATGAGCGCCAGCAGCACAAGAGGGATAATCTGCGGTGGCGAATGGACGATCGAGGTGATGACTGCGCTCGGCGTTAGCGGGCTTGTCACTTGGCTTTGGCTTCAGGCACTCTTGACTTACCAACATAAAAGGTAAAGGCGATTGCAGCGGGGAGCACCAGAGTGCCCACCAGTTCGACGAAAATGATAAACTGCATGCTGAAGCAAAAGGTGCCGCACAGGTCCCGGACGAGCACCAGTTCCATGAGGTTGTGGATAGTCGAGTTGATCCAGCGACGCCGCTGAGACAGCAAAACCATAAACTTGTCCGGCACAGTCGTCTTGCAGACGGCCTGAGGCACAAAGACCTGCTTGCGCTTGGGAAACGTCCGCAGCATGAGCGTCGTCAGGAAGCGGTCCTCGCCCAAGAGGTAGAGGTTCTTCTCGTGCAGAGTCTCCACCACGTTCTCCGAGTAGTGCTCCACGATGTCCGGGTTGGCCAGGATCGGGACCCAGTAGTTCTGCCCGCCTTTGGGCGCCTTGATACGGTACATGCAGAAGCAGCCGGGCAGGCAGGTGACGCCGCCAAAGACGGACTCAAACGACTTGGCCAGATGATGCGACACAAAATACTCAAACACCTGAATAGCAGTGACCCAGCTGTCCCGCTTGTTGGCAATCTTGGTCTCGCCGCAGAGGCCCATGATCTCGGGGTCCTTGACCATGGCGGAGACCATGTGCGTCAAGCTGTCCGGGAAGACCTTGGTGTCAGCGTCGACCATGAGCACGATCTCGTAGTAGTCGGGTGATATCCCCGTCACCTTCCACAGACCGTTGAACATTTCGTACTCGAGCTCCGTCATGCGCTCGTCAAACATGACCTTTTGGAGAAAGGACATGAGGATGATCTGACTGTCTCGCTTGCCTCGGTTGCCGGGTTTGGACTTGGCCGCTTCGTCGGGGGTGCCGCACTTGACAACCACCATCATGGGCACGCGCTGCTGGCGGTCCGTCGGGATCTGCGACTGGGCGCCGTAGTCGTAGAATCCGCAGTACACCTTCGCCATGTTGTGTCGCTTCGAACCGCTGGCGACGGCAACGTACGAGAACGGCTGGACAAGGTCGGGTGGGGTCGAGTGGTCCTTGAGCATGCCCAGGCAGACGTCGGGAGTCGAGATGGCCTCGCCCTTGCCCTTGATGATGCCGTCGCAGATGACCACGATGCATTTGTGGCTGTTGGGATAGTCTGTCGTGGCAATCGAGTCGAGAGTCGTTCGAATTCCCTCTTTTCCTTCCGAGTAGGCGGTGACCAGACACATAGTATGCGCCAACGGGAAATCAAAGGGCATCCAGTCCGAGGGAGGCTGCGGTACCACGGCATCGTGGATGAAGCCGGCCGGACCGGGGCCCTCGGGCAGGCTGGAGCTGCCATACGTTTCAGAGCGGAGGAAGCTCGCCCGGCTGTCGTTGCCCTGCCTGTAGATGGACGAGTTGGGGTTGTGCAGCAAGCTCGAGGTCCCTTGGCTCGTCATGGTGGTGGGTACACGGCGCTGGCCAGCATTACGCTCTGGTCCGTAGACGGTAGAGAAGCGCGACGTGGTGGGCAAGAAAGAGGAGCTCCGCTTCGTCCCCCTCTCTGACCCGACCGCCGAGCTGCCGACGTCACCGGGAAGGCGGGCCGGGGCGCGGTAAATGTCCTCGGACCAATCCTCAATCTGTTGGTTGCGCTTCCTGCGGTCCGAAGTCTGCGACGTCTTGGAAGCAGCGTAGTGGCGGCTGATGAACCATTGAAATACGAGAGCGAGGATGAATCTAGACAGGACGACCGACAGGATGAGGATGAGGGCGCAGTACAGGACAACCTTTGACGCGATGCAGCCGACAGTCTCGGTGTCGACGGAGCCGACCTTGATGATTTCCTCGAAGCACTGGGCGTACCGTTTGTCGTCCGAGGACTGAAACATGCGAGTGACGTCGCGGCCGCGGAGGGCCTTGTTGACTGAGCTGCTGGGATCACGCAGCTCCTTGAAGCGGTCGGGGATGGCGACCTGGCTCTCGTTGAACCAGTTGAGGAGGTTGAGGTCCAGGACGCTGCCGGAATACACGAGCAGATTGCGGGAACTGTTCTTGATATCGTCCCACGTAAAGTACACTGCGGCAGCGCCGCTCAGGTCGCGATAGAAGGCGTTGCGAGCATTTGCAGTCGTGTGGCAGCTGTAGCCCAGGTAAAACGGAGTGGTGAGGTTCGGCTGGGTCGACCCGTCCTGGTTAAAGGTGGTACAGGGGAAGTACCAAGCCAGGTCGCCATTCCCATCGGTGGGCACGTCGGAATTCTGAGCCAGCGTGATGAGGCCCTTGCAGTGGCCATTGACATTCTGGAAGAGGAAGCTTCCATCCTGCCCACCACGCTTCTCCGGGAGGTCGAACAGGACGTTGGCACCAGTGCCGTCTTGCCGGAGCGGGATGCCTTCAGCGGGAGGATGATGAGAGCTAGCGAGGTCGTAGGCGATGCCGTGAAAGATCATGAAGCCAGCCGACACCTCGTTGACACGGAGGCGCAGTGGCGGGGCGCTGCAGACGGTGGCGGTGAAGCCAAAGGTGAGGAAGCCGACAATGGCCATGATGAAGAGGATGATGCTGATGAGCCCCATTTTTTCCCTCCATGCTCGCCTCTGGGCCTTGGTTGTCTTGCCGAAGCATCTCAGGATGAAGTCGGGGCACCAAAAGGTGACAATGGCGCAGTAGACGTTCCAGAAACTCGGAGGCCGGAGCTGGTCTTCGGGGCCCTTCTTGCTCTTACGCGAGGCTTTGCGCGCACTCTTACTCGGCTGCTTGGTGATCTTGCCCGACTTGGTCCGAGCCGGGCGGCTTCTCACACGAGCAGCGTCCTTTTCATGGTCCCCGCTGGCTTTCCGGGCGCCGGTGCCGCGAGGCGGCGAATCAGAGATGCTGGCATTGGCCTGGGAACCACCGGATCGCTCCGTGGAGCCGTCGATGTTCTCGAGGATGGGATCGTTGCCGGTTGACGAGGGCAGGACGTCCATGTTGGCGGCATGTTTGTGGTAGTGGTAGTTGCGATGGTCCTTGCCGATCCGGTTCCTCTCGGGCCTGACGAGGCTCCTCTTGCGCGAGGGGAGCAGGTCGGCGGAAGCTTGCCTGGCGTGGCCATGGGGGCGAGGGGATGACAGAGGGGCGGTCTCTGCATTTGCATTAGGATGCAAATTGGGGCCGGCCATGGAGGAAGCGGAAGTGGCACGCTTGTGATGGCCGGCGCGGGCGATGGAGTGGTAACCGGCGGCTTCGACATCGGCGGGGCGCGATCGCCGGGATGGAGAGTGTCTATATGTGCTGCGCTGGTCGTAGCCAGGACTGCCGCCGGGCCTCTCTGGTAGAGACATGGTCCTGCGTCTCGAGCATCAGCCGCAGTTGGTGATGGAGTGGACGAGGGGGAGGATTGGCAGAAAGAGAGATAAGGCTAACCCTAGTGCGAAAGGGATAACGACGAGTAACGAGCACGAGTCGAATTGTTGCGCCCGGGCGATCCAAGGGCGACGTCGTGTCGAGGGTACGCAGGCGCGAGGGGGCACCTCTGTTAGTTGGGCAATCGAAGGGCAGCGGCGGGAGACTCAGGTAGCGAGAAGTGGCCCGTGCAGCCAACACAGTTAGTTGTGTGTGTCCCTGACTAGTAACTAAGGCAAAAAATTAATGGCCCGTTTCTTAGGAGACGGAGGACTGGATCCCGAGCGAGACGGGGCCCGGAGGGATGTGGGGAAGCGAGTGCCTTGGGCCTTGGGCAGACAGACAGACTGGCTCGGATCGATGATGGCGGTCCACGGCCCCGGGTAGCGAGGACGGTACGGATAGGTAAAGAAACGACGTCGCTACTCGGGGGGCACCGTGGCAACGCGGAGAAGCACAGGGGACGGCAAACGAGCGACGGGGACCGCTGACGTCTTGGATCGTCGCTTCAGCCTCTCTCTCTCTCTCGCACAAGGGCGGCACCATGCGAGCAGACAACAAGAGGCCGAGGTCTGGGCTTCGAGGGCGACGACGACGACGTTGAGTATTATGGCGCGAGAGAAGGAGTCGCGACGATTTTGCTGGCCGTGATTGATTTTTGTCTCAAACGAGCGAGGGGGATGAAAGCAGTGAGGCACCGCTATTAAGCTTCGTCGGTGGGCGGCGTCTAGGTGCTTGCTTGGAAGGCGCAAGAAGCACGTGCGGGCACAGTGCGTTACGGTGCGCGGAAGGGTGCATGCCATCCGATTAATTAAGCGCATCTCGCAGTGCGATCCAACCACAACAGCACAGTGACCGACTGGTAGTCGTCACTGTGCGCCAGCCATTGCCCTGGACGTGCTGTATCGAGAGTCAGGCTAAGCCTGCAAATGACCTTGGTGCATGGGCGGGGCATCTGGGGGCCAGTATGGTTTGAGTTCTTCCTAGGTACTCCGGGCAGGGCTCTCGTGTCTACCGCCGGGCACTTGCCGGCCGGCTTGCGCGAAGCGGGGCCAGCTCGAAGACCAGCAAGCTACTCGGCCGGGACTTGAGGTGCGTCGCCCGCCCTGTCTGCAACTGTATCTGCCAGGGGTGGTAGACGGATTGATTGGTGGAAGGCTTGCAGGCACTTGCCTACTCCGGGCTAGTCTACCTTCTCGCCCTGTTGTCCGTTGCCTGTTGTCCCGGCGACGGGACCCGCCTTGTTGACAGCCACCGCCACCTTCTCCGGCTCCGTGACGGTCTTTTTGACGGTCTTTTTCTCGTGCCAAAGTGCTTGTAAGCCGCCAGGTATTGCGCCACAGAATTCCGGTGCTGATTACTTCGCAAATACATGCCACCAGATCATCCACCTCTCCATGCCTTAGGGCTCTGCTGCATATGCGCGTCTTGTCCATCTGGTCGTCGGTCGGGGTTGGACTCCAGCGATCTCCGGCCAGATCGGCGGCTGCGGCTCCGGGGGACTGGAGAAACGACATGGCTTCCACTGTTCCGCAGTCCAGCACATGCAAAGCTCGAGGCAAGCCGTTTGATACTAGTCATGACTTAGGTGAAATTCGGGGCCGCCTTTTCGCTCCTACTCGTTCACGAAACACACCGAGTCGAGTCTTGACCGCGACGGCATCCTTAGTCAAAAGGGCTTCACGAAGTAGACTCGCCTGTCCGCACCTAGACATGTGCCTCAATAGGTCAGCGACAGACTAATCAGGCAAGATCGAAATCGATGGCGCAGTTGGAGCGCCCAAGGTTTCGGCTCTATGCCCAAAGAGCTTGACATGCAACGAACGCGGGCTGCACCCCGGGCCGTTCCCCTGCTAAATGTGGGGGGCAATCGCGATGCGGCGATAGCGTCGATGATGACCTACCGGTATCCTATCTAAGCGGATTGAATCATGGCGTGAGGTTTGCCAACTCATGCCCACGCGGGTCGACTCGTCATCGTAGTCGATCCGCAACCAATCTTGGTTTTGGCTATTGACAATGCACGCCCTTGAGGGTCTCGGAAACTTGCTCTTCCCTGTACAAAGTTATTATACCAGGTAGCTGTAGCACCAGGCCGGAGGTGTTGCCCGCAGCTGAAAACATATTACGGCACGACACGGCCTACTTGGTACATGGCAGACTCATGGCTTGGTATCCGGTTGGTGGAATCTCCCTCTCCGTGTGTCTGTTGCATCTATGTTTAATGAGGCGAGTTGGGCATTCGCGCCTGGACTGCGTAAAGCAATTGAGCCTGACGTGTGCTCGCTACGCCTTACAACGTATGTTCTCCCGACACTCCTTTTGCTTCCATACATTTATCCAAACAAGTACTGTAGTAGTTAATATTGCGTCTTCCACGCCGATCATGGTGCCTCCTTGCCATATAAACTAATCACGTACTAACCGTTAAGCCATTTATACTTTGAAAGGTATAGTTAACCCCTACGAAATCTGGCACAACCGCCCCCGCCTGAGACAAATTGCCCTCCTTGCTTCTTTCATTTCCCTTTTTCCATCAGCCCTGTCAACGTTTGGCTCAAGATGATGGATGCCCCCCCCGCCATGCCCGCTCCGGTGAACCGCCAATCCAACGTTCACCGACTTCCGTGGCTAGCCGGGCTTGAATGCCCAGACCTTAAGATTATTGCTTAAATTTGGCCGAACGCGATCTGCAGGCGTGTACTCCGAGGTTGGAACCAGCGTGTCCACTCAGCAAACCGTGAATTCGAGGGTCCTGTTTTCTGGGCTCAGTCGCATACATGCTGCCGAGAAGGAAGTGAGAAGAAAAAATAAACCTTCGGCCCGGGGCTGCAAACATCTCCGGCCCCCGGCTGCGAAGCACGGAACGGCCCTGCTTCGGGCGTCTTCCCTTGGAGCAGCCGGTGATGGTTCTAAGGCGAGATGAATGCACTCCGAGAGGATGCAACGGTTGCTCGGATGGGGGCCGAGACCGCTTCTCAGAAGACGAGGTAATTTCGCCCACCAGTCCAGCAAAATTATGGCAGTTCCATCGCCCACCTCTCCATCACCTCAAAGCGGCGGGTCTCGTTGCGTTGCGAGATTGCACCCCGAATATCGCGGTAAAATACCACGGTAGCCACCTCGGTGGGGTCGCTGTACACCCATGCCGTCTCGCCTTGGCCCAGTTGGATCGTGGGGTCTTTCTTGCTCGAGGGCGACTTGAAGCTACCTTGACCTTGATGTTTCCCGTGTCGGACTGAGGGGGCCAACAGCCAAACGCCCATGCCATGTCTATCGGACAGTCATGCCAGAAGCCATTTGTCAGCCTGCTAACAAAAGGTCGAGATGCCCTTGGTTGCTGCTGTCTGCCTCGTTAAAGAGCGTGCTGACCAACAGACAACAAAAGGTCAGGCAGGCAGGCTCTCCTGGCACTGCTGCCCTCCCGTGGCAATGCCGACTGCTCCGTGTGCGGCCGGGAGTCGCAAGCGTCTCATGTCATCAGTCTTTGGAGTCCTACATGCAGCTCTCTCGATACGCGGCGTATGACGTTGGCGCCGAGAGGCACGGACGAGACGCGAGAGGACGAGACGCGAGACGGTGGGTGCCCCGAGGCATCTGGACGTGGAGCGATTCAGCGCCGATGAATGGGTTGGATGCTGCGACGCGATGAGTTTGCGCAAGATGGCCTCTGGAACCTACCGTGAGGAGTGGGTCCCACGACAGACAGGCCGGGGCTCTTCAGCCGCACAATGAATGACCTGCAGGGTGCATCTGCCAGACGTCGTGCTCCCCGACATCCTCGTTTGATCTTTGCGCAGGCGCTTGGTTTGGAAGGGGACCCCGAGAGCGGCGGACGCCCGGAAAGGGTCGAGTTTATGTTGTTAGAGTTTTGGGTACGGATCCGCCCCGCGACAGCGGCAGCAAGCGTTGGGGGCTCTTCTCTCTCTCTTTTTTGTTTAGTTAGGGCTTACCAGCAAGAGTAAGTGCTGTCCTCCGTACCTACCTAATGTACCTCCTTAGGCAGGTAAGGTACCTCAGGTAAGGTACCTAGGTAGGTAGGTAGGTACTTACTGTACCTAAGGCATCTCCCAAGGGGACCAACTGGTGACCTGAGAGGCCTGAGCCCGGCGGCTCCCTGCGCGAGGGGTGGGGTCCCGTCAGTGATCGAACACGAGAGCATCTCTCTCTTTCCCTTTTCCTCTCTTTCCAGCGTCCGTACTATTCAGGGACTTGGCCGCCACCCCCTCCCCCCCCCTTCGTATGCGAATTGTGCATCGACGCGCCCGCCCTCTCCCCCATGAGCCATCCATCGCCAGCAAGGTGGTGTGCCCGAGTGCTATACGGGATCCTACATATTAGTTACCTACCACCTACCCAGACTAGGTGTGGTGGGGGGCACCGAGGCCATTCGCCCACTCGCGGTGCGCTGCCTTGGCTCAGTCCTAAGCGGCGTCTTGGCATCGTGTTCGTTGCACCTCGGGCGCCCGCATGGGTTCCCGAGAACATCTCACGTTGACGACGAGGTAGTAAGAGTGAGGAGAGCCATGTCAGGACGACGGATCAAGAAAAAAGAGACGATGCCGGTTGCCTTTGCCCGCAGATCTGGGTGTCGGGGGCGCTTGGCCGACAGAGCACATTAGGCGGGTGCATGGCAATAGCGTACCCGCACTCTCTGTCACATACTTCCATGCTACTATACATAAGTTACATGCAGTGGTGGTCCGAAGATGACGAGGGCCGAGGGCTGGGCGGTAAGGGAGAGGCTGTGAGAGCCGCGCAAGCAAAAGAATGATTACGCATCCATCCGGCCCCCGTCGTTGGACATGGCCGTTATCCGCATAGCCGGCCATCTTTGCGAGTTGCTTTTTTTATCCTTTCCCCCCTCCGCTCCGGCTGGGCCGCAAGGATGCATGAGTATCGTTTGTTTGAGGGAGAGGGACGAGAAAAACTATTGACTAACGGTTGTCTTTGAACTGACTACAGTACAGTTAGTTGGTGGTTGTAGGAAGGAGTCCGAGAAAGGGCGGCCGTTCGTCCACTATTGCCTCGATACGACTTTCGGGCCCGACGACTTGTCTTGGCGCCAGGGTTCCGGAGGGCCCCACGGACTCCAGCAGTTTGTCGCTCTCCGGGCAGAAAAATTCATAAGCTACTGGTACTACTGCATGTAAGCTGTCGCTGCCTCGTGGATACATATACGGGCGCCACAACGGGTCTTTCGTCGACGCCGGGCGCAGGTTTGGCGGCGCCGGCCGTTGCAACTGCAGCTCGGTCATGACGGTAATTACGGTACATGCCGAGTACCACGACTCGTGCACACACTCAGCCATGGATGCCTTTTCAGTGGGCGCCTGCGGATCATTGCCCGTGCTGCAGATCTACACGTGCCCGTAAAATACAGTGCCTGCACTCAGCCTTGTGCGCACTCGTGTAAGCCCAAGTACCTACTCCTCTGATGTCAGCTGCAGTTTCGAAGTCGTCGATCTTGCTGCAAGGCACCTGAGAAGCGGGCCTCGCCAAAATACCTAGGTAGACGGTACTCTAGGGCCCGGGCCTTCCTTGGCTCTCTCTCTCTCTCTCTCTCTCTCTCTCTTTCTCTTTCTCTCTCCGTCTCTCCTTCTCTCCGTCTCTCTCTCCCCGCCCCGCTAGTCAGTTGCAGAGGCAGAGGCACAGGGTTCCTGGGCGATGGATGGCCTGGAAAATGAGCAGGTAAAGTACTGTAGAAAAGGGTGCTTCCACCCAAGGAGGCAACCAAAAGGTAGCCGCGGCTGGATGGGGTTGCACGGCGCGACGCAGGATGCTCTCGCAGCCCGGGGCAGTGGATGGGGAGCGTCGTCCAGCAGAGACGCCAAGTACCCGGCAGGTACCGTGCACACGGGGCCCAGACGGCCAATCGGTGACAGCCGCGCTAGTCCCCTCTAGGATGGCTTCGCCTTGCGCCAGCTTCCGACTTTACCAATGGAAAAGGGAGCAAGACGGATGGCAAGAGATGGCTGGTTTGCGGGCAAATGCGCCATTGTCTCTCACTTGCATCCCTCCAACTCTCGGAGAGCGGACTGGCCGGCTCCCTTTCATCACGCCCGTCCCCCTCTCCCGCGGGCTCCTCCTCCGGCTCCCGCCGCCCCTTTAACCCCCACTTTGGGCCCCCCAGCCCTCCTTTCCCTTGCTGTGGCCAACGGTTTTCCTTGGCTCGACCAGTAGGGGCACCGAGTCGCGACGTGTTAGCAGCATGGATCAAATGAAAACCAAAAACGGGTAATATCGGTCATTTGGCGACCCGTTTACGAGCAACGGTCCTGTCCGTCCGTACTGGAATGAGGTGTGTACATGCAGAGCGCACTCACTGGCCGGTCTGATGGTGGAAAAAGAAAAGCCAGCTGCACCAAGCACACGCACACGGCGCAGGTCACCTGGGCCCCAATCTGTACCTACCTCGTCTGTATGTTGATATGTGCCTACCATGTGCGTCTGGATGCATGGTACAGGGCGGTATATTACATGAACGAGGCAGGTACGGGCACTTCAGCGCCCTGCAGCCTGGTCGTCGTAGTCCCTGCGCAAGGTAGGTACCAAGTAGTCATCTGGACCTGGAAATCGGTGGCCGGGTAAAGTACCCTATACCGTCCGCCCTTGTACAGACCCTGGCGCCTCGCCCGGGCTCCGTCTTTGCGATTGGCACCCTGCCATGCCTCGGTACTCTCCGGTGCGGTATGGGGTACGCGGCCCTGGCCTCTAAGCCTCTTCTTCCTCTCCTCCTCCTCCTCCTCCTCCTCCTCATCCTCCTCCTCCTCCTCCTCTTCTCCCCACGAAGACGCTCAGACAAGCCACTCCTCGGGCTCTGGAATTTTTCCCTTCCTCGACTGCCTCCCCCGCCCTCTCTTCTCTCCTCCGCCCCCCCTCCCCCCTACTGCCTGTCAAGACTGCCGAATACTTTGTTGGGAGCATCTGAAACTTCATTCCACACCTCGCTTCCCGTCATCGCCATCTGTCCGGCCTGCCACGACGCCGCCCTGCCCTCTCTTCCTTCTCTCTTCATGCCTACCTACATAGTACATACATGCATGCCTACTTGGTAGTTCTTCGTCGCACCGACTCATCCACCCTCGCTTCCCGTCCTCCACTCGAGCCGGTCGACCTTGCGGTAAACGAAGCCGTCGACATCGCCGCAACCGGAAAGCCTAAGGTCCTTGAACCAGCCTTTGGTTTGCAGACACCCGACCCGGCTGAGTGAAGTCGTCCGACCGATTGGTGGGGGAAAGACTGCCGAACGGGGCAAGAGAAGGAAATACAAGGGCACAAGGAGAGGGACAAGAGGGACACAAAACAGCTCTTACCTCCCGCTGCTAAGCCATGGCCGCCGTCAAGACCTCTCCGCCTCCCGCGTCTGCTTCCCCCGGCGCCGACAGTCGGAATCGCACCACCCTCCACGCCATGGCTATCCACGGCAGGCCCGCCGAAGAACTTCACCGGAAGCCTCTTCCTTTGCCGCCGCTGCCCCAGGGCAACGCGAGGCTGCGCGAGGCCCCCGTCTCTCCTGTCAGGGTCAACTTCCAGCGGGAGAGCTGGCCCCAGCCCTCAAACGCCGACATTGAGCTTGCGCAGTCTGAGGCTGCCCAATCCCCCACCCCCTCGACCGAGACCTTGGGCAGCCGTGCCGAGCAGAAACCGCTTCCTCCGCTCTCCACGTGCAATGAGACTCCCCGATCCCCTACCGCCTCGATGAGAACCTCGGGAAGCGTCGGCAACCAGAAACCGCTGCCTCCGCTATCCGCGCCCAATGAGCCCAAGGAGCGCCAACGATTCTCTACTGCCTCGACCGGTACCATGGGCAGTCTTGCTGAGCAGAAGCCGCTTTCTCCGTTGTCCAAGTCCCATGATCGTCAACAGCCCTCGACTGCCTCGATCGGAACCTTGGGCAGCATTGGTAGCCAGAAACCACTTCCTCCGTTGACCACGGCCCATGAGCGTCACCAGTCCTACACAGGCTCCATCGGGACGCCGGGTAGCATTGGCGACCCGAAACCGCTCCCTCCACTATCCACGCCCACTAAGTCGTCCCAGAGACCGGACGGCTCTGGTGCCGCCACGTCGGCGATTAGGTTCAGCCATGCTCCCTTAGACCTAAATCTCTCTCCAACGTCTCCCAACGGGCCCGGCCGATACCCTGCAACGGTCGCCAGCCCCAAGGGTCTCGCTAAGAATCATGATGACTTCCGCAACAGCCGTGAGTCAGACGGGACCGACAGCTCCGCCCAGCAGCCCAGCTCCGTCCAGTCGTCAGCGGCTACGAGTGCGAGCTCCATCTCCGTCGTCAATGAGAATGCCGAATGCTCACCCATCGATGACGCCTCCCCCGGGGGCTCCGCCGCAAATGATCCCACGCCCAAAAACTTCTCCATCCCGCTGTTCCAGTACCACCATCAGCAGCACGAGCCTCCACAACGGGTGGGCAGTGTTCCCAGTGAGGCTGCACGATCGGCCTCGAATCCGGAGCTGCTTGAGAACGCAGGGCCCGTCAGGCGCCACCTGACGCCGACCTCTGGCTACTGGGCAAGAGGCTCCCTGTCTCGACCGCAGTCGTCATACTCGACCTTTTCCGACCATGGCTCTCGTGGCCGGTCTCCCAACCTAATGCCAGGTGGCTCCCACATGCGCGCCCCATCTTCCCATTCGCGCAAGTCTCCCGACTCGAGGCTCTCCACCTATGCCGAGCTTCTCAGCGTGCCGTATCCCCAACAGGCACCAGCGCTGGTCTCGCTGGACAACTCGAACCTCCGCAATGCGGTGGGCAATAATGCGTCGCTCCTCAGCACCGACAAGACGCTCGAGATGTACCGGCAAAACGTCAAGAAGACCAACGACTTTTCTATCCAGTATTCCTTTGCGGTGTTCCTGATCTCGACGGCACAGGAGCAAGGCCTGGACTTTCCGGAGCCAAAACCGCGCAAGAATAACCGGCAGCCGCTTGGCGAGGTGGACAGCTTCGAGGTAGAAAGCCCAGTCTCCAACTCGTACGAACTGGTTCGAGAGGCGCGGCAGATTCTGCAACGGCTCGCGAATGGGGGCTATCCCTTTGCGCAGTACTACCTGGCCGACGGCTTCGCGTCGGGGCTGTTCAGCAAAGGCAAGGAGGACTATAACGCTGCCTTCCCATTGTTCGTCTTGGCTGCGAAGCACGGGCACGCCGAGTCTGCCTATCGCACCGCGCTCTGCTACGAGTTTGGCTGGGGCTGCCGCAAGGATCCTGCCAAAGCGGTGCAGTTCCTCCGCTCGGCGGCATCTAAGCGACACCCCGGAGCCATGACACGGCTCGGCAAGGCTTGCCTGTCGGGAGACTTGGGCGAGAAGAGATACCGCGAAGGCATCAAGTGGATGAAACTTGCCACCGAGGCCGCCGACTCGCAGTACAATGCGGCTCCCTACCAGCTGGGCTGCCTGTACGAAACTGGATATGGTGACGACATATTCCAGGACCTCGGCTACGCGGCGGAGCTATTCACGCAAGCGGCGGAGCTGGGTCACCCCGAGGCCAACTACCGGATGGGCGACGCCTACGAGCATGGGCGGCTCAATTGCCCCAGGGATCCGGCTCTGAGCGTGCACTTTTACACGGGAGCCGCCGAGCGCGGGCATGCCGGGGCAATGATGGGTCTCTGCGCGTGGTACATGGTCGGGGCGGCCCCTATTCTCGAAAAGGACGAGGAGGAGGCGTACGAGTGGGCGCGTCGGTCAGCAGAGCTGGGTAAGTCGAAGAGCAGGCATACTTGTCTTTGCGGGATCGCGAATGCTGACTCTCTCTTACAGGCTTTGTCAAAGCACAGTACGCCGTGGGATACTTTACCGAGATGGGTATCGGCTGCCGCCGAGACATGCTGGAGGCCAACGTCTGGTACGTCAAGGCTGCCGACGCCGGGGACGAACGAGCCAAGCAGCGCCTGGCGGTGATCCAGTCTGCGGCCAGCGGCGAAGGAGTCCCCATGGAAGTGGCGCCTCCCCGGAACGGCAAGACCAACAAGGCGGCCAAGGACGACAAGGAATGTGTCATCATGTGAGAGCTGGCGAAACTCGACGATTTGGGCCATTTGGAGAAGAATGGAATGACGGAACAGTACGACGACATCACGCAACGAGCCAACGAGCCCTGGACTGGATACCCGCGCGGAGTTGATTGCCTGGCTTCTGGATAGACCGACCACTTTTGGAGGCATTAATCGCATTTCTTGCCGCTCCTTTTTACAACATTTTGGCGCCCGCGAATCACATCATGTCAGGAGCAGACGTGTTTCTTTGCTGCTTTGGATCTTTAGTCATGGCCGCACTCGCAAAGCGATTATATTGTGCTTAATTTCTGCTGGGAAGCAAGATGGACGGGGAGAGCGAGAGAACGTGGCGATGAAGAGGGCGTGCCGGGGCACTGTTAGCATTTTGTTATGGCGGGGGATACATGATGTTGCGATAATGTCGGCCGTCCATGTGCATGATGGGGGCGTTAATGGGGTTTACTTGCCTCTTGGCATAATAAGGCGGGCGGGATCTGGATGAGGACGCCTGATGTTGGCAAAGTCGATGGGGGGCGATGGCCGTGGCTCAACATGATGACTTGGGCTGCGGCGAGCAATCCATGGCGGGGTTCACATGACATGTTCCTGGTGAGAGTGAGACGTGCAAAGACTTGTGAGAGAGACATGAGTTGAGCGGTGGTTGAGTGTGAGACGGTATGACCTTTGGTTGGTCGACTTGGTCCCCTGGGCAAGACGTGCCACGGAGGTTCGTCTTGGAAAAGGGGCTGGCTAGGAGATGGGGGGGAATGTGCGTGTGTTGGCGGAAGAAGCGGCGCGACGCATGGCTCGCGGTAGAGGATGATTGATGGTCAGTGCAGCTGCAGGTAACCAATTCTAGGGCGAGCTGGAGGGAGCTGGAGGGAGCTGGAGGGAGCTGGAGGGTCTTAGATGGTGTGAGAGATGATGACTTGATGCGTACAGCACGTGTTCGGTAGAGTCCTTTGTTGGTTTCGGTTTAGCGTCCAGCGGGCGGCAAAGCACCGTCCGTGCCTTGTGCCGGAGATGACGGCGCCATCTGCAGCCCTGCCGGGGATTCGATCTCTTTATCGGGACTGATGGTCTTTACATGTACAGCACTGTACTAGACAGGGGCATGCCGGGAGGGGCCTTGTCGTGTCGCGCCGCTGCCGGCTTTTTCCACCACCACCAAAGGCGTGTTTCCATGCAAATGCAAAAAGGGTGCGTATGTCATTTAACCGGTTGTCCATCCGCGTTTACATGACATGTGTTTTGGTAGGTAGGTAGTAGGTATGCAACTGTCTGTCTGATCCGCGAACCGCCCCCGTGTCTTGGATTGGATGACGGGAGCGGACGGAGGGCGACGGCAAAGGTCCGTGACTCGAGACGGGAGGGGAGGTTGTCCTGCACTTTGGACGCGTGTTTATCATACAGCATGCTCCTGTGGGGAGAGCTCGCGGCTGCCGGTGAGCAAGTCAGTGGTTTACTTTTGTTCGTTTAGATGGCGAGGTTCGGTGCGTTTGTCGGTTCGTTCGTGACACGAGGGTGCTGACGAGGTGCTCCGTACTCCGTACATGCACACACTTTATCGTGCTTGTACTGTAGATAGGTACAGTACTAGGCAAGTAAGGTAGGTACTAGGTAGATACTGTAGGGCATGCACGCAATACGTACCTAGGTGGGGTGCCTACTGTACATGGGTGATGTCGACGACCTTTCCAGGAGGCAAGGCAAGGAAGGGGTCGCTGCTGCCGAAACAGGCGCTCCACATAATTACTCTAGCCTTGTGCCTTGCGCTCCGCCTCTGATTGGCCTCTCTCTTCCTCTTCCCGCTCAACACACACTCGGGCACTCGGTACCTACGTACAGTACGTACGTCTGTACAATACCCACTTGAGAGCTCCGCAGGCTAAAATGGAAGGCGCGTTGAGACGCGTCCGAGTCGCGCGATCCAGCCGACGCGTCTCTCTGTCCACGGCTGAACCGTCGTCATCTCTCCGCGTTAGCCATGCATTAGCCATTTCATTACTCCGTACATTGTACAGTATTCGTAAGCCAGAGTCTTTCTTCCATCTTTTCACGCAGAGGGCCCCACTCCCGTCACCACCCCCAATCGGGATCGGACGTCCCCCCCTGCTCCTCCCCTGCCCCTGCCCCGGCCGCTCTTGATTATCGACAGCGAAAGATGCCCATTCCAGCCAGAGTGAGGCCAAGGCAGAGCCCTGGGGAGAAGTGGATAGGACCGCTGTCTAAGAGAAAGAATGGATTGGCTCTGGCCGTCGTTGCGCTGCGCTCAGCGTCGACGAGAGAGGGGGGGGAAGGGAGTGAATGCCAAGCGGCGGGTGGAGATCGGGCAAGGCTTTCGGGGTCCGACCGTCCGAGTGTGGAGGGTGCTTTTCGGCATTGGGGCATGGAGGAGAGCAGTTGCCGGCAGGCCTTGTCTGTCGACGGACTGGTCACAAGAAAAGAGTCGGTTCCGGGGACCAACAGCCGAAGCTCGCATCTCCGGGCAAGGGCAAAGCAGGAGCAACAACGGCATCAAACCTCCTTTCCTCTCTCTCTCCTTTCCGCATCCGGTCTCTGCTCAGCTCATCGGTTCCCCCCGCAACCCCTGCAGGAAGCCGTCGCCGTTTTGTCTGATGAAGCCGACGAGCCTTGGCAAAAAATACGAGACATGTCCGGATTGGGAAATGCTGTCTGTCAACTAGAGTCTCGTTCGTTGTCCCCGCTCGGCCCATGGGTTGTCGGAGGGTTCAATGGTTTTTTTTTATTGAGACGAGGAGTAGTCTGCGACAAGGATTTGCGCGAGGGAGACATAAGAGGGTGCTTGTGTGAGAGCGAGTGTGTGTGGAGGCGGGCGAGGGAAGAAGGGAGAGACGGGGGGTCTCGAATCGAATTCCCGTTTCCCGAAGCATCGAAAATGCACCACGATGGCCACAGGATGCTTGCCAAAAAAATGAAAGAACAGTAGGATTCTTTGGGTTTACGAAAACACACGGCAGGACTCTCTACCTTGTATAGGCCGAGCCATCTTGGCAGACAACGCTTCCGGACAGTGGGCAGAGGATGGGTTCGCGAGCCGAGTCAAGCGCCCTTTCAAGATATTTACTTTTGCTTCTTCTCTTGTCCACCCTCTGCCGCCCTTGAAACAGGTGGGGAGGGGATCTCTTTTGCATGTCCGGCGTCAATCAACGAGGCGCAGCGTGATTGCCGCGCTCTCTCTCTCTCTCTCCATCTACGGGAGAGTACGCTTCAAAGGGGGAAGAGGGGGAGACGATGAAGGCAATGAGGCCATGATGGCGATGGACAAACCGACGCACACTGATATGGAGGACGGGCGAACCCCCAAAGAGGTAAAAAAAGCAACGACGAGATGCGACCATGCACATGCAAGGGTTGCGCCGTGGTGGATATTGCGTGCGCATCGCATGAAGAAGCCGCTGCTGCTGCTGCACATCATCCGCGCAAGTTGGCTTCCGGAACAGCGCGCCGGGGGAGCAAAGGGAGAGAGAGGAGGAGGGGGGGGGGGGGGGAAAACAGGGGGGCAAGAGGCAGGGCGGCTCCGTTGCGGGACGACAGGGTCATCTTAAAGTGCTTGCATGAGGGGGCGAGAGGAGGCGAGACACCCACATGATCCTGAGCCAGATTCGGAGGGCGCCTTTTTGTTTCCAATATTCTCTTGCCTCTCCCTAAAAAAGGAAGAAACATTGAATAAGAAGGGAGGCACGGGAAAAGACGAAGCGGAAAAGGGGGCGGCGCCTCGTCCAAGAAAAAAGGGGGATGGGGGGCCAATGGAGCCGTCATGATGGAGGCGCAAGGAGCCCGGGCGCCCATCGGGGGTTTTTTCCTTCTTGCTCTCTCTCTGTTTTGGACGGCTTGTCTCTGCCAGCCACTGCCACAGGACGAGGGGGGCCCACGAGGCACGGCGATGTGGGGAGAGGCGGCCAAGCAATGCGGATGACGGAGAGCTGTTGTGCTCGCTGAGGTTGCCCAAATGCCGATGACGCCCAGTGCATTTTCTCGCCGCCAGTCGGTCTGTGAGTGTCCATGGCTGTGGCAGTACTTGGGTACAGTGCCGTGTCGTGTGCTAGCACGGCCTGGCCCCCCTCCACGAGCACGAGCGGGCGGGTGTACCTGGCGGGCCCCGCGTGCCGCCGTCGTGGCGCCCGGTACCGCAGCCGGCCATGGTGTTCTGGTGCTGCCGCCTGTGGTGGGCCGGGGGAAGCCTCCTCCATCAGTGCGCGCCGCGGCTCTCTGCACAGTACATGCAGTTACGTAGTACGAGTACGCTGCAGTGCCGCCGAGGGTCAGCGTTTGTCCATCGGGCCATCGGCAGTCAATCAGTCAGTCAGTCAGTCTCTTGTCTGTTGTTTTCCTTTTCCTTCTCCGTCGTATGTATGTATACTCGTCGGTCTTCGTCTGCCCGTCTGTCGGCAGCCACCTAGGTAGGTACCTGCTGAGCAGCAGCGCGTCAAGTACTAACATAATCCATCTCTCTCTCTCTCTCACACACACTCTCTCTCCCTCTCTCTCGCCCTCAGCCTCTGTGGCCGGCCGGCCCTGGCGCCGCGCCACGCTACGCTACTGTATCCGCAGCGGCCGTCCAGGCCTAAAATACCGGTCGAGGTTAGTGGGGGGGAGGCCTGGAGTGACAGCTGAGACAGTGGGCCGCTGTAACTTAGCAGGTACGGGCCCATGCACCCTCCATCTCTCAGCCGGCTCCTCCCACTCACTCACTCTGCCCGCTATATGTAAACTTGCCATCCCACCTCTCAACGCCCAAACCCAGGCAGCCACCAAGTACCAAGTACCGAGTCCCGAATACCAAGTACCGAGTACCCCGGAAAAAGTCCATCCTCCCTTCTTGGTCCCTTCCTTTCTTTCTCGCGACACACGCATACGCATACGCATACATCTTCTGCTCTCTCCCTCTCCCTCTCCCTCCCCCCCTCTCTCTCTCCCTCCCTCACTCTCTCTCTCCTCTTTTCTTCCATCTTCCCTGCTTTCGCGACCCCGAAATTCCCGTCTTCTTCTCCTCACTTGCTTCTTTCTACCCGCCCACTTCAACCCTTCTCTCTTCTTCCACCACCTCTTGGGCTTGCTTGACTCACTCGGCGCATCCGCGACAAGCCCTTGTTCGACGCGCGAATCGAAACAGCAGAGAAAAACGCCCATCTCTCCTCTCCCCTCTGCGGCATCCTCACTCGCGACGGGCAACAAAACACCATGCTTCTCCCCTCGGCCCTCGTCTCGCCCGCCTCGCCAGCCCGCCCACTTCGTCTCCCCCCCCGCCAGTCCTCCCATGCTCTCGCCGCCTCAGTCGTCCTTGGGAAACATCATGGTCGCCTGCCGCTCCCTGCAGTCCCTCGTGGCCACGCCCGTCGCCGAGGCCCCTCGGCCCTCTCTGGCTTCTCTCCCCACGCCCCCCATGGCTCACGCGCCCATGCCGCCGAAGCTGCGTTTGCGCACCCCGCGCCCCGCCTCGCCGTCCGGGCCCAACAAGCGACGCCGCGCCGACGACGCCGACCATCTGAGCCACGGCGAGGAGCAAGACGCTGACAGCGACCTCGACATTGCCCCTTCGCACCTCTCCGACGACGGGCCTGCCACGCCCTCGACGCCCAAGTGCTCTCGCATCGCGCCCGAACAGCTCCCCCTCGGCCTTGCCCGCGCCGACTTTCACGACATGCACCTGCTCAACAATGGCCAAGACGTTGACAACGACGGTGCTGAGTGGAGCGCCGACGACGACCGCATCCTCGTCGAGCTCGTCCTTGACAAGCTCAGGCTGTCCAAGACGGAGTGGCAGGACTGCGCCCGCAGCCTGGGCAAGGACCGCCACAGCGTCGGCCGGCGCTGGAAGAGTCTCATGGCCAAGGGCGACGTCGGCCTCAAGGCGAGGGGGCCCAGTCGAAGGGCCCGGCTGCATGGCACCTGGCGGTAATGGCCGGCCTCCCCTCTCGTCATGGTCTCTCGACCTGGATTTCTCCTACCCAGCCATTTCCCACGTCGAGTTTTCCTCAAACCAATCCTTGACGGACTTGTGATTGAGCACCTTGCCTGTTTCGATTCGCCGCATTATACCCCATTTTGAATCGTTTGAGAAGCATTTTCCCCTGCTTCCCCGCATCATCTCTTCTTCGCATTTCCGATAGATGGGCTTTTACCTGGTTCACATGTAGTCGCAACCACCACGGCGGCATCTGGCAACCGCACACACAGTCTGGCACTGGCGCTTATACACATTCCGGGGCAAGGGAGGAAAGGGAAGGCAGTGGCAGCTGAACACTAGCTGGCTCTGTGGAGATTTCCGCTGGGCTCGACGGTCGTCTTTCTTCTCCCGTTCTTTCCTGTATCTGTCCTGGGCTCGATTTGCCTTATTTTTATTTTGGAGGGCTTCTTTTTCTTCCTCGTTTCGGCGGTGCAGGGCGCACTGGGTTGCACTTTTATCATGATATCCATACAGGTCCCCGATGAGGGACAGCAATGCTTGCGAGCTCGCGTCTGCTCGCCTGGCCAGGACGAGCAGGCCCAATTCTACAAGATTTGGCCATTCCCCCCTTCTTCATCCTCGCGCTCGTGTCTCCATGTGCTTCCACCCAGAGCCAAGTAGCACTCACAAAGGTACCCGCGCGCAGGCGTGAGGACATCGTCGAGCACCCCCGGCCAAGCTCGTTGACGCGACGAGCAAAGCAATGTCTCGCCCGCAAGTCACCCCCTTCCTTCGCTGGCTCGCCCATACCTGTCTTGGGTCCCTTTCGTCCTCCCTTGAGGCTTGGCGGGCTGGTGCAAGGTTCAGTCTGGGGTGCCTCTGCGATCTTGGACGATGGCCAGCCCGGGCTTTCTGTCTCCGTGTGGAATTCCTCGAGGACGGCGGTGCGCGGGCGTGCATGTACCTCGCGTGGCGGGCTCCCGCGCTCTCTCTCGGCACGGGAAGGACGCGGACACGTGCAACGTTGCCTGCTCCTCGCCGCGATGAGCAACAGCGAGCTCACGAGAGCGGCATGGCATGGCCAACGGCAGTCTGTTCCAGCCGCTGGCATCAGCCCCGAGGGCCCTTCGCCAACCGCCCCCTTTGGCGCCGGGGATCCGCGCGCATCCCCACCAGCCGCGGGAAAGGGGAATGAGACAAGGGCAGAGTAATCTTGCGACTTGTTCTTTTTCTATAGAGCATGCTATCTTGGCCCCGTTGTACACATGCCATCCGGGCCGTCAGTAGTAGGTAGTCCTGGGGTCGGTGCAGGGTTTGGTGGATATTCAAGCAAAAAGGGGTATAACCAGACAATGACGAAATGCGACGATGGAAGTCCCAAATGAGAAAAAAAGTTTAACATGGCATAAAAGAAACCTGTAAAGAACGCCCCTTTTCACCGCACCTCGCCCGCTCACGCCGTCTTCCCCCCGGCCAGGTACGCCTGGTACCCGACGTCCTCGAGCCGCGCGGCCTTGGCCTCGACCTCGGTCCGCATGCCCTCCATGTACGCAGCCATGCGGTCGCGGTACTCGGGGTAGTGGGAGCCGAGGATGCGGACGGCCAGCAGGGCGGCGTTTGTCGAGTTGTTGATGCCGACCGTGGCCACGGGGATGCCCCTCTTTGCCGCCCCAGTTGTCAGCCAGGGTGATCAAGAGGTGGGGGACAGGGCGCGGAAATGCTGAAAGGGCAAAGACAGAAGCGATTGGGGTCCAACTGTTAGGCACTCACCGGCATCTGCACAATGCTCAACAGGCTGTCGTTGCCGTCGAGATGGGTCGCCTTGACGGGAACGCCGATGACGGGCACCGTCGTCTCCGACGCCAGCATGCCCGGCAAGTGCGCCGCGCCGCCGGCCGCCGCGATGAGCACCCTGACGCCGCGCGCCGCGGCCGCCCGGCCCAGCTCCGCCATGCGCGCCGGGGTGCGGTGCGCCGACGTGATGGTACAGTCGTACGGCACGCCGAAGCGCTCCAGCACGTCGAGGCCGGCTGACAGCACCGATAGGTCCGAGTCGGAGCCCATGGTCACCACCACGAGGGGCGACTTGGCGTCGCGCGAGCTCTTGCCGCCCGAGGGGGCCGCCTTGGTAATCGTCTGCGTGACGTCCGCCGACGCCGACGCGCCCGCTGCCTCGGGGCGCAGCTGCTTGGCCGACGCGTCGAGGCGCTGCTGCCTGATGGCGTCGATCTGGTTGATAAAAGGGCCAATGGTGCGAAGCAGGTCGACGTCCGGAGACGGCGTGGTAAAGGTAATGTGGCCAATCTTGCGGCCGGGCTTGGACGCCTTGCCGTAGAGGTGCAGGTAGATGTCGGTGCCGTCAATATACTCGGTCTCGGCCAAGCCGACCAGCTTGTCGTGCGAGTCCGGGTTCGCGCCGCCCAGGATGTTGGCCATGGCGGCCTGGGCAACCCGCGGCGTCAGGCGCAGCGACTTGGGCACAATGTCGAGAATGGCGCAGAGCTGCGCCTTGTACTGCGACATGTACGGCACCGCCTCGATGGTGTAGTGGCCCGAATTGTGTGGCCGTGGCGCGACCTCGTTGACCATGATGGTTCCTGAAAAGGGGGGCTTCCGTGAGCAGGCCATGCCTGGCTGGCGACTCTCATCCGCGGAGAAAAGAGGTCCGACTCACCGTCTTGCAGCAGAAACATCTCGACGGCAAAGACGCCCCTCCCCCACAGGCTCCGGACAACCTGCTCGGCAACGCGCTGGGCATTGTCGCAAACGGCAGCGTCCACCTTGCGCGGAGGCATCAGGACCGTCTTACAGACATCGTCCTCGTGGACAGTCTCGACCGCCGGGTACGAGTAGACGCCCGTGCACTCCCCATCGTCGTCCTCTGTGCGGATCACCATGACGGCCAGCTCCATGGCGAACGGGACCCATTTCTCGGCGTAGAGCGGCAGGGCGCCGAGGGCGTCAATGGCGGCCTCAAAGTCGTCGGGCCCGCTGACCTTGAAGTTGCCGCGGCCATCGTAGGAGCCCTTGCGCGCCTTGACCATGAAGGGAAAGGCTAGGCGGTGGTAGGCGTGCCCGAGCGAGACGGCCAGGAGCTCGCCGCCGTCGAGGGCCATCTGCGACGCCACGGGGATGCCGTTTGCCCGAAGGTGCTCCTTTTGCTCGTACTTGTCCTGGACGAGCCGCAGCGTGCGCCACGACGGGTGTACGGGCACCTTTCTCAGCTCGCCCGAGGCGGAGGGCACGCCGCGGACGGCAATGTCCTCGAGCACGTCGGCGTTGACGTGCTCGATCTCGACGGTCAACACGTCGCACCGCGCCGCCAGCTCCCGCACCTTGGCGGCGTCCTTGAAGGACCCGCACACATGCTTGTCGCTGCCGTTGACCTGCTTGGCCGGGCACCCGTCCTCGTCCAGCACGGCGACGTGGTAGCCCAGCGGTCCGGCGGCCTCGCACAGCATCCGGCCCAGCTGGCCGCCGCCGAGTAATCCAATCACGGGCGGCCGGGACATTGGGGGCGGAGGGCAAGTCAGAGAAGAGCGAGAGGATTTTCCTCCAGTGACCATCGGAGGCGAGTCGAGAGTGACGGCGGTGGATGACTGCGGCGGCCAAGAGGTGTAGTTGGAGGAGGGCGGCGCATGAAAAGATTGCGCGGGGCGGCGCTTGCAGATAAAGGCCCCTTTTATTAACTACCTGTAAGTTAATTAGGTAGTAGATAAATCCAGTCAACCCAATCTTGCCTTATCGACCTGGGATAGAAAAAAGTACTCGAGATGAAGGTTATTATTAGGTATCAAATCATGGCGAGAGATGCCGTTTACTTAGTTCTTCAGTTTCATATTGCTCAGGAAAAAGCCGCCAGACGCCAACCTTGTATCCCCAGCAGAATAACTTCAAGAGTCACCTTGAGACAAACACCCCTCAAGCATGCGGTGCCTCGCTTCGAGTTGAACTCCATTCATCTCACCGTGCAACATCCAACATCGCTCACGCCTCCACGTCCAAGCACACCCATGCCTACTCATCCACCAGGAGACAACCATCAAGCACCCGCAGGCAGCATCGTCTTCATTCTTCGCCTACACCGATCCTTCTATCCGTCCGTCGACTCTAATTCGCCCAACGCAATCCATGCGCGTTGTTTCGCCATGCTCCTTTCGCAAGCAGTGCAGACACCTTCTCTCCCCTCGCGACCGTCGTCAACTCTTCGTTGCAAAGCGCATCCTGCGCCAGACGTCACACACGCAGCCTTTTCATCGAGGCCACCGTCTCCGTATACCAACACGGCCGTGGCCATGCTTGCAACCCGTCCCTCAACCGCCTACCCTACGGCGGCGTCATCTCCTGCTCCATCAACTTCCGCACTTCCCTCTCCATATTCACCTCCGCCTCCGGCTCTTCCACCGCACCGGTCACCTTGTTGGCGAGCTCGATCTTCTTCTGGCACGCCTTGTAGAGGAGCTCCTCGACGGTGTGCGAGGAAATGAGCCGCACCACCTCCACTTCTCGCTGCTGGCCCAGACGGTGCGCCCGGTTCTCCGCCTGGATGTCGTCCTGCGGGTTGTCCGACTGGTCAAAGATGATGACCTTGTTCGCCGCGGTAAGGTTGATGCCCGTACCGCCAGCCCCGGTGGTGAGCAGAAAGACGGGAATCTCGGGGTTTCCGTTGAACTCGTCAATCAGCGTCTGCCGCTCCGAGACGTTCGTGTTGCCCATCAAGACTCGATGTTCAATGTCCTGACGAGCAAGCACTTCCCGAAGGAGCTCAATGAGCCGCGAGAACTTGCTGAACACCAGAACGCGGTCTCCGTTCTTCTGGTATTGACCAATCAGCTGCAGCAGCTTCTTGACCTTTCCGCTGTCAAGTTCTGCCGACGGCGGAATGTCAAACTGCTTCAGGAGCCGCGGGTAATCGCGACACCAGAGATGGAGCTCGAAGTCGGACGCGTTCTTGAGCTCCTGGATGAGGTGCTTGAGGTCCGGTTGGTGAAGCTCCGACTGCGGGACCTTGTCCATCAAAATCCTGCCCATGGCCTCGACCTTTTTATCCGTAAATTGGCGTCGGAAGAGGAGCGGGTGCAGAGCGGCCTTTCGGAGCTGCATCCACACGTTGTTCTGGTCGTTTTGACGTCCGACAGTCCGTCCGACACGCTGCGACGGCTCCAGCCTGAATGTCTCCTCGTACTCGTCGTACACCGGCCGCTGCGTCTCGCTCATATCGCAATGAACCACCGTGCTGATTTTTCGCGGCATGTCCGACAGGACCTGGTCCTTGCGCCGCTGCAGGATAAACGGCTCCAAGATGGTGCGAGCCCGCTTCACCCGTTCGTTGTAGAGGAATGCCCCATTCGAGACGTCTCTGATGGTTATTTTCTGGCTAAAGACGTACTGAATGTGTTCCATGCAGCCTTCAAACATCCTGGGGTTGATGAAACTGAGAAGGGACGTCATCTCCAGGAGGTTGTTCTGCACAGGCGTGCCTGAGAACAGTCAGTTAGCCCAGGCCGCAGCGCCCTGCGGTGAAGCCGACATACCTGTCAGCAGCATCTTCCATGTTGCCGGAATCTGCCGGAGGTCCTTGTACAGCTTGGTTTCGGGGTTCTTCATCTTGTGCCCCTCGTCGTATATGGCCGCGTTCAGGCGAAGTGCCTGCATTGCCTCAACGTCTTGATCCGAGTTGATTTGAGAATACGTGGCCAGGACCACATGGTAGGCATCGGGCTCCTGGTCAATCTCCCACGCGATCTCGGCCCGCTCCGACTGCGTGCCTCGATAGCCAATGACAGACAGGTCTGGGGCAAATCTCTCAAACTCGATCAGCCAGTTATTGTAGGTGCTGGGTGGAACAACAATCAGGTTGGGCCATGGCCGTTTGCCGCGGCCCTGCCGCTCGTGCTCCTCGACCAGATGGCAGATGAAGGAAATGACTTGGCACGTCTTCCCCAGGCCCATCTCGTCGGCCAGGATGCAGCCAATGTCATAGTTGTACAGCAAAGACATCCAATTTAAGCCAAACAGTTGAAAGGGCTTCATCTCGCAGTGCCCGTCCATGAGGGTTGGTTGCTGTGGTACCAGAGGACGCGTGTACCTCGAGCTCACGATACTCGTTGGAGTCGGCGGCATGTCCTTATCCGGCGTCGCCCGCCCGCTTCTCTTATCGTGCCCAAAGGAGTCAATGTCCCATGTGTCCACGACGCTCTTGACTGTCCGCGCCTTCAGCTCGCACTGAGCGACGACGTTGTCGATGGCGGAGACGGCGTTGAGGAACACCTGAACGGCATCCACGACAGAGTCGCCGATGCTGATCTTGGCGGCCTTGCGGGATCCGGGCTTCTTGTCCGAGGTGACGCGTCTCGCCTGAGCCAGGTCGCTGAAAGGCCGTCTGGCGATCAGCGGCTCGAGCAGGTTCTCCTTCATGCCGGTCATGGCCGCTAGCTCTTGCAGCCTGCTAGTGTTGATGCAGGCCAAGGCTCGGTCGTCGTCATTTTCCTTGGGCTCGGGCGAGTTTTCAGCCTGATAGGCGTCCTCCTTATCATTGTCAACAAGGTCAATCACTAGGGGGTCGTCGCTGGAAGGCGCAGGGGGATCAACCCTCTGAGATGACGAGTCGCTCCGATTCCGCAAGCCCTGGACCAGACGACGTCGCGGCTGCTTCGGCGGGCCCGAAATAGCGGTGGCAGGTGGCTCGGGCGGTAAGGAACTAGAATTATTTGCCGATCTCTTTAATGTGCCCTTGGAGACCAGCCTACGGCCTCGAGGTTCCGCAGGCGGCTGCTGCTGCTGTGCACGCCTGCCCTGGCTCGGCGGCTCTCTTTCCAGCCAGGTGATGGCGTCATCGAGGTCGTTATCGCACGCCTTGAGCGCTTTTCTAACTTGCTCAGGCGGATATGTACCGCCCAGAGCGTCGTACACCTGTCTCAATTTTTTCTTGGTTTCCCGCTCCTCGGTGGCGGGGTTGTAGGCAAAAGCGGCCATCTGTGCCTTGAACGTGGTGGGGCGGATATCTGCTCTGGAGGGCGCCAGACCGTCCTCATCGTCGGATATGAGATTGATGGGCTCGGTAGGCGGACGCTTGGGAGCCATGGCGGCGACCGGCGGTCGAAAAACGGTGCCCGCTGGAGCGAGCCGCAAGCCGAGCCGCGGCGCTTCCTTGCGCTGAAATGGAGACGAGGCGGGCACCTCGACGACGGTGGCGGGCGAGGATGGCTCTGGTGGATAGTGAAGGGTTGGGCGGGAGAGAATCTGGGTCGGTTGCGTGGAATCGGGGCCCCGCCAAAAGGCCGTGGGCGAACAGGGAATCGTGTCGCCCGCAAGCTCGTCGCCGTCGCGGGCCGGTATCGATGCTCGTGCGCGGGAAGAAGGCGTTCGGGGCACAGAGCTCAAATGCCGCGGCGACGGCAAAGGGGACGACGAACCATAGGCCATTGCGAAGAAGGTGGGAAAAGGGGCAATGTCATGGGTGACGAAAGTTGGGGGGATAGAAGCGAGCACTGCATGAGAGGGGGCCACGTGTGCCAATTCTTGGTATCTGTTCGGAGAAGAGCAATTTCAAAACGAGGTAGAGAAGCAAACGAGGATCAATTGGGCTGTCGAGTCGGTTGTCTGCCGCCTGCTCGCCAGTGGGCTGCGGCTCTGGTGGCGGGTGCGCTCGACTTTGAGTGGAATTTTCGTGACGGGCTTAGACGCGCCTGAGCCGCCACTGCACGCTTCGCGAAGTCACGTGCGCGGGCCTCTTTGAATGACGACTCCTCGTTCAAGCCGCACCCCAGCCTTGGATCAAACGCATGCATTTCTGTTGACACCCAATGGAAACAATATCGCATTCGAGCAGCTGCGCTCTTCCAAATACACCACGTACCAAGTTATAGTCTACCAGGACGGGTTTATGGGAACAGTAGGTACTTGCAGTCTTGTACCCGTCGCGTCAAGCCTCCGTCCGTCCCCTTTCCGGGTACCTAGGTACAGTACCTCATCAGACCTCATCACCCCCCACGAGTCAGTTGTACCTTGCATGCTACCGCTAGTGCCTGTAGGAGAAGATACACGGTGCACCGTAGTTACAGGCTGTACTGTAACGGACGTCCATCATCACCGCCGACGAGCCTCCTTCACCTCACCTCTCACGCCCACGTCAAACTCACTCGCCCTCGCGACCGCCAACACGCATCCCCAGCCATGGCGACGCGGCGAATCATCAGCTCCGAAAAGACCATCCTCGAAAAGGACGACCACCCCCCCGAGGAAAAGTCAAACATCTCCCCGGCAGTCCCCAAGTAAGCCAGCAGATATCAGCAGCCCGCTTATCCGCACTGACACCCGGCTTCCACCACAACAGGCATGTCATCTTCAAACTCTTGGGCTTCACCCTGGCCATGATTGTCGTGCCCATTGGCTCCTACTTCCTCACCGTCGACACAGTCTTCAAAGGCACGTTGAGCAACAACAACAACAACAACAACAACAACAACCTCCCTCCCTCCCTCCCTCATCGCTGACCCGTCGCAGGCAACTCGTCATACGCCGGGGCCTTGGCTGCGCTTCTAGCAAACGTTGTGCTGATTGCCTATGTCGTCGTGGCCATGAACGAGGATGAATCCGAGAGAAAGGGGGCCAGCAAGATGGAGAGCAGGAAAGACCGGTGATGCTGCCAATTGTATCTCTAGGCCGTGCCATTCGTATTTCATCCTTGCTCGCCACCTTGCGTCAACACCGGACAGCTCGTCACATGAGACTACTGGGCGGATAACCTCGATTGTGTCCTGATCGCGCCTTGCTCCTTTTGTCATGTTCATAAATCTGTCCCAAAGGCCGGTCCTTATTGAACCGTTACCGCGCCCTCATCTATATTCCACAAAGAAAAACTTGGTAATTCATGATGCCTAAAGTTCTGGCCCTCAACGGATGCATCGTCTGTTGATTCCGGGCCCCAAACTTCTCCACGTCCTGAAACCTTGTTAGAGCACGCATCCGACGATGCCTCATGCAAGACTCGTAATTCATTATCTTCAACACTGTCCTAACAAGCGCCTCGTCCAAGCAATCGCCAGGTGCGGCACTCCGCCGGAGCAGCCATGTGTCGTCATTTCCGAGGGCAGCGCCGCTTTTGAAGCAACCACTGCAAATCAATACTACAACTCCTTCGGGCGACTTCTCTTTTGGCCCAGGACTCCCGAAACTCGCATCGCGTATCATGGGTGCAAAAGTGTCGTGCGGGACCAGGTTCCGGCCCTCACTTTGAGAATGCTCTAGGTATCTTTGCTAAAGCGACGACTAAACCAGCTCTTGCGCTTCTCAGGGCCATCGTGGTGCGGCGGTGTAACCTGCCGGCTCAGTGCTGACGATTGCTTGAGCGGCACATTGGAGCCGTTGTCGAAGTGGCCAGCCTCGGCGGGAGGGGATGGTAAGGCATGGTTGGCATGGCCGTTGCCTCCCCCGCTGACGGCGAAGCCGGGTTGTGACTGGCTGAAGCCGATTCCATGGTCATTGGGGCCCGGGCGCTTAGCCGGAGCGACCCGGTGGTCGACGGAGCTGTTGTCACTGCTGGTCGGGTCTGTCTGGTAGCCAGCGGGGTCAGAGTTGCCGCCGGCAGACGTCACCGTCTCGTAGGATCGATCCTTATGTGGCATGGGGTAGACGTTTTGCTCCCGCCCATGAGTCTGGTATTGCTGATCGGGATGCATCCGCAGGCTGCGATCGCGAGGTAGAGGCCGGCCGTTATTATAGCCGGCGCCGTAACCCTGTTGCGAATCGTGGTAGCTGTCTCTCGCCGTACCGCCGTACTGGGCGTCGGTCCTGACCGATGGCGCCCGGTTGCTGTAGTAGCCGTCTTGGGGAAATCGTGGCTGGTTCGGGGGGCGGGGACCGTCTTGCTGGCTCCAGCTTACCGATGTCTGCGTTTCTGCAGCAGCAAGTCAGCTTGGCACGTCTCATTTGGCGAGGTACGAGGAACAACGCAGGTTCAGTTCGTACCTGAGCGGATCAGACTTTTGCGCGAGTATCCACCGTCGATTGCCGCCTCGAAACCTCGAATAGTGTCAAGTGGTCGTTCCCAGCGGTTACGGGTCGGGTTCGACTTGTCGGGGTCCGCTGGATGGTGTCAACTTCACTCACGTCGGTGCACACAGGCGGTTGGGATCGAAAACTTACCGATCGGGTTGCCCCATGTGTCTTTGTGCTGCATGGAGCGCAGCGAAACGTGATTCGACTCCTCCATGACGGCCATGGTAGCTGGGCCACAGTTTAGCGGCAGGACATGTCGGACGGAGGCCAGGGCGGCTGCAAAACGGGCCAAGAGGGAGGGAGAGGCATTTCAGGACGTACCAGGTTCTGCTTCGTTGATGGCCATGGAGGGATCCGCCTTGCTCTGCAGAGTCTTGGACTCGTGGGGGAAATCCGACTTGCTGCCGCCGCTTCGATGGGACTTCTCGGAGCGGACACTGTAGCTGCGTGGCTTGGTCTGGGGCCTTTGTTGTTGCGAGTATTGCTCGTTGGGTCGCTGCTGCACCCGTGGATGTTGAGATGACTGCGGGAGCAGGTGGTCATATTGCTCGGCGGGGGCCGCCATGGTGGCAGGCGGGAGGTCGCTGTTTTATTGAGCAAGTGGACGAACAGACCGGGGGGGCCTGGCACGGCGTCAAGGGTTGTCGGTGGAGCGGGATCGAGCTTGAGGATGAAAAAAGACGGGGATGCTGCGATGGCGTGCGTGTGCAGCCAAGATGAGCCGGGGGCGACTGGGAGCGAGTCAATTGGGCGCCGACCGGTTTTCGGGCGTCTCAAGGTAGGGTCGGCCTTGGAAGTCCGAGTGATAGTAGATTTTCTTCCCGCCTTCTTTTTTCCTCGTCTGGAGACGGAAGAGACTGCAGCGCGGCAGATGGCTTGGGCGGTTACCAGGGTTTGGACGAGCTCAAGTGCAGCGACGAGCCTGTCGCAGGAACGGCAGGGGGTGGTGGGTGCAGGCGGAGACAGCGGGGAGCGCTGCAACGTAAGCCTGACGGGAGGAAAAGCGGACAGCGTCTGCCTTGTTCACTCGGCGCAGGTCTTTTCAAAACACAGACCGACTCGTCCAGTGTGACTCGCACGTGCAGTGCGTATGTGTCTGGATGTATAGTATAGCCAGCGATCGGCAGTCGCAACGTGGCCGGGCAACGATTTGTGCCTGCGGAACACAGCAGAAACGAAAGCAAGTAGAATTGAAAGTCGGCGCACGGCGGAAGTTGGGCGACAGGTTTCAACGGTTGCCGCTCGTTGACGACGGAACAATGCAGCCGTCGGCGGCAGCCAAGGAGGCGGAAGACTCCTGGACAAGCGTACAGTATCTGCCGGAGGGCGTCGTCTCGTGCGGGCTGCACAACGAATGGCAGGGGGTCGCTGGACCGACTGCAGGGTGCAGCAGAGCGCACGCTTTCCCTTGGGCTCCCTGTAGACTTACTGACGTCAGTGAGCCGGCGGCTATTACGGAATGGTCTCAGTGGCCGTGTGTCGAGTTTTGGAGGTGAGACACGACGAGTCGAGAATGCCGCTGGTCGGTTACCCGGGTAAGTCGGTCGCGCGGACGATGGCAGGGCTCGTTCCGTAATAGTCGTCGGGATGCTTCGATGGCAGCGGGGCGGGACCGCCGTTTGAATGACTGAGGGCAATGGAACTCTGCGATGCGTCGTTGCCGGGCGGCGGGTTGGCTGGCGGTCGAGGCGGTTGATTAAATACGGGCGCGTGCGGGGATTCAGATGCCGTACAGGAAATCAATTCTAGTCGTGACGACGGTCTGGTCCAAAAGGAATAGACGGCGGGTGGCTGGCGCCTGATGCGTCAATACGAGATGGGAGGCAAAAAGATTGGATTCCTCGCTCGGTTGTTGAAGGGCCAGAAGGACGGCTGGCAGGCTGTACTATATGGAGCAGAGCACGGCCAAGGCAGGGCAGGCCCCGTACTATATAACTCGAACGGCATGTGCTTTTGGTTGCGTGCGTTAGAGGGAGCCGTGTGTGTGCGTGCGTGTTCCACATTGCCCGGCGAGTAGGAGAGGGGGAGTGGGAGCCCCTCCATGACTCGATTTCTCGGTACACAAGGTAGCTGATCACTGATCTATCCCACCGGCAAGGCCACTTGGGGGCAGACGGCATTGATGAACCGGGGACTGGGAAAGCAGCAGCCCGCCGTGATTCCCAGGCATCCCATCCTCATCTCGCATACGAACGCTTCTTTCTGGGTACTGTGAAATGCGAGCCCGAGGAATCGAGGAGAGGGAGCCTTGCCGTAACGGGCCAAGCACCAGCGGGTACTTGTTAGTGCATGCATCGCCCCATGATAGTTGCAAGGGTGCCTGCCGCCTCCGGCCTGAGGAATTTGCCCCGAAAGGGTTCTCTAGAGTTTCTCCAGATGCATCCCTAGTTCCCTTTGGAGCAAGCACGGATGCCCCCCTGATTTGCGCGACAAAGGCCGCCCGCGACGTTCCATGGCTTTGCTCCGACGAGCTCCCGAGCCGGAAAGAAAAAAAAAGGGGGGGAGGGGGGGGAAACACACAGTGGCTGCATTGATTCTACGGCTGCTAGTCATATGCTGGTCGGCAATGCCTCTCCATGCAGGTTCCTTCCCGTCTAGCCCGCCCCAAAGAATGCAAGCAATGCATGGGTGTGGCTCCATTACGCGTCCGACTCCGCCCTCTCTCGCCTTGGAACTTTAACGGGCCAAGTCTTGGAAGAGCTGAAAGGAGGAGAAAGAAAGAAAGAAAGAAAGAAAGAAAGACAGGGCACCCCCTCTTCCCCCCCCCCCCCTTTTGGCCAAGCGGTATAGGGGGAGCGGCAGGTCCCATCAAGCAAATATTGATTCAAGCTTTGCTTCTCTCTTTTCTGCGTCTTGACGAGACTTGGAGACATCCTCCGACATGCATCGAAACGCGGTGTGGGACTGGCTTGTCTCTCCCCCAGCCAGGGGTCCGGCGCCACAGCACCCTGCAAATCATGGGACGAGTCGCTTCTGCTTCTCCTCGTGTTTCCAGGTCGTCGCCTCACACCACCTGTGCAGAGTTCAGAGACACCAGAGGCCATCGAGCGTGCAGCTGCAGCGGCACACACACGCCTGGGAATCAGCATGAGGAGAGGCCCGACGTCGCTTGCAAACAGTCTCTCTCCTCCTTTTGGCCTGCAACCATGTCCAGGCGCAAATCAGGCAGCAGGGCGAACGGCCTCAACCCTGCATGATGATGAAAGCAGCACCCAACTGGGAAAGATGCCCAGGCCTGGAGATGCCACGTCGACCCTCAAAGCCCGGGGGGTGGCATCTTCTGGGGAGACAGTTGTCGCACCCACATAAAAGACCAAGTCAATGGACCGCGAGCTATTGGGGATTTCTGACCTTGTTGCCCAGTCGATGCCCTCTCGACGGCACCGTGTATACATACAACAGCAGCAGAAGCGGGATAAACACCCGTCTCCACTCTGTGGCACAGCACGCAGCCCTGGCGATGGGACGGGGGGGCTCCGACTTTGGCCGCCTGCTATCTAGGATGCATGAATGCTTGGCTATCATGCCGGCCCACGCCACGCAGCGCCCCCCGGCCTTGGACGACCTGTCTTGGGAGCCATGTGTATACATACATACTGTATATCATAAGTCACAATCAATGACCGTTCGCGGATGGACAGCGACGAAATCCCCTGGAGATGAAACCGCCCATCGGTGCTGATCCGATAACCAACTCGTGCGTCTGTGCCCCGTGTCAGTCGTCATCAGGCTGTCATCGTCGCATCCCATCCCTTCTATTCGTGTCTGCGCCGCGAGAGCGTGGCAGCGTATCCCGCTCGCGCTAGACGGCTGCTGGCATGGACTGCCTCGAGTCCATCCAGCCTCTAGCATAATGCCTACATCCTATGATCCTACACATGCACCCGATCGACGCCAAACCTTGTGTGCTCCTTCCAGCCCGGGATTCCATCACATCGCCCCCTTTCCGGATCGTCTGGGACTTTGCTGCACGCACTTGTCCCTCCTCGCCCCGCATCGGCAGAACGCGGAGCCGGCAGACCCCCGAACGGTCCGGCCGCGGGGAGATATGTTCTCAAGATTCCCACTTGCCTAGATAGCCTTTGAATATTCGAACCTACACGAAGCAAACTCCAGGTCCTGGGTATTGGGTACTATATCGATCGAGCACTGTACTGTTCTCAGCGGTAGTCCGTAACTCTGTGGCGATAAGACCTAGTCACTCCTTGGTTCAACGGAGGAGCGTGCGTGTCCTGCAGCATTCCTCGCCTCTACTGGCCTCTACTGCCACTCGTTTCTCGCGCTTGTCTGACAATGTTGTCAACAGGCCTTGTTTTATTTAGAATACATAAATGTTCGCGTGGGCCGGTCACTGACACACTTCTTCCCACCAGCCGTGATAATCCTTGGCTCGGCGGGCTCAAGGCTCACTCGTGCGCTCAGAGGCACTTGTCACCCAGCTCTCGAGTCCTTGCATCATCACTACGGCCTGTCCAGCATATATGTGCGTCGGCTGGAGACTCGACAGTACAGTAGAGCCTCTCCGGGCAAGGCCGCGGTGGAACGTCTGGTGACGCCCCTCCTCAGCCCTGTTGCAGACGCGTGGCCAGTGACCGTGGACCCGTAGCAGCCGGTCTAGGAAAGGGCACGTGGCTTTCGGCAGCTGGGATCCAGGCATCGTCCCGGCTGTCTGGAGCTTGAGTTGGAGGCCGTCTCATGAGGCTTACGCTAGCCATGCGTCCGACAAGGTCGTTCGACACGCTCGACCGGCTCGCAAGTCGTGGCACAAGTCCCGACGGACCAAACGAACCTATTCATCGTTGCCGGGGTGAGCTGGATGGCCCAAGGATTGAGTACCCGTCATGTAGCCTCAGTCGAGGACTCCATGTCACCCTCGCAATCGCACACCAGCTCAGCGTACAGAGCAGGCCCTGTGCAAAAAGATACTTGTTTTGCAACGCATGTAACATCAAGACATGACCAGCGAAGGCAATAGCACACCGCCTGAGTCGCAGTCTGCGAGTGTTGTATTCGCGAAAACAATCATAGGCTCAGAACGATCAGAGGGAGATTGGCCCGTCATCACTTCTGTGGTAATTTCGCCCCTCACTTCCGTCCGCATGACCGGCCGACAACACTCCCATCGACAAGCAGTGGCCCCTTGAATCATATCAATGCTCGTCCGGTAATGATTGCATCTTTTCCACTCGGGTGGTCGCAAAGTCCGGGCTGCCGGAACCACGCGAAGCACCAAGACCAAATCACACCTTCACCGCGAGTCGGTTCGTAGGGTTTGACATCTTTCAATTGAATGCCCCCAGCCGAGGCAACAAGTTTCGGCCTTGCCTCGGCCAATGCTGCCAAATGATAACCGCCCTCGCTACCAACTCCATCCCGGATCCTTGTTTATATCGTCGAAGGGTACAGCATGACACGAACGGAGGCACCGAAAGACTTTGTGGGGAGGGGAGAGGTGAACTTGGCGCGGACGACGCCCGAGTTCCCTGCAGCCAGATTAGCGGATGGCGATACGTGGAAACTTTGAACAGGGTCAAATATACCGTGCGGCCGGGTGACCTTGCCCCAGATAACGCGGATCTTGGAGCCCCGGATCTCCTTGTGGCCGCGATAGACGAAGGCAACCTTCTTGCCGAGGTAGAAGCTGCAACGAGGCGTAAGCTACGGCCCCTCCTATGCACACAAGACCATCGCGGGACATACTTGGCAGCGTTGGTGTCGTCAACGCCCTCGATTTTAATCAGGCTCGTGCCAGGGCGGGTGACGTGACGGGAGCGCTGGTAGCTCAAGTGGCGTCCCCTTTTCCACGTCGGTCAGCACATGTTTGCACGGATTTCGCGGTCGGATCGCTCTTCTCGCGGCGTATTCGCGGGGATCGTTTCGCTGAGTGTCCGGGAGAGGACGAATGGCAAGGACGGAGTCGCCATGGGTTTACTTACTTGACGTATACTGTTCGAATTGTTAGCCAAAGTCCGACGGTCGCCGCCGATCAAGGGGAAACTCACATCTGTGACCACTCTCGGAAGGCATCGTGTTTGTTTCCTGGCTTGCGCCCTCGCAAGCAACAAAGAAGGACAAGGGAAGAGTCGAAGGAACTGTCTTATCTAAAAGACCTTTCCCGGGATGCTGTGCGCGTCGTTGTCGTGATGTCGGCTGGAGAAGAGGTATGGATGCGCTGTTGGTGTGCGGCGACTCTACGTAGCACGAAAACTTTGAGCCCTGGCGGTCACGTGCGCTGTTAGGGCAATCTGGGCAGGCTGCTTTGCCAGGATCGTGTGGCTGGTATGACGCCGCACGTGGCTGAGCATGATTAGGTACCTAGGTACTTAAACTACCAAGTACCTACCTACCTGGGTAGGTAGCTCCACCTGGCAGCAATTTGTTTTCGTCTTTCGTGCTGGCAATTGCTTTGCTTACAACCTACCTAGTCAAAGATAAGCGAGCTCAAAGTTGGATTGACATATCTCGCAGCGCACCTGACTTGACATTGCGTCTTGTCCATCCGAGGGCTGCGAACAGCCGGGCCGTCCTCGGCCTCGTCGATGGATTCACCACCGCTGGGCCTCTTGGCATTGAACGCGAGAACTGCCGGGCTCATTGCTGAGACATGGCATGGCGTTATGACGAGCAAAGGTTGCCGAATCAGAGACTGCGCCGGCTCCGGACAGACGACCAGCGCAGATTCGGCCGGAGATGTCCCGACAAAAAGGCTGCAATACTGCACCGATCACCTAGTAACTTAACTTACCTAGTTCATGTCCAAGTGAACCTCCCTCTGCTCGCTTGTACTGTGTTTTTCTCTCTTTGTCGGTCAACCTGATGACCGAGGGATGCAAAGGTCCAATCAAGTAGCAGAAAGCGGGGCCAACTGGCCCAGGCTTACGGGCTCGATTTGGAAGGCCCGGGTCGGTATTAACTGTCAAGTCCTGAGCGGATTGGCATCGTCACCCCGTGTCGGTTCAAGTTAGCTACCTAGTAAGGAGACGTGTCCAGATGGGCCTCATGATTTGTGGTGGTCGTGACCTATTCTACTCAGTCACTAGCACGTTGAAACGTCCAGATGCTCCAAGACAGTCCTCGGCGATGGCGTAGAGTGCAAGCGGAAGCTCCGGGCAGGGAAGCCGGCAGCCCGAGGCACTGCTTGCAGAAGCACGAAGTAGCTGTGAGGTCTGCAATGCTTCGAGTGCGGTCCGCTTGCTTCGAGTGCGGTTCGCCTGCTTCGAGCTCGGTTCGCTTGCTTCGAGGCAGCAATCGAGCGGTCCCGAGGCAGGCACATCGAGGGCCATGTCGGTGCAGCTCGAGGCCGTTGAACCAAGGTCCCGTCGTCATCGTCTTGTGCCCACTGCTCCAGGCCCCGCCCACTGGGGTCCCCACCTTTTTGGTAGGAAGCGGTCGCCGAGACCGAACTTACAGTGCCTGATAAATCCGGCCCAGGCAGCGACTGCACCCAGGCCGAGGCCCCCGCCCTGCCTGGAGTCCTGGACCGTTTCCCTCATTTATTCCCCGCCGCCGTTAACCCCAGGCTCGTCCGGAAGCACCTCCCAACAGCGTCCACCCATATCGCCATTGCCACCAGATCCCACCGAGCCCTCGCACACAGCCCCGACAGCTTCTGCTCAGTCTTCGGAGCCGCTTCCACTCATATCGATCCCGGTGCCATCTGGCTACTGCCCGCCATGGACCCAATGCAGGGAATGTACGTCCATCCGTCCTTTGCTACCCCACCACGTCGCCGAGCTCGGATTTGGCACTTGACGATGAACGCAAGCACTGCACCCGCGATGATGCTGACGGCTACGCCCTAGCAATACCGTGGAGCTCAAGGACAACACGACAATTGTCGTGCTGGGTGCCTCGGGCGATCTGGCCAAGAAGAAGACGGTGAGAGCTTCTGTCGGTCCAGACGGGCCTCGGGCGTGCGCTGACGTGACCTTGATCCGCAGTACCCCGCGCTCTTCGGCCTGGTGAGCTTCCCTTGAACCGTTCGGTCGCTGCCTTCGACCGCGGCAAACAGCCTAACTAACTTTGTGCAGTATCGAAATCAGTTTCTGCCCAAGGATGTCAGAATCGTGGGCTATGCCCGCACCAAGATGGACCACGACGAATACCTGCGACGCATCAAGTCCTACATGAAGACACCCACCAAGGAGATTGAACAGCAACTCAATGATTTTTGCGGCTTGTGCTCCTACATCTCCGGCTACTACGACAAGGATGAGTCGTTCCAGAACCTCAACAAGCATCTGCAAGAGCTCGAGAAGGGTCAGTCGGAGACAAACAGACTATTCTACATGGCCCTGCCGCCCAGCGTCTTCACCACCGTCTCCCAGCACTTGAAGAAGTGTTGCTACCCGTCCAACGGCATTGCCCGAGTCATTGTGAGCATTCTTTGCCTGAACCCTTCTCGCTTCAACGGCTCCGCTTCTTGTCTGCATACTTACTAAACGTACTTGTCAAGGTCGAGAAACCGTTCGGCAAGGACCTCGCCAGCTCCCGCGAGCTTCAAAAGTCCCTCAGACCCGATTGGAAGGAAGAAGAGCTTTTCCGCATCGACCACTACCTAGGCAAAGAAATGGTCAAGAACATCTTGATCCTGCGCTTTGGCAACTCGTTCCTGGGTGCCACGTGGAGCCGCCAGCACATCGACAACGTGCAAATCTCTTTCAAAGAGCCCTTTGGCACTGAAGGGCGAGGAGGCTACTTTGACGAGTTTGGCATTATTCGCGACGTCATGCAGAACCATCTCTTGCAAGTTCTTACTCTGCTCGCCATGGACCGACCCATCTCGTTCGACGCCGAGGACATCCGCGACGAAAAAGTCCGGGTGCTCCGTGCCATCCCTGCCATCGAGCCCAAGAACGTCATCATCGGCCAGTACGGAAAGTCTCTCGACGGAAGCAAACCTTCGTACAAGGAAGACGAGACGGTCCCGAGGGACTCAAGATGTCCCACGTTCTGCGCGCTCGTAGCGTACATCAAGAACGAGCGCTGGGACGGCGTTCCTTTCATCATGAAGGCCGGCAAGGCACTCAACGAGCAGAAAACGGAGATTCGGATTCAGTTCAAGGATGTGTCCTCAGGCATCTTCAAGGACATTCCGCGGAACGAACTTGTTATGCGCATTCAGCCCAACGAGAGTGTCTACATCAAGATGAACTCCAAGCTGCCAGGCCTGAGTATGCAGACCGTCGTCACTGAACTCGATCTCACCTACCGACGACGGTTCTCCGACCTCAAGATTCCGGAGGCTTACGAATCCCTGGTTCTCGACTGCCTCAAGGGTGATCACTCCAATTTTGTGCGTGACGATGAGCTTGATGCGAGCTGGCGCATATTTACGCCGCTGCTCCATTACCTCGATGACAACAAGGAAATCATCCCAATGGAATACCCCTATGGTAAGTCTGCGCGCTGCCCACGGGAGGCGAGGACACGATTAAAAACAGCCTGCTCACCTGTCGCGACAGGATCTCGCGGCCCCGCGGTCCTGGACGACTTCACGGCTTCGTACGGCTACAAGTTTAGCGACGCGACGGGCTACCAGTGGCCGACAACTACAGCAACCCCTCCTAACAAGTTGTAAGTCTGTCGCCGCCGGTGCCCCTCATGTTGAACATGGTGTGGGCGCCTTGGGCGGATCAATGGGGCTGATGGCTGTCGCAGCTGATTTGACCATGTGCAAGCGACTGCTCAGCTCTCTGGCGTGGCGCAACTCCGTCTGGACAGAATCTGGGTGATTCAAGGAGAGGAAGGATGGCAGGACAATGGCGACGAGATGCAGGGTCGGGTTCTGCGAGTTCGGCGTCTGCCTCGCAAGATCTCGAAAATGAAACAGAAGCCGCTTAAAGGGGTCGGGAAGGAATCTATAGAAGATAGTGTATCGCAGTGTCGTCGTGTGGTAGTTTTGGCGCAACTGAGGTTTCTGCGTGGCAGCTTTTGGTACTTCTGACGTCGGGACTCCGGGTCCGGTTAATGACTGCGGATATAAGCCTCAGGCCATTATGTAAGGTTGGAGCCATCGACAAGCTTTGCGGACCGCGAAAGTGGCCCGTGCACGCGCCGCCTCACATGACCGGGCGGCTCCCCATCTGGCGCTTCCGCTACCAGAGGTCCTCGCCTCGCGACTTTCAGTCCCCTTTCAGTCGCCGCCATTCGTTTTCCTCAACCCGCCCTTGCTCAACCACCTACGACCCTAGACCCATCATTACCGCGTCGCGCTCATCCGATTACCTGCATTGTCGAACCGGATACGTTTCCTCACTCCCGCTGGCGCCTCGTCGCCCGCCAACGGACGCCTCGCCCTCGTTCACTCGCCTCGCCCAACCTGCCGGCGCAGATAGTCGGCGGATCCCTTCGAGGAGCGGGAGACGGTCAGTCCGGTCGCGCACTCTCTCGGAATCCATGCGAATCGTCAGCGCGCCCTGGGTTCCACTTGCAGACGAGTCGTATTACCATGCTCCGGTCGGCTCGTCTGTGAAGTCATTTCGGCACAATCTCCATGACAAACAAAGGCGCCTGAAAGCATCCACGGGACACGAAGCCTGCGCCACCCGCGGCCGTGGCCCTGCCGCCGTCGAGTTCCCGGTTTACTTGCGCGGACTTGGGGACGAGTAGTAAATGCCCGGCGTCATCAACATGGAGCCAGGAGGCCAAAATGGCTCACGCACCGACCACGACAGGGACCGCGGCGCCAACGGAATCAACGGTACGGGCGCTCTGTTGGCTGCGCCTGAGAAGGACAAGATGGCGACCGCAAAGGATAATGGCCCCGTCAACGGGGGGGGCGCATCGGAACGCTCTCGGGAACCAACTTCGACCGCGCCGCACCCGAGAATGAACGATCTTCCCGAGGAGATTGTCCACATTACGCATGGCTTCGTCCCGCTGTCTCTGTTGCTCACGCGGCTGGCCCAGGTGACGCACAACTCGCTCCAAGAAAAGATCGCAGAGCTTGCCAAAATGCCTCTGCCTGCGACAGCCGTCAATGGCAACTCGGCCTTGGCGGCTGGCGGCGGCCCCGACGACAGCTCGAGTGAAAATCTCCGCAAGAAGGGCAACCTGGCAAGCTTCGCGCAGGATTTGCATGGGAAATGGCTCAAGGCCCTCGTCATCACCGAGTGGAGCAGGAAGTCGGAAATGGTCAGCAAGCTCATCGACCTCAAGTTTCACATCGACCAGCAGAGGATACTATACGACTCGTCTCTCGATAACATCGTCAATGTTAAACGCGACTTGACTTTTGCAAGGATGCCAAGTCCAGACCTGAAGACGGCGCTGCAAATACTGTCCACAGGAAAAGCGCCCTGGATGCCCGACGTAAGTGCGCCCCTGCCGAACAGCCGTTCAGCGAGCCGAGCCTTTAACGTCTCTCGATATGCAGCTTAATTACCTGGACCCAGCTCCCTTGACCCCAAGCGAGCAGCTCAAGTGGATGAACGACCTGAACACACTGTTGTCGTTGAGGCTGAACCTCGAGGACTACGACAAGATACCGTACCATTTTCGCAACTACGAGATAGGGTCTGGACGGGTAACATTCAAGGTTGACGGCGAATTCGAGGTCGACCTGACGATTGCCGATGAAGACTTCGAGAAGCAGTTTTGGTTCATCGACTTCAGATACGCCTTCAAACCCGCGGCAGCGTCTCTTCCCGAATCCTTGAGGACATACTTGGAAGGCTGCGTCAACGAAGCGCTTAACAAAGACGGGCTGGCAGGATGCTACCAGTTTCTGCATGAATTTGTTCTAACATCCAAGATCAACGAGCTGAAACGTCAAGCCATTCAGCTGGGCAGAAACTCGTGGACCGGGACCCTTGCGGTTGAGCCATTGAACCGGGCCTTGGCAATCCAGTACTGGACGTCACGAACGGCGACAACGGGAACCAAGAGCTGGGTTCTGGTGGCGGTCAATAGCGGCCGCAGACCAAATGGCAGGGCTGATCCGAAAGCAACAAGCTTCATTGTGGCAAAATGGTATCGGGACAACAAGGAGGTCAAGGACATTGACATTGAGCTGGACGTGAATCACGTCTCGGCAGAGTCTCTCTTGACCAACGTCGTTGGCCGGCACATTGAATACATCCTGACAGGCATTCACGACAAACTCCTGACTACACCCCGGTTCAAGAATCGGGAAGCGAGCATGGTACTTGACGTGTCCAAGTCAGATCCGGCGGTTTCATGCTTGTCGATACAAGTGGGATATAGTGACACGGCAACTCTGGTGCTGGAGCCAATGGCAGGTGTATTTGCCGTCAAGCCGCACTCAAAGTTCACGGTCCAATCCGAGCATCAGTTGAACAATGGCAAGAATCTTGCCGAGGACGGTGCAAACTGTCTGGAAAATGTCCGCTGTGCAGTCATGGAGGACGAGCTCAATCGGCGCGGAAGCTCAATGGGCTGGTTTTCGCGCAAGTCGCCTTTAACTCTCGAGGAAACGAAGTCGGTGACCAAGCTTCGCGACTGGAGTCGCGCCATCTGGCTTCAGAAAGACGGCTGGGGCGCGAGCTGGTTCGTGGTGGTATTCCTGGGTCTCGGCGGGGACGAATGGTGGCTCATTGAAGCGTGAGCGCCATACCCAGCGAACAAACTTGTCGACAATGCTAACGCACTTGCCAGGAACCGTGGCGAGTCGAACCGCGCCCTCAAATTCAAGACCAAGCTGCCGCTTCACAAGGGCCACCCCGACCAGTCAGAGGCTTTCTGGAACAACCTGGCGCTGTTCACGACGGGCATCATCACGCAGTCGGTTGACGTACGAGAGCTGCATCGACATAGGATCAAGAGCAAGTCGAGCGACAGTACGGACTCGTCGCTCTCGCAGCAAGTGCGGCTGCCATCGATTGAGGTTTCACTGTCCGCCTTGTTTCCCTCCATGATATCGTCCGGCAATTCGAAAGACGGAACAGCCGGAAACACGCGCGAAGGCGACCTCACGGCTGATAACGTCGAGCTGTTGTCGCTCATGCAAAAATACACCGGGACAAGCCTGACGCTCAAGCAGGCTTGGGCGGACAACATTGTGCTCATCAACTTCAAGGGCATCCAGTCTCTGTCAGCAACCTCCGATGAGACTGGTGCAGATGGTTCCCCGGTGAGCGAGCTCATCTGCGTCTCCGACGCAGTCGTCAAAGTCCGGAGGCCCGCGACGTTTGTGGCGTTGAAGGGCATGGTCGACCACGACGTTTCCTACAATCCCCGTCGGGGCGAGTTCTCGCTGCGAATTCGGAGGCCTGTGGGGAAACCGATCTTCGGCGCCCTCAAAACCCGAATCAAGGCCATCGACCGCTTCGTCAACTTTTTCGAGGCCGTCACAAATGCCGGCGGGGCCGTCAAGACCGAGTCGATGACGTTGAAACGGGTCACCTTCTGCTACGGCGCAAAGCCCAGGCAGGGAGACGAGGGAGTCGAGATATTCAAACCGTGGCGCGTGTCGCTGGATCTCTCCAGGGACGAGATCGAGGTTGAGATGGACAGCGGCAATCCGCACCTCCGCGTCCTCGACCTCATGAGGCGGCTCGTCAATAGCGATGGCGGGATCGGGGCGTTGACGGCTTGGCTGCCGGCGTCGCTCCCCGCCCTTGTGGCCGTCGACGAGCTGCAGACGAAGTGGGACAGCATTGAAGCGCAAAACCAGGGCCGTTTCGAGTTTGCGATGAAGGCCATTGGGTGGATGAGGATTGGGTACAGCGGTGCCGCTGCAGAGGGCATCATGAAGGAGTGCGTGGTGCTCGAGTTGCGGATGAAGCTGCGGCGGGGAGAGGCTTGGTGGCACATCTGGCGGTCCGACGCCGGCGCCCGCGCTTCGCCGCAAGACGAGTTCAACAAGGCGCTGAGGCCCATCTGGAACGCCAAGGGCGAGGACTGGCTAGGTCTAGCGACGGGCGCCGCAGGTCGGCCCAGCGGCGGCGTCGAGGCCATGCTCCTGGCCATTGACGACGCCGTCCGGGCCGTCGTCCTGGACATGGGGGGCGGCGACTCGTCGGCGCCGCTCAAGGGGCCAAAGCGGGGCGATGCTCACGACGTCGTTGTCCTGGACTAAGTATATCCCGGCGGGGGCGGAGGGCGGAATGTCTGCCCATATCAAAAAGGGCTGAGGGTACCAAAAAGGCAGGGGGTTTGATTCTGGGCGGGTGTTTGTGCTGTTGGGTGCGGCGCCAACGGCCAGCGGTGCATCCAGCGTTCTTTTTTTCCTTCACTTTTGACCCTTGTCTACGCGTTTAATGATACCTGAAATCAAGACACACAAGGCCGCGGGAGAAGAGCCTTGAATATGGCAGCCGGGGGCCCTTTGGGCGGTTGGGGCCGCCCGTATGGAAAAGGGGCGCTGCGACTCACGACTCCAAGGGGCGGCGACACACGAGTCTAGATTGGTCACGAGGGGTGTTGTATGTACTACCTAGCTTCCATGTCTATATAAAACATGTGATTGTATTCCAGCCTCGTGTCCCTCCTGTCCTTCCCTCACCTTTCCCACGTGCACAAAGGGGCCGCCGTTCTACTGCTCCTACACGCCCGCCCGCGCCCGGCGCACGGGGATTTTGCGGCTCGGCACGCAGAGGATATCCTCAGACTCGGTAAACTGCTCGAGCCCCGTGCCCTCGCGCGCGCTGTCGGCCGCCAGGCCGGCGACCTCGCAGCCCGCGCGCAGGCCGGCCATGGCGCCGACGTTGGTGTAGGAGCCGCCGGCGACGACGAGGCGGCCGCCAAACGCGGCCAGGAGCTCGCCGTGGGCGCGAGCCATGCGGGCGCGGTGGCCGACCCAGTGCTGGGGGATGCAGTTTGGCGCCATGCGCGCCATGGCGAAGCACGGCGTCGCGCGCGGGATGCCGAGGTGGCGCTCGAGCAGCGCCTGCGCCTGGGCGATGGCGGCGCCCTCGTTGCCAGGGGGCGAGACGGCGTGCGGGTCGTCTGATTCGTAGTAGTGGCCGCCCATGAGGACGAAGAGCTTGGTGCCGGCGGGCTCGTCGGGCCCGGCGACGCCCACGTCAGAGTCGAAGAAGACACCGAGGGCGCGCTCCGGGTTCTGCTTGTGCGGCACGGACCGCGGGATCAAGTAGCCGAAGCCGCGGGGCTTCAGATTTTGCCGAGGGTACCACATGTTGACCGTCAGGAGCGAGACGGTGTTCTTCTCGCTCAGGCTCGGCAGGCTGTCGCCTGTGATGCGGGCCAGATCGTGGCTCAAGAGGGTCGAGATGACCCTGTCGTAGGCCACGGGGCGGCAGTCTTCATCCCTGGGCGACTTCGATGCGATAACCTAGACAGTGCTGCATGTCAATGCGGCAAACGTCGCTGGGAGGGGGCTGTGAATCAAGGCATGCTCTCTCTTACATTGACTTTTTGTTCCCCATGGTCGTAGCTGATGCTGCGCACCGAGGTGTCCATCTCGATGTTGACATTAGGCTGCTTCTGCAGGGCGTTAGCCAGCGCCGTCGTCAGCGCCTCCATGCCCGCGGGGCCAAAGTGCAGTAAGGACCCCTTGGGTCGCAGGGCGAGCTTCCGAATATGCTCGTCCGACGACATGACCTCGAGGATGGCGTGCTCGCGGGCCAGCATTAGGCTCCCGTCTTGGTAGGGCTTGGGGACGTGGTAGTTCCAGTAGAAGCGGTCCAAGACGCTGCGGGCGCTGAGCTTGTCAATATCGCCACCGTAGATTCCGTGCACCATGGCCGAGGCCATGTTGTCGGCGACGGAGCGGCTCATGGTGATGTGGTGCAGCCAGTCGGCAATGGACGGGTCGTGGTCGTCGGGGGGGAGCTTGCCATCGCGCAGCATGCGCCGGAGCAGGTAGCCGGGCGCGCCCCACATGGAGTCGAGGAAGAGCGGCTCGCGGACGAGGTTGAGGAGAGGCACGGCGGGCGGAAGCGGGACGAGGTGGTCCGGGTAGTAGATGTACCGGGGCTGGTCTTCCGGCGTCGAGATGGGGAGGCCGAGATCGAGCGCCTGACAAGGGTACGTGGTCAGTGTCAGATGGCGGACGAGCAAGAGACGGAGGAGCGCGGTCGAGGAGGAGGAAAGCTCCGTACCAGGTCATAGAGAATCAAGTCGTCAAAGCGCCACTTGTTGTTGTGCAGCGACGACAGCGTCCTCGGCCCCCTCTCAAAGCTGACGGTGCCTCGCGTGCCATCAACGTCGACCGGCACCCTGTCCGTCTTGATCCAGCCGCCCAGCCGCCCGCTGCTCTCGTACAGGGTGATGCCAACCGTCGGCGGCAGCATCCTGGCCAGGTAGTAGGCCGTCGTCAGCCCCGTGAGCCCGCCCCCGACGACGGCGATGCGCCTGGCGGCGTCCTCGGCGGTCGCGTACCCCCGTGCCGCCGCCACATCAATGCCTGGCGCCCTTCTCGATACGAAGCCGCGTCCGCATTCTCGGGGGTGGCGCCGGTGGCCATGGATGACGCTGAGCCATCGCCGCGGCGGGCCGTCTCGTCGACAGGCTCCACGTCTTGTGCCCGGACCCGCGAGCCTCAGCAGAGCGGCGGCGGCGGCATCCTCTGCGCGCCTGCGGCCCATGGCGTGCTTCATCAAGCAATCAGGTGCTGTTCATGGCTCGGGGTTGGGTTGCGTTTGACGGGTGGGCCGCGAGCTGCGGCAAACAGGTACTGTACAGCAGTTGGGTGGTGGACGTTGGACGTTGGCGCCGCCACCATCGGCAACTGCCGAGGCTCGGTGAGGCAAATACAGTAGGTAACCTTACAGTATATAGTCCGTGTCTACGTACTGTACTGCACCTCACTTGAACAGAACCAATCACCCAAACATACAATTATGCCACCATCGGTGCAGAGACGGCGACGGAGCATCAATCTTGGTCGCCCCTTTTCTGCCTCTATTCGGCTTGAAAGCCTCTCCATCGCCAACTTCTTGCCCTGCATGGTATAACGCCTCTCGGCTCCTCCTTGAACGCCCCTTGATATCCTGCCATTGTGACAAGAAAGGCTCATCACATCACATTATATTTGTACATGACTCTTGACAAGGCCTTTCCCAGCCAGCCGTCCACCGGCGTACTTTTGGCGTCGGACCGTGTCACCGACGACTTCCAATCTTTCTCCTTCTTCTTAACCGATCATCTCGGACTGTGCCGCTGCCTTTTCCATCTTCATTTCCTCGTCGGGCTTGACTTGCTCAACAGCCGCCTTGTCGTCCACAAACTTCCTCTCGCTGACGTGTTCTCCCGTAAAGTCCGCAGTCCACACCTTGTCCCTGAACCCTCCTTGCTGGCCCGCGTCGTGCGTGAACACACATTTGGGGTTGAGGCAAGGGTTGTACCGACACTTGGTCTTAACGTGAGTAAACGGACAGTCCGACGTCGAGCAGTCGGGCCCGTTCCGGCAGAGAGGCTTCGACGGGTGTTTGAACGGGCAATGGAGGTTCTGGCAGTTAGGGAAGAACTTGCAGGCTTGCTCGCTCTGGTGCGCCAGCTTGGTCGCGGGCGACGGATGCCGCGCGACACACTTCCGGTTCTTGCAGGCGACCCCATAGCTGCACGTGTCGCTGACGTCGACTGACACTCCCAGAGGCGCTGCCGGCGACTGGTGCGCAAATTTGCAGTCCTTGTTTGTGCAGTTGAGGTTGAACCTGCACACCGTCTCCTCAGGGTTCGGGCCGTCGCGCCTGCTGCCCGACATCTCGACATCCGCGCCATCCGCTGGCCCCTCTTCTGTCGTCGTCCCCTCGGCATTCGCCTTGCCTTGATGATGGTTCTGGCCCTTGCGAAAGTTGTTCTTGTGGTGGGGTTCCGAGACTCGGTCGAAGAGCGACTTGCCACGCTGTTGCTGCCCGTGTCCGCCATTTGGCCCGCCGCCCTGCATCAACTGTTGCGAGAGCTGAAACATCATCTGGTTTTGCTGCTCCAGCATGGCCATGAGCTCCATCTGGTTGGGCTGTGGTCCGTGCATCATCCAGCCAAGTCCCTGAGGTCCTCCCGCGGCCAGCCCAGCTTGCACGTTGGCGGCGCGGTTATTGTTGTGCCGCGGTAGCCGGCCCGGGCCAGTCCTCGGGCCAGTTGGGGGAGCGCGGCCGAGGGTGTTAATTCTGTCGTTGCCCCGAGTTCGATGCAGGACGTTGTCACCGGAGCGATCCATAGCCTTGTGCATGTGGCCAAGCAGGCGCTTATCTCTTCCGCCACGGGCGTTTCCGTTGCGCATCGAGCGAGGCCCCGTGGGTCTGTGCAAGGTCATCCGACAGTCAGCAAGTTAAAGGTCCCGTGAAGAAACAGCCAGCAAGGTGTGGCTCACGCTTTCAGTTCAGATGTTTCGCTGGCATTCATGTCGGTATCCATATCACCGGAAAGAGCCGCATCTTGGGGCGGGTCGGTTGTGGCTTCGCCGCCCGCGGACTCGCCACTCGTCATCTGCGCGCCGAGAAGGTCGATTTGCTCAAACAGCCATCTGGAGAAGTCGATGACGACGGGATCGTCAAGCGGCAGGCCCAGTAGCTCTCCGGCGAGCTCGGCGGCAATCTGCTGCTGGGTCTTGCCGTTGACCAGCATGAGAATGATGTATTCGGCGAGGGCGGCGTCATCGGAGCCACCAGATCCCCAACCGACCTCGACCAGCTTGGGCTGGATGGCTGTGCTCAGGGCATCGGCCAGAGGCGTGTTGAGGACGATTTCGACTGGCATGGTGGTTGTTTGGTTTGAGCGCGCTCGCAGAAATGGTGATGCGAACGTAGGTGCCGCTGCGACTCGCCCGTGGCGTCGTCAGCTGTTGACGGTCCCAGACCCAGACGCGTTGCTGACCTCGGCTAGCGGGAATCGTCGCGTGAGCAAGGGAGGCGGCTGGGGGAGGATTTTTTCGTCGCAGGAGGCCAAGTTATAGCAGCCGGTGAGGGTGTCTCTCAGCGGTCGGCAATGGCAGGGTCTGCTGTGTTGGGTGGAGTGAGTGAACGGGCAGAGGGCAGGCGTCGAAGACAGGAAGAACTTGAGAAGTACAGTAAAGGAAGAAGAATGGGTCCCTGGGTTGATGCAGATCACGTGACTTACCTGCGTTCCTGCGGTCACGGCCAGTTTCTTTGCAATCACCCTTGCTCGGGCCCATTCTATCGAGGCACTTTCACAATGTTTTTTGCGGAGCATAAGCTAAATGCTGCGCTCTTGTGTAACAAGCATGTACATACTTATTGTTGCGTATCTGAGATGTCGAGCCGAATCTAGATGCCTCCAAGGCTCTTTGTCGCTTGATTACAAAGGGCCGGTGGCTGACACCATCACGCCAAAGTCGGAGTCACGTGCTTGTGTCTCGGACAGATCCTCCTGCTAAGGTAAGCCCAGCCAGCTATTTGCCGAAAATATTCCACCCTTGCACATCTGGCCTGAAGAGACCCATGGAGCTGCGCGAATGGCCAGCACCAACACAGCACCAGCACAGCACCAGCACAGCACGGCCAGGAGAGAGGCAGAGGCGGATGTCTCGAGTGCGCCACCCACCCCGCGGGCCAACACCCAACTGCGTACCCTAGAGGCCGGCAGCTGTGAGTGAGTGGCAGCACGGAAGCTATGTTGACGGTGAAGCAGTCGATGCGAATGGACCAGAAACATGTTCTGAAGCACCGCGGCGAAGGATTGCAGGGTCCGTCGCTGTGCCGACGCGCCTGGCATCATGTCTTGGGCCCATGGAGGCTCAGCAGGACGACACAAGAACAGAAGGTTATTTGTTGTGTGTCCGTCACGCGGACATGCAGCACGTCGACGAGAGCCCTGTGCTCCCATGCATGTGGGTGAGAAGAAGCATGCTGCAGTGTAGCCTCGACTTGCGCTCGGCCCCCCTCTCTCCAATTGCCATGCCAGCTCATTCTTGCCGATGCCGTCCCCCGTTCCCCAGCTTCCCCAGCTTCCCCAGCCCCTCTCTCTCCACCGGTGTCTGCGGTGACGTCCATGGATGCATCACACATGCACAAACCCCAAGATGAGAGAGGGCACCAGCACCCGTAAATGTCCGTTCACAGGCACACAAGCCCCCGTACAATACAGTGCTGTACAAGGTAAACTTACCCTTTTGAAAGCGAATACCTGAACCCTGTGGCACACTGCGGAGGTACACACTACACTGCTGCTCACGTACAGTACCGGTACATCTACAGCACGAGGTACCGAGACGCCCCTGAGCCATTGCAATTCCAAGGCCCAAGGGCCTCTTTTGTCGATGCAAGCCCACAGCCCCTTCAATCTGTCGGCCGACATCCAAACCGTTCAACCCGGGAACGAGTTCACTAACAAGAGACGCCAAGACGCATGCAAGAAGGACTGGCTGTATCAGGATAGGTAGCCAAGGTAACGTTGCGCGGGGGAGGGGAAGAAATACCGAACAACTGTACATACACTAATTAACTTACATGCATCATCAAGATGGATTCTCGAGGCAAACATGAACGGCAGAAAGCCAAGGTACAACCTACCTTACCTAGGTACAGAGCAGCTCATCATCACGCGAGCGCCACGCCGACCCTTTGTCCCGGCTTGGCATCATCAACACCCAACCAAACCGAAGCCCTGTCTCGCCTTGGTTCGCTTGCTTGCATGCATTCCTCCGCATGCCCACCTTGCATGCGGCCGACTCTCGCGCCAAAATGAGCAGCTTCCCGCCGCGGGACAAAGCCTCCCATGGGTCCCCTCCTCACCCCAGTTCCTTCATAAAGACTGCCTCCTCTCCCGGGCCGGCCTGGACGCATCACGCGTCCGCCTCGGCCCGTAGCTCTGCTTACCTAGACACTCCCCATCTCCTCGAGCTGTCGTCGCCGCCCCATCATGCTTCGCAAGGTCACTCTGGCCGTGGCTGCCGCCCTCGCGCTGGCTCCGGCCTATGCCCTGTGGCCAGCGCCCCAGAAGCAGTCGACGGGACACGATGTCCTCTACATCGACGACACAGTCCACGTCACCTACAACGGACAGGCTGTACGCTGGCCCTCGCCCGCCGACCCCCCCCCCCCTGCTGTGCCGCGCACGACGCTGAGACGAGAGTGACTGAGCAGCTGCCTTGTAACTATGAGTACAGCCCGCCCGCCGGATTCAAGTTCAACAGCAAGGACATTGTCCAGTCGGGTCTGTCCCGCGCCTTCAAGGGCATCTTCAAACAAAACCTTGTCCCCTGGAAACTGCGCCCCCGCAACTCCGTCTTCGAGCCCAACGCCGGCGGAAACAAAACATGGATCAAGTCCATCGACATTAGGCAGACGGAGCGCGACAGCCCCAGCGTCTTCCGGCCCCGGGCCGGCGATGTCGACGAGTCATACTCGCTTGACGTATCTCGGGATGGCCAGGTCACGCTGCAGTGCAAATCGTCGACGGGCTGCCTCTACGGTCTCGAGAGCCTGGTCCAGTTCTTCTTCAAGCACAGCAGTGGCAAGCTATGGTACACGCCCCACGCGCCTATTTCCATTCACGACGCCCCCCAGTTCCCCCACCGTGGCCTTCTCCTCGATGTCGCTCGCATGTGGTTCCCTGTCGAAGACATCAAAAGGACCATTGACGCCATGTCTTGGAACAAAATGAACCGCCTGCACCTGCACATCACTGACTCGCAGTCGTGGCCGTTGGAGATCCCAGCCCTGCCGAGGCTGGCCGAAAAGGGCGCATACCGAAAGGGCCTGTCGTACTCGCCCGAGGATGTCGCGGGCATCTACGAGTACGCTATCCACCGCGGCGTCGAGGTCATCATGGAGATTGACATGCCCGGCCACATTGGCGTCGTTGATCTTGCCTACGACGACCTCATTGTCGCCTACAACGAGAAGCCCTACCAGTGGTGGTGCGCGGAGCCGCCGTGCGGAGCGTTCCGCATGAACAGTACCAAGGTATACGATTTCCTCGACACTTTGTTCGACGACCTCTTGCCGAGGATTGCGCCTTATTCCGCCTATTTCCACACCGGGGGCGACGAGCTCAACAAGAATGACTCGGCACTCGACCCTGGCGTCGGCACAAACGACTCAGCCGTCATTGCGCCTCTGCTTCAAAGGTTTCTCAACCACGCCCACGGCAAGGTCCGCAAAGCCGGCATGACGCCCTTTGTCTGGGAGGAGATGATTATCGAATGGAACCAGACCCTGGGGCGCGACGTGGTGATTCAGTCGTGGCTGGGCAACGGCGCAGTCAGGAAGCTGGCCGAAGCCGGTCACCAGGTCATTGACAGCGACTACAACTTCTGGGTAAGTCGGACAGAGTCAGGGCCTCCGACGGTGCTTCAACTAACGCGGTGCTTGGCCGCAGTATCTCGATTGCGGCCGAGGCCAATGGCTCAACTTTGACAACGGCGCGTCGTTTCAGAGGTATTACCCGTTCAACGACTGGTGCGGGCCAACAAAGAGCTGGCAGCTGATATACTCGCACGACCCGGCGGCGGGGTTATCCAGGGAGGCCGCCAAGAGGGTGCTGGGCGGCGAGGTGGCGGTATGGAGCGAGCTGATCGACGGGTCCAACCTGGACAATATTGTCTGGCCACGGGCGAGCGCCGCGGGCGAGGTGCTGTGGTCAGGCAGGCAGGACGCCTCCGGGCGGAACCGCAGCCAGTATGACGCCGCTCCGCGCCTGGCCGAGTTCCGAGAGCGAATGGTGGCCCGGGGCGTGTCGGCGATGCCGGTGCAAATGATATTCTGCACGCAGGGCAACGCCAGCGAGTGTGCCATGACGATTACCTAGTGCGGGCGGTGCGAGGGCCAAGGTCTGTCGTGTGCGAGGTGTCCATGTGTATATATGTCTCTGGCGTATTGCCAACACGAATTCATGCCGTCGTGCTGTGCCAAGGTCGAGGCCCGCCTGGGTCAGGGGAGGATGCCGCGGGCCCAAGGGAGGAGGAGATCCACAGTAAAGATGCGCGGGGAAACCTTGGCAAATAAAGGGTCCATTGTGTCCGTATGAATACGAATGAATAACTTAACTTAGTGCACTGTACGGACGCTCCGTACCCACTAGCGTGCAAAGGACAGCAGGCAATACTGTTAGAAGCAACGGGCGCTCCTGCCGTGTCTCTCCATTGCCAATTGGTCACGTTACCGGCGAATGAACATCCTTAATGGCCCCAGCCCACGTTTCCTCGCCAAACATCACCATGACGCCTCCATCTGCCCTTGTCTGTGCGCATCCGACCACGTCCCGTCCTTGCCATGAGCCGGAGCTGCTACGTCCTTCATCCGCCGGGGGTGGTGGGGAAAGCATGAGCCGCTAAAGGACCGTTCCTCAGCCTCTGAAGATGGACGACACGACCCTCCTTCTCTTCGGCTGATCCCAATCCGCCCACGGCCATTGGACGGTCCTAGTTGGTTGGTGGGATGCAACAGCTAGAGAGCCAGGGAGCTAACAAGGGCCGGGCGTATCGGGGCTTTGGGCACGTCCGACCGTCCCTCCTTGACCCGTTGGCCCGCTGCTCGGCGCAATCGACAAGCCGCAGGCCGACGTTTCTGCTGGAGCTGGAGCTGGGGCTGAGCCGAGTCCGTCTTTACGCCCACGTCGGAAGCAGCATCTCTGTTGCTGTTGTGCACTACGAGCATGGCCGGATTCGCATCGCCATGTCGCAACGCGTCGACATGTGCATTGTGCATAGTGGATAGGCTCTGCACCGCAAGGCATTTGCCAATGGACGCCTACTTTGTACATCCGGTTTATTCACACCCCCAAGCCTCGATCGATACCCGGCGACGCTTTGATGTCCCGTTTCTCCGGACCTGATCGAGCCCGCCCGCCCGCAACCACGAGCCAATCCTCCCCTCAGCCTCGTCCTTCTCTTGGCTGAGCTCTTCGCACTCCTTCCGAGTCCTGGATGCCCAGCTGAATGCGGTTAGGGCTGCTGACACTCAAACGCCGCCATCCCACATTTGCATTGTTCCCCTCCATCTCTTACTTGGTACGCGTGGTCCAAGAGAAAAAGCAGACAAAGTCGCTCGCTGCCAAAACGCCGTTTCTCTGGCCCTCTTCTTCATTCCCGTCGCTCTCCGTCCTCCGGATACGTCTTGTTGTAACAGAAAACGAGACAGTTTCTCTTCCTTTGTTTTTTTATTGCTCACACGGCTTGCGTCGCGGATCGAGGTTGACTCACCACCCATACATCTTGTCTCATCCCACAGACCACATAGATCAACTTACACTGAACCTCACTGCCCTTTTCGGCCATCGGAGGTAAAAGTGACAACAAAGAAAAAAGAACCAGCAAACCTCTTTACATCTTCGACGGTCTTTTGAGGTGAACAAGGACCGTCATGGGCCTGGTTGAGGTTGTCCTGGAGCACGTCTCCATCAAATCAGTCGCCCTCGTCATCCTCGTCGCCCTCGTCCTCCGGCTGGTGCTCGCCCGTGTTGACGAGCATCGGCGCATCAAGCGCCTCGGAAACTATGGCCCGACCATCAAGAACTATGCCCCGTTAGGTGAGCTACTCTTTCAACCTCCCTTTTCTTTATAAACTCTTATCTCCGCTCTCCTTGCCCTCGATTCCATCAGTCCTAATGGGCTGAGCCATGTGCCTCAACGTACGCAGTCCGTCTCGTGCCCTTGAAAATGCTGACATGACCCCTCTTCTTGTCCTTCCGTGATTGTATGTAGGCATCGACTTCATGGTCAGGAGTATCCGCGCCTACAATCGGAATGAGATGCTTAAGCTTTGGTTCGACCACTACTTTGGCCCAACGGGCTCCTGGACTGTCGAGACGCGCCTCGTCAACCAGCGCCTCATCTTCACCGCCGACCCGGAAAACATGAAGGCTATGCTGGCGACGCAGTTTGGCGACTACGGCAAGGGCGAGGACTTCCATCGGGAGTGGAAGGAGTTCTTGGGCGACAGCATCTTCACCACCGACGGCGCCCAGTGGCAGAGCAGCCGTCAGCTCATCCGTCCCCAGTTCACCCGCGACAGAGTCAGTGACCTCGACTGCTTCGAGTCCCACGTCGAGACGCTCTTCCAGGCCATGGCCAACGGAGGGCCCCTAGACGGCAGCCGCCAGGGCCTCGTCGACCTCTCCCAGAGCCATGGCCGCGTCATTGAGATCTCGAACCTCTTCTACCGCTACACCCTCGATGTCGCCACCGACTTTCTCCTCGGAGCCGATGTGAAGTCGTTGAGGTCAGTTTCGTGATCCCACTTCCCCTTCTGAGTCCCGGTCTCGTCTTTTCTCTCCCTCACTGCACGTCGATTTGCGCCTTGTCTGACCAGTAAGCGTGCAGCACCCCCAAGCAAGAGTTCGCTGAGGCCTTCGATGAGGTGCAGCGCATCCAATGCATCATGAACCGTACCTCCAAATTCCGCTTTCTCTTCCCCAAGTCTCGCTACCGCGCCTGCCTGCGCGTCGTCAACGACTTCGTCCACAAATTCATCGACCGGGCCCTGCGCCTGACCCCCGAGGAGCTCGAGGCCAAGGACAAGAACTACACATTCCTGCACGAGCTCGCCCGCTTCTCACGCGACCCCCAGTTCATCCGCGACCAGATCGTCGCCGTCCTGCTTGCTGGCCGCGACACCACTGCTGGCACCCTCTCCTGGGCCATCTACGAGCTGGCCCGCCACCCCGCTGCCGTCGCCCGCCTGCGCACCGAGATCCTCGAGACCGTCGGCTCTGACCGGGCCCCGACGTATGAGCACCTCAAGAACATGCCCTACCTCAAGGCAGTCCTCAACGAGACGCTCCGCCTCTATCCCGCCGTCCCCTTCAACCTCCGCCGTGCCCTCGTGGACACGACCCTACCCCGCGGCGGCGGGCCCGACGGCTCCGAGCCCCTGCCCGTCCTCAAGGGCACCCCCATCGGCTACTCGCCCTTGGTCATGCAGCGCCGCCCCGACCTCTTTCCGCCCGCCTCCGACTCGTTAGCCGACCCGGCCGTCTTCAGCCCTGAGCGCTGGGCCAACTGGCACCCCCGGCCCCACGACTACATCCCCTTCAATGCGGGCCCCCGTATCTGCATCGGTCAGCAGTTTGCCCTCACGGAAATGAGCTATGTCCTGTGTCGCATGTTCCAGCGTTTCGCCCGGGTCGAGAGCCACATGCAGCCCATTGACGGCGGCGAGCCCGCCATCAAAATTGACATTACGGTGACGCCGGCCAAAGGCGTCCGCGTTGCGTTTTATGAGAACGAGTGAGGAGGGTCTGTACGGCGTTGCCGGGTACTCTTTCCCCCTGCATTTTGTTTCGGTCATCCGAGTCCGATGTAGATGGTACACCCTTTCCTCCTGAGTTTGTTTCGGCCTGTTGGATACGATGTATGAAGGTTTGTGATTTCTTTCTTGATCCACCGACATCCGGGTGTCGTCAAGGGTGGCTTGCCGCTCTTTTCTCACGTTATTGAGGTGATGTACACCAATTCTACACCCAAATCCTGCTCGTGCTGAATATTCGTGATTCCTCTCAAAAATGTGCACGCCTTGTTTGTCGCTCAACGCCTCTGCTCAATGCCGCGAGGATAGTGTCCCTGGCTCACCCCCTCTCGTGAGCGGGATCACAAGAAGAGCGTGTCCTAATATTGCTACCCATGACCCGACTTCCCTAATCCCCATCGGAACTTACTTGCCGGCAAAGCTGTCGCGCACGGCCTTGCCGAACCTCTTGATGGCCTCGTTCATGGCCTCGGGGCTGGCGGCGGCAAATGTGGTGCGGAAGTAAAGGCCAGGGAGGGGCTTGTCCTTTTCCGTCAGGAACCAGGAGCCCCTGGCGACGAGGACCCCGCTGTCGATGCACGACGTGAAGATTTCCTCCTCAATCTCCTCGAGGGAGCGGTGGGTCGCGTGTGGGTGCTGCGCGTAGTCGACCTTGAGCCACATCTAAGCGATGTCGAGGTTAGAAGGTTCGCCGTGACGTGGGTTCCTCTTCATCCTGCGCACTTGTTGCTCCTGTATCGGACCGAGGGCTGTCGATTGGTGGCGAGGGCAGGCAAGGGGAAGTACCAAGGGAAATGACTTACAAACATGCCGGCGGCGGGAGGGCTCCAGCTGACAATGTCCCGCGGCAAGTGGTCCTCGCAGGCGGCCAAGAGGGCGTTTCTCTTCTTGGTGTACTCGAGGCGCAGGTTCATCAGCCAGCGGAGGTAGCCCTCGTGGCCCCACGTCTCGTCGAGGAGCTTGTGCAGAATGACCTGGGAGAAGCCGGCGGGCCCCTGGCTGGCGACCTCTGCATGGCGCTGGTAGCGCTCAATGATTTGCTCCGAGGCCACGACCCAGCCCATGCGCGAGCCGGGGACGAGGACTTTTGAGAAGGAGTCGAGGCGCATGACGCGGCCGTCGACGTCCATGCTGACGAGGGAGGGGATGAGGGACGAGAGGAAGTCGTCGACGCTGCGGGGAGCGGGGGCGTCGGGCTGGTCCCTGCCGAGGTAGGGCTGCATCTGGAGAAAGTAGTAGGGCTCGTCCTCGAGGATGAACATGTCGTGCTTCCGGGCGACGCGGTAGATGTCGCGCCGGCGCTGGGCGCCCTGGGTGGCGCCCGTCGGGTTCTGGCCCGAGGGCACCGTGTACAAGACGTGAGGCTTCCTGGCGCCCCTAGCCTCTGGATCCCATTGGGTGAGCAGGTCGTCCATGGCCTCTGGGATCAGGCCCTGATCGTCGAGGATGCAGCCAAAGGCCTTGATTCCGAGGGGCGCGATGGTCTCGAGGGCGGTGGAGAAGCTAAACTCCTCGGTCAGGACGGAGTCGCGGCGGTCCTTGTCGCAAAACATGCGCAAGGCCTGCTCGAGCGCGCCGGTGCTGCCAATGGTCTGGCAGACGCGCCAGTCGGCGTAGGGCGGCTTGCAGACAATTTCCGTGTGCTCGGTGAGGAAGCGTACCATCTGGGCGGAGCCGGTGGACTGGCCATAGTTGAGGGCGATGGAGAGGTCGTAGGTGGCGTCGCGGTCGCGCACGTCGTACTTGCCGATGGTGATGGTCTGCCCCCGCTCCAGGGTGTCCTTTTCGGAGAAGCAAGGGGCCGTAGGGACTTTCATGGCCAGTTGGGCAAAGGGGAAGAGCTCGCTCGAGGGCAGGCCGCCGCCGAGGGAGACGAGGCCGGGTTTCTTGAGGTGCTTTGCCGCCTGCTTGAGGGTGCACGGCTTTCTCTCGCGGCTCTCGACACTCAAGAGATCTGTGAATGGAGTTGGTAAGTAGAGAAAGCTTGCCAGAAAAGAGAGGGAAGGGAGAGGTTATAGCTTACTGTCCCAGCGCTTCGCCTTGGGCTTGCCGGTTTGCTGTGATGGGTTTGAACAGTCTCAGCCGTAAAATTGCAATGCAGGATATGGGGAAAGCGACGACTTACAGGCCCCTTGAACATGTCGCTGTCCGAGGCGGCGGCAATACCGGCGACCAGCTTGCCGGCGCGGGCTCTCCGGGCCAGGACGTCGCCAATGGCCGATGACCTCTGGTGGTCGTCATGGTGGGCCTGACGAGCGGCCGGGGCGGCCTCGGTGTTGTTGAGGCCCCGGCGGGGATTGTCACGGGCGAGGCGGGCTTGACACAGGGAGGCTGGGCCGCGGTGGGTGCGGAGGCGGCGGGCGACGGCGTGGGAGACGGGCAGCATGGCGACAGAAGGCGGTATAGGATGTCTGGGTACGGGGTCTGGGCCCGCTGGTCGGGGGGATGTCGTGGGGGGATGTCGTGGAGGCGTGCGAATGGGTCGAGCGATCGGTGAGTAAAGTTGAAGCTGGCAGCGTGCGTGTGGATGGTGGTGCAAGATGCAGGATGCAAGTCAGGCCCTCCGGGAGGGCAAGTGCGGGCTCCGGGGTCGGCGCTCCTGCCAAGCCAGATGAACCCGATCCTAAGCGCGTCGTTACCCCACGATTACCTTATAATTATGGAGCCCCATTGTGCGTCTAAAACGGGCTGGCGCAAGCGGGTCCGCCGATTGTGTTGTAGATGTCGACGACTTTCTTCATCGGCAGGTACGTACCTTGATGGGACACAGCCTCTATCTAACACAAGAGCATGTTGAGCAGATGCCGGCTTTGGCATACCTTGGTACCTGCCTATGTAGATGTCCTAAGGTATGCTTTGTGCGCAGGAATGGGGCACGAGACCCTGGATTCGACGCTCGACACTTGATACATGTCATTACGTATCCATTTGCATATCCGAACATGACAAGTGCTTGGAGTGGTGGTTGGGTGCTTCATCTCAGGTGGCATGGGTGGGTAAGGTTTGCATGCATGTTGCAGTCGCCCATCCATCTCAAATCACAAATCAGGCACAGAAAACTACCTAAATACTAGGTAGGTACCTGTCTGCGGTGAGTTAGTTACAAGGCCTGCATCCAACCTGGCAGATTGTCGTGCGGCATACAGTGCGTGGAAATGCGGTGACGGAGAGCGTCAACAGTCTACCCGGATGCAGCACAAAGGGACTGTATGGCTTTGATGGTTCCAAGCCGCATAACTTGTCCGCTCGCTCTTCCATCCAATCCAGGGCTGTCTGTCGGTGAATTTCAAAGCCAAACTATGCCCAGAGTCTGGCTTTGTCGGCCTGCACTGCACGTTGAGCAGGGGGGTGATTACATAATCAGAAAGATGTTGTAGATGGGTAGTCTGAAGCTCCTCCCAGCATCCATCCATCGCGATACGTCGTCGACCGGCAATTGCCAGCCAGCTCGCGACAACAACGGTAGACACAGACTCCCCCGCCCGCTCCAATGCCGCCGTCTCCCTGAGGTGCGTTGCCTGTGCCGAGGACCAGCAGCCATGTATTGGCCCATTGGCACGCCGCGCATCTACGCAACCAGCAGCAGCCGAGCCCCGGACCTCAACCTCATCGTCTCAGGCGACGGCCTCTCCAGCCCCTACCTCTCGCGCCCGCCATCGCCCTTCTCCCCCGACGCCGCCTCGCGACGCGACGCCGCCGCCCAAGATGACTTGGAGCTTCAGCCGCCGCCCACGCCCATCACCCCCGCCGTGCAGTCGGTCGAGCATCACGAGAATCCCCTCAGCGACGCCGCCTCGGCCGCGTCCAACTCCGAGGCCAATGGGGTGCCGTTAAAGGACCCAGTCTTGGCCCTGCGCGTCGCCCGCACCGGCCACCTCTTTGCCGTCATCACAGCCACCTCCATCACTCTCTGGCAGATAAAGGTGCCGCGTCAAGCCCCAGCACTCTGGTATACGCTGACCAAAGACAGCCCGCCGTCGTTCTCGCCGTCGTCGTTCGATCCGAATCCTCGCTTCAGCTCTATGGCAGAAATGTCGACGTTCTGCTGCGACCCGACTCGGCCATTCTCGTCGTCCAGACCGACCAGGGCTACCTCATCACCTACTCCATCGCCACAGACGCAGAGTCCTTTGTCTACAAGCCGCACTTTGCAAGCTACCACAACGTCCAGCGACGCAAGCAGAAACTCGTCGGGGCCCAGGCTGGCCTGCGGCCTGACCACTTTCTCTGGGGCCCGGGTGAGGGAGCCGGCGTGCGCGACGTCAGCGTGCGCTTCCGCATGGTCATCAAGGTTGACGCCGGCATCGAGAGCGCCCTGGCCCTCGACGAGGAGCTCGTCGTCGCAACCAGGAAACCCGCCGCTGTGCAGTGCATCCGCTGGACCCCGGACAGCACCGGCAGCCAAACCAGGACCGAGATCATGAGCCGCATGGGCTGGGTGGAGAAAAAGTCGTGCATAGTCGAGATGACTTACGACCGCTCCATGAACCTGGCCACATGGATCACGAGCGACGGACGCGCCTATGCCGTCCAGCGCCAACTTCACCGTCCCGACGGCGAGAGGCCTGAAGACGCCGAGGCCAAGCGGCTTTTCAAGGGCCACTGCTTTCACGTCCCGCAGGGCCCAGGGGGTCACGCCCTCAAGGCCGTCATCAATGCCCGCTTCTCGCTCATCGCCGTTGGCTGTGCTGATGGGACGGTGCAGGTATACTCGGTCAAGGACTACGCCGGCAACATCACCCACTCTCACGCCCAAACCATTCCAGTCTCGACGGCGGCCGCGGGCGCCTTTACGACCTTGAGCTACTCGCCCGACGGCTACTGCCTCTTTGCCGGCTGCGAGAGAGGATGGTCCATGTGGAGCATGTTCGGCAAGCTTGGGAGCCACAGTTTTGGGGCTGACGAGGTCGCCTTGAGCAGCAATGGCGAGCAGTGGCTCACGGGCGTCACCGCAGCGTCTTGGATCGGCAGAGGCTCCGAGGTCCTCCTGGTCGGGCCAAGCCACGAAGCGGTTTGGAGCCTTGAGATGGCCAAGAGCGCCGTCGCTGGCTGCTACAATGAGGCCAACGTCTTCCGCACCGTGCTGCAGACGCCGAGCGCAGTCATGGTCTACCGAGGATATGACCTCCCCGACCTGACCAGCATCTCTGCCGAGCCATTCCTTTGGCACACGGCCACCCTGCCGCCGACTTACTTGCTCAACCAGTGGCCGATTCGGCAGACGGTCATATCTCCCGATGGCCGCTATGTCGCCGTAGCGGGCCGCCGTGGCCTGGCCCACTACAGCGTCAACAGTGGCCGCTGGAAGACGTTTGCCACCGAGGCCACGGAGAACGAGTTTCAAGTCAGAGGAGGCATGTGTTGGTATCAACACATTCTGGTGGCCGCCGTGGAGAGCAACAGGACTTTTCAAGTACGGCTGTTTTCGCGCGAGACGCCCCTCGAGCCGTCTCAGGTTCTGTTCACACAACAGATCCCGGCACCAGTAGTACTCGTCACGACGTCGGGCGAGGATTCCCTGCTGGTCTACACGTACGAGAACCTACTCTACCACTTCATCTTCACCCCGTGGGCCGAGTCGGTGCGCCTGGTCCAGGTTGGTCAGATTGCATTCCACGGCATCGTTCGCTCGCCGGCTAGGGTTCGCGGACTGAGCTGGATTCTGCCCGAAAGCCAGCTGGTCGACGGAGACCCCTCCCAGGATGTATCCGTGGCGTCAGTCATCTTCCTGGTCGACGGCAAGCTCGTGCTGCTCAGCCCGTCGCTCAACGACGAGGGCCAGCTCAAGTACGACATGCGCATCGTCGCGCAAAACGTCGAGTACCATGCCAGCATGAGAGACCAGCCGCTGCTCAACGTGACGCGGCTCTCAGACGGCGACTCGCCGCGACGCGGACCGCCCGCGCTGCGCGACTCCCTGTGGGTGTTTGACGGGGCCGAGGTTAAGGCGTGGGTCAGTGTGCGCGAGGTGCTGGACGCGGCGTCTGGCGATGGCGGGAGGGAGTTGCCGGCTCCGGTGTCGGTTCCCGTTGACTTTTACCCGCTTTCGTTCCTGTCGGAGAAGGGCATTATTCTCGGGGTCGAGTCCGACTTGGTACAGCGGCGCGATATTACGTTTTCCTATTTTCACTTCGCAATCAGGGTAAGTAGTAGTCTTTCGTGTTCTGAGGCCTCCCTCGCAAAAAGTGCACACTGCTATTTTGAATGCTGACGATCGTCAGACGCATCTCGTGCTTCCGGACGTGCTTCGATTTTACTTGCGCCAGAACAAGACTGTCGAGGCGGGTTATCTAGCAGGGCAATACCACGGCCTGGAGTACTTCTCGCACGGACTGGAAATTCTACTCCACCGCGTGCTGGACGAGGAAGCCGAGACATGCCCGCGGCCTGAAGAAGCTGTGTTACCGCGGGTGCTGTCGCTCCTGTCGTCATCCAAGGACTACCTCGACATTGTGCTACAATGCACTCGAAAGACGGAAGTGCGGCAGTGGAAGACGCTCTTCGCCTACCTGCCGCCGGCGCAAGAGCTCTTTGAAGAGTCGCTGCAGCGGGGCTCGCTCAAGACGGCGGGGGGCTACCTGATTGTGCTGCATACGCTCGAGGAGCTCGAGTCTTCGACGGAGCAGTCAGTGCGCGTGCTGTCGCGGGCAATACAAGAGGGGGACTGGGAGTTGTGCAAGGAGCTGGCTCGCTTCCTGGCGGCCATGGATGAGACAGGGGAGATTTTGCGCGAGGCCATGGGCCTGGTCAACATGGAGCTCAAGGGGAAGCCGGCCGCGGAGCACGTGGGCAGCCGGCTCGGGATTCCGCTGTCCAGGGTCGCCAACGGACGCGGCAGGAGGGGCAGTGGGGAGGATGAGTCGGACGTGCGGTCGGGGAGCGATGAGTCGGACGTGCGGTCGGGGAGCGATGCGTCGAGTGTTGCTTCTACGGCGAGTCCGCTGAATGAGTCCCGCCTTGTCTGAGAGAGAGAGGCGGACCCGCTATATACCAATTGAAGCAGCCGCTGGTGTCATCTCTCATGGCAGGACAAATCCGCCGAGGCCGATTGATGATAGCAAAGGCTCAGTGGTTGTGATGGGTTCATTATGTGAATAGATGGGTAGGTAAGGTAGGCATCGAGGTTGGTTGCGCAGGCGCCAGGATATACGTCCATATTTAACCATATGACTAATCAAGTAGTCACGTTATCGCCATGCCCACCCTGCCACCCCCACCAGCCCATGCTTTCTCCCGCCCACCACTCCAACAACCTCACTTCCATGTTCGGCGGCCCAAAAAAACACATCGTCTCCCTCCCCCCTTGCCATCATCATCCACGCCGCTCGCTGCTGGTCATGGTCGCTCTTGGCTGGGCCTCCTAGCCGGCAGATCTCTGTCCTCCCCTCCCCTCTCGCTCCCCTCCTCCGCCGGTCCCTCCGCATCTCCTACAGGCTGCCCGACATGATGGACGACTACGTGAGCGAGTCAGACAGCGACTACACGAGCTACTGGCGTGATTGGGTGAGGCCCGACCCCCCCGTCTTCTTATACCTTTTTTCCCTTGCTCCCTCGCCGACTCCGAGTCCTTGCCGCCTTTGTGCTGCTCTCGCCTGTTGTGGGACGAGAAATGCAAGGATCAAGACCTTGAGCAAGACCAAGAAGAATATCAAGAAGCGAGCTGTTCAAAAAAACTGAAGCTAACGTGTGCGACGGCCGGCCAGTTTATATCCTCGAGGGGCAATGAGTACTTTTGCGAAATCGACGAGGACTACCTCACGGATCGCTTCAACCTGACGGGCCTCAACACCGACGTGCAGTACTACCAGTATGCCCTCGACCTTGTCACCGACGTCTTCGATCTCGACTGCGACGATGAGATGCGCGAGACGATTGAGAAGTCGGCGCGCCACCTCTACGGCCTCGTCCACGCCCGATACATAGTCACCACGCGCGGCCTGACCAAGATGGTACTCGCTGCGTTCCCTGGCCCCTTCATGCTCCATTGCTGATCATCCGAACGTAGCTCGACAAGTACAAAAAGGCAGAGTTTGGCAAATGCCCGCGCGTCAACTGCCACTCGCACCCCCTCCTGCCCATGGGCCTCTCCGACATACCCAACATCAAGCCCGTCAAGCTCTACTGCGCCCGCTGCGAGGACATTTACAACCCAAAGTCGTCGCGCCACGGCGCCATCGACGGCGCCTACTTCGGCACCTCGTTCCACAACATCATCCTCCAGGTCTACCCAGCCCTCATCCCTTCAAAGAGCGTTGAGCGCTATGTGCCCCGCGTCTACGGCTTCAAGGTGCACGCCTCGGCCGCTCTCATTCGGTGGCAGAACGCAAAGCGCGACGAGATGCGCCGCCGCCTGCGCAAGCTCGAGATCGAGACGGGCTTCCGCGAGGAGAATGGCGACGGCGGCGTCGTCGACGACGACGACGACGACGATGACGTCGAGTTTGAGGGTGTGGATGCCAGGGTCGCCGTCGCCGAGGGCGCGCTGTGAGGCGGCCCGGCTTTCTCGAGTCTCCTCTGCCCGAATACCGAAGCCTCTACAGCAGAGAGGGGGAAAACACGCAAAGACGGTGCGGCGCGGCGACACGTCCCCACCATGTACAGAAGCGCTGTTGGGTGCAAGTCTTCGGGCGTCTTCTATTTTCTTCTCCCTCGTGTCCTGTTGGTCCCTTTACTACCCTTGTGTTTTGTTTGTTTTCCCCTTTTCCTTTGGACTATCAGCCACCCGACATGTCGCGATACGGGTGCCCTATAGGTCGGCCGGCGTTGGGATGGACGAATACATCAGTTCGTGGGTGGATGAATGAGCGGTTTGCGCACGAGACACGGCGCGAAGACGGGAAGAGAAAGAAAGATGCGAAGGGGAGAAACGGGTCTCCAAGCAAGTCATCGCCGTGCTGCTCATTGTGCATCGCTTCGCGTTAGTGTGCCTCACATACCTCGAGGTGCCGAGGCCCTAAAGGTGTATTCTAAAGCCGCCTCGTCAACGACGCCGTATAGCAGCAACTGGGAGCGACCAACGCTTCCTTGCCTGCCAACCCGCTCAATGACCCAACATTTCAAGCCCCATCAATCGGCGACGGCTCAACGCCGCAAATGTATCCATGTTTAGGCGAGTGTCGATGGGTACACCGGTCTGTCAGTCACCAACACGGCATCTACCCAGTGTACGTTTCCAAACCATCTCTTCCCCGTCTTCAGCATTTTCCTGTCATAACCCTACTCTTCCGCTCATGTAAAGACAAATACATGACCATCATAGCCCAGTCAACACTGACACAAGACCTTTCCTGCGTCACATCGTGCCCGACCCATGCCCGACATCAAACCATCAAATATAAAATGCCCTTGGCTTTTTAACATTCAATGGCATTGTTCCAGCTACATAGCCGGCTGTTTCCAAACATCTCATAAAGGGGATATAGAATCATCGAACGTCCCGGCTACTGGAGGCATGCCCTGGTGGGCCCATCGGGCGGTGCATGTTCTCCATCCGTTCGAGCTCAACGTCCTGGAAGGGGCCGGGCTGCTGCGGGCTGGCTCCATAGTGGGCGGCGCGGTAGCTCATGCCGCCGCCGCCGCCCATTGATGGATCGCCCGCTTGATGAGCTGGATGCAGGTCGACATCGCCCGACTCGCCGAGGTCGGCCTGGTCGACGCGGGCGTCAAAGTCGGATCGCTCGCCAGCGTAGCCTAGACGGCCAACGCCCGCCCAGAAAGCGCGACTGCCGCTACGAGGACCCCAAGCCCAGCCGGCACCAGCTCTGATGGGCATGTGGTAGTAGCGGAAGCTGTAGATGGCGCAGATGGTACCAATGAGATAGCCAAACAGGATGTCGAAGCCGTGGTGGCGGAAGTCAAACCAGCGAGACGCGGAGATGAAGATGGAGAGGCAAAAGGGCGCGAGGGTGATGACGAGGAGGTAGATGGGGGGCGCAGCAGCCTGGCGGCGCAGCGACTGGACCTTCATGTTGTGCTTGGCGTTGCGGTTGGCGACGCTGCCGGCCTTGCCCGTCGGGGATTCACCGTACGTGTAGCCGTTGCGGATACTCGACGCCTCGTACGAAGAATCGGCGCCGGCGTTGGCACGCGACGGGAAAGCAACGTGCGACGAGGCTTCGCCGTGCGTGTTGGCATTGGGGACGACAAAGGGGATCGTGACGGCAAACTTGCTGGCGAGATAGAGCGAGAGGTAGATGAGCCCAGCGGCCGAGGCGGCGGCGTGGCCGCTGGGGTAGCTGCGGAAGCCATCATCGAGCTTGTATTTGTCGGTCTGCTTGCAGATTGAGCCCGAGTAGAGCAGCGCGCCGGCAGCCTCACCCTTGAAGCCGCCAACCTGGTAGCTGTCGCGGTTGGCGATGTCGGGCTCGCAACGAGACAGCAGGTCGGGGCGTGGCTTGCCGCACATATTCTTGATGCCGCTGATGAAGAAGAAGGCAGAGCCAACGGCCAGCAGGAGGCCGAGCCAGCCGACGTGCCACTCCCATAGCTTGCGCTTCCAGATGAGGACCTGAGGGGTGTTCTTGGGGACCGTACCGCCGGGGACGAGGACGATGGCGATGAAGAGGATAATGACGGCGGGGGCGAGACCACAGAGGATGACGAGCAGCCAAGTCGGGACCGTCTGGTTTACCGTGAAGGGGAACCTGGTGTGTTACTCATCAGCAAGGGCCGCGCGACAGGGGGCGAAGTTTGGACTGTCATCGAGGGACGTACGAGATGTTGGGATCATCGAGGGAAAAGGGCCGCTTGTTGGGCTCGATGCGACCAAGGATGCCGCCGGCGACGACGACGACGACGAGAATGATCCAGTCGAAGGCGTATGAAGCGGCGAGAGCCAGCGAGGAGCGACCACTTGGTGGCGACGCCATCTTTTGGTAGGTGGACATGCGTCTCGCAGGCGAGAAATGGAGATGTTGTGGGGGAGGAGGGGAAAGGATGGCGAGAGAGCAGCGAGGCGATGGGTTGGTAGGTTCGTTTCAGAACGAGTCGGCACGGACGGGGTGCTTTGGGAGACGAGCGTCTAAACGCGGACGGGGCCGTTAAGGGGGTGGTGGCTGTGCAATGTCGTTGTGTCTAATTATTACTCGCGGGAGGAGATGTGTTCTTCAGCTAGGCTAGGCGAGGAAATGGCGTCAAGAGGTCTCAGCAGGCCGTCGACATGGCGTGGATGAATTTGTCCATGGACGACGAGCGTCGGCGGCAAAGGGGTTGCAAGAGTGGCCAAAGACCAAGGTTGTCGCAGGCGCCGGGTTTATATCTGTTGAGGACAAAGGGATACAGTCGATGGCGGAGCCGCCGTGTTGACGCCGAGCAAGGCGATGCGCCCGAATTTTCTTATTATTGCAGGCGACTCAGCCCTGTGTTGCCGGCGTCGATTCGCTGGCTGGTAGTGAGAAGAAAAAATGTTATGTTGAGGCGCAGGGCACGGCAGACCTGGCCAGCCCAGGCCAGCGCAGAGCCATGATCCATCCATCGGACCCACGATGGCTTGGCTAATGTGTGCCGTGCCGCAAAGGCAAGGCGCAGGCAAGGGCCGTCTGGTTGGTCAAGGGGATTCCGTCCAGGCTTTGCGATGGAGCAAAGCGCCATTTGCTCTCTTTCTTTCCGGGGCAATCAAGGCAGGCAGTTCCTCTGGCAGCGGCAGCAGCCCATTTCACCTGACGACGGACTGCGGGCAGGTACGAATACAAGCCAGAACGGCACCCGGGGAAAGGGACTAGGTAGTGTGCTGGGTACGGAGTACTGCCTACCTAGGTCGCTCCCTGCCATTTTACTTGTTGCATGTACGCACGGACTATCGAGGAAAACAACCGTCGTCAACAACACTGACTGAGGCTTTCCCAAGGGCGGATGCGGTCACGATACGGGAAATTCGATGCAACTGTATCCCCTACAAAAGCCCGAAGCCTCAGCCTCTAGAAAGTAGAAACCTTGTGTTGGCTGCCCCACACCTCGAGCTGGACACTTGGGTAGGGTACCCTGGGCACTCGCGAGTAAGAGACACGATGAAGAGAGAGGATGGCTTCTGGCAATTCAATGCTGGATAGGTAGTATTCGAGGTTGCGGTACTTGGTAGTGTGCAGAAGCTGCGCCTGCATGAATGAAGCATTCGCCTTGGCCCGTGCGTGTCTCTTTAAGCTTATGTATGGGCCTGGATGAACTGTCGCCACCATCCATTATCGATCCTCTTCGAGACTTGAGAAAAGTTTACGACGTGATTACGTACCTAGGTAGGTAGGTACCTATGCAAAGACTAAGTTCAGTACGTCGTCCTCTTACTTGGGTATCCGACATGTAGCAGATGAGTCTACATGTAGGTAGGTAGATAGGTATGTAGATACCTAAGGTATGTGCTGTACTGTACAACTGTTACGGTACGCAACACTCGAAACAAGGTCGCAACAAGGCTTCCTTCCCGTGCCAGGCCAGGCCAAGCGAGCAAGGGGGGAACCGTGCCCGGTGGCTCAGGAGGCTGACGTGGACCTGTCCCGGATGGGGAAAGTCGCTGCTGCACGACCGACCGTAACGGACATTGGAGCCAACGGTCTTTGCCCGAGGCATGGCCAGACTGGTGTAGCTACCTTCCCTGTCTCGCGCGCACTGCCCGCCCACGGAGCATTCCTCCCGTCGACAAGGCCCCTTCTCCAACCCACCTCCTGTGCTACTGTAATGTAGGTAATTACCTCCGTACAGACATAGAGAACAGCGGCAAAGACGTCGCTGTACACGCACGTGACGGCGCTTCGTGGCCTAGCGTGTTTTCCCCGCCGTCTTGAAATAGGTGGGACATGGAAAAGACAGTCGCCAGAGTGCTGCTTCTCAGTTTGAATCGTCAGCGGTGCAAGGATCAACAACTATTAATACTCCCACAACTCTCGGGTACTGACATAGTCTCAGTGCCACTCTGGTGCAGTAGGTGTCGACAGCCGTGTCCTCGCCTTGGCCATCTCTTCTTCCCTATTCCCTTATTCCCCTATTCAGATGCGGACGGGAATGGGGACGACACGCCGCCACCCGCCCGTCCATGTTCCGCAGCACTGCCACCCACCTCCATCGTCAACCGGGCACTCAGTCAGCCGCCCTCCGCAGCATGCTTCTCTTTCGTTTCGGCACTTGTCTGTTCCAAAGGGTCCCGATCATCCCCGCTTCCCACCCCATCCAGGGAGGCCGAGAATCACCCCGTCTCACTGGCAGCCCACCGCTTGCCTCGTCTCGGAGTTCCCCGCAGTCCTCCGCAAGGCCAACAACAGACACGCCCGGCAATGTAGATGGTACGCAGGCCAGCAACCTACTTGTGCCTCGCGCCGCACATGGTGGTCGTGTAGAGCAAAACAGCTGTTCACCAAATCGGCGCCCATCACTCATAATTTGCCAACTCGGAAACACGCCAGATAGTGGAATCGAAGCTCTGCAGACGCCATCGTCTATACGTCAAGGCCCGGCCAGACGCACCATGAATGCCCTGCCGTAGTGTACAAGATTCTGCTCCCCCTATGTATCAACGGCATCGCGACGCCCGTAGCTGGATTCCGCCCCGTACTTTAGGCCAGCGCTCCACACTGCATCATGGCCCCCTCATTCCTTCGAAGACTTCTTGTCCCTCCGCTTGCCGTTGTTGCGAGGCCGCGGCGTGACAACCCACTTGTTGACGTTGTGTTTGCGGCGCGTCTTGTATCCGCTCTTGGTCTGTGCACTTGTTAGCACACCCTCATCCGCTAGAGTGGCACCAGGCGCCCTCGGACTTACAGGTCGGCCCCAAGGAGAGACGGGGTTGCGATTACTCTTGGATTTTCCTCGACCGCCACCATGAGGATGGTCAACTGGAGCAGAAGAAGAAAAAATTACCGTCAGCAGCTGTGCATGTTTCAAACAGCCTGTACGTACCCTTGTTCATGGCCACACCACGCACCGTCGGTCGGATGTTGAGCCATCGGCTCCGTCCAGCTTTGCCCAGCTGGCGGTAGTGATGGTGCACATTGCTTGCAACGCCAATGGTTGCGCACGCGTTCTTGCTGACCCGGCGCACCTCGCCGCTCTGCAGTTGCACCTCGACGTACTTGCCCGTCATGATCCTGGTTCCGTCGTCCCTCGTCTCTTCATTCTTGTTCATGATCGTGGCCGAGGTGCCGGCGCTACGGCAAAAGACGGCGCCCCGGTCCCCCGACGACCCAACGCAGAAGACGACGGTTCCCACGGGTATCATGTGCATCGGCAGGCAGTTGCCAGGAAAGGCCGTCTTGGACGCCAGGATACCGGGGTCGACGATGCCGCCCATGCTGTCGAGGAGATCCTGCGGTATGCCCGCCCGGTAGCTGTGCACCACGTCGCCTGCCCTGAGACCCTCGGCCGCAATAATGTACGTCTTGCGACCCGTGTTCTGCTCCGTGACGAGGGCAATGTGGGCGCTGCGTCCGGGATCGTACTCAATCCGTTCAACCAGGTGAGGGCCTGGCCTCCGTCGTTCAAAGTCGACCGTCCGTATTCTCCGCTTGGCGCCGCCCCCGCGATGCCTCACGGTGATGCGGCCATGCACGTTTCGTCCACCTTTGCCCTGGCCCTTTTTGGGAATCGTGAGGGGAAGAAACGGCCGACCTTTCCAGAGATGGTCGTTGATGGGGCGCCTCAGATGCCGCACGCCGGGTGTCCGCGGCTTGTAGATTCGCAGCTTGACCGACTTGGATGCCAGATTCTCCTTTAAGCTGATGCGGGGCTCGTTGGGCTGCCCTTTGCTGCTGGAGCTCGCTTTGGGGGTTTGCGTGGCATAGCCGCGGAAGGCGGGCCCGCGCATCGTCAAAAGCTGGAGGCATCTGCGGGACGCAGATAACGGTAGCCTGGGCTGGAGCATCCTGGAGGGCTTTGCTCGGCAGCGAGGAATTGGCGTAGAGTACACGAGTCCTATGCGGATGGCATTGGCCGAGATGGTATCAAATCGTCCCGCGGGGAGGAGCCTCGTGGAGAGTGTACAGACGTAGACCGACGCACCCGGGGCATGGGCGTGAGATGCAATGCCAGAGGTTGTCGGCCACTCTGAAGAAGAACCAGACGATGCAGAAGCTTGACTGTGCCGCCGGGGAGCTTCTTGATGATGTCTGCCACCGGCACTGCGGTGCTGTCGACGTCGCCTTGCTGCTGGGCACGTGCGGAAATTTCGGCCGGAGGCGTGGAAAAGGTTTGGCCGAAGCAGCCTCGCTCGCAGCCACACACCGCGCCACATAGCGCCACAGCCTCGCCGCGCTCCTGACGTGTGCGCGTGAGCCTTGGCGCGAGATGGGCAGGGGAACGGGCGCACACCCAATCAGAGGACTGTTGCCCCGTGGTTGCCATTGTTGACGCCAGGCAACGACCTGATGCGGAAGTACCTGGAGCTGAGCTGACGGGTACCCGTGTAGGCACGCAAAGTATTAATAGGTGAGTACCGCCTAGCAGGATACGGGCAAGTACGTGCAGGTACCGGAAAAAGAAGCTGCACCTCTCGAGGCCCCGTCGCGTCCTTTCGTGGGTTGAAAAAAGCTCCAGGCCTCCGTCCACGCCCGCCTTGCCCATGCCAGCAGCACAGACGCCGCCTATTACGCGCTCAATCGACTTTTTGGAATAACAAGGACCAGAAGACGTTAAAAAGAAGCCCCAGAAACCTTATCCCTGCGTGCGTCCCCTCCAGCTCGGCTCGGCAAGCAAGCTTCGTGCCTCTGACATCAACAAAGCAAGACAAGCTCTTTCTCCCTCGTCGCCAGCAAGCACTCGGCGGCTGGTATTTGGCAACGGTTGAGAAGCAGTTCACACCTGCTCGCCATTAACTCGACCACTCTGTTACCTCATTTCCACTGAGCATCCTGTTCCCCTCTATCAGGGCAACCGACCGACCGGCGCGAGTCGCGACCCGCCACGACAGGTCGGCCCAGAGGTACGTACCCGCGCCGCGACGGATCCCCACTGCACGCTTTCTCCCTGCCCAGGCCAGCTCCGCTCCTCAAAACACATCCTGTCCACCCTCACAAACGTCCCTCTCCGAAATAAACACCTCGCTGCCCCGACCTGCCATCTCGTTCTCCATGCCCGTGCTCGTGCCCGCCCCGACGCATCGCCTCCCTGCCCGACACCTTTACTTATTGCAGCACAATTAGACATCGGTTCGCGTGGCCATCGCCCGCCCCAAAACATTCCAATCGCGCTGTTGTGTCGGACAGTCATCTGTCTCTGATCCAGAGGTAGGGAAGCGGAATTCCTTTTTCTTATTCGACTGTCTCAGACTCTGCCTTCTTCTCCTTCTCTTGTCCTCTCGTCTTCTTGCAACTCTTCCTGCCCGACCTTTCTCGACGCGTTGCATACTGACTTGCGTCGTCACAGCGCGGCCTCTGGCAGTATACGATCTAGTCGCCAACACTAGACCTCAAGATGCCTCCTGTAAGCGATTCCTGACGTGGTCTTGGAGCTGCGACGCCGGTTTCTGTCGTCGCTGACACTCTGGTTCTAGGGTCGGCCTGCACGTCAACGCCTCGTGTCCAACGAGAATGACGAGAACAGCTCGACGCGTATGACCAGGGCCAAGGCCGCTGCTCTCAACGTCGAAGAGCTCGCCGTGCCCTCCAAGGGTGCCCTACAAACAAAGAAGACGGCCGCCAACACTATCGTTGCCGGTGCTCAGCGGAAACGCGCCGCGCTGGGCGATGTCAGCAACGTTGGCAAGGCCGATGGAACCGATGGCAAAAAGGGTGCACCAGGCAAGGTCGGGCTGGTCTCCAAGGCCGCCCACCCCACCGGCGTCCAGAAGAACACTACTCGCCCCGCGAGCCGCGCTGCCCTGAGCACAAAGGACAACAGCAAGACTGAGAGCAAGAGGACAGGGTCTGGTGCCGGCGCTCTGGCAGCCGGCCCCAAGAGGAAGGTTGTTTCGTCAACCTCAGTCGCTGCCAAGGAAGAACCCACGGTCGAAGAGGCCGAGCCCGTCCGCAAAAAGGCACACACGCTTGGTACCGAGAAGCGGACCCGCTCGGAGCAGCCGACGGCCGAGGACGACGCCAAGGCAGCCGCCCCCAAGGCCGACGAAGCGGCGCCAGAGATGGAAGAGAAGACGAAGCCCCTGCCCGCGGACCTTGACCGCGAGGACTTGGACGACCCGCTCATGGTCGCTGAATATGCCACCGAAATCTTCGAGTACCTCCGCGATCTCGAAGTCCGCTCCATCCCCAACCCGCAGTACATGTCGCACCAGGACGACCTGGAGTGGAAAACGCGCGGCATCCTCATAGACTGGCTGATTGAAGTCCACACCCGCTTTCACCTCTTGCCTGAAACCCTGTTCCTCGCCGTCAACATCATCGACCGCTTTCTGTCGGAAAAGGTTGTCCAGCTCGACCGGCTTCAGCTCGTTGGCATCACGGCCATGTTCGTCGCGTCCAAGTACGAGGAGGTGCTGTCGCCCCATGTCGAGAACTTCAAGCGCATCACCGACAATGGCTTCAGCGAGGCCGAGATTCTCAGCGCCGAGCGATTTGTTCTCAGCACCCTCAACTACAACCTCAGCTACCCCAACCCCATGAACTTTCTTCGACGTGTTTCGAAGGCGGACAACTACGACATCCAATCTCGAACCATTGGCAAGTACCTCATGGAGATTAGCCTGCTGGACCACCGCTTCATGGCCTACCGGCCGAGCCACTGTGCGGCGGCTGCCATGTACCTTGCGCGCCTAATGCTGGACCGTGGTGAATGGGTACGTGTAGCTCTTTGCCATGGCCCGCTTGCCACTTGCTGACCGATATCTTTCAGGACGAGACCCTGGAACACTACGCCGGGTACACGGAGGAGGAAATTGAGCCCACTGTCGAGCTCATGGTGGACTACCTTGCTCGTCCGGTGGTGCACGAAGCCTTCTTCAAGAAGTACGCCAGCAAAAAGTTCCTCAAAGGTACGCGCATCTGTTGCACCGGCTGAACGGGACCAGGCTAACAGGCTGCAGCTTCCATCCTGGCTCGCCAATGGGCAAAGAAGAACGCACCGCTGTTTGGCATCACAGACACGGATTTGTCCTTGGATCAGATCTCATGATGGCGGCATGACGCTCTCACGTCGCCGCAGCGTGTGCCAGACGGACGTCGTTACACGGGAGCCGCCACCGACCTCCCACACCGTATCCGATGACTCAAGGCTGGATTGCACCCACGTCCTTGACCCTTGACGACGATAATACTTTGGCAGCTCTTTGCTCTGCCGGCGTCTGGTCTCTCGGGGCAGTAATGATTCCCCCCTGCCACGTAGGATTGGAGGCGGGTGCCAGGGTAACGGGTCCGCCCGTGCCTGTGCTTTGCATTCTTACGGTGCGATGTGTAGCAGGTGGTGCCTGCAACCGTCTGCCGTCATTTTCTCTTTTCGAGTATCTCAGCATGGAATCGTCTATTCAACTCACATATGGCGCTTGGAGTCACTGGCGAGGGCGAAGGGGGCCACTTGGTCTGGCAGGCAGGGGTTTGCTGCTCAGAGGGCCTGTTTGGTAGAGCCGGGGAAGGGGGCGTGCTTTTGGAGTTGAGGCGGCTGCGAGCCTGCGTTGGGGCCTGAGGCTGCACCTGGTCCGCGACAGGCAACCATTGGGGCGACTGGTTGCCGCGGCGGGGCGTCAATGTGGTTCTTGGCAATGACTGGGGCTCTACTGGATAGGTCGGACAAGGTGATGGGAAAGCTGTACATATTTGATGATGGAACCACGGCGGACGAGGGAGAACTGCATTGCATGACTGCCTGCGTGCCCGGGATGAAGGTGTTGTGAACTGTACAGTAGTGGACAACGGAAGGCCCATTTTGCAGCTGCTGGGTGGGCCCTTTGGTGGAGATCTGTGGTGACGACTGGGGTACCTCGGTGCCTGAGCCGCCCAGCTGCTATGTACAGTACACAGTACAGTAAATGCATGGACGCCTGCCTCCCTGCATCAATTTTTGGTTCCACTCACCACGACAACCGACTGGATCATCACGCCCATCACTCGGCAAGGGAGGAATAACCACAGCGCCAGGATTGACACACGAACCCACCTCCTCCCCGACGGCCTGAGCGCTCGCCATTGGCATCGGCCGCTGCACTTCACCAGTGAGGTTGGGCAGCGAGAGGAAGCGAAAGGGAGCCCCGACACGGGCCCTGCGGCATGGCGCCCATTCTGCGCCCGAGGCAGAGCCTCTCCAGAGATAGATTCTCTGGGTACTTTGCCAACCTCAAGAGCCAGCCGTATACGGATCCGAATTCCTCCAGAGGGGCCGGCAGTCACAGGTCAGTTTCCTCCTTGACCACCCTCGTCCTTGGCACAGGGGAGAAGAAGAAAAGTGAAAGCATAATAGGCTCTCTTGGACAAGAGAGCCATGAGCTAACAGCCAAGTCCGACAGCATACGATCAATTGCGTGGAATCCCCTGGGGACCCTGGTGGCGACAGGTTCGATTGACAAGACGCTACGAGTCTGTAAGTCTTGCCGCTCCTCCCGTTTGTATTCGGTCCACGGACGGAGAGCAAATAAAACGCTGACTCGTTGCCGCAGGGAACCCCGAGAAGCCCCATGTCAAGTTTTCGACGGAGCTCAAGGGCCACGGCGCCTCGGTGGAAAAGGTGGCATTTAACCCAATTAAGGACGCAGAGCTGTGCAGCGTAAGCAGTGACGGCGTCGTCAAGTTCTGGGATGTGAGGACCAAAGCGTGCTTCAACGAGGTCAAGGGCCTCGGAGACGCGCTGAGCCTCACCTGGGCGCCCGACGGGCAGACGCTCCTGGTGGGGAACAAGGACGACAGCGTCTATATCCTGTCCCCCTCGCAGCCGAGCCCCGTCGGCTCGCACCAGCAGCCTATGCAGACGAACCAAATCGCATTCTGCTGGGGCGGGGAGAAGATTTTTGCAACCACGTCGGAAGGGCGGACGCGGATCCTCACCTACCCGGGCTTCGAGCCTGTCTTCAACTACACCTACTACCCAGAGCCGCGCGAGTTTATGCTGCACGGGCACACCTCTTCGTGTCTGACGGCCGAGATGCAGCCCACGGCAAGGTACTTGGCAACGGGGGGGTCGGATTCCATCATTTCGCTGTGGGATACCACGGACTTTATCTGCCAGAGGACGCTTTCGGGAATGGCCGGCCCGGTGAGAAGCATCAGTGAGTTTGCATCTGGAAGCACCACCGCCTGAGGCACCTCGCAGTCAAAGCTGACTTGGGTGTCAGGCTTTACATTCGACGGAAGCTACATTGTCGGCGGAAGCGACGAGGGTAAGTCAAACTTGAACCCGCTGTTGCCAAGGAAGGGAAGCTGACACAGGGGACGCGCTCGCAGGCAACGGACTGGACATTTTCCATGTCGAGACGGGGGAACACGTGCACACGTTTAAGACGGCGGGCTCGTGCCCGGTCGTGGCGTGGGCGCCGACGCGGTACTGTCTGGCGTACAGCGATCTCGGAGTGCTCCGGATCGTTGGTGTGGATGTTGATAGGAAATGACGAATCAACGGCTGGGGCTCGGGGAAGTCTGTGATGATGATGCCCTCGTCATGTCGCAGGTATGATGCGTACTCATGCGTACTCGCAGCAGGGACGGGCAGGCTGGCTTACGGGTTCGGGACTGGAGCTGGACTCGTTGCCGGATTGTTGTACGGACTGGGATGGATATATCCTGCTGCGTTCCTGAATGAGTGAGTGACTAGTTAGGAAAGGGCGGGAAACAAGGCGAGCGAGCAGTACAGGTCAACGAGGTGTCAGCGCGGATGAAAGTTAGGTTGACATGTGTGAAGATACGAAAAGGTGCCTGGTACCCGGCCCGGCTCACCGTGTCAGCGAGAGGGACGCTGTTGCAGGGTCTCGAGGTCCGCAAACTCCGCCGGCCAAGCAAGTGAGATCGCGCTTACCGAGCTCCGACGCGCCTCTAGGGTAAGTGGTGGATATCGACTTGAGGTTACTGGTACCGGGCACTTGGGTGTATCTTAACAAGAAGACCCTTGCTTGAGTCTTTCCCTCGGCGGCGCCCCTTGAGATGATGCTCTGCGATGATGCTCGTACATTGGCGTATCAGTGTCGCCGTCAGTGTCGCCGTCAGTGTCGCCGTCGCGAACCCCTCCGCTTCTCCGCTTTGCTCCTTGGCGCCTCCAGCACCGTTTGCCCCGCGCGCCGCAGAGACGGGGCACGGCCGCTGCCAAGTGGGGGGTTTCTCAGGTGCAAGCTACTGAGCTGCTGGGTGGGTACTTGGTCACTCTTGCGACTTTGGGCCATCATCATCTACCCTACCTGCGTCCAGCAAAGGCGGTCGGCTGCCATAGCAGTTTATCAATCTCATTCTCCCCTCAACATACTTACTGACTTGCTCCTCCGCCGAGCCCGACCTACGCTTCTCGTCCCGCAGACGGAGCCGCCCGTCGGCCCTCCCGTGCGACCACCGCCCGCCCGCCGTTCGGCGTCGCACAAGCGAAGCGGGAGCAGACTCGACATGGCCGACTCGTCGGACAACGGCTCTTCGAGCAACGGCAACGCCGGCGAAGCAAACGGCCCCGGCCCTGGTCCCGACGCGCCCCGCGAGTCCTCGGCCTCCCTCGTCGCCGCCGCTGACAACGCCGGCGTCCCCAAGCCCAAGCGCCTCGCGTGCATGATCTGCCGCAAGCGCAAGCTCAAGTGCGACGGCGGACGGCCCAGCTGCAGCACATGCTCGCGCCTCGGACACACCTGCGCCTACGACGAGCAGCGGAGGAAGAGCGGGCCTAAGCGTGGATACGTAAAGGCCCTCGAGGAGCGCCTGAGTGAGCAGAGCCAGCTTGCCCGACGACTCCGTCGCTGACCCTGCCGTGCAGAACAAGTCGAGACGCTCCTCAAGACCCAGGACCCTCCTCTTCCGCCGACGAGTGCAAGCCCGGCAAAGACAATAGGCGTCACCCTCCCCTCTGCCGCCGCCGCCGCCTCCACAAACATATCCGTTGCGAACCCCCCAATGCCCATTGCTGCTGACCGGGACATGGACGCGCGCTGGCAGCTGCAGCAGCAGCGCTTCAACAGCGGCGAGTCGCCCCAGACGGCCGCCCTCGACGACTTCAATTTCAACGCAAACATGGGCATCCCCATGAGCAGCGTCGGCGGCAACTTCACCTGGGAGATGATTGGCCTTGGCCTCGAGGAACCCCTGCCGCCCCAGGAGACCATCGACGAGCTCCACCAGGTCTACTTTGAAAAGGTCCATCCCTCGATCCCCATGATCCACCGCTTCCGCTACCTCGCCGCCATGAACCTGTAAGCAACCAATTCCCCCCCGTGTCCTCGGCTCGACTGACGCCTTCTTGAGAGCACCCAACCAGCGCCCACCCGTCTGCCTGCGCTATGCCATGTGGACCTTGGCATGCTCCATCTCGGACAAGTATGCCGACCTCAAGGACCTCTTTTACCAGCGGGCGCGCAAGTACGTCGAGGCAGACTATGTCAAGGGCTATGGGGAGCACATGATATCCGTCGCGCACTGCCAGACACACATCCTGCTGGCCTGCTACGAGATGAAAATGATGTACTTTCCGCGCGCCTGGATCAACACGGGATCGGCCGTGCGCCTCTGCCAGATGTAAGCCTGGCACTTGGTCTTCATTCTCTCCGCCCTGCCACCTGAAAGCTGACCAAGTCAAACAGGATCGGTCTGCATCGTCTAGACGGCACCGGCCTCGACGTCAAGCAGTGTCTCCCACCCCCCAAGGACTGGACGGAGCGCGAGGAGCGCAGGCGCACCTTCTGGATGGCCTTTTGCGAAGACCGGTACGCAAGCATCGGAACAGGGTGGCCCATGACCATTGACGAGAGGGACATCATGACGAAGCTGCCCGCCTCGGAAGAGGCATTCGACATGAGCAGGCCCGAGCAGACGCAGACACTCTCCGAGAGCACGAATCCCTCGGGCGCCGGGAAGCTGTCGTCGTTTGGCGGCATCGTCCTCCTGGCCTGCCTCTTTGGCCGCAACCTCGTCCATCTGCACCGTCCCGATGACGACGACCTTGACCACGACCTCAACGGCCCCTTTTGGAAACGCCACCGCCAAATGGACGGCATTCTCCTCAACACGTCGCTCTGTCTCCCCTCTCACCTCAAGCTCCCCACCGGGCTGTCGAATCCCAACGTCGTCTTCACCAACATGAGCATCCACACCTCGACCATCTGTCTGCACCAAGCCGCCATCTTCAAGGCAGAGAAGAACAAGCTCGGGACATCGGTCAGCTCGGAGAGCAAAGTGCGCTGCATCACGGCGGCCAACGAGATTGCCAGCATCATGAGGACCATTTCGCACATGGACCTGTCTGCGGTGAGATGCCCTCCAATAGGGTGCCGACGATGGGGCTGTGGCTAACGGCTGGCAGATGAATCCATTCATATCCTTTTGTCTCTACGTCGCCGCCCGGGTGTTTGTCCAGTACCTCAAGAGCCGGCCGGACGACGCCCAGACGACCGACTCCCTCCGGTTCCTGCTTTCGGCCATGAACGCCCTGAAGCGACGGAATCCCCTGACGGAATCGTTCCTCGTCCAGCTCGACGTCGACTTTGAGGCCCTGGCCACGCGGATCCCCAAGCTGAGAAATGCGTTTCCGCGTCCAGGCGACAGCGTGAGTCCATCATGCTCGCTAGGCAAGACGCCAGATTCTGACTTGCAACAGCCCGGGCTGGCGAACACGGGCAACCCGGCCGCCAAGGCGAGGACAGCATGCGACGACCCGGATGGTGTGCAGGGGATCCTGGCGTACCGTAACGATTGTCATTTCCTGAAGGTCCCCGGCAACGATGGCGGCGCGCAGGACCTAGCGGAGGCGCAAGGCGACAGCCAAGGGCCCAGCCCCAGCGGCTTCGGACAAGCGTGGCTCCCGGCCGACCAACCGTCAATGCCGGGGCTGACGCCCACCTCGGGCCCCGTGCACGATAGGAACGGATCGACGAGCGGGGGGCCGCTTTCTGGGTTTGGAGATGGCGGCGGCGACAAGGCCGAAACACGCGAGTCGCCGGAAGCCGGGCAGTCGAGCGGACCAACACCAAAGTCGAGCGGCGCCGGCTCTGACGGCAGGTCACACCTGGCACCTGGAGCGGCCATGGGCGGCGGATCGGGCCGCGAGTCCTCGTCGTTCCGGGCGAGCCCTATCTCGCCGCAGCAGAGCATGATGGGCGCGGGCGCGGGCATGGACGTCGGCGGCGGCGCGGCGGGCTTCTTTGGCGGGCTGAGCGGATTCACCACCACGGGGGGGAGCATGGGCGGCGGGGAGGCGGCGGCAGCCTTCGGCATGGCGTCCAACGGGTGGCCAGACATGGGCGGGCAGGCATCGGGGATGCCGCCGCTGGGCGAGGGCGTGTTGCGCGCGCTGATGAACATGGGGCCCATGGATGCCATGGACCTGTCGTCGTGGGACTCTGGCAACGACACGCACATGAGGGGCTGAGGGGGAGCTGGTCCATGAATGGGGGAGAAGGAGAAGAAAAAAAGCGGCTTGAATGGGGGTTTTGGGGTGTTTGGGTAGTTTACCAGGTGGGTGGCTGGCTTAGACGACTGGACGAACGTCTGTGGACGGGCAGCGAGCGACTTTCGGGATTATGCCAGCGATGAGGTTTCTCTTCTTCTATTCTTTCGCCTCTGGGGAGCCATGTCGGTGCATCGGTGGCTTACCCCCCCCCTTCTCTCTCTCTTTCTTTCATTCAGGAGAGAAGGGTATCTGGGCGCGAGGCTGGGGCCAGTATGGCTTGAACTTGCTGGGACCATGTTAAACGACTTACGACGTGGGCGACGGGGGCCAGACTGGGCTTGGCTCGGCTCTTCGGCGACAAACGACGGTGCGGGCCTGGCCGCAGCTCGCATCGCAGAGGAGCGGGGGAGCATCTCGGCAGAAGGGGGCCCGCGCCGGCGGAGCCAGAGGTTGTTTCCCGGAGCGGACCGGGCCCGGAGCGGTGAGCCGGGGGGCAACGGCGGTTCCTGCAAACGGGGGCGGCGAGTTCTTGACGAGACGCTGGATACTCTCACCACATCACCACTCTTTGGGAATTCTCGCGCGCTCTGGATGGGTGAGGGGGGAGGGTTTGTGTGTCTGGATGTCGCTGGTGAGAGGCGCCCCTCCCTGTATCCGGGGCATCTGATGTATCTGCACCGAGTGCAACTCCCCATCCACGCACTCGGCCACCGACGACTGCGCCCCTAAAGAAGAGTAGAGAATCATGTTCGCGCTCAACTCGAATACGGGAGGGACTATTGCCACGAGATGGACTATCAATGCTGTCGGGCATGAAAAGGGGGCAGCGAGGTCTGAGGTCACCCGTCACGTGGCGCGACGCCGGACTGCAGCGAAACCCCCCCCAACGACCACTTGTCGTCATCGACGTACACGAAGCTTTGGACAACAAGCACAAGGGTGGACATCTACGACGGGTTGCCTCTCACTTGGAACCCGGCAAGTCGCCAGTCCACACCAGGCCCAGGGGCCCGGCCCATCACCATCCCGCCAAGGCACCACCACCACCCCCGGCGGCCATGAAGGTCATCCTCGCCATCAACGCCGGGTCCAGCTCTGTCAAAGTCTCCGTCTACGCGGCCACCTCGGCGCGCGCAACTCCGCGGCACCTCGCCGACGCCCAGGTCAGCGGCCTCACGGCGCCGCCCGCGCGCCTCCGGTATGAGCGGCCGCCGGGCCGGCCCGTCATCGAGGACAAGGAAGTCGACGGTGGCGTTGGCGGCCAGGACGATGCGTTCCGGTTGCTGCTCGACACGCTCGTCGACGACGCCGACCTGCGCGACGTGGGCTCTGAGGATGACGTCGCCATTGCCTGCCACCGCATCGTGCACGGGGGTGACTACGGCGACGCGCAGCTCATCACCAGGCAGACGTACCACCACCACCTTGAGCGGCTGAGCGACCTCGCCCCCCTGCACAACGGCGCCGCGCTGGCCATTGTCGCCTCATGCATCAAGCAGCTCCCGCGCGCCGCCAACCTGGCCTGCTTCGACTCGCAGTTCCACGCCTCCATCCCCGCCCACATCTCCACCTACCCCGTCGACCCGCAAGTTGCGAGGAAGAATCGCCTGCGCAAGTATGGCTTCCATGGCATCAGCTACCCCTTCATCGCCCGCTCCGTTGCCGAGTTCCTAGACAAGGATCTCGGCTCCCTCAACGTCATAGCTCTGCACCTGGGCAGCGGCGCCAGCGCGTGCGCCATCAAGCGCGGCAAGAGCTGGGGGATACGAGCATGGGCTTGACGCCCGTGGCCGGGCTCCCGGGCGCTACCCACAGCGGGAGCGTCGACCCAGGGTTGGTAGCACTTGGACTGGCGTTTTACGTGAGACGCGACTGACGCTGCGCAGCCTCGTTTTCCACTACGCCAGCGATGCGGGAAAGCTGTCGCCGGCGTCGACAAGGGACTTGCACATTTCAAAGGCCGAGGAGATCCTCAACAGGGAGAGTGGATGGAAGTGCCTCACGGGGACGACAGACTTTGGCGTCATCTCGGGGTCCGACGAGGCGCGGCACAGGCTTGCCTTCGACCTGATGGTGGACCGCATCTGCGGCTTCGTCGGCAGCTACTACGTGTCGCTGCGCGGCGAGGTCGACGCCCTTGTCTTCGCGGGCGGCATTGGCGGAGAGGACACCAGGCTGAGGCGCGCCGTGGTCGAGGCGACGGGCTGCCTCGGGTTTGCGCTGGACGAGCGGCGCAACGGGGCGAGCGGCGAGGGGGTTGTGCAGAACGTGGGCGCCGAGGGAGCCAAGCACGGCGTCCTGGTGTGCCGGACCGACGAGCAGTTTGAGATGGCGCGAATGTGCACGGCCAGGGAGGAGCTGTGGAGGTGAGGACGTCCCAGATGCCTGTCTGCCTGCCACCGGGTGTCGGGCAGCGCAGGCGTGTATGGAGGTTGAGGAGGCGGCCAAGACGCCAAGCCACGGCTGGTGTCTCGTCGGCATGGAGAAAGGCCCTTGCGTGGTGATGAAGCCTCTTCTTCCTTTGCTTTCTATTTCCCTTGTCTCCGGAGCCGGCGAAGAAGGCGTTTGGGCAGCCAGATGTTGGTAGCGAGCGCTGGACTTGCACGTTATGACGTATGAAGCGGAGCATTGTGCGCCATCGTCGACTGCGCCGTCATTGTACCTTTGCCGCCTTACTTCGGGCCCCCTGTATGTACATACATGTATCGCGAGCTCATGCTGCGGGAGGGACACGCGGGAGGAGCACGCGGGAGGAGCAGCGGGAGCAGCAGCGAGTCGGCAGACGGCTTGGCGCAAGGATCCTTGGTTCAGATGCCGAGCAAGGCCTTGTCTGTGTCGTTTCCCCTTGTCACGACCATGACGTCGTTCTTGAGACCGGCCTCTGCTTGGCCGTTCATGTGAGCACGTAGAGAGCAATGGGCAGGCAGAGCTCGTGATCGTATCTGTTGGCGAGGTGCGCGTTGCGTTGCGTTGCGCATGTGTTCGCCCATCAAAGGTATGCATATGCGTGCGAAGACTTCGGGTCCTTTCGTTGCCCAGCATACTGTACAGTAGACGAGCCCGAGCTTCTTCGGGGGTCCGGACGAGAAGCGGAGCATGAGCATGACGCACACAGGACCCTGCTTTTGCCTCGGTCACGTCAACCATCCACTCGCAACTCTCCCTCCGACAGGGCTTGGCTCCTCTCCCGCCGGACCCGTCTCTGTCTGCCTGCCAAGACCTGTTCCCATGGGCCCTTTGCGAATGCTGAGGAAGGAAAAAAAGAAAAAAAAATCTCCCGACCGTGGGGTGGATGCTTGAGTGGAGTTGGGCGGGGAGGTGTTCGGCTGCCTCGGGCACCTCTTTCTCGCCTGTCCCTCTCGATTTCCGCTGTTGCCGTGTTTTGACACGTTCCTTGTGCCTTGCTCGAAGATTGTTGAGTCGTTGAGACAGAGTAACCTATTTGCTGGCTCAACGTTATGGACGGACATACAGCACTTCCCACGTTACATCTGGGCGGTGGTGATCCGTTTTCGGGGTTCCGTCCCTTCCGGGCTGCTTGCTTGACCTCGGCCAAAGCCGTCCGACAGGCACTTACTTGATCGTGCTCGGTCTCTTTGCGCGTGTGAGCGTACGGCATGCGCGCGCATGAATACGGACTTGGCCCGGACTTGGCCTTTGGTGAAGATGCTTGCTGTGGATTGTAATGTACTGTACATACGTGTAGGCAGTTTGCTGCGTCTACATATTGATACGTTAATTACTATAATCATTGATTTGTGCTTGTACTCCGTAAGCAGGTACCTACCTAGGTATCTACCTGGGTCAGGTACCTTCGCCACTATAAGTTGCCGTTGTATGTACCCAGGTACTGAAAGTACCTAGATATCTATATACCTTCCGTACTCCGTACCTTTGTACTGTATGTATGTACCTATGTGGAGGAGTTGGGGTACAAATCAGGGTCAGTCAGTCCCTCCTTCCTCATCCAACCTTGCTCGGAGCATGCTGTCCGCCCTGCCTTGAACCTTTTCCGTCGTCTGAAATGTTCCTCTCCACGCCCCCCCTCCTTTCTTCTTCCCCACCTCCATTGGCCCCACCCCAGTCCCCTTCCCGCCTCCCGCGTGCGTCACGGCCGGGCATGAAGCTCCTCTTCCTCCTCCCCCGCCAAGGAAGAAAACTTGCCAATGAGCGAAGCAAGCAGAGGAGGCCGGTGGGCTCTTCAGTGGAGGCAGCAAGAGAGAGCATGAGATTGGAGGGAAAGAGGGCCGCAGGCCGGAGGACATTCCGGGAGGGGAGCAAGCATGCAACCAGGCAAGCCCCTCCCTCCTCCCCTCTATCCTCCTTCCTATTGGCCCCCCTCCTCGGCCAAGCAAGAAAGTACAAGGGGGCAGCAGCTAGAAACAAAAGAGGCAAGGGACACCCAAAAATAAGAAAAACACCGGCGAGGCATGAGGACCCAGGGAAAGCCACCACGCTCGTCAGACTGTCAAGTCGCAAAGCGTGACTCGCATGCACCTCGCCATGTATGTCTCGTGTGCCGTCTCTCTGCCTGCTGCTACCTCACGTACCTTGAGTGCACCGAGAAACGGGATGCCATGATCCAAGTGGCATGGGGAGGACGAAACAAGGACAGAAACAAAAAGAAAGGACCACGGAAAGAAGACACGACATATGTACCTACCTTACCTACATTAAGGAATGCACAGTACAACGCCTACAGTATATACATACGTGGTCCCCTGACTACTGAATGGCCCCTGGACCTTTTCAATCGTCAACGTCACATACACCCTCGCATAACTTGACTTGATACCTTGCCGCCCGCGGGCTGAAAGGTGGCAGACGCCGTGTAACGGCTCTCGGCATACACGCATGGCACATGGGGAGTACGAGCGCCGCCAAACCATGGGCTTTCCACAAATTCCCCATGCACCCTCACCATCGCAATGCGGCGCCCGCTATATCCTGCTGCCCAACAAAACAACAAAACACATTTCCTCTTTGGACCCTCTTCATTAGCTACTATTGAGGTAGAGAAGAAAAGGAAGAAGTCAATGATATCCTGGTATCGATTGAGGCCCCTCCTCTCCTCCTCTCACGCTTCGGCGCCTGCCTCGGACAACAGGCGGCTATGTGCCTTGTACTGCCCTCACCCTCTTTCTGCCTGCGTGACCTCATCAAGAAACCACCGTCTTGTCCACCAACGTGTATTCCCTTCTTAAAATAACAAGCAACCTGTCAAATAGAGTAAAAATGTCTCCCGAGGCGCAACAGGGGCTGCCATCTTGTCCATAAAACGCCGACGCTCTCATGTGCCCGACCGCTTCCCCAACGCATGCGCTGGCACCCGTCACCGCCCTCGGCTCGGGGCTCTGTCCACTCTTCCCAGCCAGGGGGGGCCTCAGACAGGACTCGACCCAGCATGGGGGGAAGGGGATTCGGGAGAAAACAATAATGCCACCCTGACAGATGTCATGGCTCGACCGACTGTGTGCATGCAACCTCTTGTATGTGTGTATTCCGGTCCCATCCAAAATAAATCCTGTCCCGCCCCTCGAATAGAAAAAAAGGGGGGGGGCAAGACGTCAGAAATGGCAGCATCGTTGCGCCGCAAAAGCAAAGGCCGGGCCCCTTGGGACGGGTGCGTTTCCTGGCGGAACCTTTCGCGTCGCTCCCATCACCTGAGTGGTATCCGAAAAGGAAGCAAGCTCAGCCTTCTCGTCGGGGCAGGGTAGGTAAGAAGAAGCGAGAAGTGAAGTGGGGTGGGCCGCAAGTCGCCCTGATCGCTTGAGAAGGTTGTGTGGAGACGGCGGCGGGTGCGCACGCAGCGCCGGCGATTATGCATTACCAGTGGTACTTTTGACCCAGGGACACACGCCTGGCTCCAATGTAACCGAGCAATCGTCGCATGGTCTCGGTTTTTTTTCTTTGGCTCCGGGTCCCCATGCCATCATGAGCCACCCTCTTGGCAGGCCACGGCCATGGCCAGGGCGTCGAGGCCAGTGCTCGGTGTTCTTGCCGCTACCGGCCGGCTGAGGAGAGGCAGGTTCATGCTGCGCATGTCCCACGCCGCGCTGTTTGTCGGCGATGGAAGCGGCGGCGAGGGCATCGGCCGGTGGTGCTGCTCGCCCTCCCAGCGTGTCGCATCGCGCGCCCCAATGCACGTCGACACCGTGGGCCGGCTCCGGCTCGAGCCACTCGTGCTGCGGCGGGCTTCGGCCAGCGCCGCCTTGTGCACGCGGGCGACGCCCGACGAGCGGCTCTTGTCCTTGTAGTGGGTCTCGAGGTGCTGCTTCATGTTGTCGGCGCGGGTAAACTTCTTTTGACATCCATGGAAGGTGCACTGGACAGCCTTTTCGGCCGTGTGTATTTTGGAGTGGCGCGAGGCGTGGCCAGAGGTGGTAAACGTCTTTTCGCAGCCGTGGCTGTCGCGATACCGGCAGGGGTAGCGCTTGCTGGGGCGCTGGTCAGCCATGCCCGACTGGGCGGAGCTGTCGTCATCGAACGAGGTTGCCCTGCTGCTGGCCGTGTACGCCGGGCGCTTGGCTGGTGGCGCGTCCATGGGCAGATAGAGGGAACCGCGCGGGTAGGTGTAGTCCACCGACGGTGTCAAGGGGGAGATGGGATCGTTGCTCATCTGCGAGTCGTACGAGTCCGACCGCAGCAGCTCGGGCGTGTTGGGCGACGAGGAATTGCTGCGCGGGCTGGGATAGGGGCGCGAGAGGCCGTGGCTGACCGAGTGGAAGCTGACTGGTCGTTGCTGGTGGTAGCTGTTGGGGCGGCTGGTGCTGAAGCTAGAGCTGTCATCATTGAGTAGCGAGACCTGACGGCCTGCGGCGTTTCGAGCTTGCATGGTGAAGAGACCGTGCGAATGATGGTCCGGCAGCGGTTGTGAGTGGCTGCGTCTGCGTTCAAGGGAAGTGGCGGCAGAGGACACGTGAGGGAGAGCGGTGCGGAAGCGTCGCCTTTTCTGTCGTGGAAAAATGTCTGGCGGGTGCTGTCCGGGGAAAGATTGAGGAAGAAGCAAATTTGCGCTTCTGCCCAGGTTGACAAGGTCCTCTCTCTTGGCGGCGGCAGGTGGGGGTTGGTTGGAGCGAGACGGGTGACGCTGGTGGTGAAGATAAACGAGTGCGGCTTTTTCCTCCCTTGCTATGTGTGAGAGCTCCGTCGCAGCTTGGTCGATTGGTATTTTTTCCCGCCCTTCGTACTGCGAGCCAGGCACTTACTTCGAGTGCTGTGCGGGTCAGAGTTTGCCTGGAGCGGCTGCAAGAGAAGCGAGATCGAGGTGAGAAGAGCGGCGAATTGATGGGTGCCGGTGACGATGTTCAAGCGCTGGCGGTTATTGGTGGTGCGAGTCGACGTCGCGATGCGGGATGACGAGAGGAATCGTGGTGGAAAGAGGAGCAAACGTGCCGGACGAGACCGAGGGACGATTCTTGCCAGGGGACTGTGCCGGGGGGAGACGGCTTTTGAGAAGAAAAGGGCGGACAAGGGCAAAGGGGATGGGGAGAGAAGCGTGAAGCGGGTGTTGAAAAGGAAGAAGAGGGATGGAGGGAGGGATGGACTTTTGGCCTGTCGCGCATGAAACCCATTTGGCGATCGACGGGATCGAGTAGCTGCTGCTAGTTACTACCAGGTACCTAAGGTACCTACCTACCTCTAGTACTGCCTCTGGTTGCTGGAGCTTGGCGGGCCACGGCACACACCCAAGCCCGGGGGGGAGGGGGAGGAAGGGGTAGGGGGCGTAGTAGCAGTAAGTACCGAGCAGGGGACTCCACTCTTCCGGGACACCTGCTTCGCTCACCCCAACCCCACTCTTTATCCCCACACGCCCATTTCTCTCTTTCTCTGCTCCCCCGGGTTCTCGGGTGCAGTGCAGTGGGCCTGTAGGTAGGTACAAGGCAGTACATACTGGCCTACAAGCCCCTCTCCGGGGAACAGCCGCCACGCAAGCCACTCCCCCAGCCTGCTGGAGACCGGCTAAAAGACGAGAGAAGAGGCGAAGAGAGAGAATGGGAGAGGGGGGGAGAGAGAAATCCCGGGAGACTTTTTTTTGGCCAGGGAACAAGAGAAAGAGAAACAACGGCGGGAAGGGGGGGAGGGGCATAGCGGACCCGCACGCGAGCTCGCCTGCAATCTGTCTGTACCTGCCTGAGGTGCTCGTTGCAGCAACAGCACGCTGCCTCTGTCTGTAGCGCCGATTACCGCAAGTAGTAATCAAGATAGAGAGGGAGAGGGAGTATCACGATTGAACCCCCCCAAGAAAATGCTGTCCCTTCCCGTCCATCCGTGCCAGACTCTAATTTCTGTGCATGCCCCAAAGAATCACGGCCTGTCGGTTGGTCGACCATGAAGCTGACTCGCCCGCCGTTCCTCCTGGGTGGTCGAGCCGGTGCTTCCATCTCGGCTTCATTTGCTTCCCTTGGCCGCCCGTCCCTCCGGGAATCTGGTAGGCTTGTGTGGGTGCTCCAAGCCCGTAACGGCATGCGGCCTTGATGGAGCCAATGTTTTTACATGCATTGTTTTTTCTATCTTGCTTTCTCGTTCGTCGTCTTGAGCTTCTTTCTGCCTTTGCACCCACAGACTAGCTTGCGACGCTTCCGTCCGTCAGTGTCCTTTGGCTCGCTCCGCCCGCCCCGGATTTTATCTTCGGCGCCAGAAGCCGGCCTTTGACGAGGGGCCTGGTTCTTGCCCTCTCTGTCGGCAAGCGAAAGCATCCATCTACTGCCCTTGACGTGACCCTGCCATGACTTCCGAGCATTTGATGACAAGAAACCCACGCCCACCTGAGATGGGCCGGTAGACCTTGCTCGAGTCCCTCAATAATGGTCTAACAACATCTTCCGTGCCTGTTGTTCGTCGCCAGATGCCCAGGCCCCCCCGGTCTCGCCGCGTATAAAGCGTGCTGGTAGCGTGCCTGGAAACCAGATATGTAGGGTCCCTGGAGATGGAATCAGTGCGGCGAGCCGAAACTGCTTAGGCATCTCCTCCGGTGGGAGCCGCAATCTCATCCGTACCACCTGTGACTTGATCGGTGTTTTCTTTGTTCCAGATCCCAACGAAGGGAGAGGCTCTCGGTCCAGGTGCCGACATTCGCACCGATTACCCCCATGGAATTGTCATGTGCGTCTCCGAGGGACCGATCTCGTTTCCGATAGATCTCGCGCCCGCTTCATCGATCTTTTGTTGCTGACTGACTCGTCGCTAGATTGCTCCCTCTATCCTCTCTCGCTTCCTCTCTCATCCCTTGGCCGCAACCTTCTGTCTCTCTCTCCAACTCTCCATCCCAGGGCCAGTCTTAGCGTATACCCAAGGTACCTGAATTCTGGCGGGAGCCCCATCACATTGCACGCCATGGACCAAGTACCACGGAATGAAGCGGGGGGAAGGGGTCGGATCTCACCACCACGATCTAGATCGCGACAACAAAGTCGACCCCTTTTTCCAAGCATAAGGGACTCAGCCCAAGCAAGGAAGGAGCCTCACTCTCCCAACGGCTCACCCGCGCACGCGTGACGTCAGGATCGAGGTTTGACAGCTCTCTTTTGGCACGAGGGTCAAGGGTCAAGCCACGACGCGCCTGCTGGCTACCAGCCACAAGTTCGTGAGACGCATCTCGCAGACCAGGGGTATGTATGTGGTCGTATTAGTCGCTTAACGACTCGGTACTGCATTGCGCAATGATTCCCAGATATCCGGTTCTCGGTTCGCGTTGACGACACCAACCGGACCAACAGGACCCAAGGGAGGGAGGGAAAATAAACAAGAACCGCCGAAAACCCCAATCGCATCAACGCCCTTTGCTTCAGTTTTTATTACAGCTCACTGCGAGAGCAAAGACTAGTCACAAAGTGCGTGGCCCCCTTTCATCCCCTGTTTGTTCGAATGAGTCCACGGTGTAGAGAAAAAATCATCGCTATCACCAGACCCCCCTCGTTTCGATCGCCGACTGCAATTTGCACACGACGACGGCGGCCGGCGACTTTTGCCAAGTACATGACAAGGGCCGGCCCAATCCTTCCGGCTCGCATGGCCAGGTCACAGCCACCCCGGGCTTGCACGTTTGATGTGTCGCCCGGCAAACAAGCGACGGCGGGAATGCGTCGTCATCGTGAATTGACCCTGACGTAAGGCATCGCCCGTTTAGCTTGTTATTCCGCGCACACAAGTATCCGGGTGTACCCACGCGCCACATAGCTGGAGTCCTTGGAAAGAAAGTGTGGGAGGGCGGGGGTGTGAGCAGCGAGGGCCATCCTTTGCGAACGGGCAAGGCTTAAAAAGATCCAGGGTCGCACCCAGGGTCCGGGGCCGTCTCTCCGAGCCTCAGCCAATAATCGGACAGATCGGAAAACGTCGGGCCAGCTGGGAAGAGTGAGTGGGTCTCCGCCGTCACAAGTAAACAGGCACGAATACAGAGTACAGAAGAGCTGCTTGGGTCGACCGTCCGTGTGCTGCTGTGCTTGGGTTGGCGTGGTCGAGGATGCCATTCTGCCACAAGACCATCATGCCCACGGATGCCCTTTTTTCCCATTCGCTACGCCCGTCGCCGGAGACTTTGTCGACCAGGTTTGGGATTTCTCCCATAGCTTGTCTCCTAATCCCCATGTGGCATGTGACAGCAAGCAACCACTCCTCGCAGCGGGCCATTTGCTCCGGCCCTGGTTTATCCCGTCGAGCAGGCTATCTCGCCGTGACGTCAACTGCTCGAGCTACCGTACCTATCCATTTCGGGGTCCTGCAGCCTGCTGGGGTCTGGGACCCCGGCTCATGTGAGTACATTGTACGTGTCGACGTCACAGGAAGCCACTGTCGGCTGTCTTGGTGTCCTTCGACGCGAATAAATGCAAAAATGAAGGAGGAAACCCAACTATCAGAGCGCTCGGGTATTGTCGTTGGGCCTTTCGGGCTTGACCAGAGACCCAGCGGATCCAACATGTGTAAACCCTCTCGCTGACAGCAGTTACAAGAGACAGGGCTGCATCATGACAGCGCCCTCATCGTCATCCGGGACACAGACCTGCAGTAGTAGACTGTGGGGTTGAGGACACAATAGCGTCTTGCACACAGAAGCCAAGGACCAGCAATGGCATGCGGCAGCGGCACAACGTTGACGTCGTGTGAGCATGGCATGGCGGTGATACTGGGCAGACAGCTCGTGCCAAGACACCAGGGAGCTCGACTCGACCGACGGTGTAGACGGGATGCGTGGACGAGGACGGACGAGACGACGAAAGAGGGAGGGTCCCTCGTTAACCTTTTCGGAATTGATCAGGCTGCATCCAGCAAGAGCGATCGCTACCAAAGTACGGATATGTACATCCTGTACCTAGCGGCAGTGCTAGGGTCCAAACTCTGTGCTTTGTGCCTTGCGAAAAGGGGCAAGCAAGCTACAGTCCCAGGACGGTACCTTGCTGGCGTGCATTATGGGCCTGTTGACGCCGATCGAGATTTCGGTGTCGGATCGAGATCCGCCTTCGCGTTTCGGGGGAGAGGGAAGGGGTTTTTTAAAGTGGAGAGCGGCTGGAGGGAGCCACCCAGGTTGGCAGGCCCGCAAGCGCCACATGCCCGTCGCCCCGCCCCGCTTCTTGCCCTGCCCCGCCGACCCGCAAAGACGGGAAGGGGAAGGAACGAGAGGTCACTTGCTCCTTGCTTCTCTCTTTGAGAAGTAGGTGCAGAACCTAGGCCGGGGTATCTTGCGTGCTCTGTTTTCCTCTATCGCTCGTTAGAATATTTAACTTTTAGAAGCTTAAGCGAGGACCCATAGAGAGGGGGAGCAAGTAACGGAGAAAAGGAGGACCAAATAGAAATCCAGGCAGGAAAGCCAAGCTTTTGGCCGGCGTTGGCCAGGTCGATCAAGGGACTTCTTCTCGGTAGAGAAAGTATTCCCCGTTTGCCGGTCCAGCATATAGTACGTACCCGGTAAGTGCCCCATGTATAGAGTAGTCGCAGCCTACCGGTACCCCTTGTGCAGTACCCGCTCGCCGTCTCTTTCTTTTTAGAACCCTCTCCGACTGACTGGGGGACAGCTTGATTCCATAGACCATGCTTGCCGCTGGCATGCTACCAAGGTAACTTATACGGAGTACTCGCGTAGCAGCTGACTGGCATTTCTCCTTGAACACCGACTGTCCAAAGCCCAAAGAGTCGGCCTCTCGGTGAGCGACTGGGTGCTATGCTGCGATTGTGGATGAGGAGCCGGCAGAAGGATGGATGAGAATGCCATGAAGGAATCATGCGAAACTCGCAATGCGGCCGATTATCTAGGTACTGTACCTACCTCTTAGCAGAATCGTCGCGTTTGCAAACACTCGTGGCGACCGACTATGGCTGATAAACGGGCTCGTACGAAGGAAGTCCTTGTATACAGTGAGACTTCGTACAGTAGGCGCGGTACCCATGGCCATGTACTTCTAGCTTTTTTCCTTCCCGCGATGGCAGGCAGTCTCGGCGCTTTTTGCCACATCACGCGTGATACGCCGCCTTGCTCAACGGCCACCCGTGTGTCTGGGGGTGGCTTCTGCTGCGTCTTTTCTTCTTCGGTGCACGCGGGCTTGTGGATGAATGTTTGGTTCGAGCCTCGATGCGACGTCCCTGATCATCTCCCCTCGGGAGCTTCAACGGAGCCTTGGCCCACCAACAAGCGCAGTCCTTTATGGCATCGCGACAGGCGTGCATGCATTGCATATGCCTCGCTCCATGCAAAACAACACTGCCGGCGACGCCGCCATCGAGCGCCCGACAGGCTCAAGTTGAGCAAGCAAGCACGACCAGAAAAGCAGCTCGACTAACCTGGGCCGTCGCCCAACCAGGCACGGCACACAATGGAGAATGGAGGGGTGTGCACACTGCGGCAAGGCAAAGCCATTTCTCTGGCTACTGGCTCTCGCCCTCGGCAGCCGCAAAGCGGCGATGGCCTCCACGCAACTACGGTGCTGCTGCGGCGTCCTGGTCATCGTTAGCAGCCTCTTTCCCGGGGCCACTGTCCCATTTTGTCGGCTGAGTTGGCGCTACCGGTACCTTGTTCGACTGAACCCTTCTTATTTACTTTTATTCCTCCCTTTCTAATTTACCGATCGCCCGGCGCAAGCCACAGAGTCTACCATGCCAATGTGAGGGCTGACAGGTACACATGAACCTCTGGTATGCTTATGCCAGACCGGGCTGCGTCAATGATGTCACTGCCATGACTGAGGGACCTCTTGCGTCCCCTTGCTCGACCCCTCGTGTCTCCCGGCTACCGACAAAGGCAGGGGGGCGTGCGTTCCATCTAGACGGTGAGAGGCGTCGCCGTGAAGAGACACAGAGGAGATCCCACTTTAGGCCGTCTCACCCGTGCAGGGGGCGAGTGTATTCATCTTTTGTTATTGATTCCCCGACCTTGCTGCAGGCCGGCTATGAGTTATCATGTCGACTAATGATATGAATGGGGCCGCTGTAGGTGGAAAGACAAGAGTTGGAAAAGGGGTGGTAAAGAGTGGCCATGGGGCAAGAAGCCGGGAAACAGGGAGAATAACAAGAGGGGGACTGGCCGTGGGGATCCATGGAGGAACCCAGAAACAAGATCGCGGATGTCGATGCCCGTGGTGGATGGATGAACGAGTGCCTGCGGCTAGCTGACCTGCGGAGGGGAGAGAAAGGGGTACCACACGTGGATGACAATCGCTACTCATCCAGACGCGAGACTCTGGCCAAGCATCTTCGTTTCCTCACCCTCACCTTATCCTGCTCACTGACTCGCACGGGCTCTTCCGCCGGGCCCAACTGTCCCGTGCTCAACTCTCTTCCAAGCATATGCCGCACGCATGAAATCTCCTTTCTCAAGCCCCCCCTTTCCCATCAACATCCATTTCCATCCCATAGATCTCGATGCCGTGAGACAAGATGCCCATGTTTTTCCTTCTTTGCCGCATTCTTCCTGTTGCTTGTCTTTGATCCAATCCTGTATAAGCCCGCCGCCGCCGGCCTAATGCAGCCCAACTCAGCACGCACACCCCCCTCCCCCGTCCGTTCTGGCTTGACTTGACTTTCCCACCCGTGCGAGTGAATGCTGGTTTCGCCCCCAGAGGCATGTTTTTGCGCCATGCAGACAATGCCTCACTTCTGGCGCCCATCGAGATCTGTCAATCCCCCCCCCCCCTCTCGCCTCGGTCACCGCTCAGGGACAGGGTCGTGCTGGGGACCCCCTCTCCCCCGCGAGGGCTTGCATCTTGCATACCTATCCCTCGAGGTTTTACATGCCATTCCACAGAGGCCCATGTTGCTTCTCCATGCTTACGGCCCTGCATGCATTTGCGCACAGTACTGCCCACACCCACATCTAATCGCCCATCCTTGTAAGACTTGTTACTGCATTCGCTTCGACTATTCTGCCCGCCATGCCTCCGTTGCCGCCCTGCCTAGCTAGGCTTCCCCATGTTTTGCAGACCATGCATGCTCGACATCTGGCCGCAAAGTGAGTCCATCGCCCAGGTGAAGTGAGAAAAGAAATGAACGACAGCCTTCCCCCGAGACAGGCATGATATTTCCTGCTAGTCCCCCGCCTCCAAGGGGAAACAAGAAGTAAGGGAAATAAGAGGCAAGAAAAACCGCCGTCGCTTGGCCTCATTGCTCAGCACCTCATTGCTTCCGGCTCGGCGGCGGCTCCATCTTGGTCGCACCCGTGTCGACCCGTTTCGCCGCCGGCACCTCCGGCACCTTGAAGCCGCCCGACCCGACATCCGCGCTTGACCCGCCGCCACCACTGCCAACCTGCGTAAACGATCCGCCCTTGAACCATCGGTCCTCTTCTGCCTTGCGCTTCTGGCCTAGCTGCGACCGTACCTTCGGGTCCACGAGCTCGAGGCCTTGCACCGGCGTAAACGTGAGCGACGACGTCGTGCCCACGGCTCCTCTGGCCGAGCTGCCCACCCCCGCAGCTCGCAGCCCTTTGCCTCCGAGGTCCACGCCCGCCGGCTGCCCAAAGCCTATGTTGGAGGCGGCGCCTCCTGCGCCCACTCCTCCCCAGCCCTTGTTCTTGGCGCTGAGCTTCGCCCGCGTGCGGTTGTCAACCTGGAGGGCCCTGATCCTGCCGTCGTTCTTTTGTCCAATCATGCCCATGCCCACGGTGCTTTCCCCCGTGCCGTACCCGACCTCCTGCTCCTCCTTGCCAAACGCCATGCGGTTCTGCTCTTTGCGTAGATCCGTCATTGCAAGCGCTTCCTTGGCCTTTCTCGCTCTCCGTCCGCCCCGCTTGCGAGACGGCTTGTCGTCCGGGATGGGGAGCGCCCGTTGCCCCTTGTTCGGCGGAGGCTCCGTTAGCTTCTCAAGCCGCTCAATGCAAGCCGACCTCAGCTCATCCCCCGTTCTGCCGTCGGGGCTTGAGTGAATCCGGTCCACTCGCGCTGCCAGGACCAGCTTCGCCGCGACAATCCGCATGGCCTGCTTTTTCATGTCGTTTGGTATGTGCTGAACCATCTCCGAATGGTACAGGTACCCTTGCTGGCGGATCCCAATGTTGGTAGCCAGGCCTGCCTGTCTCTTCTTGGATCCCCACGACGGGATGTTGCAGGCTGGTGTCTTGGACAGGCCCGTCAGGCCGCCGGCGGCATTGAGCAGCTGCGCCGCCGTGAGGGACCCAATGAGGGCTGTCAGGTTCGGGGCAAAAACGGTCATGCGCGACTGGACGTATTCTGTGAGGATGAGCTTGGCCCGGTGGAGGGAAATGACCATGTCGCAGGCCTGCCGCACGCGCTGCAGCTCATCGTCGCTCATCTCGTCGCCCTTGGAGGTCGTTGCTTCCACCGTCACAATCATGAGAGACGGCCCGTCCAAGACGGCCTTCAGTCCCATTCCCAGTGGATTGTCCGTGGCTGTCTGGAGAGCCTTGATGCTATCCGAGGTCATGGGTCCGTTGCCGATAATGGTCACGACCTTGGCATACTCTAGAGGCGTGGTGACAAGCCTCTCTAGTTCGGGGAAGCGAGTCGAGTAGTGATCGCGTGTAAACTTGTGGACGAGAGCCACCTCGCCGTCAATCATGGTCGAGAGGTTGTTCGACTGCGTCAACAGGCTGTACTCGGGGTGGTCCTCGATGTTGCCAACGACAGCCGTCTGCGTCGATGATTGCGATCGGAAATGGGCGATTTTCTGCAGCGGTCACGGGCAAAACGTTAGGTCTACTTCTTGAGGAGCCGAATGTAAACAACTCTGCATGAAACGTAGGGGAGGGCGCCTCTGGCATGGCAGAGGGGAGGGGGGTTTACTGACCTCCATGACGGGCTCCAGAGTCTGCATCAGGCTAGCCACGCTGCGCACATCCTTGACATCGCCGAGCTTCATCTTCTCTACTCTGGCCTTGGTCGCCTCGGCATCCTCGAGGTCGTGCAAGTCGTTGCCCGCATGTTCGTCTGGGAAATCGTCCTGCTGGGCGGCGTGTTGGCCATCCAGCTCCATGGCGTCGTCGCGCCCTCCGTGGGCCTTTTCTGCGTACACGAGGCCATCGTTTTCCTCGTCGGCCTCATCTCCCAGGCTTCCAAAGTCGTTGAGTAGTTCCTCCGCGACCGTGGCCATGGTGACGACGATTCTCACGATGGGCGGCTGAAGGGACGTAGATGGGAGGCTCAGACCGTGGTGAATGTAATAGGAGCAGGCCGGGAAGAATAAATGGTTTCTGGCTGCAAACGAGGCTGAAATGATGACAGACTTGGTCCGTGCGCCGCGAGGCAAGGCTAGGCACCCTTTCTTATCTTATCGATGAAATTTGGCAAGTCACGGGGCTGGAAGCAACGACGGCCGGTCGAATTCTCCAACTCTCTCCTCTCGTCCAGCCTCGGCGCCAGAAGCACCATGGAGTCCTCGAGGGGCCCCCCGAAGGTCAAGAACAAAGCCGCGGCGCCCGTGCAGATCAGTGCCGAGCAGCTTCTCCGAGAGGCCGTCGATCGCCAAGAGGTCTCCCTACAGGCGCCGACGCAGCGATTCAGCGACCTCGAGGAGCTGCACGAGTACCAGGGGAGGAAGCGCAAGGGATTCGAAGACTATGTCCGCCGCAACCGCATCAGCCTTCACAACTGGACCCAGTATGCGCAATGGGAGCTGGAGCAAAAGGAGTTTGCGCGGGCGCGCTCCGTCTTTGAGCGCGCCCTCGATGTCCACCCCCACAGCGTCCAGCTATGGATCCGCTACATCGAGGCCGAGATGAAGTCGCGCAACATCAACCACTCGCGGAACCTGCTGGACCGCGCAGTCGCCGTACTGCCTCGCGTGGACAAGCTGTGGTATAAGTATGTCTACATGGAGGAGATGCTGGGCAATATCCCGGGCACCCGTCAGGTATTTGACCGCTGGATGCAATGGCAGCCGGACGAGGCGGCATGGAACGCGTACATCAAGCTCGAGAAGCGATACGGGGAGTTTGAGCGGGCGCGCGACATTTTCCGCACCTTTACCGTGGTACACCCCGAACCGCGCAACTGGATCAAATGGGCCAAGTTTGAAGAAGAGTACGGCACGAGCGACTTGGTACGCGAAGTCTTTGGGAGCGCGATCGAGGCCCTGGGTGACGAGTTCGTCGACGAGAGGCTGTTCATCGCGTACGCGAGGTTTGAGGCCAAGCTCAAGGAGTACGAGCGAGCCCGGGCCATTTACAAGTACGCCCTCGACCGGCTTCCGCGGTCCAAGTCAATGGTACTGCACAAAGCGTACACGACGTTTGAGAAGCAGTTTGGCGACCAGGACGGAGTCGAAGACGTGGTGCTGTCCAAGAGGCGGAGGCTGTACGAGGAGCAAGTCAGGGAGAACCCGAAAAACTACGATGCCTGGTTTGACTACGCCAGACTGGAGGAATCGGCTGGAGACGCCGACCGCGTTCGGGATGTGTACGAAAGGGCCGTCGCCCAAGTGCCGCCGACGCAAGAAAAGCGGCATTGGCGGCGATACATCTATCTCTGGATCTTCTACGCCATCTGGGAGGAGCTCGAGGGCAAGGACGTGGAGCGGACGCGGCAAATCTACAGCACTTGCTTGGACCTGATTCCGCGCAAAAAGTTTACGTTTGCCAAGATGTGGCTGCTGGCGGCGCAGTTTGAGGTCCGGCAGGGCCAGCTCGCAGCGGCGAGGAACCTGCTGTGGCGGGCGGTCCACAAGTGCCCCAAAGACAAGATCTTCAACGGCTTCATTGACCTGGAGCGCAGGCTGTTTGAGTTTGTGCGGTGCCGGACCCTGTACGAGAAACACGTCGAGCACAACCCGGCCAACTGCCAGACGTGGATCAAGTTTGCCGAGCTGGAGCGCGGGCTCGACGACCTGGAGCGCACGCGGGCCATCTTCGAGCTGGCCATCAGCCAGGCGCAGCTGGACATGCCGGAGCTGTTGTGGAAGGCCTACATTGACTTTGAGGAGGAGGAGGGCGAGTACGAGCGGACGCGCGAGCTGTACGAGCGGCTGCTGGCCAAGACGGACCACGTCAAGGTGTGGATCAGCTACGCGCACTTTGAGATTAACATACCCGAGGAGGACGAGGAGGGCGAAGGCGACGAGGAGCAGGCGGTGAGCGACGAGGCCAAGGCGCGGGCGCGGGGCGTGTTTGAGCGGGCGCACAAGAGCATGCGCGACAAGGAGCTCAAGGAGGAGCGGGTATCGCTGCTCAACGCGTGGCTGTCGTTTGAGCGGACGCACGGGTCGGGCGACGACATGGAGCGCGTGCAGCGGCTGATGCCGCGGCGGACGCGGCGGCGGCGGCTGCTCGACGACGGCTCGCACGACGAGTACGTCGACTACGTCTTCCCCGCCGACGAGCAGCAGGCAAAGAGCCTGTCCAACGTCCTGGCGCTGGCCCAGAAGTGGAAGCAGACGGGCGGCGACCTGTCGGGGGCGGCCGGGGGGGAGTAGGGAAATTTGCAAGGGCGTTCGCTTGGCTGTTGGGTTGGTTTTGCGAGGAACAGAAAAGGGACAGGGGGAAGGGGTGGGTTGCTCAGCTTGTTCCCAGGAGGGCATGAGGGCATCGTGCATGTTTGGGAGCAAGCTTGCTGCATCCAGGTACGCGCATGCGCAGACGGTGTCTTGCAGGACCTTTAACTGTAATGCTGAACAAACGGGCACAAAGCTCGTCGCCATCGCCCCAGTCACCACTCTATGTACGTTGAGCAAATGCAGAGTGAAGCCTCCTTTCTCACTCTCTCTCCCCCCATCGCTCGGCAGTCTCCAGAGTACCAGCAAATCACTCCACCGTCTATTCGTTCATTGTTGCCCTGCTCGCCCTGTCTGCCCCTTGACATGCTCACCACCAACACATTTCATCCGGATCCTCAGCGCACGCGCACGTCCCGTCCCCGCCCGCCGCCAACTCCCCTCCATCCCCCCTCCCCGGGCCCGGGCAGCTGAAAACCCAACCCCCAAAAAAAATCAAGGCACTGCGGGGCAAGGGGGGCCAACTCGTGATGTCATTCTGCCGCATATCGAGTGGGGGAGCTGCAGCCTGTCAACCTGTCCGTCTGTCGGTCCGTTGAATCCACCTGTTTTTTCCTTACACGGATTGACGGACTACCCCTACGAACACTCCGCACCAACAGACAGGCATGGCAAGGGTCAGTCAGTGGTCTTGGCCACCCTCGTTTTCAGTTCATTTCGTTTCATCATTCAATCCGTCGCCGCTCCCGGGTAACAGCTTCGTCATCGTATCTCGTCTACCGTAGTTACAATCTGCCGGCCCCCTTCCCATTTGTTCAGTAACAAATCCGTGCCAAGGGTGATACACGGGAGAGTGTGTGTGCCTATGTGAGAAATGCCCAAGAATCCAAGAGAGAGGGGGAGCGAGAGAGAGAGAGTGAGCGATATAGGCCCCCCTCCGTAAGCTAGGCAGCGAGGACTGATGCGAGAGACAAAGCTCTGCACCTTCTCGTCTCACCTTTTGGCGGCGCCGCCTTTGCCGAAGACCCAGCGCCACTGGCATGCATCGTCATGCCACGCCCCCCCTCCCCTTGGATCTCTCGTCCAACGCTCCCGAACCGAACACTGTTCGTCATACCACGCAACCACGCACGCACACTTCACACCCGAGGAAAAAAGAACCCACCTTTCTGCATCTGTCGGTCTGTTGTCTCTGTTTTTTTTTTCATTCGTTTCTTTTTTCGCAACCGGTTTTGATCCCTTAGTTCGATGCCTTGCATCCCTTCTCTCGTCTTCGGTGCCGTTTCACATCCCGGTCGCCGGGATCCGTCCTCGTGTCGTGGATCTGCTGCGCCGTTTCGTCATATCCTTCTTTCCTCGGGTAGTCGGGGCCGGCGGGGCGGGGGGGGAAAGGGGGTAAGAGTCGGCAGACAAGAGGCAGCAGATTGAAACCACTCAGTAACGGCGATGGTCTATCACGGTTTATTTGTCATTAGTCATTCCTCATGGATACAACATGTGCGTGTGTGTGAGAGTGGTGCGGCAAGCAAGAGCAGGAAGAAGCAAAGGAATGTGGCTTGCACCAAGGGTTGAGGGAACAAGGGACAGCCACAACCACATGGCAGGGTGTTTCCATCATGCGATCCAGCTGCCCCGAGCAGGGAGACATGCAGCGGGAGAACCGGCGAGGACGAGGGGTCTTCCGGAGCAGCCTCTGCTCTGTGTCTGCTTTGGGGGCCTCTCCGTGTGCGCACAACGTCACGCAATGGCCCCCCCCCCCTCCCCTCTGATATGCTTGCTCTGCTCCTTTCTTGATTTTTCGTGCGGGCTTTCAACTAGCAGTCCATGACGCCACCTCAATTGAGAGTGCTTCGTCGGGCACGTGGTTGCTGCTTGCAAGAGACGTCGAGTTCGCCATCAGGACAGATACAAGGTATCTGGGGGACAGAAGAGGGCGGCCAAGACCAGTGCGGGCCGGTCACGCCGAGTTTGCCGCAGAATGGACCGTGAGCGTCGAGCAGCGGCCAGTCGGGCACTCCCTTGAGCCGAGAGTGCCTATCCAGCACGGCCCATGGGCGGCGCCGGGAGCCTCGCAGCTCCGTAAGGATTGTCATCAGTGTACCGCGGCCCGTAGTCGTAGTCGTCGGACTCGGAGTCTGGGTAGTAGTGCTGCGACCGGGGACGCGCCGGGACGCTGTCGGCCCGCCGGTCGCGGTGATCGAGGCCGCGGTACTGCTGCATGCGCCGCTGCTCGCGCCTCTCGTGGCGGCGAACCTTTTCTTGTTTGAACTCCTTGCACTCGTGGGTCATCTCCTTGGCTTCCTTCATCTCCCCGAGGGCGCCCTTGATGCCCAGGGCGGCGATGCCGACGGCTGCCGCGTCCTGCATGACGGCCTTTGTCTTGAGCTTCTTGGCCTCCTCAGGGCTCATTCTCCCCTCCTGGACTGCTCTCTGGCGGGAGCGCCTCTTCTCCATGCTCTGATAGACCCCGTGTGCTGCGTGGATGGTGGCAATGGTTGCGAGACCAGTGGTCAAAACTTGCTTACCTCTCATCTTCTTGGCCCTCTTCTCGTCCTCCTCCGAGTCCCCAAGGTCCGAATCGGTCCCGTAGCCGGACCGGCTGGAGCCGCGCCGACGAGACGAGTCTCGGCGGCGGTAGGGGCGCTCCGGCTCGTAGCCTCCACGGGTCCGGCCATACGGGTCCTCTTCGTACATGTCGTCCGAGTACCGGCGGGAGCGGCGGGAGCTGGCGTGGTCATCAAAGTCGTCCTGGTCGCGACGGCGATGCTCGTCGGCAGCTTCGACGGCGCCGCTGCCGATGCCCAGCTTGGCCAGGCTGTTGCGGGCCTTGTCGACGACGCTGCGGCTCCGGCTCCTTTGCCGACGGCGATCGGGCGACGGGCTCCTCGAGTCGTAATCGCGCCCGCGGCTGCGGGACCTGGAGCGGTCGAGCACCTTTTTGGCTCCAAGGGCGCCCAGGCCAGCAGTGGCCAAGGCCGCAAGGCCAGAGGGGCCGCCGCCGCCGGTAGAGCCGCCATGGCTCCGGGAGCGGGCTCGGGAGCGAGAACGACTTCTGCCCGTTAGCTTGTCCTCCTCGATATCCTTCTTGGACCCGTTGATGAGGCGGTTCCCAACCAGGCCGCCGATGACGGACTCGGCGAGGCCCAGTTTGCTGTGGCCATCGCCCTGGGCGGCATCAACGGTGGCAGCACCGGCGGCGGCAGTGAGGACACGCTTCGTCTTCTCGCCCTTCCAGCCGCCGGGCTCCTTGGCTACGCGGAAGGCCTCGGTGGCGCCGGCCAAGAGGGAGGCCATGGCAGCCTTTTGCATCTTGTTTGCGCCGGTCGGGGCGCGGGAGCCCGAGGGGCTATCGCCGCGGCGGCTCCGGGTGTCTGAGCGCCTGTCGTCACCGGCGCCGGTGAGCGACTTCACGGCGGCGCCCAGGCCGGTGGCGGCGATGGCGTTTTCGAGAAAGTTGCGATGGCCCCTTTTCTCCTTGGGGGCGTCGTCTTGATCGTCCGAGTAGTACTCGCTGACATGGCCGTCGCGACCGCGGTGGAGGATGTAGGTGGCCGTCTGGTCCTTTTGGGCCTGCTGCTTGCTGTAGAACTCTGCGCCCTGATAGCCGGCGAGGGCGCCGAAGCCGGCGAGGGCGGCCGAGGAAAGGGGGTTGCGCTGGACATCGGAGCCGTCCGTCTTGGCCTCGTGGCGGTCGTAGAGCTCCTTGCCGCCGACGAGGAGGGCGGCGCCGGCAACGGCAGCGATGAGCTTGTCCTGCTTGGTCATGCTTTTGGGCCGTTGGCTGCGCTGGTGGTGCTCGTCCTGGTAGTGGAGGCTGCTGGGGCCTCCTCCGTGGGAGCGGCGCGAGTAACGGTCATGGTCGCGGTCGTAGCGAGGGTCATGGCCGCCGCGACGGTAGTAGTCGTACTCGGCCTCATAGTAGCCCGGCTCGGCGGAGCGGGCGCGGCGAGCGTCCCGGGCAGAGGGCGGGGGGAAGTCTCGCCGGATCTCCTCGACGGACAGGTCACTGTCCTCGCGGGCACGGGGCACGAGATCGCGCGAGGGATAGACCTTTGCGGCGTAGTCGCGGGCGTCGAGGAAGCGAGGGTCGCGGTCGTCGCGGCGCTGCTCCTCGCGGACGTAGCGGCGGGAATAGTCCCGCTCGTACGGGTCATAGTTTGCCATTTCCACCTTTGTCTTTTCTCGCTCTCCCTCCTGTTGTGGTATTTGTGAGGGTTTGTGAAAAATTTGGACGATCAAAAGTCGGTCTGTCGTCGTCTTGGGTGGGGGCAAGACAGGGTTGCGGGGTGGTTGAAGGAGGGGGAAATGCGTTGGACGATGATGGCCAGAGGATGATTGATGAACCTTGCAAGGCGGGCGGGCAAGAAGGAAGGGCAGGGCTGGGCAGGGCAAAGCAGGGCAAGGCAGAGTGAGAGTGGGTGGCGGGTGACTCCCAACCCATCACTCACTCGCCCGCGAGTACCTGCACCCAAGCCGCGAGTACATGGAGGCACGCACGCTCACCGTCAGCCAACAAGGTAGCTTGAGACTACATGAGATGTCTCCATGGGCGGTAGAGTAGGTACTTGTCTACGGAGTACGTCATGCCATGGATGAATGTGCAGCAGGCGTCGTTGTCGATGAAATCTCATAGTGAGCGGGCGAGTGAGTGAGCGAGGGAGATGAACGAATGGAATGCCGCCCGAGGCGGGGCGGGCACAAGCGGGGCGTACGCGAGGCGGTACATTGCATAAATGGGGGTTTGTGGGTTTGTGCAATCAGGCGAGGGCTTCATTCTTTCCTTTTCGGAACCCTCGAGCGAGTGATGAGTGAGAGGTGAGTGAGACGGGCGGCCAGCCTTGGAGGCTGAAGCTGCGCCAGCCCGGCGGCTCAGCAAGGTAGGTAAGACTAGTAGATTCGCTAGCCTTGCCATCTATTAATCTGTACGGAGTACTAGAGACGGTTGTGTACAAAAACTTGCGAGCACTGTCGTGCAGCGCCGGTGAAGACGGCTGTGTGAGCCTGCACAAACCGTCGCTATGTCTACGCGCGTACTTTGTGCATGCCCCGCATCAAGACTTGCAATAGCATCGTTTATCCGCAACTCCGTACATACATGATGCTTTGTACAGCACAGTACCCGTAGATCGCTCTGTCCCATTTCCAAGTAAAGTACGGATAATAAGGTAAGCGACTGCTCATCGGCCTGTTGGGCGCTAGGCTCCAACGCCTCGTCTGGCCAGTCTCTGCCTCAGCAACCTCAGCAACGGCCCTCGGCGCAGCGACAGCGCACCGCTCGCCCGAGCGCCCGTATTATGCATAATTGAGAGGTGCTCTGATGACAGAAGGGAAAAGCACGTGCGCACAATGCAAAAAGGGTGCCCGAGCACCGCACCGAGCAACAACTTAACCAGTGCCGGGTACAGTACTTTAGTACCTACCTAGGTAAGTCAGTCAGTGTTTTGTGATAGTCGGCTCATGTACCGTACAGTACAGTACACGTAAAACAGCGCCACAGCCATGGCGAAATACAACCTGCCGCAAGCCACCCGCCTGCCTATGGCAGTGATCGGCCGAGATCCATCACCCGTCACGTTGTACGTACTGTACTGTACATTGTGCCCAACCGTCTGCAAACGCGGCCCTTTGTTATGTTTTCTCTCGCCTGCTCCCCCTGTTATAATGCAATTCGCCCGTTCACCCGGAGACACACATATCACATATACTGTGCACACAAGCAGGGAGAGAAGTAATAAGAGCGTGGGAGGCCGACGAGGTGGGTACGGAGTACTGTACATGGCGCATCCTCTCTTTTCTGCGCCTCTCCGCCCGTTACGTATCCTCATCGGTGGAAAGGATGGGGAATGACGACGGACGAGCGATGAAACAGACCCAGGGTCGTCGTCCTTTGACACACGCCTGGCCCTGGACTGGGCATCCAGTGAAGACATGCACTGTCCGTTCCTCGGCGGTACCTACCTGCCTGCCTGGGATGGCGCGGCCGGGCATGTACTTTGTTGCGTCATCCAGGCCAGGGCTACGGTGCAGCATACATGCATGTACTGATACATGTACAGCCCCTAATTCGGGGTCTTGTGCTTCCTCTCCACCAACAAAACAATGACTTTCGTCTCCCCACCCGTCGGACGACTTTCGTATTCAAACAAAGACGGATGGCATGCGTCATGTCGCGACACCAAAGCCCTCCTTTTTCCATCTTCTGTTTCGTCACTCCGAGATGGGCTCCATGTCTGTGGCCAGAGACTGACTGCATCAGGTATTGCATGCGTCAAGCAGGAGACCCTCGGATATACATGTCGGCAAGTCATGCTTGCTCTTGGTCGGCCTGCTTTACGTACCTGGGAACCTACCTACTCCGTACCTGCCTAGGTACCTGCCTAGGTAGGTAGGTACTGTCCGTGATCCAAAGCACCAGTAATGTCCTGCCGCCCATGATGAGCCGGCTGGCTGCCTTGGCGAACTGAAGAAGAGGGGGGGGGAAAGAAATGATGAGCCCAACGATCATCGGCTGCCGAAGGTGCAGGCAGGCAGGACAAGAACCCATCCCTGCATGAAGACGCATGCAAGCCCTGTGGCATCCACAGGTACTAGTACTTTAAGGTTGCCCCGTCCGCCGCCGCCGCTGCTATTTTCAGACTCCTCCCAGGTACCTTGCAGCTCAGGTGCAGCTCAGGTGCCAGTATCCGTACTCCGTACTATACAGGACTCCATACTGCCGTGGAGCAGGCAGGACCCATGCCGAACAATCCTGGTCCCGCTGTGCCTGCGCCTCCATTATTTCCCTCCGTCTTCATTTGTTTTTCATGCGTCCTCTCTCTGTGAGCCGACAGGGTATTTAGACACGGCCTGCGGCGCCTGTTTTTGCGCTTGCACACTCTGTCTCTCCTCTCCCTTCTTATTCCTCTCTCTCCCTCTCCAATCTCAACCGCCGACGACACCTTGCTCTGCACACCTGTCTCATTGCCTAGACAAACCCTCTCTTCCGCTTGTCTCGTCCAAATCTCGATCCACCACACACCTTTCACACCTCTCACACCTTCCACACCTTCCAACGCAGCCGTCACCATGCTCTTCTCCGTCGTTCCCCTCGCTCTCCTCGCCGCCGTTGGCGCCGCTGCCGACGTCGCCAAGCGCCAGGAAGGGTACGCCCGAGAGACACGCCCGCCCTCTCAACTTGGTTCCGAGAGCTAACTTGGAATTGCCCGTTTCCAGCCCCCTCTCCAACCCCATCCAGCCCACCGCTGGCAACGGCCAGCCCGTCGTCCCTGGCTCCCCCGCTGCGGGCGTTCCCGGAGCACCTGGCGCCTCCGGCTCCGCTCCTGGCGCTGCCGCTACCCCCACTGTGCCCGTCGTCCCCGGCGCCAGCTCCGGCTCTGGCTCGCCCGCCGCCACCGTTAGCGTCAGCCCGTCAACGGGCCCTAGCGTGTACGTTGTTTCCCCTCGTCCCATTTCCTTTGGCCGATAATTTGAGCATCCACACTGACACAACATGCCCCTCTGTAGTGCCACCAGCGCCGCCAGCCCTAACTCCAGCTCCCGAGCCTCCGATGTCTCCTCCGACGCCTCAACCGGCACCTCGTCGCCCGCCAGCACCGCTACCCGCTCCACTTCCTCCACCAGGACCTCGTCCTCGTCGTCCGCCTCCAACCCGGCCTCGATGCCCACCGCCTTTGCCAACAACGCCGTCGTCGGTGTCGTTGCCTTGGCTGGCCTTGCCCTTGCCATGTAAACAGAAACGAGCCCTCACGGGTTCCCCCCAATTCGGGATATACGGCTTCCTCTCATATGCATTGGGGGCCGGCCAATCTCAGCTATATACTTCAGCCCCAGGGGGAGCTGGATATCCCTCCGTCAAGCCTACGATGGGGGTTGACCATGTATCTAGGCACGACTGTCCGGTGTTATCGCGGTGGCTGTAATGGGAGTCCAGTAAATTTATACATGCCTGCATGCGGGTAACATTACACATAATTATGTTCGTCCTACCCGTCTCTACATGGCCAACGCGTGTCCGACCATTACGCCAACTTGACATGCTGTCCACCCCATCACCCCCAGTCTCTCTACATTCTGACCTCTACACCGCCATGACGAGAGACCTTGGCCGTACAGAAGCGGAGCATACAGACCAACAACCACCGACTCGAATTCTTTTTTTCTCGTTTGAGATTATTTTTCCTTCCATCGTACAAATACAAGAATGCCAGCAACAAATCCCACAACCCTAAGCCGTCCGGCATCAAATGGCATTTCGGCAGGCCGCCGCTTGCCCCGAGGGGGAAAGTGAAAAGGGGTTCCGGACATATGGAGACCCCGAAGCCCCTTGAGAAAAAAGAGTCCAACGAAAGCAGCTGTGCCATTGCCAAATCTCATCCCATGTGCCCTTTTATCTTCCCATTTTTTTTTGTTTTGCCGCTGTCTTGGATCTTTTTCTTGTTCGCATCTTCGCCAGATATCACCTCCACCCACTTGTCCATCCATCATTCCTTAACCCTCTTGTCCATCGTCGGCCTCTAAGAGGTCCGCCGACGTCTAACTTTTGGCTTCAAAGCGCCACAGGCCGTCGTCGAGTGCTCTCCTCAGTGCGGCTCATGGGATGCCTGTGCCGGCAAGCCCGAGAACAAACTAAATCTGCAACGACTTTCCAACCAAAAGGCCGCGCAGCTTCATCTCTCCGCCGTCAGCGCAGCCCGAGAGAATCCAGGTCAAAATCCCAAAATACCCCGGGTCTGTCGCTCGAGCCCTCTCCGCAAATGAGTCATGCTGATGAGCCCTGCACTCCATATCCCCCAAGCCGACCTATGTCGGCAAGCTCGCCACCGCTTGTCGACACTCACGACACCTCCGCAACCTCCAACTCCAAGGATTTTCCTTCGCCCAAGGCATCGGGGGTCCTTTGCGATTTTGCTTCCCGTCATCTCCTCTCGGCCCCGAGCTGAGTGACTGCCAGGTCATTCAGGGCTGCCAGGGATACCGGCACCCTCGACATATTTCCCCGTATGCGCCAGGGAGGGCAGCAGCGGAGGACAATACGTCCTCTACAGCACCCGCTCCCAGAACCAGTGATAAATCAGACCGCAACCCATACACCATTCTGATCGTTGGCGGGTGAGCGGCAGATTCGCCGATCAATCCAGGCTGCGCTGGTTCGCAACTGAGGACAAAGTTCAGGAGTGCCATCCTAACTGCCATGGACCAAGATGAAGAAAGCCAGCGTTGACGAGCGCCCCAAAATACTGGATCTCAAGTTTGTCATCCGCCGTTACGTGAAAACAGCCCCGCCTCCCACAGAATCCACCGCCGCCCTTGTTGCAGGTGGAGTGGGCTACGAGTGGGCCGCTTCCTGAGCCTGAGGTCCTTCAGATTCGATCCCTGGCGGCGATGCGTTTGCAGCAGGTTCGCCGCTGCAGCCGTTCAGTGCGACGGAAGCCGTGGTGGCTTTGGGACTGGCATCGCCGTCCGCATCAGCCGCACCCTTGGACTTGACGGCCCCTTGATCGGAGCGGGCTGACCCGGTAGGTATGGCGGGCCCCGAGGGCGAAAAGTCTGGGACCTCGGCAGAGAGCTGGCTGGACCCGCTGTGTGTTAGGCCGCCGCCGTTTACACCTCCATTGAGGCCGTGTCCCTCGGAAAACTGCTGAAACTGAGGCTCGCCCTGAGGGTTGTATCCTAGGGGAGGCGAGACGCCAAACGAAGCCGGGGATATTCCGCTAAACTGGGGGCCGAGAGCGTAGGGCCGGTTCTTAAAAGTAATGTGTGAGGGGCCAGCGTTGCGGGCAAAGTCATCGCGGTCCTCCATCGGCAACACGAAGCTCTGCCAGCCCGATCTTCGGCGAAGTCGCTCAACATCATCCTCGCCCACAACAAAGTCGAGCTCGCTCGACGACTCGCACACTGCCCGGATCATGCCCATGTCGGACGTAAGCTCCCTTATGCGCTTAAACGCCGCGACAAAGTGCAGGTTGACAAAGCCTTGCGAGTCCATCCGCTTGCGGAGGTACATGTCCTTGCAGAGATTCTCGATCGAGAAGTAGTATTCGATCTGATTCTTGAGCAACGACATGACGACGTTGTCCCAATAAGGATGGGTCTGGAACGGCATGGCCGTCAGCGGCGCCATGGGGTACTCGTACGGGCCGAACTGCGTCTGCACGGGGGGAAGCCGCGTCGATCCGTTGGGCAGAGACATGCGGTGGAAATTTGCGCCGGCGCCGTTGCGGCCTCGCCCGCCCCTCTGCTGAGGAGGCATGAACATCTGGTTGTGGCTACCTTGCCTCGGCGGAGGGCTGTAGGGGCCCTGAGGCCTGGATGGCATAGACCCGGACGTGAATCCAGAGGCGCCGTGCTGGTGTTGCGAGTGCGTGTTGATGGCGTGGTGTCCGCCACGGCCGCGATAGCCTCCGCGACCTCGCTCGCCGCGGCCCTCTGGGCGCTCCCTGGCAACATGGCCCGGTTCCTATTGTCGAGTTAGCAAAGCTTGTATGCAAGGAAAGCTTTTCGTATCACGGCGTTGCCACCAAGATGATGCCAGCGTACGTACAGTAGGGTGAGAAGATGTCGCATCTCTGGCCTTGTCACCGGCGGTGTAGCCAGACGTCTTCTTTTGGTCCTTGGCACTCGAGGCATCCATCGAGACGCGCTTTGCGGCCGGGGGTAGGGAGGCAGTCCGATTCGAGGTGGCGCCGGCCTCACGAGGTCGTTCTTTGGATTCGGTTGACTTGCTCACCGGCGTAGCCAGAGCGGCCTTGTCTCCCGCGATAGTGCCAGTCGATGCCCTGGTGCCGTTGGCACCCCGCGCGCCACCTCGAGGCTTGGAGTTGCGCATTTGGGGGATCTGCGTCTCGAAGCTGACCGAAGGCACATAGTCGTACGCGACCCACTTGCCCTTCTGGCGTGGCTTCGCCTGCGAGCCGTCATCCTGACTCTCCTTGCTCGACTCCTTGTCCTGGCGGTCGATCTGGGCCGAGCTCGACTTCCTCCGATCTTCCTTGATGGCGGTCTCGGGAGTAGGCCACGAGGCAGAATCCTGCACAGAGGGTGGCAGTTCGGCCTTGTCGTCCTTGCTCTCGCTGTCGACAGACTTGGAGCCTCGGCTGCCGTTTCGTTCCGGGCGAGCAATATCGCCAGCCTTTCGAATTGGCTTGGCTCCATTCGCGGATGTGCTCTCACGCGCGGGGAACGCAGAGTCTTGGCCAATCTTGGGAGTTTTCTTCGCATCCTCTGCGTGGCCCGGCACGCCATTGGTCGACTCCTCGTCGTTGTTCATGGCCGGCTTGGTCTTTGCCGCCTGCGCCTCTTTCCGCTGCTGCCAAATATTGACAGGAGGTATGGGGGCTTCCGAAAGCTCAATCTTGGGGGCCTCTGGCACAGGGACCTGCTCCTTGTCGGAGCTTGAGGCCTGGTCGCTTGCCTGCTTATCCGAAGCCTTGGCCTTCTTATTCTTCCGCGGCTTTCTCGAGTCGGACTCGTCGACCGAACGAGCGGTAGCGCTGGAGGACCTCGTTCCCTTTTCAGCTCGCCGCCAGGGTCGCTCAAGGCGGCCGGCGTCATCATCCCGCTTCGACTCGAGCCTCCTGTCCGTGGTCGTCTCGGAGGGCGAGTCGCTCTCTGAGCCATTGGTGGAATCCATGTCCTGCTTCTCCTCGATCGAAGATGGAGCATCGGCGTTGAGAGTCTGTTCCGGCGACTCGGCCGGGGTTTCAGCAGGCAAAGTGACCTTGCTCGCGGAGGACGCGGGCTGGGAAGCTTGAGCCTGGGCGGGCGGGTTGGACAAAGGAGTGGCGGCAGGGGGCGCGCCCTGTCCCTTGGCCGCTTGCGCGTAGGAGAAGGTGGAAGAAGCCGCCATTTCGCTGGGATTGGATTCGGCTGCGCAAATCATGTCAGAAACGACCACCACAATGAAGACTTTTCAGCACACACACGAGGCGTCGTCGTCTGTTGCTATGCGTGCTGCCGACGCTCCCCAAGCGGGGCAGAATGTGGATCGTCGACAACGAGCAGGGTTGGTGCAGCAGCTATCACCCAGAGTCGGCTTGTGCTCTGAGACGTGCACGGCGTCGCGATGAGCGATGCTTCTGCTGCGTCAACAGATGCCCGCGATGGTTGCGAGGGTGAAGTGACTGTCCGTCGAAGTGTTCGACGTGTCCAGGCAGGCGTCAAGGCCACGTCCACGGAGGCGGGCCACAGGGGGTGGGAAAGCCGATCGTGCAGTCGTGTCAGCCGCCGCGGTCGAGGACCCGCGTCGGTCTAGGAAGAGGGGAAAGGGCACTCGCAGGTGTCGCAGCGACACCTTGGAAGGGGCTTCGTAGGCAGGATCGTGGACAAAAAAGACGGAGCCCGAAGGCGGGCGAGAAAGGGGGGCAGCGAGAAAAGACTGCCGGGACCCAGCCAGGACGATGCCGGGCGAGACGAGACGTGTAGTAGGCGAAGCGAACGAAGGGGGTTGAGGAGGATCAGCCGGCTGGCACGCTGGGAGGCGGGTGGCCGGGCGAACGAGCCGCGCTCGTCGAGACAGGTGGAAGCGCAGGCCCGGAAATGCTGGGCACAAGGGGAATGCAAGGGCTGCAGCGGCAATGCGAAGGGACTGTCTGGGGTATCGGGAAGAGTGTGGCAGCAGAGGCGCGGCGGCGGCGGCGGAGGAGGAGGAGGAGTAGGTAGGAGGAGGTGAGGGAGAAGTAAGGTCGGAGGGTATTTTTTTGCGTTGTGTGAAGTGATAAATTTTTTTCCTCTTTGCCCGCCCGGCTTCCCCTCTCTCTGACCCGGGGGGCCGATGGAGCGAGTACAGTACCTTATTACTTCTTACTGCAGGTAGGTACGTAGGTTAGGTAGGCTAGGTAGGTACTGTACAGTACCTACCTGCCTACCTGGCCCTTTAGCCTGGCGCTGACGGAGCGGGCGGATAAAGTGCAGCGGGAGAAGGCCCTGAGGAGCGAATTGCAGAGGCCCCGGGGAGGAGACGAGCGACTGGGCACCGCCACTACGAGGGAGTACATGGCGAGCCACCCTTGTTTGCTGACAAGACCCTGTACCTCGGATAGCAGCCAAGCCGGTTACTGAAAAAAAAAAAAAAAAGGCGACGAAAAGGGAGCAGCAACACAACATAGCGCAACAGTCTTCCGCATCGAAGACCCCCCTTTCCATTCTTTGAGATTTCCCTGTCGGAAATGAGAACAGCAGAAGTTCGCTCACATCGCCACCTGTTCCTCGCCCCTCGAGCGAACACGTCTCATCTCCGCCCTCTGCTGTGTGTCCATCCAGCGCACACAAACCGCCAGGAAACTAGACCATGGTCTCTAAAAGGCAAGGTACCCACTCCCTTAGTCAGACCTGGCGGGCAACGCCGAGGCGAAAGTATATCTACCTTGGACAAACGATGTTTGATGACAGATGGCACATTTCAGCACCGTCTGGGCCAGGCATGCGGAGCGGCCACCCTTGGCCCTCGCCGGCTGCCGTCGACAAGCTTGCCAGCCAGGCCGGTATGGATGTCTAGCAGTGGGCATACGGAGTACCTACCTGCCTCTGCGCTGGCAACCGGACTTGGCTTCTCGGACCAAGGCTCCAGGCATGCAACAAAGGGGCCTCACAATGACCGTAATAGGGCCTTGTTGCCACTGTCCTGGCTATGGTGGAACATTGCCCTTCTTGTCTCACGAGAAGGGGGTACAGCCGTCGCCTGCTATGCCCACCTAGGAACCCAGTCTGACCGAGTCTTGCCTCCTGATAAAACACAAGGTTCCCCCATATTTAACCAGCTTGGCAGGGAGCGAGGGAGGCATCGTGCACTCACCTACCTGATGTGGCCCGGCGCCGGCGTCTATGCGGCACAGAGAGAGCATCCATCGTCTGCCCGAAAACCACCTTGTCCAGGAGCAATCTGTCAAGGCAGATGAGATGGGCCAGACATACATCAAGCCTACAAAGCGTACACGGCCAGGGCGAATTCCGCACCCACCCCCCATGTGCAGATCCCCCGTCTCCTCTTCATCACCATATACGGAGGTATTCCATCTTTCATCCCTACTCCGCATACGGGGTGACTCTGGGTAATACACTTATGGCCGATGCAACCCACCCCGTTGGCCTCGGCGAGAGGCATCATGGGTGGCGCGCCCCGGTGATGCCCGCCGGCCCGTCTCCAGCCTGCCCTGCCGTACGGCATTCGTTCGTGCAACGCCGCAGCATGATATGCCCCTACCTGCATGCATGCATACGTACATGAATCCAGTATGCTCGTACATACGCGCAGTAGATCCCCATCCGGTGCCAACCTCTACTAGGGAGGTGGTACGGCCCGCGGTGATTTTCCCGCGTCAGGCATGCGCCCTTGTACCTCATTTCTTTAGTTCCCCGAGGCAACGGGCCAAAAGTCTGTGGCGGCTTGCTCGGCATCTGCCTGGGTGCCGAAGCGCCTCCCTTGCAAGACAAGGGACTTATTCACCCTGTGCCCCGCGGGAGCCATCAAACGGCTACTGGTACTATTACAACGTTTTCTTTCCTTGAGCCAAAACGACGTTGACCCAACTTCGTCCATCTTCTGCCGCGCAGTGGACCGAGTACCGCGCCCACGACACCGACTTCTCACGCTTCCCAGCAATGACGTTGTCTTGTCCCATGCCAGCGCCAAGACCTTGCAGCGGGGTCGCCGGAGCCCAAATGCCATGGCGAGTGGCTATATCCTTTGGACGACGAGCCTGCGACTCTGGCCCGCTCCCTTATTTGCCACTGCCTATGAGATCGACTCGGCAGGCGCTTTTGGCCGGCTGGCCAGCCGCTCTTGATCGTGGCCTTTGAGTCGAGGCTGATGTCTGCCTAGTCAACAACGTAGAGCAAGCCCATGTAGGGCGTTTCCCTCATCGGCCGGCCGGCCAGCAGCCTCGCACCTCGCTCATCTCTGTTCTGACGACACTTGGCGCTTTGAGAAATAACAACGAAAAAGAAAGAACTGATGTGTGCAGTTACGACCACTCTACAGGCTGTCCAAGTCTCATCAGTGACTGGCCAAGCCAGCCCAGCACCCCGTCTCGCTGCGGCCTTGTACACTCTTCGATTACCCCGTAATCCACGCTGTGGCTTGCCTGGTCCCAAACGAAGCGGCTAGGCGAAGGCCGGTAGAGCCCATGGGAAAGTAGCTGATGAGATACCATAGCAGACAGGCGAGTTGGACAAAGGCGGATAGCATGGTCAAAATGGTGCTATGAAGCTGCGTGCCTGCGGGTCAGTCACGTCATTGCTGCATGGTCGTAACGTAGCTGGAAACACACCTTGAGCGCGAAGAGCAGCGTCGTCAGGATGGACCCAAAGTATGCTGCGGTAAACGGCAGTCTGGGAGCCGACAGGAGGTGATATATGTAGTTCATGGGCCCCATCACGGCTGCAAAGGATGCCAGGAAGAGGAGCGACCCGACAGACCATCTGCTTGCCATTAGCTCTGGGCCAACTGCGACACGCCGTAGGTCAACAGCGGGGGCCTCTAGGATACGGCACTTGTCAAGCAAGGCAAGCGGCCGTCAGGTGGGCCCTCTGGGGGGGCCGGCAATCGTCGCTACATGGGAAAGGCGAGCTGCGGGAAAGGAGGGGGCCAGAGGCGCAAAAGGAAAGACGGCGGGCGGAGGGGACGGGCGGGCCCACTCACAATATGACAAACTTGCGCGGCCTGAGGGAGAGAACCGGGAAGAGGGTGAAGCAGATGACGAAGCAGGCGAGGGCAGCCAGGTTACAAGCCCCAAAGATCAACAACCGGTCCCACCTGCTCACTGCAACCCCAGTTAGCCCTGCCACCCACGAGGTGCATCATCCGGATCACATGCAGAATCTAAGGTATAGGCCAAAGACGGGCTGCACATGTCCCGCTGCAGGGGTGCCGCGACTCTATGTCGTCAGGTTGACTCACGTACGAACCAGCCCTCTTCCTCCTCTCGCCGACTTGGTGCCGGCAAAGGTGCCCCGGCGCTCTCGGTGGTCGGGAGACGCACATAGCCACGGTCCTGGAAAGGGTTGAGGCTCTTGATGGACGACAGCAGACCCGACTGCTGCGAAGTGTTGATGGGCGCCTCCTCGTTACGCCGGCTCCAGCCGAGCGAGTTGATGGAGTCCCGGAACGAGTTGGAAGCCATGGTTGGTTTGCAGACGGGAAAGGCGGGATTATAAGACGGCTGCGAAGAAGATGGGCGACAGTTCGTGACGGTCAAGTCCCCCGAGGGGTGTGATTCGGCGTCGAGTAGAGAGGAAAGGGGAAGTATGGCGCGCGGTCGACAGAGGGGGCAGTCCTATCAAGGACGAGCGAGCTGCTCCGACCTGGGTACGGTCAGTCAGAGGGTTTGATATAGGTCGCAAGAGGAGCAGGGGTGAGAGAGGGAACCCACGGTCGGATTGAAGCGATCCAAACAGGACACAGGACAGCCAGAAGGGAATGGGGAGGGGAGCCCACTAAGCGGATGTTTTCTCCACGGCTCACGGGCACAGGCAGCGGGCGCGTTGGGCGAATCGAACCGCGCGTACCGCTTGGAAATGGGCCGTCTGGGAAACAAACAAGGCTAGAAGTCGAGGGTAATCCGGGCGCGCAGGTCGAGTCGCGGAGGTGCGGAGGGCAGAGAGGAAAGGCTGGGGGTGTGGAAGGAAGTCGGATGCGTGCTTGACGAGGCGGCGGCAGGCCACATGATTGGTAGCCGGAAGAGGGGGGTAAGTGTGGCGCTACCCGGCTGAGGTTGGCCGCGGCGTGCTGGTGGTGATTGGATAGATACCTGGGTACATGTGGCAGCTGGGATATCCTGTGCCATCGCCAGGTACCCTGCTATTTGGTGCCCTTCTATTTTAGTCGCCCGCGCCAGACGCAACAAGTAGTACAAGTCACGGCCACATCAGCCAGGCCTACTTACCATGTCGAGACGGCCAGGCAAGGTTGCCTACCACCTACTCGTCATCCCCAGGTGGTAGGTGGCTTTGCGCGAGGGAGGTGAGGGGCCGCAGCGGCTCTGCCGCGGACGAACGAACTCGCGGCTGGGAGTTGTAAAGCAGGGTGAGGCCTTGGCCTTATGCGAGATGGCGTTGTACCTTGCTTGCAAGGACAAGGACATGGACGTGACGTGCGGCAGCTGGGAGACGGGTTGCTTTGGACGGGAGGCAGATGCCGGTGTACAGTAGTTGGTTGAGCTGGGTACGAGGCGTCAAGTGTCCTTTGCGCTGCCGTTGATATACCTGCCTCGCTCGGCCATGGCACGGCGACATTGCAAATGGAGAATCGATGCGCGCAAGACTGTACAGTACATACACGAGTGCGCACTTGATGTGTGTATGTACACAAGGTATGAACATGCATGCATGCATATGTACAGATATGATGATGGATGGGGTGCAACAGCAAGCCCATGCCTGGTCCAACCCGCACCCTGCTTTGCCGACGACGACGACGACAACTTGGACGACGGGACATCATGCACCGCTTCCCCCATGGAGGCTGACCTCTTCTGGTTCCTTACATGGCCCCGTGGCCAAGGCGCTGGAGAGGCTCTCGGGGGCATCGCAGACACGCATGACCGGGCAGGAAACTCCGATTCCATGATGCAGCTCGATGGCAGAGGCCAGAGTGCCATATCGAGCCTGTGTCTCAAAAGCAGAGTCACGTTGAGCCCGAGGGTGGGTGTCCAGACAAGGAAATGGATGCCACCACCACACCACACTCGTAAGCCCAAGGCGAGTCAGACGACGAGGAGCGGGACGACATTTCGTATCGCCGTAGGGAGTCGTCGCGATTAGCGTGGGCAGTATAAGATGCGAGGCCGTTCCGGGCCAGAGCGGGCTAGCTGGAAAGCAAAGTGGACGGACGGTGATGAAGCTCGACCCGGCTCTGCCAAAGAAACACGCCGACAACAGCTCGCCCACGCACCGAGAAAAACAACAGGCCGTTACACAACCAAAACAGCCACGGCAACCTTTTTTTAGTCCTTTTTTCGCCGTCGACGAGACATTCCGGGGCAGCCTGTCTTGCGCGCCCGCGGCCCAGCCTTGCGCGGCCCATCAGACGATTGGCCCGCCGCCACGAACCCCCCCAACTTCGTCGATCGACAGCAGCCTGCAGGGCCCGCGAACTGCCACCGAGGCATCCGCGTCAGCGTCGCGCGCCCACCAACGAGGCTGCCTGCCCAAGAAGGAGGAGCATCGGCATCATCATCTCCATAAACACTGCCGCCGCCCTGCGCCTTTCGCAAGCCTCGTCGGCTCTTCTTGGTCCATCCAGGCCCACCATCGCAAACAGGGGCCCGCCACTGCTGCTGGTCTTTTTAAGCAGCCACTTCACCCCGCATAGCCCCTGTTCCGCACTCGGACATCCATTGTCTTTCCGAACAACCTGCTCTCTCTCCGCAGCTCCCTTGTGCGACCCGGCGCGCATAAATCCTCCAGACACGCACACCTTGTTTCCCTGGGCCAATCTAGTGAGTTCCATCCCACAAAGCCCTTTTTGCGCGTCCTCGCTTGTTGCGCCAAAGCCCGCCACAACCAACCGGCGGATCAACGCCCACCAGCCCTCGCTCCCTCGCTCCCTCTCTCTCTCTTAACACGCGCACCCCCCGCCGGGCCAAAGGGGTACCTACAGGGCAAGTAGCCCACTGTGCGCCTCGCCCCTCCCGCTTCTCCCCTAAGCCGCCCGCGCACCCGCCGCTGCCCCCTCCCTTCAACTCAAACTCTCCACCCCCACCTTTTTTTCTCCTTTGCTTCTTCGTCTGCCTGCTAGTCAAAAGCCTCCCTGCCTACTTGAAGCTGGCCCTCTTCTTCTTCCAATACCGACCGACCATCCACCCCATCCCCGTCGTCGCTGCTCACGCCAATCCTCTGTGCGCTGCGAGCCGCCATCAAGCAAGCACCGGCTTACGATTGGGCAGCAGCAGCAGCGAGAAACAAGGCCTCACCCCTACTTTGGCTTCGGCACCGCTCCTCGACGACGCCTCCCTCCCTTTCCCCAGGCTATATAGCTCGCTACAGATAGCACTTCTAGGGCCGACAGGCTTCCGTTACCGCCTGGACCCTCCTGTTAACAGGCGACGGTCCCAGGACGACCCCCGGATCCATCGCCCACCCCCGACCACACTTTTCTCACCACCCTCGCACACTGGCGAATCCAAGGCAGCCTGTCGCAAAGACCCCCTCCGACGTCGCATTCTGCCGCTGGTCCTCTTTTCCTCGCCGCACAGCGCTCAAGGCTCCTGTTAGATGGCGTGCAGGTAGCAAGCTGCGCCGACTTCTCATCAACAGCGCCTGCCATTTCATCGCGCCTGGTAGGTCGATGTGCTTTGCCGGGCTCTTCCGCGCAATCCTTCTCCCGATCGCTCGCCCCCCCCCCCCCCCCCCCTCTGACTGACAGCCGCCTTCTAGCACCCGAACACACAAGTCCCGCCTCCCTCGACCACGCCGCTGACGGCTCGCTGTTCTTCTGCTCCCAGTGCACGCAGTCGACTAACCTCCCTCTTGGTGCATATTGCCAACAGCTTCTTCGACTATCCTTTTTCTTTCTCGCCCCGGCACCGTCCAGCGGCTTCTCGGGGCTGACAGCCGTGCACCTAGCAAGTGGTATCGGCGACCGAATCTCATCCCTTGGCGGACGAATCATATAGTCCACCATCGCAGCAGCATCGATACAAGGCTTCGTAAGCCTAAATGCCCGTCATGGCCCAACACGGGTTCAACCACTTTGGCTCCGCCCCAAATGGTGGCAACATTGATCCCAATGACCTCGCCATGGGCAGTGGCTACTCTCCCTCGTTCAACAACAGTAGCTCCGGCAATAATAGCAGTAACAACTTCAACTCTGCGTCCGGGACCGCCCCCAACGGCTTCTCCAGCGGCTCGGCCGTCTTTGGAGATGACGAACTGCTCGACGGCCTGGCAAGCCCTTCTGAGGGCCACTCGGGCATGCATGGCCAGGGCCAAGACTTCACTACCATGAACGTGAGCTTTTCTCAGGGCGCCTTCGCATCGCATCGCGGATCCGGTCTGCACATTGACCCCACGCAGATGAATGGTTACTCCAACACACCAGATGGAGACCCGATCCAGAGCCCCTATACTGCCGGCTTCAATACTCAATTCCGGCAGATGCAGAACAACCATTCGTTTGGCACCTCGATCCACTCGCCCATGTCCTACTCTGGATCTCCGCTGGCGGGAGCAGACATGGGCGCCGACGGCAACGACCCCAACTATCTCAATGCAAAGGCAAGAGCCCGCATGTCGCAACAGATGCAGCGCAAGGCCTCAACCGCCCGAAGCCCCATGACACCCAAGACCAGCAGCATCCACGGCATTCCCATAGGATCCCAAGACTCGCCTGGTTTCGGCACGCAGCCCATACGCAACTCGGGCAGCCATGAAAAGTCCCCGTCGGGTCAGTGGATGAACACTCCTACTGGAAGCATCCCTGCCTCGTACAACTCGGGCTTCTCCTCCCCCATGCAACAGGGCATGGTCCCCATCAACGAGGTCATGCTCAAGGGCGGCACATCCATGCCTGCCAAGCTGGGCGTGAATCCCAGCCCTGTCTCGACCCAGGAGATGAAGCGCAAACGGCGCCGCGAGTCCCACAATCTCGTCGAGCGCCGACGCCGCGATAACATCAATGAGAGAATCCAAGACCTTAGCAAGCTTGTGCCCACGCATCGCCTGGAGGACGAGAAGATCCGCAAACTGATACAGAACGGCACGCCCTTGTCCCCGACCCTCACCGGCATCTCCAGCCCATCGCAGGCCACGTCGGGACTGGCTGGACCGGGCGCCCGACGCGCGGCCGGAGGCAGTTCTGGCAACATCACCACCGGTCTTCCCATTGAGGAAAAAGACAAGGGCCCGAACAAGGGCGACATCCTCAACGGCGCCGTCAGCTGGACCCGTGACCTGATGTGGATGCTGCATCTCAAGCTCCAGCAACAAGAGGAGCTCATGAACAACATTGCTGAGCTCGGTGGACACTTTCCCTTTGAGTTGACCGAGGATGAGAGGCGCATGCAGACTGAGCTAATGGATGCCATGGTTAAGAGCGAGACGGGCTCCTTCTCATACTCGCGGACTTCCGGGTCCGGCCTCCGTGTGCCAAACCATACAGACTACCGCGGGGACCCTGTCAACTCCTTGACGGCCAACCTGGATTCTATTGGAATCACCCCCGAAGAGAATGGCAATGTGAGCATGGGCGGAGAAATTGGCGATGGCACGACGCAGTTCTGGAACGACCCTGACGACGACGGAGAAGGGCACGGCTCTCTCAACTTCAAGGAGGAGGACGAGTACGACATGGACCTTACTCACTAGACATGCGCTCTCTACCACGACAATCCGTCTGCCTCTGTTTCCTTTTTTGCCCGCAGGCGTCACATTCGAGAGTGGCGCAGGTTGTCGCTCTGCAAAGTACGACCAGCATCTTTCCCCCTCCCGGCGTCTCTGATCTCCATGTTCGTTGATTTGACTTGGCACTATTCCCCACGTCGCGCGCTTGCCCCCTCATATACGATGGAGTGCATTCGCGATGTATACCCCCTGGCTCGGCGCGCTGTTGCGCTGAGTTACTTTCCTCTCTCCCTTTTGGCGAGCGGTGATTTCTATTTTACTCCACATTTCACGAGACTCGTCTCTACTAGGGGTAATAGTCATGAGCATTTAGCATGGGCTCACGGTATACGCGGAGGCTTCGTTTTATACAGTGGAGGATATATCTTGTCGCTTGTTCTCTTTCCTGGAGTGTTTATCTGCATTTCCGACGTTTGTCTCGCTGCGGTCTATCTGCAACATCTACATCTACCTTTGGCACGGTTTGTTGTTGCGATACCTTGGATGGCGCTCGGTGAGGCCAGCCATCCGGTTCCGGCCTCGGCTTATTTGCTGGTTTTCGTGCCGTTTCTTTGCTTGGGATGACGGAGGTTCTGCATCACTCGATGTACTTGTCATCTGGTGGCTCGTTGTGGTTGGCAGGCATCGTTGCATCATTGTCGTCATCGGTAGCTTTTTTCTTAATGGTCTGAGATCATCTCCTTCATCTGCTCCCCTCCTCCCTCGATGTCCAGCTTCACATCAGTCTTTGTGGTGGCTTGTATTGTACGTACATGCTGCCCGCTCATCGCGCTGCGGACGCGGCGTGCAAAACACCACGAGAATTCATCGAGCCTGCGCGTGGACGCAAGCATGTATACGTGTAAGATACGTAAGTACTGTCCTCGTAGACGCCTCCGAGCAGAGTGTATACTGCGTCACCTGTCTTTCGGTTCCGTCCGCCCATATGCCTCACCAGTGTCTCGTGCATAGCAAGTATTCGCTCATGCCCGTGAGAAGGGTCCAAACCTCTTTGCGCTTCATGTCCTCTTGCAGGGCGATGCGCTCCAGGGCGCATCGCCCGTCAAAGTACTTGCACGTGAGCTGCCAGGCCGACCTGAGTTTGTTGTCCTTGAGGCGACGCGCAATGGCTGACAGGTAGCGTGACTCCTTGCCCGTCGTCTTCTTGGCATCGAGGATGATGTGCGGTGTGATGCCCGCCAGGTGCGGCGCGTCGTTTGTGCTGGGGTGGGCCGTGGCTACGGGCACGGCCTTGCGCGCATGCGCCGTAGCCTTATCGGCCGCCTCGCGGTGGGCCTTGAGCGCGATGCGCTCGAGCCGGGCCATTTCGGCCGCGTGCTGGGTCGTGGAACGGGGCGTGGCGGTCGTATTGGCGACGTTGCCGGTGGTGTCCTCGGAGTGTTGCGCGTTGGGGTGGTGTTGGTTTAGTGCCGGGGACGACGAAGAACCGTCGTCGGGGGCCGAAGTCGCGTCGTCGGCCTTTTCCTGGGCGCGGGCCTCCTCGGCGGCGGCGGCGAGCTCCTCTGCCTCGATTTCATAGTCTATCTCGTACAGTATCTCAGGCCACACAATAACGTAGCCAAACGTGCAGATCTGGGTGACCCATCCGCCCCTCATCAGCCACGCCAGCATGCGCAGGTAGAGCGGACGATGAGTCTTGCTCGGGCAAAACGTCTTGTACGGTTTGGGGCACATGGAAAGCTCGGCGAGGAAGTTGGGGAGGGGTGGCGCGACGGGGAAGGCCCGCTGCCATTCCTGAGACGCTGATGGGAGGCGCGCGAGGTCGCTGTTGGGAGACACAATGTATGTGTCGCGGGCGTGGAGGGGCGGGATGGCGATGGCACGGCGCCAAAAGATGAAGTGCTGTGCATACTTACGGACCTGGCCGAGAGTAAGAACATTGCTCTGTCCGACCTGGTAGAAGCTGGCAATCAACTGTCAGTATCATGCTCCGTTTGTGAACAGGCAATGGAATAAGGTGACGGATGCGCGTACGACATGGTGGGCTTGGCGAGCCGGACAAACTCGACCATGGACACCGTTGTCGGGTCTCTGTCGGCCTGGAGCTCCGATATGATCTTCTTTTCGTCGTCCATGAGCAGCAGCGCAAAGTTTCGGTCTAGGAAGCCGGGCTCATCGAGGGCGTCTTGGCTAAGGAATGCGTTAGCCGTGGTCAGCCAGAGGCCCCGCTGACCCTGCTCGTGCTCAGCCGGAGTGTCGGAGACGTAGAACGGGGCGGGAATCTGGACCGAGGGTGTGAGAACCCCAGCGGCCGTGTCCAAGTGAAGAGCAGCAATCCTGTTTTGCGAGACGGCCTCGTAGATTTCGTGGACGGAGGCGGCGAGCGACGACATGTGCAAGAGCTCTTTCCAGAGCAAGCCCATGCCTGTTCCTAGCATTGCGAGTTAGCCAATAACCTGGAGGGGGAAAGGGAGGAAAGCAGGGCAGGAACTCACTGTCCTCGCGGGCCTTGTCCTTGGCGGCTAGAATGCGCTTCGATTCCTTCCAGATGAAGTCGCTGTGCTGCTGGCTGTACTTGTAGGCCTTATTGACCTTTTTGACAATGTTGCCGTGGAGGAGGTCGACGAGATCTTTGACCTCGTTCTTCTTGGGGTTGAGGATGAAGACGAGGTTGAACATGGTCATGGAGCTGCGCTTCTCGTCATCTGCCTCCTCCTTCTTGGGGTTGTCCTTGGGGGTCGGCGGCGGAGCCTCGGTCTCGTGGGGGCAAATGTGGTCGTCGAGCTGCTTGGAGGCGCGGGCCTTCTTGGGCCTCTTCCACTTGCCATTATCCGGGACGTGGATGGGGTACGAGATACACAAGAGGGGATCGAGTGAAAGCTGGAAGAGCTTCTTGTGGTACGAGCGGGCCGGGGTCAGAATACCGGCTAGGTCGCGAGTAGGGAAGCCGGCCAGATGCTCCCACGGCACAGCCGGGGAGCCGGACTCGACCATGAGATGGTGATGGTCGTCATGATGGCGGTGGGTGGTGGGAGGGTCTGGGGCACCGACGTCGCGTTTGGCGTGCAGAGAGAGACGCTCGAGGAGGAGGTCCTCGGCCTCGACGGGCTCCGGATTGCCGCTGACGGGCTGGACGTCGGGGGGCCAGTGGAAGACAAAGGCGGGACCGTCGCGCGAGCGGTTGATGACGAGGGCGACGGCGAGCAGGTTTTGCGTGTTTACGCAAGACATGGCCATGGCTGCCCGGTGCTGTGGCCCCGCCCACTGTGGTGCATGCCGTCAATGCCTTGCAGACTGCATGGGCCCAGCCAAGGGAGGCAGGGAGAGGGTTCAGCAGTCGAGGGTGAGGCCGCGAGCAAGGCTAATGGATGTGAAGATACCTCTACCGGTACCTGTGGAGTGAAGAGTCGCTTGGTGCCGATGGATGTGCGTCATCTGCCGGCGGCGTGTGGGGTGCCGCACTCGAGGTACCTCTGTGTCCTTTGGCTGTGCTGCTACCGCACAGTACACTGGCCTTTGTACCTGCAAGATGTTGTTTGATGATGAACATGAGGAGGCAAGCGGGTAACCAGCTTTTGACGGCATTATGCCCCGCACAGTCAAAGCCCACGGGGTAAGGAGAGCTTGCAGGAGGACTCGGGGGTAGCATTGAAAGGCCATGTACATGCTAGCAATGTAGTCGTTCACATGATCGATGCTCATCGTGTGCCTAGTGCAGGGACTTCAGAAGGTTACTTACCTAAGGAACCTATCCGTATCCGTACCGGGTACCTAATATATAAGGTACTTATGTAGGTAGAGACTTGGGTACTGCCTATGTACCTGGCGGGTCTAGGTACCTGTGGTGAGGCTGGCCGTAGTCGGGGAACACTACCATCGACGCGTTCCATTACAGTACAGCAGAGATCAAGATGGGCAAGGGCACTTGAGATGGTAGGCACGGCAGACTTGTCGCGTCTCGATTGCGTCGTGTTGCACAATGGATCAGCCTTCTAGAAAAGCCCCGGTTTCTCGCCCGTCGAGTTTCTTGCTCCGCCTCTACCCGGCCTTGCTGCAGTCTCTGTTTGCCACTTAATACGTGTGGCTAGTCGCCTCCCTCCTCCCACGCAGAAACGGCATTCCGTGTGCACAGTAGGTACCGGGGTACCTACTGGCGTGGGCACTTGTACTCCGTACCCGACGCCCGCGTACCGCATCGCTGCGGTGATTAGCTGAGGTCCCCTGCATCGGTAGCAGCTACTCGATTTGGGCATGGCTAATTGAGCATAAGGCCGTAGCCTGTACCTGCAAATGAAGCTCCCAACAAAAGCCGGCCGTGGCCAAGCCAGCCACAAAACTGTCCACGCTACTTGGTCCCGAGGTACCTTGCAGGGCACGGCGATGGGCGTGAGCCTTTCACATGGTCCCTGAAATTCCTGTTTCCAGCGGCCCGCCAACCCCAAGAAGGTTCAACCGCCAATTCTCTTCTCTCCCCTTCCTGCTTTCTTTATTTGTCCATTCGAGCGCTTCTTCCGCCTCCGTTGGCCAACCCCTAGCCCCTCTCCGTCCTGCGCATTCACATGGACACGGATACACGAATTCCAACCGTCGTCGAATGAGGCCTCGCGCTGCTTCCGATCCCCGCCACCCCCCTTCGCCACACGGCTCTTGCTTGCCAAGCTCCTTGGCCAGGCAATGAAGTCTTCCTGAGCGCTCTCAGTCGCCTCCAGAGTCTCTCACATCTCTCCCTCAACGCCATCACCCCTCTCCTCCGATCAACTCCGCAATGTCGCCCGCAATCGCAGTGGCCAACGGCGAGCACAGCCATGTTCGCTTCATCCCCCTGAGCTATGACCAAGCCAACTCGAGGGACTCAGCCCTCAGACTCCTCCTCACTCTTGTGCCTCAGTGGACAATGGACGAGCCTCACATCGAGTTCGCCCGCTTCACCGATGGCATCACAAACACCCTGCTCAAGGCCGAGAACCGACGGCCCGGCCTTTCCCAGACGGACATTGACCGTGAAGCCATCCTGCTCCGTGCCTACGGCAACGGCAGCGATGTGCTTATTGATCGCGAGCGCGAAGCTGCCAACCATGAGCTCCTCATGAAACACGGTCTGGCCCCCCAACTGCTGGCCCGCTTCGCCAACGGAATGCTCTATCGTTTTGTGCCTGGCGAGGTGGCTCAGCCCAAGGACCTCGCCAATCCCGAGATCCTGACTGCCGTGGCCAGGCACCTGGCGCAGTGGCATGCCATCGTCCCCTGCCTGTCGGACGCGGCCATCCGGGGCGACGAGACAAGCAACGGCTCCACCCACATGAGCGGCGACAAGGCCAAGATTGCGAACGCTGCGCCAGGAAAGCCGTTTCCAAACGTATGGACGACGATGCAGAAATGGATTTTGGCGCTGCCCACCGAGACGGCAACCTTGCGCGAACGGCGGGACTCGTTGCAGAGAGAGCTCGATGAGATGATCCAGAACCTCAGTCAGCGGGCTGGCTTTGGCCCCAACGGGGTATGGATGCGGCTGACCTGTTTCCCCCGAACCGCTCGAGGATCGTGGCTGACCAAGAGAGTAGCTGGTATTCGCCCATTGTGACCTGCTCAGCGCCAATGTCATCATTCACCGGGATGAAGGCGCTGCGACATCCGTCAGCTTCATCGACTACGAATACGGCACGCCGTCTCCCGTTGCCTTTGACGTGGCCAACCACTTTGCAGAATGGGCCGGTTACGATTGTGACTACTCAGCAGTCCCGACGCAGGCGCAGCGACAGGTCTTTATCCGTGAATACATCAAGTCGTACGCTGGACTCTCGGGTGTCGCAATGGACGAGGAAAAGGAGACGCGGAAACTCATGCACGAGGTGGATGTGTTTCGTGGGGTTCCTGGCTTCTACTGGGGCATCTGGTCTCTGATTCAAGCCACGATTTCGCACATCAACTTCGACTACGCCACGTACGCCGAGAAGCGGCTCGGCGAACACTGGGCCTACAAGGCAGAAGAGGACGGCAGCCGTGAGGCAGCGGGCAAGGATATGCCGCTGAGAGAAAGGACGTGGGCACGCCGTGGCTGAAACAAGACCAAGCGGCAGGCGCCGGAGTATGCGCGGGCGTTGGGCCGAAAGGCAAACAAGGGGAGCTTGGCATCGCCAAAGCAAGATACAAGGATATTCTTCAACCGAAGGCAAGACGAGCTAGAAGGCGGACAAGAGAAAGAAGCGCATGCGCCGGGGATTGCAAGGCTGGCCGCGAAACGAGACTTGGGTGAGCACGTATTTGTCATTGGGGGGGGCATGGCCGGGATAACCAAGGATAAAGGAGAGGGGGGCGTTGGAGCTGGGACTACAGGTATTCAACAGGCCTGGGTGCTTCCCAGCCGAGTTTCTTAGGACTTCAGTTGTATGGATGCAACTTAAATGTCCAAAAAGGAGAATTCATGTCCGAAGAGGCCTGCCTGCCGATTCGGTGCGTAGCTTGATGGCTTCGATGGAGTCCATCCTGCAGCTTGCTTTTTCCTGCCGGGTAGCGCGGTTCATGGTAGCGTGGTTCATATTAAATCAGGTCAGGCAGCGCAACCTGGAATGGGCGAGGAGAGGAGTCTATGGTGGGCGACGGACCCGTGCGGCGCTGGCATGAAAGCGAGGCGAGACCACTTGGCCCCCTTTGGCCAGAGCATTTCTGGGCTGAGGAGGTGGCGAGGTCTTGCTTGGTAGACGATGGCAAGTCCCTGGTATCCGCGACACGCTGCATGTACAGTACATTGCCGTGCAGAACAAGAGTTCGGATGAGGCAGAATGAGGCAGAATGAAGTGCACGGTACCTTGGATATCTATGTACAAGCAGCGCGTTAGGGCAGAGTATCGGTGAATGCACAGAACTGACAGCACGCCCGCGACCATCCAGACACAACTCTTTCCGGCGTGTTCAGGCCCTGCCGGGTCCTCCCGCTCCAGCAGCCGGTCATTGAGCGGGGTACGGGCCCCGTACCAGAGACTTAGCAAAGACTAACACTGTGTGATTGCGCAAATCGTCAGCACAAGGCATAGTGCACGGCAGCCTGAAACATTGCCCCTCCTCGGTATCCGTACCCCGGCCCGCCTCTGGTCCCCACTTAGCTAATCACGTCGACACCCCACCTTTTTGGTCGACTTCAGGCCGTTGCAGAACCAACCCCAGCCCAGCAAAGGGGAGCACGAGAGGCAACGCTCCTGTACTCAATCGCACAAAACAATCCATCTAATCTACATACATGTATGCAGCACGACCAACCAGCAGACCCCGACCGTCAGAGAAGCAGCCGTGCAGCAGCAGCAGCAAACCGTTCGTGACCTTGGCGACGCCGCCCGCGACGAGGGCGTAGACCATGGAAGACAGGAGCCGCGCCGTCGTCGACATGTCCTGAGTTGCTGGAGCACGACAACGTGGCCGACTTTCTCCTCCCCCTCCATCGGCAACCGGAAGCTCCCAGGCCGTCCCGAGAATGAGCTCGCAACCATGTCGGCTTCCGCTTCAAAGGTCGACATCGACGGCGCCATCCGCCACTTGCTCGACGAGCAGGCCGCCATTCAGTCGAGGCTAGCCGTCCTCGTCGCTGCCCAACATGGCCTCGATCTGCCCCTGGAGCTCGACATGCTGCGCCACAAACTCCGCGTCGTCAAGGCCCTCGTCGATCAGCACGGTTCGTGCCCTCTGCCTTGATCCAGAGATGCCTCTTCTTCACCCGGCTAACGTCGCTACCCCTGCTTGCATTCAGGCCTGGCGCCCCATATCCCTGTCCTGTCCCAGATGGAAGAGGCCCGCGCACTCCAGTATCACTGTGAGTGCCTCGAGGCGGCTTGTCTACAGCACCGTAGGGCTAATGACTCGATTCCCCCGTCTGCCCGGCTGTAAGCTTGATGGCTGATCCCGTCGTCAGAGTTGGATGCTGTCGAGTCCATGAGGCGCTCGTCGGCCGATGCCCCGCAGGGCTTTGCGCCGTGGCTCGACAAGCATCTTGAGCGATGCGACCCCTTGAATCGCGTCAGGCACATGCTGGGAGACCGCCCCGACACTCCAAACTTGTCTTCCTTGCCCTCTGTCAAGTGCTGGGACGAGCACTGCATCCACTTCATCTACGGCTTCCCCTCACGGCTGCAGCGAGACAATCACGCTCAGGTGCACAGGGATTCTGCTCTCTCCATGGGGAGCTCGCCTCCCCCACCGCTGTCCGAGCATCCATCATTCCGCGTCGTTGAAGGCTTCGAACCGCCGAGTCAGGCGGGCACGGGCCCGCAGCACACGCGACACGCCGTCCCCGTCAACCTGCCACCCCTGAGCCTGCCCGCTCAGTCAAGGGAAAGCGAGAACCCGCCCCGGAAAAGCGCTTCCGACGATACTCGTCGAGGGACCCGCCGGAGCTCTGCAGGCTCAGACGCCGAACCTCACCTGCCCCCGTTGAAGAAGGCTCGGCTCGGCCAGCCTCGTCTAGAGTCCATAGGAGAGTTGCGCCTAGTGCGAGACAAGGGGCCGTGTTTACGCTGCAGGGCAGCCCGCAAAGAGGTAGCCTTTGTGGCCCATCGTGAACAACTGCTTGGCTAGTTTGAGCTCACCATCTCGACAGTGCGACGAGAGCCAGCCCTGCACGCACTGCGCAGGCAACCCCCCGTCCGGTCAAGAAGAATTTTGGGCACATGTGGGCTGTTGCCGGGATCCCATCACTTCCTTTGCCAACGTCTTCCTCCCTGGTGAGCCCTCAAGTCCGCCGAGCTGGATTCCGACTAGGCAACACCAAATGCCGGGTTAGGCTAATCGTGATGCAGGGCCGCTCTCGCCGAGACAAACGCGTACTCCCATCACGTCGCCTACTGCACAACGGCGGGCTGTCAACGAATACATGCTGACAAGCTGCTCCTTTCCGGCCTACGCAAAGGATACGGTCACGACCACACTGGACTTTGCAGACGGCTTTTGGTGGTCGGCGCAACTCGATTCGAGGTATGCGGCCAGCGACGGCACGACGGGCTTCAACCAAGACGCGTCTGGTCATGCCCCTCCCGTGTTGCTAGCCCTAGCTAGCAGCTGGCAAGCCCAGGAGGGTTCTCACGATCCGTTCCAGCTCCTCAAAGTCAGTGGCGGACTGTCGGGGTCCCGTGACGAAGAGGAGACGGCATACCCAGTACTGCACAATGCCAAGCTGCTTTTGCGCGAGACGGTCGTCTTTGGTATCCTGCAGCCAGATCCGGCCATACGGCTTGGGTCGGCATATTCGCGCCAGCCGCCGCCGGAAAACACCGACTTGGATGAGCACGCGCGGTTGGTTCAGGAATGCCTCGTTCGATTTCTGAAATCTCTCGAGCCCCTCGTATCACAGAGCTTCAGCATGGGATCGTCAAGAATCTTGGCCAACTTTCTTGCCCTGTGCATATTCAGCATGGTCCGGACTCTTCTCCTGGACCTGGCCCCGCCAGCTTACCACTTTGTGGCCCAGCAGCAGGCAGCGCCCGCGAGGGGGGATGGGGACCAGGCCGCGCACGGCACCTACAAGGCTTTTGTCAAGCTTTTCTCCTCCTGTTGCCCCATGCTGGAGGACATCTCGCACAAGAGCTTGACGGACCAGGAAACATCCCTCTACGTCGCCGTCAACCGTTTTCTCCAACGGCAAGCCTGGGAAGAGCAGGGGATCGGCTCGAGTGTCGACTTTTTGTTCAAACTAGGCGACGAGTACGTCGGAGAGAGGTCCAGGTTTATGGGCTTTCTTCGGCAGCGTCGACCGAATGGCTCCATTACATGGGAACCCTCGTTCGCGCCGCTGCTTCAGGGACCTCGACGCTCGGTGCCGACAATATCCAGCCTGTCCGGTCTTCAACCGTGGCGCCCTGGCACACAAGACGACGCCGCAATACTGCACAGGAAAGACCCCAGTTTAGGAGCCTCATCCGAGATTGACCACGAGCGAGGGCGGAGGCACACGGTGGGCGAACCTCCTGCTTACGCACGGCCGCCCGAGTCCTTTCTTCAGTCCCCAGACTCGCCCTCTAGGTTCCGTGTTCCGTATCCGAGACCACCGGTCCGACGTGTCTATTGTGAAAAGTGCAACGAATACCCAGAGGGATTCCGCGGCGAGCATGAGCTGAGGCGCCACACGGAGGCCAAACATTCGGCCATGGCGAGACGCTGGGTGTGCTGCGAGCCGGACAACGGCAAGGACCTCTCCATCCAACCCGTCGTCGCGCTCTCCACCTGCAAGGCCTGCATGGGGCAGAAGCAGTATGGCGCCTACTACAACGCCGCGGCGCATCTCCGCCGGGCTCACTTTCACCCCCACCGCGGCGGCAAGGCCAGCGGCGACTGGCCGCCTATGTCAGTCCTTAAGGACTGGATGAAGGAGGTGCGGCAGCCCCTGGATGGAGGAGACAATTGCGACAGCGGCGGCGAAGAGGAGGACATGGATCCAATAGGCGAGTCGTCGTCGTCGTCGACCGGCCAGCCCGGCGTTGAATCCTCCCTGCAACGGTCGTTTCTAATCTCCCCCCATCGAGAGCCCTGGCATCGAGAGGCGGCAGCGAGCCAAGCGTGCCCGCAGGCGCTGCCCGAGAATCGCAGCCAGTGTCCACACCCCGACTGCGGCCGCATCGTCAAGGACCTCGCCGCGCACATGCTCACGCACCAGGAGGAGCGGCCGGAAAAGTGCCCCATTGCGTCGTGCGAGTACCACACCAAGGGCTTCGCCCGCAAGTACGACAAGAACCGCCACGCCCTAACGCACTACCGCGGTACCATGGTCTGCCCCTTTTGCCCCGGCATGGGCTCCCCATACGAAAAGGCCTTTGGCCGCGCCGACGTCTTCAAGCGGCACCTCGCGGCCGCGCACAACGTAGAGCAGACGCCCCCAAACAGCCGCGCCGGCGGCAGGCTGCTCGGCCTCTTGCCGGAACCCCCGGAGCATCACCACGGCGGCGGGGGTGGCGGCGCGGCGGCGCGGTGCTCCATCTGCGGCGGCCGCTTCGCAGGGGCGCAGGAGTTCTACGAGCACCTCGACGAGTGCGTGCTCAGCGTCATCATCCCCGCTGGGTCGCTTGCTGCTGCTGCTGCGGCGGCGGCGGCGGCGGCGCAACAGCCGGAGCAACATAGTGAGGGCGCCGCCGCCGCCAGGGAGAGGGCGGGACCGCCCGGCGGCTGCATGGAGGATAGAGTGAAGGCCGCGCCGCCGGCTGCGTCGAACAATGGCGTGCGGTGTTTTGACCATGATACCCGGAAAGGAGTTGTTGGTGCGGAGAGGGGGGCCGTGTTCGCCCCGAATCCCGCGGCGGCCGTCCCGGCGACTACAACGGCATAGACAAAGACGGCTTTCTACTTCTTCTTCTTCCTCTTCCTCATTCATCTACGGCCTGGCATCCATTTCTTGTGTTATCCCTTTCTTTTTCCTACGCGCACACAAAATATACGCACACACACGCGCGCGCAGGTTAGCAGTCACATGAGCCAGGCAACGAGCAAGACGAGAGACAATGGGACTACGAACTCGAAGGGGACGGCAAACACGTATTTGTATGGATCATTCCGCGATGACATTTGTATTGAATGTTTACTCGTATGTTTACTCATATCTTTTTCGTGCGGACCGACCGCTTCTTGCACTCCATCCCTCGTTCCCCGAGAAAACAGCCATCGGTGGGACCAACCCCATGGTCGTCTGTCTTTGCCTCCTCCACGTCTCTCCTCCCTTTTCCGCTTTCCCGCCGTGATGAACACCGACGCTTGGCCATGGCGGCAAAACACATATCGTCGTATCCGCTATCCCTGTACCATAATGAAACCCCCAAACGCCGCCCATGGTTGAATATGCAACATTGCAACGGGTAAAAAAAAAGAACAGCAGTCAAGGCCTCTCAAGAGTCGTTGCCTTGAGCCTGACACACAACGCCGCGACCAAAACAGCGCGCGCTAATAGCATGCACACGTATTATTGGTTTTGCCTGATTGTGTCACTGGCAACCTTTTCTTGCAGCGGGCCACCAGAGGGGGCGCCGGCGTACTTGGGGCTCGAGCGCTTAAAGTAGTTGTGCATCTCTTGCGAAAATTCGCCGTCGTCGGGCATGCCATGGCCCTCTCCATGGCTCTCGGTTTCCTTGGGCCCACGAGCGGCCTGGGCGGCCTGCCACTCAGCGCGCATATCTTCAATCTTGGCTTTCCAGTCCAGCTCGGGGTCGTACGTCTTGCCGATGCCGCACAGGCGCTCCCACAGGCTGAGATGGGCGGGATTGACGGCGACGCCGTGATACTCGTCGGCTTTGCCCTGGCGAATGTAGCTCCAGCGGCGCTCTTGCTCCTTGAGGTCAAGGCCGGTGGTGTCCGGGAGGAAGATCCAGGTGAGCAGCATGCCGGCGAGGCCGAACCAAGGGACGACGAGGAACTTGGTCTGGGTGTCGATGTAGTTGTACAGGACCGAGGCGAGCAGGGCACCAGCCTTGCCTAGGCAAGCGGAAAAGCCGTGGGCGGTGGCACGGACGGGCGTTGGGAAAACTTCGCCGGCGACAAGGAAGGTGACCGAGTTGGGGCCGAACTGGTTGAAGAAGGACGAGATGAAGTACATGGCCTGGAAGGCATGGATGCCGGCGGGACTGGTGTAGTAGTCGTACTTGAAGGCCGGGATGACGAACATGAGGAAGCACATGAAGAAGCCGACCTGCTGCATCATCTTTCGACCGTAGAGCTTGTTGTCGATGAGAAGCGAGGCGAGGTAATAGCCGGCAAGGGAGACGGCAATGTTGACCAGGTTCCACGTCCAGGTGACGAGGAGGGACTCAGAGTTGTTGGAGATGACCTTGATGAATTGACCCTGGAATAGCTTGTTGCCGTAAAAGAAGACGTCGTTGCAAAACCAAGTACCGGCGGTGGCGAGGAGACGGCCGCCAAAGTGGCTGACGCAGTAGCGGAGGGCATTGACGTCGTAGCCCGTCACATTGGAGCGGCTCTTGGCGTCGGCAAGCTGCTTGGAGGCATGGGGCATCTTCCACGTTCGGTAGTAGGCGAGCCAGGCCGTGCCGATGGCGGGAAAGGCAAACGACAGGCGGAAGGCGTATTGGGCGGCAGACGTGCTGTACGGGGGAGCACCGCGACCGTTGTTGAAAATGACGAGGAGAACGATGAGGAGAACCTGGTTGACAAGCTGTCCCCAGCCCTGCATGAGGAAAGCCGTCGTGACGCGGCGGCCACGATGCAGACGGTCCTCGCGGGTCGAAAGCTTGCCGGCGGTGGAGGCACCCTCGAGGGACGACGTGGCGGTAATGGGATACTCGCCTCCGACACCGATACCTGCACAGCAAAAGAGATGGTCAGCGACGAATGCGCCGCGGAGCGAGCAGCTTGGGGACTTGAGCGGCGTACTGTAGAAGAACAGAGACCAGGCGTAACAGATGACCCAGCCCTCGAGAGTCAAGCCCCAGCTGCCGGTCAGCATGAGGAGGCCGACAAGCATGATGAGGGCATCTTGTATAAGACCCCAACGGCGGCCGATCCAGTCTCCAATAACCTGTACGTGGCAAAAGTTAGCCACTGGGGTTTTGCCGTCTTTAAATGCCGCGTGGATGCATAGGCGGGCCTGGGAGGAAGTGAGACGACTTACACCAACGGCGGCCTGGCCAACCATGATGCCGATAATCTCGAGGTAGGTAACGCTGGCGACCCAGTTCTGGCTGCAGACCTCGTGCTTGTCCCAGCATTGAGGCCATACCTGCCTGAAGAGGGGCTCAAGGTTTCCAATGGAGAAGAGGACGTAGCCTTCGAGGCCGAGGCCGGCGCCGGGGATGACTGCGTGACGAAAGTACCAGGAAATGGGCGAGAGGGGATCTTTTTTCACCATGGACCCAATGGTGCGCAATTCGTGGGCGGCGGTGTCGCGGTCGACTTTTGAGACGAAGCCGACGCGCTTGCTCCATGGCAGGTCGGCCCAGTAGACACCATCGGAGGTGTACGAGTCGTCGGGTCGGGTGACGTGGCTGAAGATGCGGCGCTCATCGTCGCTGGCGCCGGCAAGGGGGTAGTCGTCGCTGTCAGAATCGCCCGGGCCATGTGGGACGGGGATCTCGCCGGGGACGATGGAGTGGTGGCGGTGATGGCGCGGCCGAGCCTCTGACGAATCCTGGACCGCCATTGGATGTGTGATGACGGAGGTGTCAGCCGCGATGCAGGCGGCCGGGGGTTTGATTGGAAGACGACGATGTGGTGTGCCGTCGGTCGAGTGCCGAGGAGCGTTGCACAGGGACGCTGCTGGGGGCAGAGAACCTGGCTTTGGGGTCGGGAGGAGGCGTCGCCGTTGACGTCGGGGCAGAAGTTTAGCGAGAAGGATGATGTTGTACAAATGTTATGTATTCGTATGTATGTATGGAATGCGCCGTGGCTGCATGTACAATCCGCCACCAAAACGTCGTCGTGTGTCGTGGCGGCCGCCGTTGAACGACGGGACGGCCAGCGGGCGTTCGGCCAGCCGCTGATGGAATGAGTGCGCAATGGCGGTTGGGATTTTGGAAGAGTCGAGAACAATAGAGGTGGAACGGGAGCGCAGAGAGGGCAGACGAGACAGAGGGGGAGAGACAAAGACCAGGCGAGAAGCGGAGAGGAAGGGGAAAGCGAGAGACAGAGGAAGCGGATACAGAACAGAGATGGAGTGGCCGATGTGGAGAAGCGGGGAGAGAGAGATTTGAGATTGATGAGATTGATGAGACAGACCTCGCGAGGGCGCGCGAAGCGAGGGGAAGCCCACGGGTGAAAAGACACACGAGACTAGACGACGGTGGATTGTCGGCGACGACGGCAGGTGTCTGCGACTCTGCGTGGGTTGTTTTTCGGACAAATGCAAATCGATCAATCTTGTTGGTCGACGAAAATGCCCCAAGCCAGAGCGCCTCATCAGCATTGGCCGGTCTGCAAAAAGGGAACGAGCTCCTTCTTTATAAAGAAAATCTTTGGAAACCTCATGGCCGGATCCGACGACGGCGCGACCAACAGATGCGCCAGCCAGTCAGAAGCGGCCGTCCGAGACCGTGGGCGATGCTGTGGCCAGCAGCCCCTGTCTGTCTGCCTGTCTGGGCCTCGCCCTCCCTGTTCCCCGTTAACATCCTGTACATGCATTTTAACGGGTAATAAATATGAATATTATCTGGGGCAGTCCCTGCTGGGGGGACATTTTCCCTCTCTTCTTTATCTGTGCCTCTTCCCCACACTTTGCCACGTACTATACGGAGTACCTGAGTACCGGTACGGTAGATGTGGGCATGCCGGCATGTGCTACACAACGTCTCGCCCGCTCTCTCAGAAGCGCCGTCTGTAGGAAGGTAGGAAGAGCGAAAGAGAGGCGATGCCGTTGAGGGGAGAATGGGGAAGAAAGAGGGAGAGAGAAAGAGGGAGAGAGAAAGAGGGAGGGAGAAAACGGTCAGCGTAGTGAGAGAGGGGCTGCAAAGGCGAAACCTCGGCAAGTTGCACCAATCGAGGTCTGCATATCCGTATACCTTGAAACTTATCTGATTACGGATATACTGTATATATACATGGGCCGGTGGCCTCTATGCGGGCGGGTCCCGGCAGTGTACAAGCTACATGCGGACAGTATCCGTACGGAGAACATCTTTCCTCAAAGCCGAGGTGACGCACCCTGCGCCTGCCCTGAGCGTGCATGCGGGCACGCAGTACTAAGGTAGGTAGTATACAGGTATACTCCGTACACAATGTACAGTTACTGTAATTACTGCACTGCAGGAGCTGCCAAACGGCGGCTGCTCGGCTGTGACGGCATCTCCGCACAAAGGACTTTATCCAGGGACGCAACGATGCTTATGCCTCCACACTTGACCAGGTACTCCGTCGACACTCTACACAGTACTCTGTACTGAGGCAGGCGGCTCACTAAAATAGCCACAAGCAACCGCCAAAAAAACGGCGCCTTTGCTTGACCGACAAAGGCTTACCCTTCACCGAGCTTGCTTAGTGCTTAGCCAATGCATATACGTAACTATACTACAACTTGCATACCTAATTAGTTCACCTCCCCAAAGAAAAAATCCTCCTCCTCCTCCATTGGGAGTAATCAAACATACACTCCTGATTTTCAAACATACACTCCCGACCTAAGCCCCATTTGGAAGAAGACCCCGCCACCAAAATTTGGCGCGCGCTTTCCCAACGCCCTGGCTTGCCGTGACCATCGCCGCCGCCCACCCGCCCAGCCACCTGCCTTTTTGGCCGCCATCTGCATTTTCGCAATCATCAACAATTGAAGCTATCACCACTTGACTCAACACAACAGCAACGCCGCCGCCGCCTACCGCAATAGTCACGTCTAGTCAATCGTCCCGATGAATTCGACCGAAAGCAATACCAACAGTAGCACCGAGGCTATCACGGAGATGTCTTTCGATACGTATGATGAGGCGCTTGAAACACTCAAAGCTACGCAAGAGCTCCTTGGCTACGTCGTAGTCGTTGCAAATAGCAAGAATACCGGCAAGCCTAGGCGCAAGGAAGCCAATATCCGCTGTGAATACAGTGGTCAGTATAGGCCCTGGGACGAGGCAGAGGGTATATACAAGACGTCATCCAAGAAGTCGGGATGTGACTTTCGCTGTTACATCCGCTTCTACCGACGTTGCAATGCATTCAAAGTCACCATCAAGCACGGCTCTCATAACCACGAACCTCTATTTGAGCCAATTGCTAACCCCATCGTCCGTCAACGAAGCCAACGCAAATTCGGCATCGAGCGTCTTCATAGCCTCGTCGAGGGGCTTAGCAAGAACGTCAATAACAAGAGCAGGGATATCGTGGATGCTATCCGACAGGAATATCCTGAGCTCCTTATTACCGATTCTGATATACACTTCATCCAGCTGCAACTTCGTGCCTTCCGTTACGGCGCCTCTACATCTACACAAGCCTTCCTCGATGTACTCAAAGATGCTAAAGCAAAGGGGAAATCAGCTACTATGCAGTTGACCGTGGCCCTAATGGGAAGGTTTGGAGGTTTTTCTGGACATACGATGACTGTATTGCTGACTGGAAGCGTAACCCCGAGCTCCTTATCATGGATAATACGTATAAGGTCAACCGCTTTAACATGCCGCTTCTACAGATCATTGGCACAACAGGGCTACACAAGAGCTTCAGTGTAGGCTTTGGCCTCACTGCCAAGGAAGACGAAGGCGCGTTCCAATGGATCCTCTCACAGTTGCGTGAGGCTGGTCGGCAGGCTGATATTCCGGACCCGGGCGTTGTGATTACCGACTTTGATACCGCCCTGAAGAACGCCCTTGACTCTATCTTCCCATCAACGCAACAACAAGTGTGCGTTTGGCATATGATGAAGAACGTGATCCTTCACATCAAGAAGAAGTGGGAAGGATCCCTCGATGGCACCGAGATTGGCGGAGATAGGCCAGAACAGGAGACTCGCCTCGCTGCAGCAGCCGCTCTCGACGACCCTATACAGGCAGATAATGCCATTGACGAGGACCGACCTATCGACCGTGCCACTGATTACCAGATTCAACATGCCTCACAACTGGCAGATCAGTGCGTTGAGCAACAAGATGATCGTGAAGATGACGATGGAAACCCAATACTACCCCGGCTCCAAGGCGGACTTTTGAGCACACAGCTGACGGTATCCGTGATGCCTGGGTTTCAGTCTTTAGGGCTCGCACGGCTGAGGAGTGCAGAGATCAGTGGGATCTACTCTGTATAGAGTTTTCGGATCAGCCAGGTAACCTAGCCCTAACTACCCTCCTACTCTAACCTTTTACTAAATAGCTCCTCTTATAGCTCTCGTTAATTACCTCCGTACAACCTACTGGCCATGGCGTGCCCAGTTTTCCACCTACGCTATCCAACAGTACCGAAATTATAACATTACGGTAACTTCCCGTGTGGAGAGCACACATCACGAGTTGAAGTCACGATTACGCAACCGCTTCATTGACCTCCATCAGCTACAAGAGCACATCAGAGGGCTCGTTACCCATCGGCAAAAGAAGCATCGCGAGAAGCTTCAATCCGAGTTTGCAAGAGCTAGAGTTGAATGGGCCAAGCAGACGATTATGAAGTCACTGCACCGAAAAATTGGCTGGCAGCCGATGAAACAGATCTTCAGGCAAGTTAGGCTAGCCGGGCTGAGCTTGCCGATAATCGAGGCATGCCTACGATTTGTACGGGTGCTTTCACGATGCAATGGGGGCTGCCCTGCCGGCATACAATCCGCGATTTGATCCAGGCTGACGCGGCCGCCCTTATACCATTGCATCTTATTGATAACCACTGGCGGGTTTACGGCGTGACTGTAAGTATCTTGCTCCAGCCATAAGTACTATACTAATTTACTAGCAGCCTGAACAACAGCAATATATCGATGCAGACCACGAAGCCGATCCTGACGTTGTCCAGCCTCGCCGGCGTGGAAACAGTAGACGCGAGGTATCCTCCACTAGAGGCATCTACGGGCCGGATCCTTAGTGCTTGGGAGCAAGAGGAGCATAGAGCCAACCCAGAGCTCGTATCACGGCCACCAGAGACGCAAAAGAAGAAGAGGAAGGGCACAGGCACCACTATCATGAACAAGAGGTCGAATACACTTGCTTCCGTGAGCAGCCGGGTTGACGATCTTGCCCAGCAGATCGGTGATTTCATCAAGTCACAAGCAGCAGCAACGCCGGTGCTGTTATCACAGGTGCCCTCACTTCCACAGGTGCCGCTGGTGTCACAGGGATACCAAACGACGATGCCCTCACTTCCACAGCCGGCGCCGCCGTCACAGGGATACTATGTGATGCCACCGCCTACACCAATTGTGCCTGTATACGTACAGGCGCCGGCGCCGTCACAGTGGCAAGAACCGCCTCCCTCGTCACAGGCACATCACGACGGCTTCATGTGGGCACAGCCGCCGGCACAGTCTCACGAGACGGCTACGGAGCATTTCCAGCAGCTAGGGATCAGAGGGACACGGCACCATACAAAACTAGCAGGCAGGCCGGTCACAAATTCGTTCCTTACGTGCCTCGCCCTCCGCCGCGTCGGACGGATCCTTCCTCACAGTCACAGTCACAGTCACAGAGGTAGGCAAAGACCTTCCGCCATTATATGCATATTGTATATATATCGGAAGATCGATCGGGCCGGGCTTATTGATAGCTTCAATTGAATGACTCTAAGGGATGCATCTTCCGGCGTTGGTAATAATTGCAGATAGAATCCATATATGTCAGACAATAGTGTCCCACACCTCGCACGTGACAGCGGTTGATCTTTGTGGCATCAGTCAATTGATGAGAATTATCTAAAGAACAAAGGAAAGGAAAAGAATTGGATGCACACATTCGTGCAACAATATATACCCCGATCATTGCGGCGAAGCCGGCGCAGCAGTGGCAGTGATCGAGCATAAGGTTTCAGGAACTGACACGGGCGTGATATGCGACAATATATCTAGGCAGGCAGCCGCGGCAGCGGCGTTGGGAAAGCGCGCGCCAAATTTTGGTGGCGGGGTCTTCTTCCAAATGGGGCTTAGGTCGGGAGTGTATGTTTGAAAATCTGGAGTGTATGTTTGATTACTCCTCCATTGGCCATGTTCCCCGATCCGCATTCATTCACCTTTCCTCCAGCGCCGTCAACTGTTCTCCCCTCCGCACCAATAAGAGATGCCTCGGTCGCGCCCTCACCGGCTTCTTCCATCACATGGCCGCCCTATTCCCGGCGCTCAACATCCTTCTTACTCATACGTATTCGCACTTCGTAGTTTATATCCAACCCTTGGCTGGCAACGTGATCTGTACTCTTATATAGCTGTATTTCGTACATGCCTCCATACAGTTACACGCACAAACACGCTCCCTAAGGAATGTTCCGCTCTTGATATATATATATATATATATATATATATGGGCTTCGAGAAGCACAGCCCCGCCCTTTCTAGACCACACCACAGACAGAATTCGGCCATGACATCTCCAGATAGACGTCCCCTGGTGTGGAGCATATACGAGAGTCGCGAGACATCACATGTCGCTCTCATCGGCGCTGAAACCCTCCCTGCACCTGTGAACCAAGACGTCTCGGCCCTGACTCACTTGCTCACTCTCACACGCTACTGGGCCTGACCTTTCGGCCGGTCTCGAACCCCTTACTCTTCCGGGACCAGCCCCCCCGAGCAGACTGTCTTCTGTCTGCCCTGTCAAAGACGATGTTATGTACCACAAATTACCATGTATATTGCTGCATCAAGTGATTAGCCAGCTGCATCTCACAAAAATCATACCCGTCAACGCCATCTGATATACCTAGGTGGGCTTAGGCCACTTTCTCTTAATCTCAAAGAGACATGGCTATCTACATGCAAATACGCACACACACACACACACACACACACGGCCGAGAGATAATGTCCCTCGGCCCCGGCCGCTTCTCGGCATCCTTCCACCATCCCGTCTTCTCTCCCGCTCTGTCTTGCCGAGCTTGACGCGCTGCGTGTCCGGCTTCCCCATCACCTCCCTCCATTGCGTGCGTGCGCACCTGCCCATCAATGTCCCTCAAAACGCCTCGCTGCAGCCGTTTCATTTCATATCACAAACCAAGAAACCCTTCATATCGGAAACGAGCGAATGATACAGGGTACGGCAAGAAAAGAAATAAAAAGACAAAGAAACCAACCTAGGAGGAGTGGGGGAAAGAATGTTGTCGCCTATTTTGTTTATTTGCCAGCCCGCGGTGTTGGCTCATCTTCTGCGCCTCGGGGCATCAGAGTCGGCCGTGGCGTTGCATCCACGCTCTCAAGATCTTGCTCTTGGATGCCTGCCTGCTCTTCCTGCTCGGCTTCTATCTTGGCCCCCGGCGGAGTCTGTGCTGCGTTGTCCCCTCCTACTCCCAGCACAGGCGTGTCCACCTCCTGCAACGGCGTCGTGGCGACTTGAGTCATTGTCTCGGGAGTGCTCTCTGAGCCCATCGTCGCGCTTTCGTGGCTGTCGGCGCGCATCATCTCGATCCCTAACTTGGAGCTTGGCAGAACCGACTTGCCCACCAATGGCTTGCTGGCCCGCCGCAGTTGCTTGTCCCTGGCCGCCTCACCTTCTTCGTCCTCGTCGTCGGCCGACTCGGTTCCCTCCACTGCCTTCTTCTCCGTTCCCTCTTGCTTATTCTTCGTCTTGTCCTGCTGTCGCAGCGTGTGCTCCATTTGACCCGGGGCCGAATGCTGGGCCAAGAGGGATGGCACCGCTCTAGGGAGAGACTCAAGCCCTGCCACTACATCTGCCTCGGCGATTCCCAAGCCGCCGCCCTCGTCCCAGTCGCCTGTCCCTTTGCGGCTCAGGACCGTTGGAATGTCGTCTGTTGTAACCGATTCCGAGTCCCCGAAGAGGCTCGACGTGAAAGAGTCCTCTCGGCTCGAGGCCATGACAGAGCCCTGGGGACCGGCAAAGGCCGATGTGCTTGATATTGGGCTGTCGTCCACCCGGGAGCTTGCTTTTCGTAGGCCAATCGGCATCGGATGAGGCAGTGGTCCCGACGCCGCTCGCAGGGGGGAATCTGGCCGCCACTGACAGAGGCTGCGCAGCACCTCGGTGAGCTTGGACGAGCTGATGGGCTTCTCGATGAGAGAGTCAAAGTAGTGGGGCGCCTGGAGCTCCTTGAGATAAGCCGTAATGGCCACAATCGGCGTGTGCGAGTTTGCATTCTTGGTCTCTCGTATCATGCGCGCAACGTCGGCCCCGTTGATTTGTGGCAGTTTGTATTCCAGGAAAATGACGTCAAACTGAATCTCGCTCATCGAATACCGCACTGCCTCGGAGCCGTTGGCGACCGAGATGGTGCGGCAGCGAAGCTTCTCCAGCAACTTCTCCATCACCATCCTGGACACGGGATGGTCTTCGCAAATCAAAACGTCCAGGGGCCGGAACGTCGGGCCGCTGTCAAAGGTGATTTGCGAAAGCCGCCGCGAGCTTTGCCTGCGCCGTTGCACCCGTAGCAGGGCGTTGTGCTTGTCTCCTTCGTTGTCGGATGACGACGGCGACATGTCAAACACCTGGCTCCTGCGGTTGCGGTGGTGCTGTAGCACCTCGGATGTCGCGGGGCTCGCTTCCTGGGAGCCCAGGGTCAAAGACCTGGAGCGGCCAGTGGACGAGTTGCTACCTTGGCGAGGTGTCGCCACCATATTTTGAGGCGAGAGAGGCAGCGGTGCTGGCGCCGTCCCGCGGCCCTTGACAGGTGACGCGGCGACCGAAGTGGCTGCTTTCTGCAGGCTTGGGGGCACTTTGGGCACTTCAAACGCGGCAGGAGGCTGCAGCGAGGTCGACTGGTGAGACAGGCTCGACGAGTTGCTGGAAGCCTTCCTTCGTCCTTCAGCCCCCTGTCCGGCCACAAAGGAGACGAGCAGCGGCGACGACGGCTGTGAAGCCCGACTCGGCGACGAGTTCGAGTGGCTAAAGCCGGACGGGGACTGCGGCCTGTTACCGGCCTTGGCACCAGAGATTGTCCTATGCAGGTGGTTCGACAAGACGGGGCTGGCATCGAGGGACGGTGCCGGAGAAGTCACGGCCGCGGAGGCTCCAGGGCTGGCAGAAGACTGCTTGCTCTGGGCAGCCAGGGCATCTGCCCGCAGCTTCTGGATCACGTCCTTGTTAGCCTTTTCCAAGACGGGTAAATTCTTGAATGTGAATGACCCAAAGTCGTCCGTGGCCACTGGCTCGCTCAATCTGCGAGACTTCAAGTCGCGTACATGAGGCGGGATATGTAGCGGCATCAGTTTGCGGTTGATCGAGTTGACCTGCGACCGTACTCGCGAGAGGGCGTCGTGGGGCCTGTCTGGGTACTCAGAGCCAGCGGTGGACGACTGCGGAGACATCTGATCCTCCACTTCCTCGGCGAATGACTGAAGAACAGCCCCTCTGGCATCGAAGTATTCGGTGTCCTCTGGGTTTTCGGGACGTGGCACGAACTGGGCTTCGTCCTCGAGTAGCGTATCCCAGTTGATTCCCTGGAACCATGGGTGGCTCCGGATTTCCTCGCCGCCCGAGCCAAACTTCTCCTCGCGGTTGGCGCCGAGTCTCTGCTTCGGGTCCATGCAGAGGAGTTTGTTTATGAGGTCTTTGGCCTCGTCGGAGATGGGCTCGCATGTGGACTCGTCCGGCCACTGTATCTTCCGTGCCAAGATGTTTTCGAATACTTGCTCGGCCTCGTCGGCGTGGAACGGGGGTATTCCGTAGAGGAATTCGAACATGATACAGCCAACCGACCACCAATCGCTTGTTTCGTCTTGCTTGTCGCCCTTGATAGTCTCCGGGGCAAGGTAGTCGGGAGTGCCGACGAAGCGACGATTCGTGTCTTGGGGGTTGAACAGTGCCATGGCAGGGGGCATCATATTGGACTGAGGCAGGGAGCTCCGCGCGTGGCCATCCGCGCTGGCCCTTGCGTTTGTTTGGCTTGCCGACAAGTCGGGCGATCCCTGCACCAAGGCCTCCTCGTCCACCGCCAGCCTGGCACTGAGAGGCTGAGAGGGCGGCTCCGAGTCGTTGAGAGAAAGGGACGTGAGCATATGTGTCATGGTCTCGCTGCCTCCACTGTCGCTCCGATGACTGCTACTGATGCGGCGGGGTTCCTGCTGCAGGGACGACAAGCTGAAGAAGGACGGTTGACCGGTACTGCCCGCGTCTGGCGTCGTCTGTGGGGTCGTGCTGGGGGAGTGCGCATGGCCATGCAGGTCAAGAGACGTGGAGCGGGACGAGGCCATTGACGTGGAGCGGGCAAAGGGACCCTGCTTGAGTAGATCCGGCGTGGTTTCCGAAGTCTCGCTGTTCAGGGCCCGCTTCTGTCGACCAACGAGCCCCATGCGCGAAAGACCAAAGTCGGTCAGCTTGAGATGGCCCTTTTGGTCAATCAAGAGGTTGTCGGGTTTGAGATCTCGATGGATAACGTCTCTCTCGTGAAGGTGCTCGACGCCCAAGACAACCTCGCCCAAGTACTTTGTGACCCAGTCTTCGGGAAGGCCGCCGAGCACCTTGATGAGCGAGGCGCAATCGCCCCCGTTGAGGTATTCCATGACGAGGTAAAGATAGTCTTTGCTCGAGAACGTCCAGTACAGCTTTGCGACAAACTCGCTCTGCCCCTGCCACATCATGATGGCCCGCTCTGCTTTCACGTTGCCAACCTGATTCTTGGCAACCATGTCGGCCTTTTTGAGGACCTTGATGGCAAAGTACTCTCCGGTAGATTTCTTCTTGGACAGGTAAACGCTGCCAAATGCGCCTTTACTGATTGGCTTGATGATCTCAAAATCTTTGATGGATGGCTGCGCCGGCCGCGCTTGGGGAGGTGCCTGGCTGGCACTGAGGCGCGGCGACGGTGGGGCTCTCATGACCAAATCGGAAATAGCAGCCGAGGACTGCCTCCGGTGATGTCTAGACGGGTGCGACACGGGGGAGCTGAACTCGCTGCTTGGGAACATGGGCGAGGCCTCGGGGGACGTGACGCCTTCTTGAGAGAAGGGGAGCACCCTGGGCTTAATTCGCAAGGGCGAGGATGGCTGCGTGGAGCGCGAAGGAGACTCCTGACGACGCGGTGATGAGGTGCCGGGTATCACCAGGCTCCGCCGATGGTGTTGCCTGGCGCTTGCAGCGCGCCTGAGATCCCCGAATTCCGAGATGGGCGATTCTGTCCTCGGTGCATTTCGTGAGGTAACAGAGGATGATCGCAGGCTGCCCTCAATCTCGGAGACTTCAGTCTCATAGAGAAGAGAGGATGCTCTCCGCGCGTCCCGGGACTGTAGGTTGCTCCCCAAGCCGCCCTCGGCATGTGAGCGTGGAGTCGGACATTCCCTGGGACTGCTAGACCGCGTCGACGCAATGAACGATGTTGGTCTCGAACGGGATCGACTGGTTCCAGCAGATATGTCCATTTGCCGCAATGCGGCGGCCAAGGCCGAAGGGCTGTCTAGAGCTCGCCTGGCAAGCCCTTCTTCCGACCGACCGCGCAGCTCTCCCTCGGCCGGAGTGCTCCCGCTCGTTACCTCGGAGACGTCTGCCTCCGGTTCCTGGTCTAGGCCCTCTTGTGGACCGGGATCTTCCCCATCCTCGGTTGAGTCGCTCAGTCGGCCGGCCGCGAGACGAGCCGCCTTTCTCAATGCCCTGTCGATGCAGTCTTGCACCAGCACAGCGAGCTCAATGCGGATGCGCTCGGCGTACTCTATGATCCTTCGATGGCGGAAAACGGCGTCCACCTTGGCCCTGGCGACCTTTTCAGTGTCGGAGCATAGCAGGGCCAGGCCTTGCTCCTGTTCCAGAGTATTTGTGCTTGGTGATTGCCATTGCAGGACCTGTGATATTCTTGACTCTGACTGGGGCGATTGCGTACGGAACTCCCCGTCATTCTGCTGTGACGTGCTCTCTTTGATCGCGGGATTGCTGATTTCAATGGCTGTGTCACAGAGATCCATGAGCAGCTCGACGATGCGAGCCTGTGGTCTGCGTACCGCAAAGGAGCGTGCCCTTGCATGCCCAAAGCCGCTGGTTCGATCCCGCGACCGAGCCATGGACGTTCCTGGTGACGACTGCGTCGAGGGGGGCGGCCCGATTGGCATGCCCTTGTACTCGGCTAAGGGCCCTGCCTGGGGTTCCCCCGCGATGGAACGACTCCTACGCGATTCCAGGTCGTCAAGAACCTTGACAATGGCATGACGGTGCTCCGTCAAACTCTCCTGCGCCATTTGAACGTCCATCTCGGCGCGATGCTCCTGAAGGCACAGGTCGGTATGTTTCTCGAACCACCAGGGAGGTATTTGACGCTCGCAAATACGGCAGAGCACCGAGGGTGGGGGTTCTTGGGCCTCGGGCTCTTCACCCCCCGCCTCGGCCAACCGGGTGAGGTAACTGGCAAGGACTTCGGCACCCGAGCCGAGAGAATCGACAATGACCTCGGGCAGGTCAATTTTGATCTCGTGCGGTCCAGACCACGGGCGGAGCATCCACATGACCTATGGGGCGCATTAGCAGCTGTCCGAGAGCCAGTCTTCCGTCTTGCTTGCGGGAATCGGGAGAACCCACATGGCTTTCTCCGCCGGAAACACTGTCGTAGACCATGATGCCCTGTGCCTCGAGGTCGGCCGTCTGCGGGTCGGGCTGGGAGGTGCCGCGGCAGCTATCTGGGTTGCCAGTGGATCGTAGCTTGGAGAGGGGGCCGAGCTGGATGGCAAAGCTGACTCTGTAGCTCTTGGAGTCGTCTCGCTTCATGAAATCAATAACGTCGGAGAAGACGGTCTTGTTCTCGCTGACGATCAAGTCGGAAATTGGAATGCCATTGACAGTCTCAAAGGGCGTACCGACCACGTCAGTCCATGACGGGCTCACCCACTTGACAGTGCCGTCCAGGTTGAGGTCGACAATTGCGTTGAGGGTCTGCTCGGCAGCCTCGCGGAGCTCCTCTCGCTCGTCTCGGATATCCTGGCTCAGGGAGCGTTCCATCTGGCCGCCCTGCTCGGCCCTCAGCGAGGACACGGCCGGCGGGGCCAGCAAAGTCGAAGGCTCGTCCATGGCGGCGTGAGGGGTCGGGGCCGTGGCCGGGGCGGCACTGGTTGCAGGACGGACGAGCAGCACAGCCTCGCCAGCGGCGAGAACGGCCGGTTCTCAGCTGGCTCACCGATCGGCTGAGGACAGGCGGGCAGGCAGGCGGGTAATTCGGGAGACTCGAGGGTCTGGCAGCGAAGCCGGCCAGAACTACAGAGCCGCGGGAGTCGAATACATGACTGGGGATCGCCGGCGCCCTGTCTCTCGCTGACGCGGGAGGAATTCGAGTCGGTCGCAGCGGGAGTCGGAGCCAGGTGCTGGCGGTCGGGAATGGACGGTGCACACAGCCGTGGACGACGGCGGGAGGGGCCGCTGGGCGCTCGCCAAGTCGTTGGGACAGTCGACGGGCCACGGGTTGGAAGGCGGGATTCGGCAGCAATTCCAGCGACGGGATTGGATTGACTCGGCCAACGGGAGGGGGGTTATCCAGAGGGGGCCGCAGGCTCTGAGAAACAACGAGGACGCCTTTTTTTACTGATCAGGGCGCCGTCACGATGGTGGTTGGTGGTGAGTGTTGGCATCGCAGAAACAGGACGCTGCCAGGTCGCGTTTCCTCTCATGACACATTAAGCGGGGAAGGCCGACTGGCAGCCAATCACGGCACACCATCTCCAGAGGCTAGCACGCCGCGATGCACCAGCTCATCACGGGTCCAACCATTGAAGGCTGGCTTGGCTGTAGGTACCTAGGTAGGCAGGTTGGTACAGACTCCGTACCGTACAGTACTGTATGTACTAACTAACACGGGCAATTTGCAGTACATAAACCGGCTCCTTCTCCCACTCGCTGCCTCTCCCTCTGCTCGTTTTCCCTTGGTTCACTTGCTGTTGGCCTTGCTTTGATGTGCCAGCCTCCTTGGGTTGATCATTGTTGTTCAACAACGCCTTTCCAAGGGTCTCTGCTGCGGCATGTCCCCACGCAGCGAGGTCCATTCATGGCTCGCCTCCGCTCACAATTCATGGAACAAGGTAGATCAATGCTAGGTGGGTAGTAAGCACGGGCTAGCCATACCGTACCGTACTCAAGTCCACCTGCGCGTTCCGTGCACCGTCCGCATCCCAATTCTCACCGAGCCGAACGGCCACCGAGCAACCAGATCTGGTCGACAAGCTTCGTGCTCAACAGGAAGCTCAGGCCGCGGTATCCGTACATGCATGTCCAAGAATGTCCAGATTCAGTGCGGCGGAAGCAGGGACAGTTCACAGTGCCAACTGAATACCTTGGAGACGGCCCTCGAGGGCTGATGGTCTGCAGCACACACAAATCCGATTCCACTTGGCGGTCAATCGAGGGGCAAACTTCACGGAGAGCGAATGCAGCAGGCAGCAAAGCAAGCCTCTGCCTGCCTCTCTCCTCGGGCCGCCCGTCGCCCAGATTACTGCCTGCCACCAGCAATGCCTGATCCGCCGCGGGCCGAGACAGGGACAAGGGGAAACAGCAAGCAGCGTTTGCCCCGTCCTAAACCCTGCGTCGCGGTGTTTACAGTACAATGCAAATGAAGGATGGGTGCCGCCGTGCTTGTTTTGTACAGTAGCTCCGGCTCAAGCAATCAAGGAGCTCTACTTCCCTCGCCACCCCTCCCATCCACTCCGCCTCTCACCCCAATCCTCTGAGATTGATTTGCCCAGTGCCATGCATCAGCATGACCACATGTGTAACTGTGTGTGCTACCTACCTTTTTGGCGACGTCTCGATGTCGTCGCCGCTCAAAATGGTCCGAGAGGCGGCACTGGTCACGTCGTTGGCCGAGCAAAGGTAAGCCACCCGGGGAAAGGGGCCAAACCGAGGGGCGAGACGCCGAGGTATCCAATTTCTTCAGGTCCGGCTCTTGTGCCATCCTCGCACCTCGCGCTAAGGGGTGGACCGGTTCTTGATAGCTTGACACACTGTCCCAGGGTCTCTTGTCACGGCGGGAAATGGCCGGCCGTCGGCAAAGTGCCAAGTAACCAAGGAGACATCTACATGATATCTCCTTGTGGGTAAATTGATATCACGCAAGACGTGCTTGCACAGTACGCAAGGGATGTGAGAGGGCACGTAGTATTCACTTTGTTCACATGCCACGACAGTGCTGCCTGTCTGCAAACCATCCACATCCAAGACCTTTGCTCAACTCCAACCACGGATTAGTCACACCTGTTTTGGCGTGTACAACCACGTACTCGTTGCTGTTTCTGCTGTGTTTGCCATTACTATTATTGTTGTTGTTGTTGTTGTTGTTGCTGCTGCTGCTGCTGCTGCTGCTGCTGCTGCTGTCGCTGTTGTTGTTGTTGTTGTTGTTGTTGCTGTTGTCGCTGCCTGCCCCTGGTCTCCCCGTCACAACGGTCATGTCCAGGCCTCTAAACAGTGCCTCTGTGGACCCCTCTTCTCCGTGCCCGAACAAGGGCCAGCCGGCAAGTTGCATGGTCCAAGGTGCCCGCCTAGCCATATGGTTCCGCCACTCGAGACATGGACGCGAGTCATTTCCCAGTCCCGGCACATGTCGGGCTTGTGGTCGGAGTACTTGCCTTGAGTAGGTAAGAATCGCTTCATTCAGAGAGTATGTAATTAGGTGGTGACTTACCTCCCTCATGTGGCCGGCGGCCCATTTCTTCCGTCGCGCCTCGAGCCATTTGCCCTTTTCGACCCATCGATCCTCGAGCCACTGCGCCAGCCCGTCGTCCGTGCTCGGCAGAGAATCGATGGAGAAGCGCCGCGCGTGCACGTGAAACTTGAACCCGCGACGAGTACTCAGGCCGCCAGCACTCAGCGTCTCCCAGAACGAGGGGGCGGCCTGGAAAGCGTCCCTCTGCTGATAAGCGATGGTCAGGTCATACACGGCCCTCACGTGCGACGCCTCGCGGAGGTGCTGCACTGTGGCGACGAAGCCCTTTGTGCGCGGGTACAGGAGATGCATGGGCTGAGGCTTGTCCATCTTCTTACACCACGCCCGCGACTCGTCGTACCTGCTCTTGGTGAAGCGCGTTGCCTCGCTGAAGCTGATGAGCCCTGAGAGGCCGTCTTAGACGAACGTTGCAAGCCGGCACCTGGGGGAGACACTCACACGTGGGCAGGCGGTCGCGGACAACGCCTGAGAAGACGCGCTCCAGCTCCCTCTTGTCCTTGAGCCAATCCCGGCTGACCATGGGCATGCCCATGGCCCAGAGGCCCCAGCCGAGAAAGGGCACAAGTCGCAGTTGGCGTTTGGCAAAGTAGCGACAGCGGCCGAGCATGTGAGCCCGCTGGGCGAGCGCCTGGATCATGTAGAAGTCGGCCCAGGACACGTGGTTGGCCACGACAATGGCCGAGTCGCCGTTTGGGAGAGCGTCGCCCGAACACACAATGTCTGCCCCGTTGGCGCGCTCGAATATGGCCTGGATCCATGCCCAGACGGATTCCGCGACCCGCGACGAGGCATTGTAGACGAAGCTGGGAGCCAACGGCCGCAATGGCAGAAGCAGCGACAGGACCGTGTCAGCGACAAAGAGATACAGGACCCACGGGAGAGTCAGGGCTATGCCGCGAAGATGGGTGACGGGCGTGCTGGTCCGGGTCATGGCGAGCATCAGATAGAGTACTCGTCGAACTCTGGTGTCGGAGTCCTTCTTGACCAGTGACCAGAATATCGCGCGCCTCAGCTGGCGGCCGATCCAGGTACCCGTCCGAGGGCACGAGCATCCTCCGCCGATGCCGCTATCGGCACTACGAAGCCCATCATCCTAGTACCAACTTTATGTACAATACTTGTTAAGTAGGGAGGATACGGGAGCAATGTGTATGACGCCACCATGTCTCCATGTAGTTCGTAGGCAATGCTCCATTGATTAAAGACGGAGGAGGTATCCGATACACGGATCACCGGCTGGGCATTTTCCCTTGCACCTTGGGTTTTCTCCCTATTCAACCCTATTCTATGGAGGTCTTGGTTCGAAGTTGGAGGTGATTGCTTTCCATTGGGAACGTAGATGAAACGTTGATGGACATCCCGCAGTACCCGTCACCGAGCACAGGTGCGGTCGCTGGTCGTTGGAGACGGACGCCTGCCGACAAGTGCCGGCCCCGCGCGCCACGATGCCTCCTCCGTCTTTGGATCTGGTCTCCACAGGCACACACGCAGTGGCCTCGGGAAAGGAATGCGCGAAGCGAGCGGACCGTCGTGCCCGTTTGCAACACTCGCATAATATTCGACGTCCGTGTGCGAATACAACGAAATCCGACGTTGCAGGCCAGTCTCTAACGAGCCTATAAAAAAATGGAGAAAGAGAAGGGTGGAAACATGATATGTACTCCAAGGTACGCATGGCGAAAGGGGGCCTGCTGGGTATCCGGCAGGTACGGAACTTCTCCTGGCAGCGGTACGAGAAGTGACAGGACCTCAAAACCTGTCCATCTAAGCCCGTTACGGAACATGTCATCGCCTCGACTCCGCTGTCCATCCTCCCCCCCTCCTCCTCCTCCTCCGAATCCATCTCACCGCAACCCAACCCAACGCTTCTCGCATAACCATCACCGAGCTGCTCGTGCCCCTGCTTAATAGCTTCATCGACTGCCTCAGGGCATCGCCCGTCTGCGTCCCCTGTTTCACCCTTCCTCCATCCCCCCCCGCCGCCCCCCCCGGACACTCGTCGACCCCCGCATCCGTTTTCCTTCTGCCAACCCAAGGGTCTGGCCCTTTGCCCGACTCTGCCTGGGCTTTCGAAGCCTTGTCCTTCTGTCCAATTGACCGAATCGCCCTATCCTCGGGGGTCTGGAGGCCAAACCGGTGCGTCTTGACTCGTAGCGCCGGCCCCTTGTTTTGCGTGATCCTACATACAGTTCCCGGTGTCACGTCGTGTGGGCTATCGCGTCCAATGGCGGCCGTGTGGGCCGTCTCCAGCTGGTCACTTTATTTACACTGACAAGTTCCTCAAGAGCACCCGTCATTGTGCCACACGCCTTGATCTGCAGCCGCATACCAGGTACGAGGTAAATTACGTGAGCGACTGCCTTGGCATCAATTGGCCCGTCATGGCTTCCTCGTTGTCGCCGGAGCAGTATGGAGGTCATCAGTCTCAAAGCTCGCCTGAAGGCACAGGCATCGGCGCGCAAGAGATGAACACCGCAGCGCCCCTCAATGTTGGCTTCTTCAAATCGCTTGCGGACAAGAGAGCCACTCGCGGTAAACCGCCTTCTTCATCAGCGCTTGGGGAAGACACTGACCCTCGCCTCAGATACCAATCCACCCAAGCGGCGAGGTCCCAAGCCCGACAGCAAGCCAGCTCTCACAAGGAGGCAGGAACTGAACCGACAAGCCCAGCGGTAAGACATATCCGGGAAAAGCAATGGTGGAGAGCACTTCTGACTGGCGTTGCCCCGCGCAGGACCCATCGTGAAAGAAAAGAGCATTATATCAAAGCACTGGAGGACGAGGTCCTGCGACTAAAGGAGCTATACAGCACCATATCTCAAGACAAGAACAAGCTGGCAGAGGAGAACAAACAGCTCAGAGAGGCACTCGCACAGCACGGCATCCCATACCTGGGCGGCGGCCAGGACGATCTGTCAAGCAACCCGAGCTATAGCCATCTTTCGGGCACGAGTCCCGGAAACAGCTATGCCACGGCATCGCACACCACGTTCTCGCCGTCTACCGCGCCGTCGGTCGTGTCTTCGGGCTATGCCAGCACCCTTCAGCCAATGACGGGGGATCAAATGCGCGGTATGGCGCACTCGTCGAACGGCAAGGGCGTTGATATCGACCAAGCAGGCATTGACTTCGTCTTAGCGTACGATGGCTCCGCATCCTCAAGGGCATACCTCTCACCTCCCCCACAGTGAGGGATGGTGCCGCTTCGCGGGAGGGGCTCTGGCTCCTGCCAGGCGTACAGAGATCGGGTTGGCTAACGATTGCGGTTTCCGCCGAGGATCCCGTGTAGGCTCGAGAAGCCGTGCATGCAGCACATGCCATTCCTCCTTGAGAGTGCCGCCGATGCAGACGGTGGCCCTTGCGGCCATGCACTTATGGCGTCGTGTCCGTCGGCGCCGTTCGCCAACCTGACGACAGACACACCGTTTGGGAACACGTACACGCACGACCAAGGAGACGGAGCCAGGCCGGGTCAAGGAACCTGGGAGCTAAGCAAGGCAGGCCTGGCCGCGCTTCTCGACCTCAGCAAGAAGCTGGATCTGGATGGCGAGATTACTCCAGTCATGGCTTGGGGCATGGTACTCGGCAACCCGAGGTTCGCCGAGCTGAGGCCAGAGGACTTGCATAAGCTGGCAGAGGATTTGGGCAGGAAAGTCAGATGCTACGGGTAAGCCCTGGGTGTCCTCCTTTTCACTTGGCACTTACTGGAGTGCTAACTCTGTGGCTACAGATTTGGGGCAGTGTTGGAAGAATTCGAGCTGCGTGACGCCTTTGAAAGCATTTTGCCCTGCGAGCCGGAGACGATGGTCTTCTAGGCGGTTTGCGTCGCACCTTAGCGGCATCGTGGGAGGTCGACTCCTTTGCCGATCCTGCGGTGTCTATGTCAGTAGCGTGGCGTAGGGTTCGTTGGATATTTCATCCGTAGAAGTTGTTGGGTTAATGTCAAGTCGCATCGTCTGTCATGTTGTCTCATGTGAATTGCAAGGGCACGAGCGGCGTCACATGATACGAAGGTCCTGTCTGGCGCTAATAAGAGCTCTCCTTCCGGTACCTGCATATCCCACTACAAACACAGCATTGCAAGGGCTTTGCAGGTCCCGCCAAGTTGACGGACCAGAGCACGCTCGATTCCTAGTGTCGCAGCGTTGGCAAAATGCCATGGTTGACGCTTTTTGTCCGTGCTCCGAGAACAAGGTACAGATAGACGTTGTACTGTAGGTGCCCCTGATTGGGCTAGCCGAGCTTAGTCAGCCTGAGCAGCACCAGCCCCTAAGGTTGGTGCCCGGCCGGGTCCACAGCTTGGGCCCGTAATCAACATGTAGCTTGGTACAGAGCGGTACATGGGTACTTCGACACCTGGGAGGTTTTCGGCAGACAGCCCCACACCCCACCACAATTTTGATTCTCTCTCTGTCGGGCTTCCAAATTCCCATCCGCGGCGACGAGACTCGCGAGACTTTTTTGCGACGCACTTCTCGGGCGGAGACACCACGACAATCACCATCGCCCAGCATGGCCGACTCGCTCGACTACGTCAAGATATGCGAGAGCTGCCCGCCCGGCGACGGCTGGGGCCCGCCAGTCACCACCGACACGACCCTCAACGGCGTGCCCTACGCCCCCTTCTCCAAGGGTGATAAGCTGGGCCGAATGGCCGACTGGACCGCCGAGGGAAAGGACCGCGAGCGCGGAGGACGCATGCAGTATAACCGCAACTACAGAGGTGCGCCATTGCCGGGCGACGAGCGGGCCTCGCTTGCTGACAGGCAGATGCAGACCAGCAAGTCTACGGCGCAAGCCACGCCGTCACCTTCAACGCGCCCCCGGCCGAGGACGAGTCGACCTTTTCCCTCGTCAGCAACACCAGAGACTCGACCAAATCGAGGTACGGCCGCGGAGCCGTCTTCACCCGCGGCCGCGGCCAGCGGGGTGGCAGGGGCGACGCCCGCGGCGGACGCGGCCAGATGCAGCGATCAGGGCCCGGCGGCAGGCAGGGCTACGACCGCGGCGGCCGCCCCAACGCCGGGGCGCGCGGCCGCCGCTTCGGCTGGAAGGACTACGACAAGCCTGCTCGCAATCGTGATGCTAGCATCAACATCAAGGCCGACTGGCAGCTGCTCGAGGAGATTGACTTTAACCGCCTGGCCAAGCTGAACCTCGACGCCGACGACGGCGAAGACATGGATGAGTACGGCTTCCTCTACTACTACGACCGGTCCTACGACAAGCAGCCCGTCAAGGGCGCCGAGAAGAAGCTCACGGCTATCGACCGCGCCGCCTACAACGTCACCACCTCGTCGGACCCCGTCATCCAGGAGCTCGCCGACCGCGACGAGGCCACCATCTTCGCCACCGACAGCATTCTTTCCATGCTCATGTGCGCGCCGCGCTCCGTCTACCCCTGGGACATTGTCATTGTGCGGCAGGGCAATAAGCTCTTCCTCGACAAGCGCGACAACGCCACGCTCGACATGGTGACGGTCAACGAAAACGCCGCCGACGCGCCCCTGGATGCCGCCGACGGCAGCAAGGACGTCGTCAATCAGCCCGCCGCCCTGGCCGAGGAGGCCACCTACATCAACCACAACTTTGCCAACCAGGTCGTCAACGAGAGCGAGTCGTCCAAGGTTGAAATGGCCCATAGCAATCCCTTCTACAACGCCTCCGAGGACACGGACCCCCCGGCCAGCAAGGCCTACAAGTACAGAAAGTTTGACCTGTCGACCAACGAGGAGGATCCCGTGTACCTGGTGGTGCGCACCGAGATTGACGCCGTCCAGAAGAACGCCATCAGCGGCGAGGACCAGCTCATGACCATCAAGGCTCTCAACGAGTTTGACCACAAGGCCCAGGGCAGCGGCGGTGCCCTAGACTGGCGGAGCAAGCTTGTCACGCAGCGTGGTGCCGTCGTGGCAACCGAGATGAAGAACAACAGCTGCAAGCTGGCCCGGTGGACGGTACAGAGCATCCTGTCCAAGTCGGACGTTATGAAACTCGGGTACGTCCTTCTACCCCTTTCCCCCTTTGAAATCCCACCTTGCCTTCTTCTGCCAACTCCCTGTTAATCCCGTGCTGAATCTCTCTCCCCGCAGCTTCGTCTCCCGTGTCAACCCCCGCTCCAACGACAAGCACGTCGTCCTAGGCGTCGTCGGCTGGAAGCCTCGCGACTTTGCCAACCAGATGAACCTGTCGCTGTCCAACGGCTGGGGCATCGTGCGCACCATTGCCGACATGTGCCTCAAGCGCGAAGAGGGCAAGTTTGTCCTCGTCAAGGACCCCAACAAGTCCATCCTCCGCCTCTACGAGGTCCCCGCCAGCAGCTTCGACGACGACGACGATGACGAGGGCCAAGAGGTCAACGACGAGGGCGAGGCCGCTGCCGAGTAAGGGAAGAGACGTCCGGGTCACTGCCACCGTTCCCTTTTTGTCGGGCTGATATGCGCGGTCCCGCGTGGATGGCGGTTGATGATGTTGGGAAGCGAGGAGGGGAGGCAAATCAGGTGTTTACTTTGCAGGTGCGACACGTACTTTGCGGCGCTCGCTTGAGACGGGCGACCGAAAAGCATACATCGACGGCTCTTGGCTGCATCATGTGGCTCCAATGCTTGTTTTGGTCCAGTGTCTACTCTGCGCGGGCTTGACTTTGCTTTCCTAACTACGTATCTGCGCGAGCCCTGCAAAGCCCGTTGGTTTTCTCCCCTGCCTCTCGACGGGCCGCCGCCCATGTCTGTCCCAGTTCCGCAAGCACGCCAACTCGGCGATAGTAGACCAAGTCCCATAGCCCCGGAACAGCCCACCGACGCAGCCATCCAGTGCGATCTGCTTCCGCCAGGTGCCCATCGAGTGTGGCCTTGCCGACCCCAGATGATTCATTCGCCTCGTCCCCACGCTGATCAAAGCCCTAGTTCCATGACACTTGCGGCCCCTTTTTATTTCCGTTTCGTCTCTATTTCCTTTGCTTCCGTCTCCCGAGCTCAACATCGAACGCAAAACCCGTCCGAAAATCCAGCATCACACCCGTAATTTACTCGAAGTCGCCCCTCCCCGCCATGTCCTCAAAGAAGCCCAAAGGCAGCGGCACATTCGACGCTGGAAACCGCACCCCTTCGCCATCCTCGAGGGTATGTTGCCGCTCGCAGAGCCACGCCCTGGCCGCGTTATGCCGCTCGGGCAAGTCGAGGTCCAGGGCAGCGACGTAGGCGGCGGCGCGCAGCTCTAGAAAGGCGTGCAGGTGGCCGTCGGCGCGCGGTTCCTCGCCGATGCGCTGGGCCCAAGTGCGCGCCAGGGCGAGCTGCAGGCACCAGTCGAGCGGCCAGTCTAGGTGCTCGGCGGCTTGGATTGCGAGGGTGGCGGACTTGAGAATGGCGCCTTGTTCATGGACCGTGGGCCGTGGTGGTTCGTGAGACGGGCCGGCGGGTGTAGGCGAGGGTTCGTAGGCGCCTGCTCGAGGGGCCATCGTCGTTGGTTGGTATTCCGCCGGGGGGTAGCCGGTTGAAGGGTCGTAGCTCTGAGTGCGGCCGTCGTGTCTTGGGGGCAAGCAGCTTTTGTACATGTAGTCCGTAAAAGACTCTCCAAAGTTGGTAAAGTTGGTGACGCGGGGGATCGCCGGCGGCTCCTGGGTAGAATAGTGGGCCGTCGACGCCGCCGGCAAAGTACCGTAGTGGTTCGGTTCCTCGTTTTCATTAGAGTAAGAGGCAGCCGTCGTTGAATCTTGATATGCATGAGAACGCTGCTGCTGCTGCTGCCGCGGGGGCACATCCCACGAGGAGTATCCCTGCGTTCTATGACAGTCATACGAGGAAGCCCCATCCTCCACTTGCTGCGTGTCCTCGGCGATCCCGACATGGCGCGCGTACGTCCAAGAAGAGACCGGACGAGGGAGCAGGGGACCACTGTTGCCGGGCATCAAAGGCTGGAGCTGCGCATTCTCGACGCCGAGCTGCGGATGGAGCGTCCTCAGCGGAGGGAGGAGACCAGACTGTCGCGGATCCGGAACCGAGCGCACCGGCGGCAGGAGCACGCTGTGCGTGGAGCCGTAGAGACGAGGGTTCTGTTGCTGCTCCGCGGCGCTCCAGGTTCGACGGCGCGGCATCTGGGCCAGGATCTCGGCTGCGTCCTCGGTATGGGCCGTTTGCGCGGACACGGGGCTGGCAGCCTTGGTCGCGTGGCCCACAGGCCGGTGGTAGAGCGCGGCAGCAGCAGCAGCAGCAGCCTCGTCGATGGGCTGTACGCCCTGCTCTTTCTCATCGCCCCAGCAGCCGTAGCCCTCGTCCCATGCGTCGTCGTCGTCGTCGAGGGCGGGAAACACGACGTCGGTGAGGGGGGTGGCAGGCGAGGAAAATGACGTCGACGTGGCTCGCGACGGAACAGGGCAAGGCGGAGCCCTCCTCCTTCGTCCACGAGCATGTGTCCGCAGGGCCCTCGCAGTTCCATGGCGCACACCGCCGACTCTGGCGGTCCGGGACGCCCTGAGTCGTCGAAGCTTGGACAAAGCAAGCGGCCCCGTCCAGTCGACAGCCTCGGGATCCAGGGCGTGCCTCGCGTCACCTCGCAGGCGGTCGGCGACGGCGCAGTCCATGCACACAGAGAGCTTGCACTCGGAACACTTTTGGATGGTGCCACAGCGCTGCTTGTGACACATGTCACACTTGGCCGTGGACACGGTGGTTGCGTCCCAGCCCTTGTGCGTGCCGTCCGGGCCGGGAAGGGATTGAAGAGGCGGGAGTGGACCAGGCCTGACGCCTGATGCGGTATTCTCCCGAGGAGGTGTAAAAGAGTCGTCATCTGTCGTGCTGCCGGTGCCGACATGCGAAGGGGCTGACGCCGGTGCATCGAGGGCCGACATGACTGTCCCTAGAGACCTAGACGGTGTGCCTAGCTGGCGGTGAATTCCCCGCCCGTGCGATGCGGCAGACTGTGAGCCAGGGCTGCTCAAGACGATGCCGAAGCCTGACGAGGGTCGTTGGTTGCGTCGGCGGGTCACTGAGCAGCTTCTTTTGCCAGGGAATTTGGGTGGGCTTATATTAGATATACCTTGACTGGCAATGGAAGGCTTCACCAATGTTTCCCCAGGGCAACAGCATAGAAGGTGGTGTGCAGGAAGTGCGGTAAAAAGGGCAGAAAGGCGAGGTTGATGATGAGAAAGCCAAGTAGGAGAGGGGAGAGGGCGAGCCTGGTGCAAACCAACAAGGGGGGCGCAGATTCACTGCGCAGCAAAGAGAACGAGCACGAGGCCGGCCGGCCGACGTGGCCGTGAATCAGAGAGCGGCACATGGGACGACATCGTCTCGTTATCGGAGAAGTCGTGCCGCAGCCAGCATCAGCAACCGACGACGAGGATGAGACGAGACGCCGACCAAGGCTGCTTCTGTATGTTATAGTAGGTAGGGTAATGGAACGTTCGTGTGTCGGGATACTCTGGGGGACGTTTTCACATCTACCTGAGATATCAAGGTTGGAGCTTTGGCGGGCAAACCACAGACAGGCATTGGATCATGTCAAGCAAGTATCACGTGCAGGCATAGTCAAGCAAGTATCACGTGCAGGCATAGTCAAGCAAGTATCACGTGCAGGCATAGTCAAGCAAGTATCACGTGCAGGCATGGTGGTCCTGGGTGCTCCGCAGGAAGGAATGGGGTCGCATAGCTAATTAAGCGACTTGACTGCAGCTGCATACTGTAGGTAGAGGAAAGGTTAACTATTTCATCCTACAGAACGGAGTACGGAGTAATTAGTGCCGAGTTCGAGTTGACGCAGTCAAAGACACGGCTTGTGCCGTCTGGGCCAAGTCACGACTCGACGCACGCGTAAACCACCCGGGCGGTGCTGTGTGGCTGTACCGCCACGGCATGTCCGCCTAGCGAGTACTCCGTACAGCGTTCAGCAACTACCTTACAGTAATAACACAACAGCAGGGGCATGAGGGGGTCTGGGGGTTCAGCCAGGCAAGACAAGACAGTGGAGACCCGTGTGGCGGCCTTGCCGCATTGCCGGGCTAGGGCAATGCAGAGCGCGTGCTCCGTGGGCCCCAAGGTTGTCAGTACAGACCTAAAACCAAACAAAAAGCCTTGGCCCGCCTGACCCAAAGCCCACCTCTCATCGTCATTCTCATCCTCCTCTCCCTCCTCCCCCTCAACGTCCATCCGTCGAAATGTCCAACCAAGAGTACTACAGCGGCCAGGGCGGCCATCACCAAGGAGGTGGCTATCCTCAGCAGCCCCAGCCTGTGAGTCCGGCCGAAACTCATCCCCCCTCCTCATTGCCCACGCGCGTGCGACCAAGCGCTGACCATGCTTCATTCTTCCCTCCAGAGCTACGGCCCGCCGCAGGGAAACTATGGCCCTCCCCAGGGCCACTACGACGGCGGCTACCAACAGGGCCACCAGCCCCCGATGCAGTACCAGCAGGGCCCTCCGCCAGAGGCGTCCCGCGGTGGCCGTAAAGGCGGCAGCAACAACTGCCTCATGGCCTGTATAGCCGCTCTGTGCTGCTGCTGCGTCGCCGAAGAGGCTTGCGAATGCTGGTATGTTATTCAAAATCTTCCCCCGATTCCCCCTCCGTCCGATCCCGGCCACCCACCTCAATCCCTCGCTCCACCCACGAATACACACTGACTTAGGGTCCAAACAGCATCGATTGCTGCGAGTGTCTGCTCTAAACGCCGCGCCATTCTGTCCAGTTGCCGACAAGAGAATGGGCTTCTCGCTTTGACCAGTAGCCATGGCTCTTATACCCGCGTGCCCAACCGCACACCTCGTCGCAATCGCCACGCATTGCAAGACGACTTCCCCGTCTCCATCCCAGCACCGTGTTTCATGTGCAGTGGCGCTACCACAGGCGCTCGTCAGCTTCGCCTCAGCCTCTTCTCTGGCACCAGTGCTCAAGCCTTTCCGCTCTCCCTCACACTTCCCCCTGTATCCTAAACACAATCGTACCATGTATGTTTTGCACCAGTCAAATACTCAATGTCTATATCCAATCGGGGGGGTTTAGATTTTGGTCGATAGACGGCGGTTATGGTACAAGAAAGTATTTGATTGGTTCTCTTTTGTTCATTGTCTGGCTCCATCCTACGGACCGCTACGGACCGCCAATTCCTCTGGCTCTTCAGCCAATGTTCCTTACGTTTCCTCTCCCGCCAAATCGCCTACGCATCCAGTTGCACGTAGTTCGCTGGGAACAGGCCTGACTGCCCCTGGAAGCTTCCAAACCACCAGTCCTCGTCCGGGAACTCGAGGTTCGTGATCTTGGCGTCCTCGGGGAAGCTCAGTTCTGCGCATGAGTTAGCCGCCATAGTCTGTCTCCATCATTCAATCACACTAACCATTGTCTTCAGCTGCCTCATAGTCATACAAGGCAGTAGCTGTAGGACCAGCCTCGGTCGCGTGTGCGGGTTCCGGCATCGACGGGGCCGCCGGCGCCGCAGCCGAGGAGCCATGATCGTCGTCTGCGACAAGCTCCACGTAGTTGCTGGGGAATAGCCCGCTCTCGCCCCTCGAGTTTGTGCCCATCCACCAGTCGTCGTCCACCATGTCGATGTTGGTTACGTATTCGCCCTCGATCAGTTCGATTTCGTTGTCTTCGGCCTTTTCGTAGTCATACTGAATGACGGCACGTTTGCCGCCTTGTTCACCCTGGTATGCCGCCTCGTGATCCTGGGGTAACGACTGCCCCGCCACGGCACCGGCTGCTTCTCGGGCCGAGTGGACTGCCTCCTCCTCATCCGGGAGCTCGTCCTCCCTAGGTACATCGATCTGGCTGGGGGGCACGGGGGGTGGTGCCTGGTGCCCGTCGGGCCGCTCCAGCTCCGGTTGGGCACTGCGCGGGACGGGAGCAGCTACCCGGATCGGAGATGGCTGCCCATCACTCTCTTCGTCTTCCTCGTCGGTGGGCGGCGGGGGGCGGTTGGGAAGTCCCGGTAGCGCAAAGCCACCGGAGGACCGTGAGTTGTCCGACACAGGTGGCGGCGCGGGCGAGGGTTCGGCTTCGTCCTGCGCAGATTGGGGCACAGGAGGCGCGGTTCCCGAGCCAATCGGGGCCACGTTCTTGAATCGATCCCTAAGAGCCGAGACCCCCCCCGATGGAGAATCTGGTCCTCCCTCAGCTCCCCTGTCGGCCTCGCCAGTGTTGTCCTGGCTCAGCGCGGCGCGGCTGTAGCCGGGGGCCTGCACCGGAGCCCACGACTTGCCAGTGTATCCGCTCTTCCACTCGCCGGCGCCGCTCTTTTGAGGAGCAACTGGCGACGTGAGTGGCACCGCGCCGGCGCTGCCTACATCCGAGCCTCGCTGCCTCGCTTTCTTCTCCGCCCAAATTTGAGCTGGGGTTTTCCCCCCCTCGTCGGCGAATGTTCGGCTCGTACTGCCAACAGGAGCAGGGGTAGAGGCGCCGGGGACGCCAAAACCAGCGCCCCCAGGGGTCGGTGCTTTGGTCCCCGTGAAAGCCGAGGCGCCTCCGAACTTGTTCGCGACCTTGGGCTTCGGTAGAGCCGAGATGCGCTCCGAATGACTCGGCTGGGAAAACGCTGCGGCTGTGTCGGCAACTGGCTTCGGCGACTGCGCGTTGTCCGTTGAAGCATCCGCAGGCTTTTGGGCCTTTGCGCGAATCGCAGCAATGTCAACCTTGCCGATCGGCTCGTAAGTCCCTTTGACGGGCGTCGGTCGATCGTCCCCTTTGTTTTTGGCCGCCGCTCGGATTGCAGCGATATCAACCTTGCCCACGGGCTGATAAGCTCCCTTGACGACATCTTCGGATCCATTGTCTTGAGGTCTGCCGCCATCGAAGCGCGGGGCTTCCGGCTTCTGCTTGGTGAGCTCGGCCATGTTGACTTTGGTCGGCCGGTAGGCCGACTCTACCTTCTGTATCTCGGTTCTCGTGACCGGAGGAGCATCAGCACCCCAACCGTCATCGTCAACACCCTCGTCCCTCCTGGACCGCGCAGCGACGAGGGGGTTGGCGGAGCGGCCGGCACTGGATGCAGTCGGCGTGAAGACGGGTTTCGACTTGACGGGAGGGGGCGCCGCCGGAGCCATGCCGCCGGAGCTCGCGGCCGAGTATTTGGCACCGGAAGCATCGGAGACCTTTTTCATGATGGAATCAACCTCGAGGTCACTGTCGGATCGGGCAGTGATCTGAATGTGGTATCCATGAAGAATTTTAGAGACAGTAGCCGCGTGGCTAGTGAAGTAGCCTTTTGTTCGCTCGGGGACACCACCCCCGCACCACGCGATCAGGACGCACTTGGGGAGAGCCGTGTTGGGGTCCTTGACCTTGACGAAGGCGAACTGGATGCGGCCTTCGTTGAAGTCTTCGATCAGCTCGACCAATTCGCCATCTGCAACTGGTCAGTGTCACGATGCCTCCTCTCGCAGCAAGCTACCATACCGCCTGTGCTCTCCACCTTGAGGATGCTCTCCTTGGCACCGCTGTCTTGAAAGGCGTTCATGAGCGGTGACTGAACCGAGAAGAGGGCCCACTGCGCATATGTGGGCGAGCTGGACGGCGGCGGAGGTCCGCTGACCACTCCATTGTAGCTGCTTTTTATGGACGGCCCGTTGATGGATAAATTCAACGAGGCCATGCTGGACGAGGGGGTTGGTGGCACCAGCAGTGACGGGGGGTGCCTGGCCTTGTCCCTTTGGCGATTTGCGAATGATGGACAGAAACAGCCAGCGGCAGCTTGTCGTTGTCAGGGGTCAGCGGGAAGTGATGGGTTCTTGTCGGGAGGCCCTGACGCGGTAGAGGCGGCGGTTGCGGCGAGAGGTGGTGGCGTCTGGGACACGCAGCAGGAGGTCAGTCGAGATTTGTAGGCTGACGGAGAAGCTCCAGGTTGGCGACGATGATCCGTAGCCGTCGATGTTTGCTTGCTTGCTCGGCGGGGCGAGGAGGGGCGGAGCAGGCTGAGCGAGTCTAGGCTGCAGTAGAGGGGGATTTGCTAGGCGACTAGCACTCCGCAGCGAGAGATCCACTGCGTCACCGTTAGCAGACAATCTGGCAAGTATCAGCATGGGGCATGAAGCACAGTACGTACATGGATGGATACTTGGCATGCACGTAGCAGCCAATACGGAGCAGGCCAAATGACGCAACGCTCAGCAAAGGATGTCGCTTGGGCTAGAGGCTGCTGCCCCGCCAAATTTCGAGGCCGGTGCTCTTTACACTTTTGCACAGCCGACGACTTCACCGGTCATTTGCACGTCGACACAGCCGCCCGCCATGTCAAGCATCTCTGAGATCACGTCGGACGCTCAATGGGAGCAGCTACTGGCTTCCGCGCCCGCGTCGGCGCTCGTCATCGTCTCCTTCCACGCTCCATGGGCCGCCCCGTGTGCCCAGATGGCTACGGTCCTCGAGACGCTGGCCTCCGAATACCCTCTTACCGAGCCGCCAAGCACCCTTTGGACATCTGTCAACGCGGAGGAATTAAGCGACGTTAGCGAAACCTACGACGTCACTGCCGTTCCCTTCCTGGTCCTCCTCCGTAACGGCCAGGTCGTCGAGAGTGTTAGCGGCAGCAATGCCGTCAAGGTCAGGGCCGCCATCGAGAAGCACGCCCGTGGCGACACGAATACTTCGTCGCATACCGGCGTGACCAATGGGGTTCAGAAAACCAGCGACCAGACTTCGCAGACGGATGTGGATCCCGAGAAGCAAGATGAGGATCTTCAAAAGCGCTTGGGGGATCTCGTCAAGGCGGCACCAGTCATGCTATTCATGAAGGGAACCCCAGGCTCCCCGCAATGCGGCTTCTCGCGACAGGTGGTGGCAATTCTGCGAGAAAACTCGGTCAAGTACGGATTCTTCAACATCCTGGCCGATGACGAGGTTCGCCAGGGACTCAAGGAGTTTGCCGAGTGGCCAACCTATCCGCAGCTCTGGATCGACGGCGAGCTCGTTGGCGGGCTGGACATTGTAAGTCGTTTGTTGACCATATCCTTACCTCGATGGTGGCCGAGCCCGACTGACACTCAATACTAGGTCAAGGAGGAGCTCGCGAGCGATGCAGACTTCTTCAAGGCCTACAGTGTCGGAGACTCGGCAGCGGCGTGATATTACCGAGTAATATTCCAAGACGACGTTTCGATATTCGTCTCGTACAGGACACAGGGCAGCTCCGCGCGAGCATGGCAAGATATTAGCGCAGGAAACTCCAGAAGCCGTCGAAGCCAAGGACGGAAGGGAAGCTGTTCTATCGAGCCGAGGGGGGCTTGTGGGGTGGAAAGGCCTGTTGGACTTGAACCATGGGCATGCGGCGAGTCGAGCTCGTCGGCAAGGACGATTGTGGGGGATGCAATGGCCAGCGGGCAAAGGGGCCGAGGCACCACTACTGGGAAGATATGGCCGCGAAACGGTGGTGAAGGTCTTTTGCCAACATTGACTCTGTATACTTGCATTTTGTGCTGGTCAGTGGCCTGGGTAAAGCATTCGGCAGCAATCCGTCAACCCTTGTTACGATGCTTGTCTTGAGCTAGTGCGAGCCGCACACCGTCCACTGGGGGTGTGAGTTAGTACCGGATGTAAGCGCACGTTTCAAGGCAGGGCCATCGCAGACTCGACCTATGCCGCAAGGGTTCGACTAATCATGCTTTGATGGATGTGTACTTCGTAGACTGGCTGCCTAGTCCGACGGTGCGGAAAGCAATATTACGGCGGCTGACAAATGCCACGCCTGCCGGTTCATGAATCATGCCCGGGTAGTTGATGGCATTCCGGGCGACTAGTCCAGATGTGTCCTAGCAGAGGCGGCAAGTTGGTTGCATGGATAGTTGTGACTCACTCCTCGCCTCAAGCACGCACAATACCTGGCTGCTTGGTACTCAAGGTGTACAGTAGCTGCATCTTTCGTGTTTCCAACCAGAGGTTGAGCTGCTGAACCGGTACGCGTATGTACCGCAAAGTACCGAGATAGAACGTCAACGCAACAGGCCAGAAGCTGCCTCGATACTATTTCACTTTCCCCGACTCTTCGCTGCTGTAGGGTAGGCACTACCTAGAAGCACCCAGGTACAAAAAGTGGAACTGGCGACTATCTCGACCAATTATGCTGCCCTTGTCCCAAAACTGAGGAGCTCCCGCAGCTGTATCGCGCCACGTTCGAGTGTCTGGACTCTCCCGAAGGCTGTTTTCCCGTCTTTCATATTTCCTCTTTTAAAAGGCGCGCTAAAGGGAGCACTGTAATCCTTTACTTTGCTCATGTCTACGAAGCACATAAGGTGGGTCGGTAGATACGAAATCGTCGACTTGCCAAATGGCTGGCGGTGAACGCTTGGCACTACGGGGTACCCATCGGTACATAGGTACCTACATACCTACTACCTAGGTAGGTACCTAGGTAGGTAAGTACACCACTGTACCTCTCCTCGTCAGTCGTCGCCAGGCGGCAACGCATGCGCCAAACGCCGGCGTCTCTTAATAAAGGCTGTCGTCTCTTGCGCCAGCACGCTATTCTTTCTTCCTCAACCTCCATCCAGGACTCCCCTCTCGACTGAAGCCGCCCTCCTTTCTTCCCGTCCCACGCGTACGGAGTGTGCGATAATCCAACCCGCTGTTGTAAATACGTCCGCTTCGCCGCAACCTGCAATCGACTCCACCTTGCCCGGTGTCGAGGCGCTTCTGATGCTTTACAAACTCCGTTCCGCCTTCACCATCCGACGCGCACCAGCAATTCCGACACTGCCTCTCGGAATCGTCACCTCTGACCATTGGCGATCCCGCAATTTTTCCCCCTTGGAAAAAGCCTGAGTCGAATCAAGCTCACAGTATCTCGCCTGCCGCTCCGAGGCCCGACCATCACGAGCCACGAGAAAGGGTCCCAGCGCCGCCGGCCCGGCTGTCCTATGCGGCCCGGTGCCAAGGGTGACGAAACTGGAGTACTCAGCGAAGCCGACGGCAGCTGCAGCTTCTTGCGCGATAAATACCCTTTATCGTCCGTCTGCAACACGAAAAGATACCGTTAAGCTTGGTGCGCGCAATCCACTAGACTGCCGATACGGACTCAATCCACTCGGCCGGCCCTAACTCCGAAGCACCCGATCGGCCGTTCATCCACGCCGCCCGCTTCGCGTATTCGTCACGCACGCCATAGCAATGACACCCACGCCGCCTTCTACAAACTCTTCTACCGGAGGTCGCTCCCCAGAGGAACAATTTCGCGTGGTCAGGAGACGGAATCGTGTTCCCCTGAGCTGCTATCCCTGCAGGACAAGAAAGTGCGTCGCAGCCAGAGCCTCCCCGGCATTGCTTGCACAAAGTTGCTAACAGGCTCGCAGATTGTGAGCTGAGCCGATGACAGACACATCCACAGTCCCATCATCACTGACGCGCCGACAGGAAATGTGACAGGAGCCATCCTTGTAGCAACTGCACCAAACGCGAGGGCATGGCCACCACGTCGTGCTCCTATGCATCCCCCTCAGCGCGCAAGAAGAGCCAAAGCCAAGGAGACTCGAGTCCGGACGACATGCAGAACCGCATCGACCGTCTCGAGGGTCTTGTCCTGTCGCTCATGCACAACGGGGCCAACATTGATTCCGCCGCCTCCCACGTGGGCGCTTCAGCCTCTCATTCTGTGGCGGACAGCGGCTCATCTGCCAAGATCGGCCGTGAAGAACCGGCCATGGTGGACGATGACAGCGACGTCGACGATGGCCTCGCCGCGTCTTTGGGAGTCCTGAAAGTCGATACCGACAAGGGAAAGTCCATGTATATCGGACAGGAACACTGGCACCTGATACTCGCAGACATCGCCGAGGTCAAAAACTACTTTACTTCCCACAAGAAGGAGCTTGAGACGAGCTATGAGCGTGTCAAGTCATCGAAACCAGTCACTGCCCGCGAGGGCCCTACATTGCTCCTCGGCGCTGTCCCGGCGTCGGAAATTGAGCTCCGCGCCGAGCTTCCGCCCAAGTCAAGTGTCCTCGCGCTGTGCGGCCGCTACTTCAACTCGATGGAACACACCGTTAGCATCATCCACGGGCCGACCTTTCTGCAGCAACTCAGATCACACTGGGAAGATCCTTCCAAAACGCCCATCATGTGGTTAGGCCTTCTCTACTCGATTCTCTGTCTCGCCATGCTGAGCTATCACAAAGTGGGAGATGAGCCTCCGGAGTGGAAAGGCCGGACCTTGGAGCTCGCCTCCGAGTTTCGGTTGCGCACCGTACAGTGCCTTACCAAGGCCGACTACACGAAGCCCATGGAGTACACGGTTGAGACAATGATACTCTACGTCTTCGGGGAATGCTCCTCGCGATGGGACGCTGAACTTGGCCTATGGTTGATTGTCTCACTCATCACGAGAATCGCGTTTCGAATGGGATATCATCGCGATGCCAAGTGGTTCCCATCGCTCACCCCTTTCCAGGCAGTAAGTAACACTGGCACCATTCTGCTCAAAGTTCACCCCCTGACCGCGTCACAGGAGATGAGGCGCAGAACGTGGGCATTAGTCCGAATGTCCGATGTGATTTTCTCCCACCTGGTTTCCTTGCCGAGCATGATTTACGAGCACGACTGCGACACGCAGCTCCCAAACAATCTTTTTGACGACGATTTTCATCCGGGGATCCAACAACTGCCACCGTCCCGCCCCAATACGGAGGCGACTCCGATTTCGTACATGATTGCCAAGGCCCGACTCTGCAACGAACTGGGCAACATTCTCCAAGCCACGAACAGGGTGGGCAGGAATGTCTCTTACGATGAAATCATTCGGTTCGATGCAAAGCTACGCCAGGTCATGCAGGAGCTTCCACCCCATCTCAAGCTTGGCCCACTCGAGGAGTCCCGCGATGCAGTCACGTTGATTGTTGCCCGTTTCAACATCGACATCCTCTACCAGAGGATCCTGTGCTTGCTACACCGTAAATACCTTCCCCGGGCACGGCAGAATCCAAGGTATGCGCACTCGCGGCGTAGTGCCATAGAGGCGTCACTGCAGGCCATGGGCCATCTACAGACGCTGCACCGCGAGTCACAGGGCAACGGAAGGCTTCGAGCGGTCAGCTGGTACGTCAAGTCGATCGCAACCAAGGAGTTCATCCTGCCAGCCATGCTTCTCGTGTTGGACCTGCATTTCGATAACACCGCGAAGCAGTCGGCGGCCTCTCAAGATCACGATGGCGCATTCGTGTGGACGCCAGAGGAGCGTGCCAAGATGATTGGAGCTCTGGAGGACGCGGCAGGCATCTGGAAGAGCCTCGCCGACACCTCGATAGAGGCATTCAAAGCCTCCAAGATTCTGGACATTATGCTGCAGAAAACCAGGGATCCAGCGCAAAGTTCAAACGGCTCCCGGGATCCCCGAGAAAACTCGACGACCCTGGAGGCGAATGCTGGCACGAACGATATCCAGGCGATGCTTGGCGGCGCGATGACTCCCGAGTACTTCGGGAACCTCAACGATGGAATGAACGCCTTCTCGAATGCCAACAGCGGTGCGTTTGTGGGAATGGATTTTGGTCTGCCCCCCCCGAATCTTGGAGACATGCAGACAGACAGATTCAACGCCGCCGACGCCGCGTCTCCGCTGTCCATGTTTACGAATCTTGGTGGCAGCTCTGGCATGACGGCGGATCCGAGCGCGAGCTTTGACTGGGTGAGTGTGCACCACGGTAGACGCCCTCGGATGTGCTGACACGAGGAACAGAGCGCGTTCGAGAACTACACGCAAATGGCAAATTGGGGAGCGGACCAAGGCTTCCAGGTATTCGGAACGGGGGAGCCGTCGTCTGAGCAAGATCCCGGGTCGATGAACGTGCAATGAAGCATTGGCTACGCAGATATGACTGTTGTATGACTTTGTTGAAAAGCGAGTACGTGAATGGGGATTTGGGTGGTGTTGCTTGAATGGAGTCCGAGTTGAAGTGTCGTCTCTGACAACGAGAAGCAGGGTCGCGATCCTCGTGTATAGATAGAGAGAACCAGATGGTGGACCCCGCCTGGTCCGTTGAACGGGCGTAACCATATAACTTTGAAGCCGAACTGTCATTATTTCGTCCTCTCAGGCTCTCACCTTCCCATTCGCCCCCGTCTGGGATACTCTCTCGTGCTTACATAACACTGCCCGTATACTGTGCTCTGCACCCCCACAATAACCAGAACCTCGACTTTGGCCAGCTTCATAACGCGCGCGCGCTCGTTCAGCCAACCGTCGACAGGCCTCACCACCCGACCGCAGCACTCGCAATGGAATCGGCGGCGGACAGCGAGGACACTTCGCACTCCCGCTCCGTGAAAAGGAAAACATCGGACCTCGCCAGCCCATCCGGACCGGCTGGCGCCAAGAGGATGAGACTGGGAGAAAATGGCTTCGGTTCCCATCCTGACAGGACCTTTCGTCTCCCAGCGGAGATTTGGCATCGCATCTTTGCCCTGCTCCCACCAAAGACCCTGGGCTGTTTGTTGGCCGTCAACAAACGCTTCCACAAGTACCTCGACCCTTCTTCCCCGGTCGAGGACGACATCTCGCAGCCTTGCCATGTCCCCCCCTCCATCCTACCGCCGCTGAAGCCCGATGCCATCTGGCAGGCTTCTCGGCGTTTCTTCTGGCCGCATATGCCGGGGCCGCTCAAGGGAAGGTCAGAGATCGAAATGTGGCGTCTCTGCTGCACTCGATCTTGCCAGTTCTGTGGCACCCGCGTGCGCCCAGAGAGTGGAAGAACACAGGACCAGTGGCATCGCGGGCCAGGCGCCAAGGGCGTCTCACCCATCTTCCCTTTTTTTCTCGTCATCTGCGGTCGATGTCTCTCCGAAAACACTATCAAGGTATGGACCCCCGTTTTTCGTGGTACGTCCCTGGTGTTGATGATAGCTGCAGGAAGTACATCTCTTTCTCTCGCCCTCGATACCCTCTTTTCTCCTGGCAGGTCTTCCCATGGTGTTCGTGACTTCTGAACTGCATGTCATCCCCCCCCAGCTCTTGTCCACCGGCACAGACCTCATGCACTCCCAGGTCGCAAAAATATTTTCCTCGGAGCAGGCCAAGGCTATCCACGCCGAGTTTGAGGGCGTCAAGGCGCTTGGCCATGCTGCTGCAGAGGAATGGGTCAAGGGCCTTGAAGCTCGTGGGAAGCGTTCACTTGCCGATGCTTCGCGCTGGGAGAGATGGTATCTTGCTGGCGGCGTCCACGATATGCGCGCTTCCCTCCAAAGTCTGCAATCGTCCACTCAGAAAACTGAGGCGCCTTCTCCTACTAGAATCCTCGATGCTCAGGCCTCCGTCAACGAGCCGCAAAAGTCTGGCGGAGACGTGATGCAGCATCGAGAGCCGCCCACGAGCATCCATGGTACGTGTCGCACAGCCCTTTGATCTGGCTTGGCTAACAGGCAGCAGACCTCATACGGACCCAACCCGAGGTGGGAAACGTAGCCACAGGACCAGGCTCACGCCCTGTTGATCACGCAAAGCTCGCCGAAGAGGAGGCGGCTGAGCTTAAGGCCCTGAGAAAAGCCGAGATCGAACGACGAGCGGCACTGCTCGACCCGCCGTTCACCCTGAGCGACTTAAGCCGTGTGCCTGCCTTTCTAGCGATGATTCGGATCCCAGTACCACTGGACGAGAGAGCCTGGGGAACCCTGAAGCAGCGTCTTCTCGACCACCGAGAAGCCGCTGAGCAGCGACGACCAGAAATCCCAGCACCAATTTCCTCTCACCCGGAGAGCATGAACGCAACCGAGGTAAAAGCGGCGGGTTCTTCATCAGCTCGTCAAGTTGTTGACAAGCAATGGGATGAGACTCAAGGGCCGTTGCGGGCTAGGATATCTGGATTCGCGGACGACTACATACGGCACAGCTGGAACGATGGCGCAAATTTATCCAAGAAGGAGGCTTCGCGCTTTGCCGTGGAGGTATTATTTTACGTACGAAAGAGGTTTTATGCTGAAGTGGCCAAAGATGCTGCCGCAGTGCAGGCCGCCGGCCGCAGAGCGGTCCCAGACCCCCCTACAGGTCCCTGGACTCAGAAACTGACGCTTGAGCATATGAAATGGATTTTCGATGCGAAAATCAAGAAGCACACAGATCGGCACGGCACGGAGCTGTTCTTCTGTACCGGCTGTTCAGGCAATCGCAAGGCATTCGGGCTTCAAGCGGTCGTTCAACATTATGCGGCGAAGCATACCGCAGCCCTTAGTATGGGCAATAGAGTTGTTCACTGGAGGACTGAATGGCCCGAGACGCCCATTTTCGAGTCGGACCCGAGACGGAAGACAACGAAGCAAGCTGGCGAGGGCTCCAAAAGCGACCCTCTTCAACCCCCGCTCCCCCACGGTCGCGATAGCCACCCGGCTTTGCCGCCCTCCGGTGCTTCTAACCAAGCTCTCGGCCATGCAGCCCGGGCTCCCAATGCATCGCAGGCTCCTCCCGTGCCCGCTCATGCAAACCTGCGTCAGCCTTTGCAACATCCTCAGGTTCCAACCCATCCATCCTACCCGCAGCGGTTGCAGCTTGTTGGTCCTCAGCCGCCCGAACAGGCCCCAGGAGCGTCGTCGACTGGTAAAGGCAACGCTTCCCGCACAAACAACCCTGCAGCTACGGCAGACTGTCTTAACCGCGGGCAGTACGTGGCTCGACTCAATTACATGGCTAGAATTTGCAAAGAGATTTGGCGCAAGATTGCGCACATGCACGATTTGCCTGATTCAACCAAGGCCCACGTTCTTCTTCACCACATTGTGGCGAGGTTTGAGGAGAAGTTTTCTGAACGACCTTCACTGAACACTTTCATTGATGGCATGTCAAATCACAGGGATATGAGACCGGCGCGCAGTATCAAGAGCCTGCATTGCAAAACATGCGACTTCAGCCATGATGCCGAAGCCGAACCGAAGCCTCTGACGTTTCCCCAACTCCTGAAGCATTTTAAGATGAAGCACAGCGAGGGTACGGGAGACCAGCTAGGAAGTGGTCCTGTTGATTGGCACTTCAACATGATACGCTCCCCAGACCGGCGGGCTATTCCCGAGCTCCAAAAAAGCCTCGGTAAGCACGAGGCGGCTCTCCAAATAGTCACCGACGCGTTGCCGTGGGCCGGGCAAGTCAAGACCCCTAAAGCACCAGCTGTGGATCAGCGACAAGGCCCCATGAGCGGGGCGATGCAGCAGAAGAGGCCTGTTCAGAACGCGGGCAACACTTCGCATGATCTGTCGAGAGCCACAAGCTTCCAGCACCAGCTCGACAGAAAGACCAATCCGGTCAGTGCTAAGAATGCAGAGGACGGGGGCACCACGGCCACGAACAAAAACGCCAATCCCTCGCATGATGTAGTTACTCACGATCATGGGGCAAGGCCAGATTTGCGGCCTGCGAGAGTGGTTTACGGGACAGCGGAGAGCCCTCACGGACATCTGCCAGAACGGGATGCTTCCCAGGGAGGTAAGATTTACCAAGCTATGCCAAGTGTCCCCGGATTTCGATGTGTGGACGGGTATCAGCATCCATTGGCTGCCTCGGTGCCGTATGCACGATTACACGAAGACGGGTTCGAAATCCTCGGTAGCCTCGAATCCCATCTGGAGTCTGAACGTGGAGTTGTCACTCCTAGGGACGCTCTGCGACAGGATGCGCGTTACGGCGGGCGGCCGCGGGCCGCTTCAGACCGGATTGATCACGCTAGCAACCTTGAGTATCTAGCTGGTCGCTACGACGAGCCGTATCACTACGCTCTGCCAGTGTACGATGGAGGTGTACAGGGCTACTACCAAGGGCCCGGGCCGTGGGCGCCTCAGGCATCGTCGGCCATCCGCCAAGGCACCGGATACCGCCCATACGGCGTCTATCCGCAAGGGTTCACAGCCCAGTCTGTCCAGGTGGCTGAACCGTACGAGGTGGTGGAGGTTCGTAATCGGCAGGGCGATTACCCGGCCAAGCGGCTCGTCCAGCAGGACGATGGCGGCAGGTATTACCCCCGCGAACCTCGTGCTCCAGAGCTGTATCCGCGACACGGGTCGGTGGTATATGGCGACGAGATGGGCCCGCCGGCCGCGTATGCTTCTAGGCCGCCGTTGAGGATGGACTACGAGGAGTATGATCCTCGGTATCCCGAGACGGGTCGTGGCACCGCCGCCGCTGCTTCGCGCGAAGCACGGCGTTGAGGGGGCAAGAGCTTGGCTTGATCCATGCTCTTATGCGAGGAGAATTGAGGACTTGCGGGAAGACGGCATTCTACGAATGAAGTAGTGTCTGGCATCGGGAATCACCCGGGCCCTGGAAAACACTAGTATATAATGTTTGTGGCTATGGAGGGACGAGACGCCACAGCGAGTCGAGTGATGATGCTTTTAATACAGATCCTAGCCCACCTATTTCAAGTCTCCTGTAAATGTCTGAGTGGCATGCCATGTTTTCCCGACCCTGACCCTTGTCCGCCTGCATAAAACCCAGCCAGCAACCCTTCTTCTTCCCCCTTTCACCCCTTCCCCTCCCCGACGACCGAGGCGCACACGCAACAAACAAGGCAGCTGACGGGTGCGAACGGGAGGGCATGCAGCCCACGCCAGCCGCCGTCCTCCATTTCCTCCTTGTGTATCATACAAAAATTTCCCTTCTCTGTAGGACAAGACGCGCGCTTCGCGACTGCTCTAGTCATCCCCCTGCCACTGGCCCATCAAAGTCGTCTGCGCAGTCTAAAAAACCGACACGAGCAGAGGACGACGGCAACAGCAAAAAAACATCAAGTCATCTCAGCATGGAAACAGGGCACCGGCTCGCCTCACAGCACCTCGCCGATAATCTTAGCCGCCTCGCGGTACGTGGCGAGAAGATTCTCGCACTTCTCGCGCTCCTTCTTGACGGCGTCGTCCTCGTACAGCAGCTCCTCAAACAGGCTCTCCCGGTACAGCTCGCTGACGAGGCGGTTCTGCACAACGTCCTTGCAGTGGTTGACGAGGAGGTGCATGACGGCCTTGGGGACCTGGTCGGCAATCGACTCGCGCACAATGTTGAAGTAGGACGAGATGAGGGCCCTGATGAGCTCCGTCTCCATGGCCTCGCGGTCCGTCAGGGCCGGCTCGTTCGACTCTCCCTGCAGACAAGGCCGTTAGTAAACACACACACATTGAATACTGGGGCCGGGAAGAGATCTTACAAATTGTGACGCCAATCCGTAACTCTTGCCGGTGGGCTCATATTCATCGTCCCGCGGCGGGGCTGAACGGAGCGCGACCCTGTCCTCTCTTCGAACGCCCAGAGAGGAGGCGGGCTCACCTGCGGGGCTCAAATGCCGGCCTGCGCCTACGGGACTTGACGAGGTAAAGTTGGGCGGGGTGACGCCCTCCTTGCCGAAGAAATAGTTCAAGAACGTGTCTCGGGCACCCAAGCCTTGGCCGTTGAGCCGCGACGGGGATTGCGGTCGTCCACCGTTGACGGCAGCTGCCAGGCTACCGTGGACATGCTCTTGGATTGCCGGGGACAGGCTGCGCGGAGGCTTCGAGCCAGCCTTGCGCACACTGAGTTCTCCCTTTTCAGCCTCCTCGCCCTCCTCGGCCGGCTCCACGCCGTTGGCGCCAAGCTCCTTGAGGCGTCGCTTCTCTCGCCGTTCGCGCTCTTCTTGGATGAACCGCTTTCGTTCGCGCTCCTGCTTTGCGTTGACGACGTTGCTCATGGCAGCGGCGGCACCTAGGAAGTTGGGGTGGTTCGTGTTGATGTACGCGCGCTGGATGGAAATGAGCGACTCGACATAGGACGATGCAGGCCCGAGCCTCTCACGTAACAGGTCTGAAACGGTTTCGATGAGCTTGGCCTGTAATCTGGGGAACCTGGAAAGTTCGGTTGAGCCACAGGTGTGGCAGATCTTGATCAACTCCTCGTACACCAACTCGACGCAGCGTTGGCTAGGGATTTCGAGCAGCTTGATTTGCGGCTTGACGAGAAGGTCAAAGGCCATTTCGGGCACAAAGAGACTAGGCCGCGGCCCGGTGGAGTTGCGGATCGCGGTGCGGATGTCCAGCGCAGATAAGTTGGATGTGGGATCGATGGTCTCGAGGGAGCTGCCGAAGACAGAGTTGAAGATGTAGTAGATGCGCGCACCACCGCAAAGCTCCTTGGTCGATATCTCGGTCGAAGTGCCGTCGATGGAGGCGATGAAAGAGTTTGCGAAGCGCGTCATGAGCTGCAGTATGAGAGATCCACGGTGCTCCTTGCCGCTGAAGTGCATGTCGCCATAGCTGGCGAGCTCTTGCTGGGTCTGGCCCATGAGCGTATTCAGACGAGCTTTGATGTCCGGCAGCCGGTCTCGAATGTGCGACATGAGGGTGGTGTTGAGCGTCTTTGCCAAGAAATGGGTGCCGCATCTGGTTGAGATGTTGCGATAGGCTGGATGGTGCTTGAAGAAGTCATTCTCAGCTTTGAGGGCCTCGTCCATGGGCTTGTTGCCTTGGATATCCTGCTGGGACCGGTTCACCACGCCAATGAAGCCGAGTTTCAGAGGGTACACGCGGCCTGAGAGGATGTCAAGCGCATTGGTGCCGTGATCCATTAGGTCGACCTTGGTGAGGACGCCGATGGTCCTCCTACCGAGTGGATCCACATGGCGGGCAAGCTTCAAGGCTTCGGAATTGACAATGTCGACATTGGCAGGCGATACGGCGAGGATAAGACTGTTGGGCTTGGCAATGTATTCGGAGATGAGGTTTCGCGTTTGCTTCTCGATGTCGGTCGGCTGATCGCCAATGGGCACCTACAGGCAAAGATTAGGCAATGAAGGCAAAGACGGGGAAGAAGCGCGAGACGACCTTTGTCAAGCCCGGGAGATCGACCAAGGTGAGGTTCAAGACATTGGGCGAGTAGATCTTGAGGTTGATGGGCTGTCTGTTGATTCCCTTGTTGCTGCCGGCGACCCTCGACGTCTCGTTCTCGATCTCGCGCTTGATGTCTGAAAAATCGCTGAATCTACGGTTGGGGATGTGGTGAAATTCTGCCCACTCGGAGCGGCGGGCGGATGAGGCAGAGCTGAAGGGATCTCTGGAGGGGTCTGGAGCATCGTCGTCGTCGGGGACATTGATGAGCTGGAGGATCAGGGGCCGCCGGGTGACGATGCCGCTTCCTCGGGGCAGAAAGTCGCGGCCGACGATGTTTTCGAGGACTGACGATTTGCCCGCCGACTGAGAGCCGACAACGACCTGCAATGGGCGTGAGCTCGGCTTGTCGGCCCAAAGCTGGATGGGAGGAAAGGGAAAAGAGGCGGGGAAGGGGGGGTTTCACATACGATCTGGGGAAGATCTAGAGAGTCATTGCCGATGGTATTGAAGACCAGGTCCTGTAGCTTGTTGACGGTGCTGAGCAAATCCTCGCCGAGGGCAGCCATGGCGACGAAGGGGAGAAGCTGGTGGCGGCGAGGGGAGCAGAGGACGGGCGCGCGATGAGCAGGGAGGTTAGGAGTCCGAGCTGAGGTCGTCGGGCGGCCGCTGGCCAGGGCATGCAAAGGCAGATACGCTCTCGAGGATGTTGTGCTGCGCGTCGTGATCAAATAAGACGCTTGGTTGAGGCCGCGGGTTGCTGGGCGTCGGAGTTTCCGTGTGGATACTCGCGAGAGATTCTTGGATCCCTCTTTTGCGCTAACTGGCGCCGCTGAGGAAGGTAGCCTCGGGGTACCACTACCCTGCGATAGAGGTGTATACAGTGCAGCATTCACTGTACGCAGCCCTGCACTCGTCAACTCGGCCGGCATGGCTGCCTCTTCGCGTCTCGGCTGGATCCACTGATGAATAGCGTGTTCTGCGCGCGCCGGTGCGAAGCCGACTCGTACAAATCCTGCTGCGAGTGTTTATGCGCGCCCAGCAGAGCCGGGATCACGGTAGGCTGGCCAAGTCACCAGCGCGTGAGCGACAGAACGCGGCCTGCTGTGTGGACATGTAGATGCTCGTATCGAGTACCGTCGCGGAGCCGCTTGCTGCCGAGGCTGCGCGGATGCCAAGATGCAAAGTACGCACAGTGTAAATTCTAGTCTGTGGCTTCAATGCACCGCCATGTTCCGTATAAGGTCAGCAAAGCCACGACAACCATCTGGCGAGAAGCACGAGTCTTTTGGAGAGGCACCCTCCCCAGTGCCAACTTGTTGCAAACCACCGCTGAAGCCATTGTCCGCCAGGCCCAGATACCATATGTCGAAGCCATGAGCACCTTTGGCAGCCCAGGAAAGCTGCCGTCGACCAAGCCCACCCCGTGAGTGCAGCACTCACAAATGGCCGCTGAGGAGAGCGCCACGTCTAACAGTCCTCTGCCCGTCAGGCCGCAACGTGGGAGCTTTCCGCTGGACCACGATGGTGGGTGAAGGACAGACCCTGGTCGTCGAGCGGGCCACGAAGAGCTAATCAAACGTCTTCAGGCGAGTGCAAGCATGTCATACCCAAATACATCGCGTGCATGAATAATGCCCGCGGCATCAACGACGACGAGTGCCGCAACCTGATGAAGGCCTATCTCGCCTGCAGGATGGACCGGTAAGATGCTGGCTGATTGGCTGACTTGAAGCGGAGCAAACCAACTAACCCTTCCATCCACCCCCAAAAGGAATCTGATGGCCAAGGATGACTTCAAGAATCTGGGCTTTGCCGAGACGCCCAAACCCTATTCGCAGGTCTCAAAATCAGAGAAGGGCGTCAAGGGCGAGCTACGGTGGTGAGGGGGGGAAGGGGGCGGGGGTGGGAGCGAGAGGTGGTGTTAGAGACTTAGGACTAGCAGCTGCCGGGATCTAGTTCTACACTCATAGAAGTGGCCGTATGTACCAGAGACTCGACAAGCTTAGCTGATCAACCCCTTCTGTCATGGGCCATCCCTTTGCATGTGGAGGGGCAGCCCTCGGTCACAGCCTCCATAATAGGCAGCAAACCATCCCACGTCTACTTTCTTCTCAACGTGCGGACCTAGGCGTAGCAGCTGGCCAAGCTCATTAACGATCTAATTCGTTGGAATCCCTGTGAGTGACCTGAGGGCTGCTCCTCCACATTCAAAGGGATGATGTGATGGTGCGCGCGTTGATTGCTTACCTAACTTTCTAGTACAGCTGAACAAGTAATGATGCGGCGGCGGTGGCGAGCTGCAGCAGTGTGGCGCGTTGCCCAGTCAACACCCACTCCAAAACTGCACGCCGTATCCGTACACGCACTTCAGCCCAGCGCCCAACATCTCCACCACATTCAACTGTTCCCCGACATAATAACCCACTCAAAACGGACGCTGTGCCTTATCTGCTGCTGCCTATACGTAGCTACCCACGTACATATCGTCTCCGCAGAACCGTTCAGTCCCTTCCACCTTGCTCTCGATTCTCGACTTTGCGGCTCAACGCACCGCTAGTGCCATGAGAAAGTCAACCGATGGCAAGGGGCAGCGGATGACGCCGCCATCCCCTTCGTACATGTCAAATGATCAGTTCGGTAGAACGCCTTTGCAGACCTGTTTGTCTAATGCCCCCGTCGCTGACATTCCTCGTCTTTCCAGCCGGCTATCTCGCAGATCTACGCACGAACCGCACAGCACGTCCTGGTGGTGCCAGGCCGCTGCCGACCTCCTCCGCTCGTGCCTTCACAGACCGCAATAGCTTCGATGCTGCCTCTCAAACGGTCAATATTCACGGACATCGACGTGCTCCGTCGCAGGCACCGAGCGCTGGTGCAACCAGCATCTCTACCCGGAACTCGACCACCACGAGCCGCGGACGCGACTACTATCCAACGGGGCCGACTATTCCGCTGAAGCCCTCCGAAGTCGTGCCAACAGCGACGTACATGGAACGCGGCCAAAGATGGATGGAAAAGGAGGAGGCCGTCTCTCTCCGCGAAGCCATGCAAGACATGGACATCCAGAAAGCTACAAGGGACGAGACGTCGGAAGACGACGACGGCCGCCTGTACAATGCCGCTCTTGACGAAGCCGCCGAGCTTGTCTGGCAACACCAAAACGGAGGCCGTGTCCCGCGACCGGACGGGCCATATCGCTATAGACCTCACCTTAGAAGGAACAGCTATGCTCATGCCCGTACGGCCAGCATTGGGACACATGGGGACGAGATCGCCCCGAGCGGTCTCGGCAGGGATGTTGGCTCGCGGTCTGTCTCTGTGAGCTCCACAGACAGCAACGATTCATCGCAGGTCCCTCGAAAGCCTGGAGAAACGAGCCAATCGGCCAGCAAAAATTCCAAGTCGTACGGAACAGTCAGTTCTGGCCGTCGCCGCACCAGCCTTAAGAGGAACATTAGCGGCGAGGTCGAGCGCCCCTTCTCTGGCGATCAGATCTGGGAGGAACCAGAGGTGTCGTCCTCGACAAGCAAAACTGCCTCCGCCGGCCGCGCATCGCCGGATAAACTGCCCGGCAAGCCTCGAGGCCCAGTAAATCGGGCCCGTTTCGAGGCCTCTCGAGGCGCCTCGAATATCTCCAAGGCTCTCAACCAGGTCGAGATACACCGCAATCCTCCGACGCAGTCCCGCAACGCACAATACACGACAAACACCCCCTCACCAAGAGCAATGCCGGAACCGTCGGTGGAGCGCAGGAGTGGAGTCGAGGTCCGCGGCCAGGACATCAGGGCGGCCACCAGCAGGAAGCTCAAGGATCGCAGCTCCAGGCTCCCTGAGCCCACCGCTGTCAGCGACAGTCCGGGCCGACCTATTGTAAGCTTTGATGCGAACTGGGAAGCCCCGGACGAGGTCGCTGATGTCAAGCCAGACTGGCCAGCTCAAGACTCGGCGCTGTTCAAAGACGGCAACAAGCAACCTATGGCTATTCCTCGTATCTCTGTGGCAGAGGACCAGACGCCGCAGCCACGGACGGCGTCACGCCCGGGTATACCATCAATCGCTGTAGCCGGGCCGGACAGTGGGTCCCAGATGTCGGTGCCTACTATCGATGTGCCCGCCATTGTTTCCGACGACGCGACAGATCAGGGCAATGTTCCTGCCATCGTCCTCCCAGACGCCCAGCCGGCCGCGCGCCCACTGCCGAGCCCTGACGGCGTTGGCACCCAGGTCCGAAGAGCTCAACGACCTCGAGGTCACTGGTCGCCCGCTCCGGGGGCTGTCGGCCGCGCGACGGCCACCTGCCATGAATGCGGACTTCCGATTGAAGGGAGGCTTGTGGCACTCGCCGGGTTTCCTGAGCGGTTCCACCCACACTGCTTCAGCTGCCTGGTGTGCGGAACCAGCCTCGAGGCCATGGAGATTAGCCCCGAGCCGGACCATGTTCGCGCGGAGCGGCTCGAGAGGATCCGTCGTCGCGCCGCGGGGGAGCAGTTGGTGGAGCTGCCGGGGACGACGGAAGCCGAGGACGGCGACGAGCGGCTCCGCTTCTACTGCCACCTGGACTGGCACGAGCTCTTCGCGCCGCGCTGCAAGCACTGCAGGACGCCGATCCTGGGCGAGCACATTGTGGCGCTCGGCCAGCACTGGCACTACGGCCACTTTTTCTGCGCAGAGTGCGGAGACCCGTTTGAGCACGGCATGACGCACATTGAAAAGGACGGGTACGCGTGGTGTATCAACTGCCAGACCAAGCGCACCGAGCGGCGGGCGCCCAAATGCAAGAATTGCAAGACGGCCGTCATCGGGCAGTACATCCAGGCCCTGGGAGGAGAGTGGCACGAGCACTGCTTCCGCTGCGCCGAGTGCCAGGGCGGCTTCGACGACGGGCAGATCTTCCCCAAAGAGATGCAGGGGGGGATGGTGGTTCTCTGCACGGCGTGCCGAACGCGAGAGCTCAAGTCGTGAGCTGAGGACTAGGTGTTAGAGCCTTTGTGAGTGTACGAATTATGATCGGGAGGGATAGATAGGCGCAAGGTCCATGTGAATACGAAAGCAATGAATGATCGACGACTACGGACGGGGGTGTGAAGACAATAGCGTGACGCGAGGCGCAGATGAAACCTTGAACACCGTGAGAATCGTCTTGGGCGGACTATGCGCAGAATGTCGCCTCCTTGTTGACCTTGATTCCGAAATACACAATCAAATCCAGCCGCCATTGGCCACGCGAGAAGAGCGCCGTCGTATCATCGTCCCCGCCTAACGCCTGTGTGCCCGGACTGCTCCCTCCTACAACGTGGTCAAGCGGCCTCCACCGACTTGCTCTTGATGGACCTCTAGCGTGTCCCCGTCTTGCATTTCAAGCTGTCAAAAAGTTGGGAGCATTAGCATCGATGGCGGTCAAGGCATGCAGACGAGGGGGCCCGCCAGTGATGGCGGACGGGAGGAGAGCATACAGTGTCGGGCGTGTCTGTAGGTTGGACACGCGCGCCCTCGAAGAGGAAGCGAACCGAGTTGATGTTTTTGCCCTGCCGTTCGCAGAAAGCGTTCATGAGCTTTTCGAGCTTGGTGCTCCGCTTGATCTTGAAGAAAACCTCGTTGTTGTTGTCGGTAACTTTTATGTTGAGGTGCTCGCTAGGAGCCGCCTCCTGCTGGTCGGGGGAGGTGTTGGCATCATTTTCGGCGGACATGATGGCGGTTCTTTTCGATAGCCTTCTCGCGTTGCCTCGGTCGGTGGCGCTTCTATCTCGATGGCCGCCGTGGCGGGGAGCAGGGGTGCGTGGAGATTGAAGATGATGGCGCAATCTGTACGCGGTGCGATGCGGTGTGCGCGGGAGGAGGCGAGGGTTGGGAGGAAAGCAGCGGCTGGCGCGTGGTGAAAGTGAATGATGATGATGAAGCACGAGATGTCTGTCGTTGGGCGAGGCAGAGGTGGGAGGCAAAACCAAAGGTGGGGCGCTCTGCTTACGGTTGGCCCGCAGCTGCTGGAAGCCCCATGCCTTTACTGATGGGATGTTTGTCCAGAGCACGTGCTTCCGGAAAAGCTAGTTGCGTGTTCGGAAGCTTCTGATGGTTGGAGCAGCTGCCAAAACACTGTATCTTCAAGTATCTTTGCACATATGGACCGGAGGAGGTACGTACACAGAAGTGCTCGGCCAATCCACGGCAATCGCGAGCGGGCACAAACACAGTTGCTGCCTGGCGTTGAAAACTCATAATGACATCTCGAGGGAGGCTTCAAGATGGCCAGATCTGGGTGCTGCACTTGCCGGGCGCCTCTACAGCAAACGCCGGCGCTTAACTCGGTAATGGACACCTCTCCTACCCGCCGGCCTGTACATGTTCATGTCTCTGCCTGAGAAGCTACCTCGGAGCAAGTACTGCTGTTCTACTTCGTACCCGTGCGGGTGTATTCTGGCCCATCATCGACTGTGCTCCCCCTCTCCATCCCTCCCGTCACGCCTCTTTCCGATTCGCCTGCGCGACTTGCCGGCCTGTTTGCCAACCTGATCGAACTGTAACTTGCTGGACGCAAACGAGGTCCGATCTCAAGCATGGTTTGACGCTTCCATCCCCCGGCGAGGCCTTCGTATTGACCCGTCGTCCCGATAGCCAACGAATTCTCTGCAGAGTGATGTAGAGGCCAAGCCGCCTTGCCACCCGCGCGCCGTGAGTGCCCGTCTTACCTGCACCGGCCTGCTTTGGAATATTCCACCTGACGTGTGCGGAACCTCAGTGCGCAATCCAGGGTACGCTTGCTCCTTGGACTCTCGTCATCAAGACTGTCGGCATACATACTCACCCAAGGACCAACCAGACTGCCTGGCCCGCAACAACTACAGCGAGGCCAAGTGTCAGGACGCCGTCAAGGCCCTCTACGAGTGCTGCCAGGCCTTCTACCAGCGCTACGGCGACGACGCAAAGAGCCCCAGCTGTCCCCAGCCTAGCCTCCTGCGCCTCAAGCTTAAGCAGCAGCAGACCGAGGCCAGATAGCGAGAGGCGCCACATGTCATCATGGAATTTAACGCTCGTCGTATGTTGCGTCCGCCGGCATTGCGTAAACTCAGGCAACTTGTGTGAAGAGCGTCGGTGTGCTTCTAGGCGATCATTGAGCGCGCGAGAGATCCTCTTGGGACCTGAACAAGCAGTGAAGGGTCTTGTTCCGAGACTCTAATATGAATGCCGTTGACATTGATGAAGGAGAAAGGAGGAAGGAGACGGCGAAGAGCAAGAAAATTGCAGTAAATCCATCATTTGCTGTGTGTCGCTTTGTTGCATATCTTAGCCCATGTCCCTTGTAGATACCTATCGCAGTTTTCCCACCGCCGTGGAAATATCCGTGCAGGTGGGTAGGTACCTTTGTACCCTGGTCTCTGCCAAAGCTCGATCGCGCAGCAAAACAAAGTCTTGCACACACCCCAGACTTGCAACCAAGCGAGGACGGCGATTAATCGAAGCTCTTACTCGAAAATACAACACTTGCCTCCATCGTATTCGCTGTGAAACCGGCCCAAACTGGCCGGTGGTGGGGCTTGCGGAGGGCCTGCAGCCCGCGCCCAAGTCAAGGCTAGCAAACCCGCCTCGCTACGAGGCACCTGGGCATTCGACGCACGCCCTACTTCCTGTCTCCGACATTGACCCTTGGCCACGGAGATGGAACCAAAGGAGGATGAGAAGCAGATCAAGGGCATCCAGCCCGGGCCCCACGTCGAAGAGTTCGCAAATGCTCTCGACAATTGTCTTGCACCCGGGCTGAGCTTGTCCGAGAAGAGAGAGCGGGTTCTAGATCTTCCACGAAAGTATCACGAGAACGCGATCCGGCGGCTGATACAGAAACGGCCGAAACGCATGCGCGATGGAAACGAAGACGTCGACATGGACGTGGACGACAGCGACGCCGCCAAGCCAGACCCGATGGTGCTCAACGAGATGAGGCAACTGGAAAGGGAGATTCAAACATGGGATCTTGTCCGTCGGCTCCTCCCGCTGAGATCTGCCGAAGCCCAGCCGACGTCGTCTCTCTTCACGGCGAAAAAGAAGGCGCTGCACGACTTGGTCGACACGGATCCTATACTCAAAGAGCGCCGCGCTGTCCTCCAGTGGCTGCAGACAAACGCCGCGTCCGGCCCCGACATTGACGAGTTGGCGCGCGAACTGCAACAAAATGCCGACAGGGGAGACATCATTGCCCACGGGTGGCTTCATACCCGCTCCAAAATCAAACTCAGAAAGAGCATGACGGCTTGGCCACATCTGTTGGATCGACAGTCCCCAAGCGTTACCACGTCCCACCTCAACTCGGATGGAGCGCCGCTTGTCACACAGTTGGACCCTGACGCAGGTACGCGTCAAGGCCGCAAACTCGAGCCACAAGACGAATACTTTGAGCGGGCGATATGGCTGGGCTGCTTTGAGCATCTTCGTCGGGGCAGCAGCCTGCAGACCATACGCGAATGGTGCCAAGAACGCACCGAGATGTGGAGGGCGATTTCCATGTCGGGAATGCTGCTCCCTGCTGATGGCAAGGAAATCATGGCAGACGCCCCTCCGGCGTCTCTTGTGCTGTGGCGCCGCATGTGCCTCAGCTTGGCCCGGGGCGGCGGCTCCGACGACTACGAGCGGGCCGTGTACGGCTTGCTGTCGGGAGACATTGCGAGCGTCGAAAAGGTGGCCAAGAGTTGGGACGACTTCCTGTTTGCCAACTACAACGCCTCTTGCGAACCCAGATCGATTCACATTTGCTGAGCCAATCTCCGCCCGACACGGTGTCCGTCTTGGCCCAGTCCTTTCCGTCCTTTGATGCTATTCAGTTTCACGGCGAACTGGAAGGTGTTGAGAAGCGGCTGGTGACGACGCTGGAATCCCAGAAGAGCACCAGGGACGAGGCGCTGGAGCCAAACAAGGCACTTCAAGCTTCCTCATCGCGAGAGATATCGACCGTCATCTATACGAGCAAGCGCTCGTGCTGACTGAAGACGCAAACAAGGACGAGCCGTCTTTGCTGCTTCCCTCGATACATCCTACCGCGTGGAATTTCCTCAACGACAAGGGAGATCTTGTCCGCCACAAGTTTTTCGGCCTCGAACAGCACGAAGGTCTTCGCATAGCATGCCATATATATGTGCTCATAGCTCTGCTGCGCCAGTTCGACGCCCTGGAGGGCAAGGTGCAGGATCAACTCACAACATCTCACTGGCGCTCTGGCCAGGAGAGCATTATCGCCGGATACACGGATTACTTGGCACGTGCCAATCTGAAAGAGCTGATCCCTCTGTACTGCTCAATACTGCGGTCCCCGCGCCAGTACGAGGTTCTGAGCTGGAATATGATCCATGAACAAAACGCCGATAGGCGCATGACGCAGCTCAAGCTCATCAAGAGGGTCGGCATAGACGTTCTAAAGTTTGTGGAAACATTGGCGAAGCTAGTGTTTGACAAGCTCGATCACACCAACGACACGTTCACTGCGAAGGAGTCGTTTAGTATCATAGGGGAGGGCCCACCTACAGTTCGGCATGGGCGTGGTATCAAAGCCGACTTCTTCGGCGACGATGATGCCGTTATTTCAGCAAAGGACGAGCACGTCATCCGGTCGTTGGAGTGGCTCCTGCAGGTCCAGGTTGCTTGGCCCGAAGTCTTGCGTATTGGCGTTCAAGTATACAAGTTTTTCTTCAGTAAGTCACTCGAGGCGTTGTTGCTGGGAGATCGCGCATCAGGCCTGGGCTGACGCACCGACAGGAAACACGCATCTGCTCGCGGCTCGGAGACTCATGGAGCGAGTGCAGTTTGACGCGATCTTGCAAAACGTCAGCGAGCAGGAGGTCGACCTCGGGGTGTTCGACGACGTCGACTTTTGGGCTCAGCAGCTCGACCAAAGCGGCATCGCTAGCGCAGTGCCGGAGCAAGTCATGACCGATGCGCGAAACTACCGTGAGCTGGAGCATCTGGCACGGGCGCTCGACAGCCTGGAAACTATGGGCTCCCTGATGAGGCTTTCCAAAGAGTATGTATTTCTCCTGCGGGGCAAAGAGAACGAGACTGACGAGTACAGGGCGCCACCAGGAGACCGCACGTTCTGGAGCGGGGTCGGCGATGCAGTCAAAGTCATGAAGGATCGGATGCAGCCGCTGCTGGGCAGCTGGCTGCTGACGAGCATTGAGGGTACGTTGGCTGTCACCACACGCGGATGCGCCGTCGAAAAAGCTGCTGACACCGAGTCAGGGGGTGACAAGGAGCTCCGCGAGCTACGGCAGGTCTATTTGCCTGAAGCGATCCTGGCATTTGTGAGCGGCCTGCACTACGCGGGCAACGGGCTCTCCCGGGACAACCTGCTGGAGTGCATGGAGCTGGCGGGCACTGTCGCCGAGCGCGAGTCGAACTTGGCGACGGCGTTTGTCGAGGCGAAGCGGATGAGGGAGCTGGTCGAGGCATTTACGGCGTGCAGCAAGGCGCTGGCCACGGCAAAGGGGAACAAGGGGGCGACCGGTTCGAGCAGCAAGAAGCTGCGGGAGACGGGGTGGTCGCGCGACCTTTGGACCGTCAAGCAATGAGACGGAGAGGAGGGGATACTGTACGAAGATCATTGGTGAGGGGGTGGAAGGCGGTTGATGGCGATGGGCGCGTTGCTGGTGTGCTTGGTGCTTCCTCGAAGTCAGAGAGGCCAAGTGAAGAAGAGATATACCCCTCCAAGGCAAGCAGCAAAGTCACGGAGTATCGGATGGAAGGGTGTGTTTGCAACGAGAGATTCAGGCCATGAGAGGGTAGCGCGGAGGGTGTAACGAGTTGTTAGGTCTCGTTGACGATGGAAACGCCGCCAAGACGCTCTAACTTATCCGTATGCCGTGCTTGGATGATCTCAAGAAGCCCTCCTCTCCGCGCTGAGTCGAGAGCTGCCGCCTTACCTAAGCTTGGGTTAGGTGAGATCACACCGCGTGGGAGTATCCACCGCCACACTCGCCTTGACCTCCCTCACCTCGACTTCACCAACCCACCATCACCCTCTCCTCCTCCAACCATCGCGTCTTCCCTTATCCCTCGACAATTTATCGCGCGCGCTCTTCCTCCCCGAAAACACCCCGTCTCTCCACCGCGGCAGCGCAACAGAATGGCAACGGCCCTCCCCACCGACGGCCCCGCAGCCACACCCCCTGCGCCGCCCCCGAAGCCCGGCAGCCACGACGCCAGCCGCATGGGCACGCCGTCCGGCCTCGTGCCGCCGCCGCCGCCGCCGACTGCCGCCGCCGACTACGATCAAGGAGGCGGTCTCGGCGACGTGCAGTCTGCTGCCGCGAATGCGCTCCCGCAAGCCGAGATTGGGCCCGATCCGGGGGATAACTGGCTGCCCGCCCTGTTGCAGGATAAATCGTGAGCTTGCATAGCCCCTCCCCCCTCCCCCCTCCCCCCTTTTCTTCTAGGAAGGAACGGCGCGAGCGTACAGGGACACAGCCATGCGCGTAGAAGCAGCGGCGGCGGCGGCAACGCTGATGTCATCCCGTCCAAACCACAGCACCCAAGACCTCGCCGCCCTCCTCAGCTCCCCCGCCCTCCTCATCGCCCTCACCCATGCTCCGCAGACGGCCCACCCGACCCTCGCAGCCTCGCACACCGCCCTGTCGCAGGTCCTCGCCCACAACGCCCAGCTGGCCGCCCAGCTGACGGCCCAGGCCTCGAGCCTGTCGCGCCAGCGCGAGGCCACGCAGGCCCGGCTGCTCGCCACCCATGCTCTCGAGCGTCAGTGGCGCCAGCGGCAGTCCGACATGGATCACGCCCTTGCGCCCTTTTCCCCCGCCTCGCTCTACCAGCGCCTCGCCCAGGGTGTCCAGGAGCAGAGCGCCGTCTGCCACGCCATGGAGGAGAGCTTCCTCGACAGCGAGGGCGAGCCCGCCTTGGAGCGCGAGGTGGCCGATTGGGTCCGCAGATATCGAGAAGCTAAGGTTCAGCTATACCTACGCCAGGAGCGCAAGGAGAGATGGGACGAAGGCCGAGTTGGTGGCTGGAGATAGCCATTGCACGCAGTAGGAGCACGGCGAACTGCGAGGACCCCGGCGAAAAAAACGCAGGGGCTCGAAGCGAGACGAGAGAATGCGCTGACGCTGCTGCGGCTCTACAGACAGACGAGCCAACGCCCTTTGAGTACGTGAGAGAGCGCACAGTCGTACGAGCACATGCAAAACACCATGATGGGGAGATACGAGGAGTTCATAGCCACGGCACCAACCATGGGCTGAACGAGCATGTCACCGATGTACGGGTCGCGCGACGAGTTCATGACGCATGACCTGATTCTAGTTGTGAGTCAATATACCCAAAGACACGACACGGCAAGAGACAGTCCCCCTCCTGTCCTCATTCATCGCACACCAAGCTTGGCTAGGCTCGCCTTGTGAAGTATCAGACTGGGACGGTGCAAGAGTAATCTGATAAGAGACAGTCACTCTACTCAAGCCGCTGGACAGACGACCTTTATTTCCTGTGCCTAGGGGAACAAGGTGCATCTGAGAATAACCGTAGGCGCCATTCGCCTGCGCCTTCCGCTCCATGTCGTTCATTTGGCCCAGCCCTGTCCCGTGGGCGCTATAAGGCGCTAAAGGGGCTCTTCTTCATGTCCGGGCTGCGAGGGCTCAAGGGCAAGGCGAAGAGGTCATCCTCTCCATCCTGTGTACTCGTCTTGGCCGGTACTGAGCCATGGTGTTGGTCGCGGCGCGACATGTCCAAGAAAGACGAGATGGCTACGTCACCTCCTTGATATGAGGACCCGGCAGATGGGAGATTGGTCATTGTGAAAGCATCCGCTGGCGAGCCGTCAGCGCACAAAAAAGTGACGGGTATGAGAGAGGAATGCGCATTCACCTGTCGAGCCGGCGACTACCAATTCAGCTGGAGACGTGGCCAGGCGGAGGCCCTTGAACCTATCGCCGAGTCGGCGGTGGGCTGGAGATGAAAACTGTGGGGACCCTGGGAGGGGTCGCGCACGCAGGAAGTTGTCGAGGATCCATTGCTTCTCGGCCAATACCATCTCGAGACCGACACTCTCGGCGTTGGCCCTCAGCTCGGCATCTATCTCATGCTGTAGCTCAGACAGGCGCCTCGTGGCCCAGAGGGTATGGAGGACGCCGCGGGCGCCGGCGTCTGCGTCGAAGCCGGGAGGGAATATGGCGGGCAGCGGCTTGACGGTGAGGCTCGTTCGACCAGAGCGGGCAATGGTGACGGCCGGCGGGATGGGAGCTTCAGGGGGGAGGAGAAAGTAGACTCGGCGGCGGGGCCCGGCTTCGTCCTCGTCGGCGTCGCGGGCGGGGATGATAGTAGTGGCAGACTTTCCGGACCACGAAACCTGCCAAGCAGCAGGCCCCAAGGCTGAGGCTGGGACGGGAGTTGAAGTTTGAGCTGAAGCTGGGGCTGGGGCGGCATCGAGGTCGGGAGCGGCAGCGACGGCGGGATGCCACTCGACCATGAGGACCTTTGTGCCCTGGTCGCTGAACTCGAACCTGGCCAGGTGGGCGGTGGTGGCGATGGTTGCAGGCGTTGCAATGGCTTCTGTGACACTCGTCGGCGGGTCAGGAGCAGTGGGTGCCGCGTCGACGGCAGGCCGAGATGGGTCCGAGAACGGATCCATGGGCTCTAGGCGTAGCATTCGGGGATTGCTACCTGTTAGGGCCGAGGCGAGGCGAGGCAGGGCGACGACGGGTACATGGCCGGCCAGCTGATAAGAAGGTAGGCAAGGTGGGTGGGTGTGCCTTGGTTACTGCACAGGACGGTGATATTGTACAGTTCTGGACTGGACGGTGTGCGTATGTAGGAGGATGGCCGGTCCAGCTTCGGGCGGTCGAGTCAGGCGAGAGTTTAGACTGCTCTCTTGTGTGCGTGTGAGTGCGCAAGTGTGCGGGCGTCGTGGGTGGTGGGTGATGACGCTTCTACATGGTGGTGACGGTGGTGGTGGTGGTGGTGATGATGATGATTGATAATGGGCAGTGCAGTCGGGGGAGGCGGAGGTGGAGGATGATGCGGCTGCCTCGATGTGATTGGAGAGAAAAGGCGAGAGAAGGAGCTGTAAAAGCATGCCTGGGAAGGAATGTACGGACGGGTCGTTGGTGATTGATTGGCGATTATGAGATACCTGCAAGAACAGCGCCTAAAGAGGCAAGCTACGCCTCCCTTTCCTTTGCCGCACAAGGGTAGAGCCTGCCGGGGAGGCGCGGGGAGCCTTGGGTTCACAAGGCATGTACGGATACAGTGCTGTACCTTCCAGCCTCTCTCTTTGTTACGCTCCATTCTCTGGGACATGCGTGTCTGATAAGCTCAGGCACCTTCGTCGAGTCACAAGGAGTACGGATATGCAGATTCTCGAGGCAAGGCACTATCAGGACAGACCTCGCGCACGTGCTCTTCCCTTTGAGCCAAGCCATGTCCCTTTCTTGTTGACGTGGGCATTTCCTGCTTCTATTTGCAGCTACGGATACACGGATACTTGGCTTATCAACAAACCCATCCCACCTATCATCCAGGTACGTACGGATACAATACTGATATAAGTTATCCCGCCGCTCGGCCCCGCCGGAGCGATAACAATGCGTCCGAAGAAGCACCACGTGTGGAGCCCGGCACAGCAGAACAGAAAAAGAACCGCCGAGGATGCCTGTGGGCCAGCAGCCCAGACAGATGGCCGGCCGCCGCTCCACGTGCCCAAAAATCGCGGCCGGAGCTTCGGCCACCCACGGGCGGATGCCAGCCCGCCGCTCGTCAACAGTGTTGTAGCATCGCAGGCCCATGTACTTACTGTATCACGCTTTACCTACGCACAGTAGCGTCGTGGGCGCTTCCCGAAGACGCGGATGACCTGAACAGGTCCTTGTTTGTTCTCCTTTATCCTACCCCCGCCCAAAATCGCACAACAGCCAGCAGGGTGCAACGGAGCGATTCTCGCATGGGCCGGGCGTCCCGTCAAGAGAGCGTGCCGGCCCGGCGGCGGTCTCCATGCCGAGCGGGCCGCGTCCCATCATGGCGTAGCATCAGATGCATCCCATCTGCCGCACAGACAAAGACGGTAGGCAACACCTACCATGTCATTCGTCTGAGAAGCCACGCACTTTTGTGTTGCAAGCATTAACTTGTCTTTATCGCACACCACCCATCTACACATGCTACCTACACATGTGCCTGGCAAGCCTCAAAAGACGAGGCCCGGCGAATGGGAGTCTGATTGTCCGGCAGACCAAGAGTGTCGGAAAACAGCAGCGGAACTTCCTCGGTGGGCTAGGCTGTTTGTTATCTCTCCCACAAGCCACAATGCAAAGCCGAGTCAGGCAGGGCACCGGCGCCCAATGGACGGCCACGACACTGCCACTCGGCCGAAAGCTAAGCTTGGCCTGATACGCTCAGATGCAAGGTACGCACAGCATGACCTCAAACCTGCCTCTTCTGGGACTCCGTTTCACCCTCGCGCCGTGCAGCAGACTTGCTCTCGGTGCAAGAGGGGGCGCATCACGGACCGTTGAACTCGGTCCGCAAATTGGCAATTCAACGGCTTGCAGAATAAAAGGTGAAGGCGGTTCGCCGATGGACTGGCTGGAATAACACCGTATCGGCCTGCCCTGGAGCAAACTTGGAGCAAAGATAAGGCCCAGTCGTTGAAACGACGATGGTTGTCGACGTCGGACTCCGACAAAGTGTAGAAAAAGGGTACAAGTTAGGTACGTACCTACCCATGTCACCCGCCTGGGCATGTGAGACCCTGAGAGGCAAGCCAAGGCTCACGCCCACAGCACAGTACAGGGCTCTCCCACTGTATGTCGTCAAGTGCCCGGCATGTTCCAGCAGACGCTTCGTCTATGTATAGTGCACACACAGGGACATGAAGCTAGTCTTGAGTCGGGCAAGTGCGTTCTGGGACGCAAGCGCGCCGTATCATACAGTTCTGAATGGCCGAGGCACTTTTGCGGCGGCAGAGACTGGGCGCATGGGCGGCATGGGTTGGGTTGACGGACGGTACCGACAAATGCAGAGCATCTTACGGAGAGGTAGGTACCTTACCTAGGTAGGTAGTGTCCCGAGTGCTTTGGGTGCATGGTGGCCATGGTACAGCACGCAATACATGCAACAGCTACATGCAAGAGCGAGGCCCGTCGACATCCATTGCCCTTCCTTTCTACTCGGGACAACTGGATGGCAGCCACGACGCGGCGTGGAGAAAGGAGGTGAACCTTGATCGTGTACCGTGCATCGCACCGTGCGCAGGCCTCTGCACTGTACCTACCTAGGTAGGTAGGCATCCATGCGGGCGGCTGCTGCTGGCTCGCGCGGGGGCCCGGATCGGCATCGACGAGACACGACGCCGTCGGCGGCACATGGAAACGGCCGAGAGAAGGGCCGGAGGGGTGTTCGCTTTGCCTTTTTCGCCCTTTGTGCACCCCCTCCTCGCTGCGAGCGCATGCTTGCTTGCTTGCTTGCTTGCTTGTCGACTGCGAGCGAGCCTGTCTATTCCCGTGTATACACGGCTCTCTCTCGCTCGCTCTTGCTCTTTCGCTGCAGGACAACTCTGTCGAACTGATACTGGCTCGAGCCACGGGGAGAAAAGTGGTCGGGAGAAAAGGGTCCGTCCCATGAACGCGCGATGAAGACGGAAACCAGGCGGGAGCCTAGGTGTTGGGGCAAGCGAGGTAACGTAGTAGGTGACTTGGGCTGGACATGCCCAAGCCGTCCTCCCTTGCCAACCTGATGTCCTGGGACTATCATGACGACGTCTGACTTTTGCCAAACAGACGACCGGTAGCCAAGGGACGGGCGGGAATTGACTTGGGGTGCGCGGATGCGACCGTTGCAGCGGGCAATGGCCCGCGTTTCACCTGGCCCTAGGCGTGACCATGGGCCCAAGTAGCGATCGACGAGAGTCAACGACCAAGTCGTCACGTTGGTTGTCGAGTGATTTTGATTTTTGAAATTTCGCTTCGGAGGAAAAAGAGTTGGCGACCGCGGACAGCCAAGATTGCGTCTCACGTGGAGGCGGCTCGCCATAATAGCTTAAATCTCCTTGTCCATTGGCGATGCCAAAAAAGGTCGATCAACGAGTCCACTGCGAGCACAAACTCTCCGCTTTCTGCCGTGTCTGCAAGACAAGCGTCTCGTGGGAGAGCGAGAGGCAAAGAGGATCAAGCCTCGGCCGGGTTGAGTGGTGCCCATCAGTAGGTATTTAGCACAGAAAGTGCGCCTGGAGACGAGACGTGCTTTTGCTCCAACTCCCTGACGCGTGTACTGCAGTCTTTTATCCTCCCAACTCGCTCAGTGTCCGCTCGGCCGGGAAAACCGAAGCGGGACTGGCTGGACAAGAGACGTACTGTATGCCCCTTCTGATTGCTCCGTACTACTAATCGCCGGTAGCAGCAGGAGGTGGGTGGTGTGGTGACTCGTACCTTGGACTTGCGAGAAGCAATCCCGTGTCTTGGCTGCAAGGAACAGATGACAATGTTTCCGACACTGTACGATCACCGCATGTGGGAAAGGCCGCGGCACAGTGCGTACGGTGAGGCGAAAGGGAGATAGATGCCTCGGGTACCGAAGCCGAAGCGACTAGTCCCCTGTATCCGTTCTCCGTAGCGGTCGGTTCCTGATACCAAGTACCTACCTCGGTACCTTCCTGCCTGCCCACCTGGGTACCTACTATCATCCACCCTGATTACCTACCTAGGTAGGTACTGTAGGTACTTACCAGCCGTCGACTGGCTGGCACGGCACGGTGGGCGACCTCTCTGATGCGCCCTCTCCACTATTACGCCGGCCAAACGGCCGTTTCGACGAACCAGCTTCGCCGCTGAGACATTTCCCTGATGAACCCGGGGTTGGCGACTTGGTTAGGTCGGCGCTGCCAGGTACATATCCGGTACCCCCATCTTTTCCTCTCCCTCTCCTACAGGCGCCCTCTCGCCTTCTCCTCTCCCCCTTCTCGCTCCGCGGGTGCCTTGCGACCGCCTGGGCCCGCTACAGACCACCGCTACCGCCGCCACCACCGGCCCAGCCTTCCATACCACCTCGATCCTGTTGAGCAGCAAAAATCCATCCATTCCCCAGTCTGTCTCTCTCCCTGTCTCTCACCTCCTCCCACCCACCACCACCTGCCTTCGCCTTGCCTCGCCTCGCCTCGCCTCTGCCACTCAACCCTGCGATTGTACCCGCGCTGCCGCCTCGCCTCCCTCCCTATTCCTCTCCGCCCCGCAGATCCCTCAAGTGCAGGCCATCACTTCTTTCTCCGGTTCCTAGGCCATTCGGACCCGCAAAGCCTGCTCCAACATCTCGCCATCCTCGACCCGGGCTCGATCGACCGTTTGTCCTCTTGTCTTCCGCCGCGGCGGCCTCGGCGCTTGCAGCCCTCATCGTTGACGACGTCCTCTCTTATCCGTGGCAGCGCTCGACTCAACTTGCTCCGCCTCTCGCCGCCCATCGACTCGACCCCATTTCCGCCCTCACCCACCTTCCGCCATGTCATATCTCTTCAGCTCGCTCTGCGCCATTCAATAGAGACGCTTCTCTCCCATCGGGCTGGCCGACCCGGCCGCTCGACTCTGCCGTCCGCCACGACCCGATAACCGCTTCCTGTCTTTCCGTCGTCGATTGCGATTCGACGACGACCGCCCACCATGGCTCAAAACCACCCCCCTGCCGCCATGGACCCCCCTCACATCACCGAGTTCGCCTCGGAGCGCTACTTCGAGAAGCTTCACCAGCTCAATGCTAGCCAGCAGCCGCCGTCACATGCCGAACCCCCCGATTCCTCTGCTTCCAACTCGGCATCAAACTTTATTCTGCCATTGCGAGAATCAAAACTTGCCGAGGCCGATGCCGTCAAACCGGTCGAGCAGAAGCGGGACAAGGGCCGTTTCTTTGGCATACGGCACAAGGTCTCTCTGCTGCATTCAAAATCGAGCCACTACGAGCCGGAGCTGGTGCATGCCTCGCAAACGCGGGCATCGACCGAGTCGACTCGGAAAAGGTACGACGTCCTCTTCCCGCCCCGCCGGCTTACTGCCCTTCTAACCTGGCCCCTCTGCGCGCAGCATTCCATTTGATCAGTTGTTCCTGGCGCTGCCAAACGAACTGCAGGTCCAGGTTCTATCTTCTCTTCCTCTGACCGACATTCTCACCCTACGACTGACTTCCAAGTCGTGGCATACCCTCATCACCCTCAACGAATCGCCCATTGTACGATACCACCTCGATCACCACATCCCCGCCTACGCCCTCCGCCTTTATCCCATCACCAACTCTAGCGACATGACATTTCATTTTCTCTGCAGCATATGGCATCGGCTACACGTTGCTGCCAAACTAGCCTTCTTAATGTGCGAATGGATCACCAAAGAGATATTCTTGCGCCAATCCGAGGCCCAACGCGCCGCCTTTGCACCACAGCACGAACGTATGCGCCGGCGTCTCATTCCACTGCTCTTCACCATCTTCCACTTCTTCGAGACGTACCGAAAGCTTCATTTGAAGCACATGGCAGAGTTCGATGGGCATGGCCTTCACAGAATGCCCTATACCGTGAATCCAATCGAGAAGGAAATCATGGACATGTACGATGACCAAACGTTACTGAGAGTTCACGAAGTTTTCCCTCTGGTAATATCCTCCTTTTGCCGACGACTCCGCCCTCCGACCTACGTCGGTCGGGTCGAACGATCACTCCGTGGCTATCTCCGGGAGCGACCATCCGATGAGGTGCACTCGGCCATTTTGTGCCTTGGAGGTCTTCGTCAAGTAGAGCGGCTATGGGAGATTAAGGGCTACAACAGCCGGCGCACAGCAGTCGACACCTGGTACAATGGACTCACCAAGGAGCATACCGCCGAAGCGTCGACGAAGCTGCGCATGGGCTTGAAGGGCTTTGGTCGTAAGAAGTCGGCGGGCGCCGAGAGACCTGGAGCTCGGTCGTCGAACGGCGAAGGCGGATTCAGAGTCAAGAACCCTATGGAGTCGGACGCGGCCCACGCAGATGGTTTACTCGACTCGAGCTGGATCTTCAGCACCAGCTTGGCAGCTGATCGGCCCATGGGTCAACTACCCAAGGATCACGCCCAAAGCATACTCAACGATCTTCCTGTTTTGCAGCAGATTTGGCTGACCACGGCCGAGGCAATGATCCTCGACCGCGCAATACTGCAACGGACACAAGACATCAAGCGAAACCAACAGGTCATGCTCGATCTGATTCGCGAGGACGGCATGGACGAGGAGGATGAATGGTGGTACGGACGCAGCATTCACGAATCCATCCGTCCACCGCCCGGTGCTACGGACGATGACGCCGACTGAAACTTGGCTTGGTTGGCACCGCAAGAAATGGCTCTCCCCTCCTTGCGGGACCTCGATCTCCTGTGTTGGTGTGTCTGCTCTCGTTCTGTTACCAAAATGAGGTATGAGCATTTCCATGGCGTTTTTTCTGTCAGCGGTGGAAAGACAAGCAGGCATGTGTTTTGCGGAGTGGCCTCGTTCCTTGCCCGGAACGCAGAGCCGGGGAGCGCCTGAGCGAGGTTCAATGATAGACAGTTGCGGCGATGGGTGCCGCCTTCAGCCACGTCTCTTTTGTTCAAGCTTTGATAACGCGAGTGCATGCTACAGCGCAGAGCATCGCACAGGATGAAGAGAACGGTTCCCCCAACACGCTCTGTTTCTCCTCATGGGATGGTGATATGCTACCGCTTTGACACCCAGCCAATGTCCGACACATTGGTCACACAGGGTCTGTCTGTCCACACTGTGCACCATCGTTGTCCAGCCCAGCCTGTCCTGTCCTGTTCCTTCCAACCACCTTCGTGCATCGCCATCTTATCGCTAGACAAGGAATAATTCGTAAAAGTCGTTACAAGCCTCAATCCGCCCTCGCCATGGATGAATGAATATGAGCAAGATTCCCGCGAATTCACCAAGGATGATTCTCCAACGCCGCGGCACCAACGTCAGATGAAGAGATTGAAAACAAAACATACACGAACCGGGGGAAAAGGCCCGGGGAGATGGCGACGTCTCCAGGCGTCCTTTCTCCTTGGTCAGATTTCTGGGATTGGGCGTTGGCGTCACTGTCTCCCGATGCTCTGGAACATGTGGTGGTCCCGCATCTTGGGCTGGGCCAGAGTCGTTTCCAGCTGAGACGGACTACCAAGCGCCGTGACGGCTGCCGCGTCCTGGACGTCCCGCTCCGTGAGGCCGTAGTCCATGTTCAAATAACTCTGCTCGTTGATGCTGTGGAAGGAGCCCAGCGTGTTAGGCTGCGATGTAGCCTGCTGATGTTGATGACTGTGGAACCCATGGGCCTGTCCAGCTCCACCCCGGAGCAGCTGGCCTGGCAGCGCCCGCACCTCCTTGCTGGGCCAATCCAGGAGCGCCGTTTCCCCCTGAATCTTGCCTTCCCATGCCCGGCGAGTACTGGTGGTGGCCGCCGCTCATGCTGCGACTGAGGCTGGTGCTGTGGTGGCCGAGGGATCCTATTGGGTTGCTCATGGGCGGCTGCGGCTGCGGCTGTTGCGTGTAAATCATCTGGGGCGAGAGGTGGACATGTCGTTGCGCGCCGTAGGCGCCAGCCATTTGACTTCTTGGCCTTGGCGGCACCGATGTTTGCATGACGCCATGAGAATGCTGATCCGCCGCACTCACGCTGGGAGATGGGTGCTGCGACTGTTGGGCGTAGAAGCGCTGTGGTTGTTGCTGCTGGTGCAAGCCCAGGCTTGCACCCATGCTGGCGTTGGGCGGCCTGTTATTGGTGGCTTTGTGAGGTTCGAAGCTCCTGGAGGCTGATAGCTGGGGTGAAGCGCTGCTGAAGCCATGGCTCAACGCTGGTGATGCTGTCAAGTCGGGCGACAGCGCCTGTGATTCTATGCTCATGCCTGGCTGCTGGCTCACGTCCTTGGATATTCGGCGCCGCTTAGTAAGCTGGACCTGGGAACTGCACCCATAGTTTGAGCGGCTGAGTAGCCTTGGCTCGCCGTGCCATCTGAAGGTGCTGGGCTGTCGTACTGAGCTGAACGCTTCGAATTTCTCGGATGTGGTGTAGCATTGGACCCGAGACTGCTTCTCTGTTGGCCATCCTGTTCCATCTGCTGACCCTGTCCCGGAAAGAAGCCCGTGTATATAGGGGCCGAGCCACTGTCAGGAAGAGAAGGGGTGTCCGCCGCCGCCGGCAGTGACGCCTCGTTTCGTGGAACGCTTCCGGACAGACTGTGTGCCGGAGCTGGACCGTTCTGACCATCTTCAAGAATTGCAGGCGCTCCTTTAGACATATTTGAGGGGCGAGACATGGGACTCGTCGAGCTCTGAACTTGGGCCGCCGGGGCCGCGATGGCCTGATCTGAGGGCCCCTTTGAAGCATCCGGCTTATCTTTTGGTCTATTTTTAGAGCCCTTCGGACGCCCTCTTTTCTTTGCGCCAGGCGTGCTCGTCGTGCTTGCGTCTGGATTAACCTGGCTCCCTACCGGCGCCTGAGATTGGACCGTCGTCGTGGTCGTGGCGGTTTGGGCGGCACTGTTCGCGACACTGCCAGATCGGCCGTTCTGTCCGTCAACCGGCAGTGGCTGATTCGTGTCTTGGGACCCGGACGGATTGGCTGTTGAGGGAGGTGGACGGGACTTCTTCATTCCCTTGTCTTTACGCACCTTGGAACTTTTGCTTCCCTTGGGTCGGCCTCGGGCTCTTCTTACAGGACCGTTTGGAGGGGCGGCCGTGGAAGTGGCCTCTTGGCGGTCCCAACCGGTCTGGCCCGCCACAGAAGAGAGGCGGGAGATGAAGATTTTGTCCCATGGCGGCAGGGTCGTCGACCGGAGGAAAAATTTCGGCAAGCCAGCTCAACAGCAGCGAGCCGGGGCCATTAGTCGCGGCACTAGAGGGGAACGCTCCATCTGTCGGAGGCGGAGCGCCAGGGATGCCGCCGAAGTAAGCCAGCGCTTTGCACAGCTGGTCGACGACCAAGATGGGATGTAGAGTGCGCAGAAGAGTCAGGAGACGAGCTTGCTCGGCTTTTGTCTCGCGGGGTGCAGGTATGCACGTCTGCAGCCACTCAGATGTCGGGGCGGTTGTCGAGGTGGTAGCAGCAGCAGTAGAAGTTGATGTCGGGACGGCGGTCCTCGAAGGCGGAGTCGCGGCATCAGAAGTCTTGGCCCTCTGAAAATCGAGTTCGTCGTTATGCCAGGTCGATTTGGTGCGCCTCACAGGTTGCCAGCCAATCTGGTTGGCACGTCTGGCCTGTGCCTCGGTTTCCTCGCTCGTTCGTTTTGCGGCGGCATTGCGATCGGAAGGCTTGGTGCCGGTCAGGTCGATATGCATGACGGCAAATTTGCCGTTCCTGTTGTTGGTCATGCCCTGGAGTTTGGTGGGCACTGGGTTTCTTACACGACCGTCTGTGTGGAAGCCAGTGGAATCTAGGGCGTCTGAAGCTTGTCGTGAGTTAGCTACCGAGCATACGGACCGCTTCACGACGACACATGGCTTGTTGCATGCAGCGAGCGAAGGGACGAACCTCGAATCGAGCTGCCGCTGGTCGTGGGCGGTGTCGGGACTAGCGTGGGGGACAGTACGGAGGGCGCCTCATTGCGGGACGGCTGGTCGTCTGGCTTGTTGCTGGCGGAGGGGGACGCGGTAGCTGCGCAGCGGGAACGAGTCAGCTAAATAGTCAAATGCGAGGAGGCGAGGAGCTCAGCGAGCGGTCCAGCACGACCGAGGACAGAAGAAGAAGAGAGGGTGGCCAACGCGCAGCGGCAGCCATGGCGACCACAGAGGTCCCGGGCTCAGGGCGAGCACCCGAGGACGTGCTACATGCCCTCTGGAGTGGATTGCGGGCGGCGAGTCGCTCATGCGGCGACGTATCTCATGTTCCAGCGTCAAGCTGGGGAGAGGGCCCGTCGTAGGTAGAGCCGCGGACAGGGCCAGGTGAGGCGGTGATGACTTTGGTGCTGGTCAACGGGTCAAGGTAGCTGATGATTTGGATCCCTGAGCGGTCGGTGCAGCGTGGCAGCGTGTCGTCGAGCAGGTGGCGGTGAAAGGCTCATGAAGAAGCTCTCCCCAGCCTCGACTGCCGAGTGAAAGGTTTGCAAGACGGACTCTTTGGGGCCAACGACGCATGGCATTGGCAAACAAGGAGAGGGAAGAGAGAGAGCGAGCAAAGGAGCCCAGGCAGGTACTCTGGGCATGTGTGTCGCTAAGAATTATGGCGGTCACGAGGGCTACCATTGAGCAGCGGCTCGGGCTTGTGCGTGCATGGGGGTGTATGCAAATGTTCTCAGTACAGCGGGCCATGGTACCGAGTACGCCTAGTACGGCGTGCTTAGGCAGGTAATAAACGGCCAGGTCCAGGGCCCAAGGCACTGTCGCCAGTGGCCAGCCGAGCCCTGTGGCGTCCGCCGGGCCAGCGTCGTTTCCAGCGGGCATTGGACAGAGTGGGGAAACAGAGGTGCTGTGGGCAACGAGGGGTAGGTCACTTTGGCGGGTGGAGGACATGCTCGGTACGGACCCGGTTGTACAGAATCCGCCCGAGGAACCTATTTCGCCCTGGCTATGCTTGCGTCTAGGAACCTCGGGAGGAGCCGAGACGAGGTAGAGATTGAGACGAGGGACTTGCCCAGCCACCTTTGCCTCGTATCGGCCCATGTGCAGGCACAGTTGACGGCTACAACGAGGTACATTAGAGTACGGTGCAACCTCGCCTAGTACATCGACGGTGTTGGCCATCTCACTCGAGAATACATTCGTACGTACAATGTGCTCGGAATATGTGTACACATGCCAGCCTCTGACTCGAGCCGCAGCGGCCAACCGTCCTATCTTGCCGTCCGCTGTTGAGAGGACCGTTGAGAATCAGCATGGCGGGCTTCCCCAGGGGCTCTCTGGAGACAAAGGTATCCTCTACCTCGCCCGCCGAGGTGAAGAGGTATTACTAGTATCGAGGCAAACGCGCCTCCAAGCTCCCTGCAGTTACCCTCGCTCCCATCAAGGTGCAACGTTGGCAGTTGCCTTACCTAAGGTACCCGAAAGGTACCTCTGCCGAGGCTCCCATCCACCTACAATCTTCCCCGAGTCCCCCGCACATCTTGGGTACCCAAGACAGGGCCCCCCTCGTACCTCCCTAGCGCGTCGGCAGGCCGGACGAGACAAGACGTTACGAGACGTCTTCATCATCAGCCTCGTGGCCAAAGATACCTTGTAGTCGCGCCGCTGCACCAACGTCACAACATCGCCATCTTCCTTGTTAACCCCTCTTCTCCGTCCTCCGCGGAACACAGGCTCGTTTGAACATACGCGCGCGTTCTGTGTTGCGGAGCACCGAGCCGAGGTCGCCCGCCATGTCAACCAAGTACGCCCTGCTCTCCCTGCCCCTCGGCGTCTTCGATTCCAGCGACCGCGACGACGCCATAGCAGCCCTGAGCGCCACCGTGTCTCCAGATAACGGCTCGGTCGGGCCTTTCGGATCCCCGATTTCAAGATTGGCACCTTGGATGCCCTGGTCCAGCAGGCCGACGACCTGGCCAAGCTCGAGGCATCATGCCAAGCCGTCGTGGCAAAGGTTGGCGACTCGCTGCGCCAGCTTCTCAACAATGACGAGGAGCGACTCACCTCTTACAAAATGGTCAACGATAGTCAGGATTCCCGGAAGCCATGCGTGATGACTCGGGCATCGTGTAAGCCTGCTGACCACGTCTTGCTCAGAACCGACCGACCAGTACATCCGCGGCTTTAGCTGGAACAAGATCCGATACCGAGCCGACAAGTCCCTGGGAGAGCTTATAGACACACTGCAAAAGGTTCGATAACGCTTCTCGCAAGGCTACCCTCCCACTCACTGAAGCCGTCCAGGAGCTCGTCACCGTGGACAATGACGTCAAAACCAAGTTTAACCAGTACAACTCGGTCAAGACGAACCTTGCGGCCTTACAACGACGCCAGACGTGGGTGTCCGCCTCGATGAGCACTGCGCAATGCCGCTCGCTAACCATGCTTGTCCACCTGCAGTGGTAATCTAGCCACCAAATCCCTCACTCCCGTTGTCGATCCTCGACTACTGGTCCAAGATTCGGAATTCATCGAGACCCATCTGATCGCCGTACCGACAAATGTCAAAAAGGACTTCATCAAGACATACGAGACCTTGTCCCCCATGGTCGTCCCCCGATCTGCGGTCGAGGTGGACCACGACGACGAGTTCACCCTCTTCGCGGCCGCGACATTCAAGAAGCACGGCCCTGACTTCATCCACAAGTGCCGCGAGCAAAAGTGGACGCCGCGTCAGTACACGTATGTTCAGGGCGGCCGCGAGGAGGAGCAGCGTGAGCTGGACCGGGTCACCAACGAAGAACGAAAAGTTTGCGGAGAGGCCTTGCGCTTGGGAAGGACCGGGTGGAGCGAGAGCGTCATGGTCTGGACCCATGTTCTGACGCTGAGGTCTTTGTCGAAGCGGTCCTGCGCTACGGCTTGCCGCTGGACTATGTGACGGCTCTGGTCAAGGTATGCCGGATCTACTGGGCTTTCATCCCCTCCCGGAGTGGAGCTTCCTTTATCGACTCTCGCTTGGCCCAGACTTGAGCAGCCTCTTGAACAATTTCTGGCAGATACTGACGTGTGCGTCGCTCCACATAGACAACATCGAAACTGGCTCCCAAAGTCAAGTCTGCCCTGGACTTAAATTACTCATACCTGGGAGGCAACGCGTTTGGCCGGGACAAGCGCGGACGGGTCACCAAGGACGACGCAGCGATGACGTCGGAGATGGCGGCGGCTGGGCTAGGGACGGGAGAAGGACAGGAGTACACGGCCTATGTCTACTACGAGCTCGAGTTGCCCTGACCGGGTCCAAATGGATGGCAAGTCGCATGTGTGTGCGTGTGTGGTGTACAGTGTGCTCCAGGCGGCGTGTATTCTACCTCTCCGCCTGCAAGGGAAACCCGTTGGGGAACGGGCGAGGGAGCGACGGGGGCTAGACTCGACGGGATGGCAGTTTCACTTCTACTTTAGCACATATTATGCAACTGCTCCTCGGTCATGGAAACAAGGATGATTGAAGTCCTAGCCTAGCTTGATGTAGCCTTTGTCAGCTAGCCACGCGGTGATTTGGGCGACGCAGTCCTCGACGGAGCTCTCGTGGGTCCTGATTGTGATTTCGGGACTGGTGGGCTCTTCGTAGGGGGCGGAGACGCCAGTAAAGTCCTTGATCTCGCCGGCGCGGGCCTTTTTGTAGAGGCCCTTCGGGTCGCGCTGTTCGGCGACGCTGAGGGGCACGTCGACGAAGACCTCGACGAAGGGGATGGGATCGTCGCCCTGGGTCGCGGACGCGGCGTGCAGCTGGCGGGCGAGGTCGCGGTCGGCGCGGTAGGGGGAGATGAAGGAGGTGATGGCGACGGTGGACGAGTCGGCGAAGAGCTTGGCGACCTGTATCGCGCGTCCGGAGGGTTGCCACGTCGTCGTTAGCAGACTGAATGGACCAGGTTTGTTTCTCCAGCCCCTTCTTTCCACCTTGTCTTGATACTCGGTGACTCTCTCTGCCCTCGTCTCCATTCCCCCTCCATCACCGGCACCGGGACAGCTCACCTCGGAGATGCGGCGAATGTTCTCGTTGCGGTCCTGCTCGGAGAAGCCAAGGTCCTTGTTGAGGCCGAAGCGGACGTTGTCGCCGTCGAGGCGGTAGGCGGCGAGGCCGAGGTGCAGTAGGTGCTGCTCGAGTGCGGCGGCGACGGTCGACTTGCCCGAGGCCGAGAGGCCCGTGAGCCAGAGAGTGAGGCCGCGCTGGCGGCGGAGCTCGTTGCGCTCGCGGCGCGTCAGGCCGGGATGCCAGGTGATGTTTCTGTGCGGGCGTTTTTTCCGTCGAATCAGTTTTCATTTCTGCTCGGCGGGAACAGACGGTCTCATCTCAATGCTCATGCTGCGCACGCGAGAGAGCGTGAGAGACACAGAGAGGGAGGGCGGTAAAGAGAGCGCGCAACTTGGTACAGGACAAAAGACACGGCCCGCAGGCGATGGGCGAGTGAAAAGACTTGATGTAGAAATGAAACCAAAGCAAGCACATACGACGCCATTTCCAAGATGCTGTCGCTGGCCTGACGATGTCCTCCCTTGTTCCTCCTTTGCAGACCAGATGAGGTTTGGCAGTCAATCGTGGGGCGGGCGGGGTCGTTGAGAGAATCTACCCGTCAATCGGCCGGATCGGAAGCTTTCTCAAAAGGAGGGAGAATGGAAAAGAGGACGAGAAGGAGGACGAGAAGGACGATGAGAAGGAGGATGAGGAAGGGAAGAGAGGAGGCCGAGCTAAGAGCAAATCTATCTTGCGTACTAAAACTCAGCGCGAGTGAATCCAGTCTATTCTTTACAACTTTATGTATGCTCTGCTGCGCTGTGACGTGACGGTGCAACAGCCATTCTACATGTAGTACATACAGTACATGTGCAAGTCAACTCCTTGTCCCTGAAAAAGCCCACTTCTGCTGTCCCTTTCTCCCTCAGCCGTCGTCAGCTCATAAAGCACCACGATGGCGACAGCCCGAGGCGTCTCCACCAGCCCCATCCGTCCACTCGCCCATTTTCTTGTCTATCCATTCAGCTACATATGAGCACGGTCCAAGGATCGTACAAGACCATCGCGGCTCGTCTAGTCTATGAAATACACCGATCTAATACCGGTAAACATAGAAAAAATCTAGCCATACGTGCTCATACGGTTTCACAGGGGTCTATCGCCGACTCGACCCCATCCCGACTTGCCGAGGCTGCTAGTGCTTCCCTTCTGGAGGGCCCGTGCCGTTGGTTCGCCAGTCTGTTGTGTCTACCCGTTGGCTGTTTCGTTTCCGGCTTCTCCTCATGCCACAAGCGTTCGACGTGCCCGCTCCATGTGGGAGCAAAGGGCTCATGCGACGCAGCAAGATCGGCGTCATCGGAAAGCGAGTAGCGCGACGCGTGCCTCTCAGTGAATGCGCGGCATAAGCTACAGTATCGAGGCAGGACGAGTCAGCCAGGCAAGTCGTCGCAGTCCCTCGACGGGGTAGGTCGCGAAACTCACAGAGGCAAGCTTGGGCGAGACATATAAAGCATCGGCCTCGACCAGGACGGTCGGCTGCTCGCCCGGTTTGGCCAGAAGCTCAATGTGGCCCTTGACCCAGGCTTTGCGCCCCTCGACCTTTGTCGTCTTGGCCCGCAGCACGAGGAAGCTCCCCGCGGGCGTCGGCTTGCGGTAGCTGACGTTGAGGTTGGCCGTGACGCCAATATTGTGCGGCAGTGCGCCGAAGCAGCACCAGGCCAGGCCCTCGTCGAGCATGGTGGCGAGGAAGCCGCCATGCACAAGGCCCGGGTGGCCGCACAGGTCCTCACCCACGTAGACGACGGACACGAGCGACTTGCCGCCGGCCTCGGTCCACGTCGTCGCCGGCACCGGCACCTTGCCAGGGCCCAGGAGCGCGGCCCCCGTCAGGCTGTGCGCACGGTACTGCGCCGGCATCTTCATGTGTGGGCGGGACTCGGTCAGCTCGGGCCGCCGGCGCAGCTCCGCCACCAGCGGGTGGCCGTTGATTGTCTCTTCGGCGCGGCGCGCTTCCTCGTCGGCGTCGGCGGCCGAGAACCTGCCGAGGCTCTCCTCGTCCGAGTAGAAGCCCAGGCCGCGGGCCGTCAGCGTCTTCCACGCCGCCGCCGCCCCGAGGGTGCTGAAGCCGAGGCCCAGGACGGCCAGCCAGAGGCCCTTGCGGAGCGCCCCGCCGCCACCCGCTGCGTTGCCTGCCGAGTGGTTTTGGCCGTCAGCCTGCGGTGTGTGTCGCAGCAAAGACCAGAGAAATGCGCACCTGTAGACGCAGTAGCAGCCGCCGTCGCCTTGGAGCCGAGTATCCTCGACACTGCTGTCGCCCAGCTGAACTGAGCGAGGGAATCCGGGCTTGCCATGGACACGGCGCCTTTCCTGGGGCAATGCGGCGCCCGAGGAGATGCCGGGTAAAGATGGCTGGCCGCAGTATCGCCATCGAGGACGTGTGGGAGATGCGTGGGTGCCTTTTTATCTGGATTGTACTCGGCGCCCGAGCGAATAACAAAAGAAAGATAGAAAGTACTGTAGGAGAGAGCGAATAGGTGAGGAAGAAGAATCCAGGCAAAGGGAAATGAGGACGACGATACTTTTCACCCGGCATGTACTTGCTCTAGTCCCTAAATGGCAGACGTACTAGAAGTATATTGTCTCACGCAGGCGCCCGGCGAGAGAATTCTTCGGCATTTTAAAAAGGGCCAATCCATTCAGTCCTCAGCAACAGCTGCACTCTTTGCAAAGCGGCATCCTCTTTTTGCAGTCACATCTAGACGCCCTCTTCCTCCTCCCAGCAACTCTGCGTAGTCGTCCACCGATGCAAACATAGGCAAGTCCCTGAGCGCCTTCCGCCGTGACCTCTTAGTCTTGGCCGTGTCTTCGTCCTTTGCTTCCTCCTCATCGTCTTCGCCAACCGCCACCAGGCCGTCCGAGCTACCCTCGTCCCCGTCATCCTCCCCGTCCTCGTCCTCATCCTCCAGGTCGCTGTCGAAGGACAGAGCGGGAGACGAGCCGTCTTCCGAGCCCATGTCCAGATCGTCCAGGTCATCAAAGCCATCGTCTGACCCGTCTGCCTCAATGTCGGGCTGAGTCGACACCAGCGCCTCCCAGATCTCATCTTCGGCATTCTCATCATCCCCGTCGGCCGGCGCCTTGGCAAGCGGCTCCTTGGTATCCCTCGAAACGTGCTGGAAGTATTCGTGGAAGAAGATGTCTTCGGCAGCAACGTCCTCGACCTTCTTCTTCCAGAAAGTCGCCGAATTGAGGGCGCCGTCGTGGCGCCTGCACCTGCTGCCCAGCCACACGTCGCCCAGATCCTTGGTCGCCCGCAGCGGTTGCATGATGGATACCCCACGTGCACCGTGTGTCGACTTTGGATTCTTATACACAAACTTGTCCAAGAAGCGGATGAGTGAATGACTCTCCAGATCTGGTTTTGGCATCTTTCGATCCTTGTCCAGTAACACAGCCGCAGAGACTTTGACAGATGGGTGAAAGTGCATTTGAGCAGGGACCTAGACAGCTCGTCAGATGATGAAGGCGTGAGAGTGCCAACTCGGCGTGAGCTTACCATTTCCCACAAGCAGCTTCTCTGGGCGTTGCTGTGTTCAGGGTTGCGCTTCCGCCCATCGTACATGCCCTGTTCCTTGGACTCGTCGTCGTCAAACACGGAAGTCTCCGGCTCGTCCACGAGAGTCGACAGGTCAGGGAACGTTTGCCGAAGACTGGAAATGACGTAGGAGGCCGCAGATGAACGGAGGCTGATGTAGGCCTGCGATTTGCAGCATCCTCTTTGCAAAGGCCTTGACCCGTCGAACGTCGACATCGCTCTTCAGGGATCGGAGAAGCAGGTTGAGATAAAGCGCTTGCTTGGAAGACGTCACTAGCCGAGGGTCCAACAGCGACTCGTAGAGCGTCCGGTAGAAGCGGTCCGTCGCCAGGTTCCTCGCCGATGCGAGATGCTGGATCAAGAGCAGAGCCTGGATGGCCGTGTTCAAGTTGGTCGAGTGCGCAATCTTGAAAAGCGTGTCGAGATGGTGTTCCATGCTGTTGATCAGTTAGCTCGGGTCTGGAGAAAACGGCTCCGTGTTGCACGTACAAAGCGTCATTAGTCGTCACAAAGGGCGCAGCACGGTTGACGCCAGTCAAGATGGCCGACACAAGCTTGTCCGCAGCCTCAGTGTCCGGCACGGGCGGCTTCGGTGTCCCCGGCTTGCTATGTTTCTTTTCTACCGGTTTCCCCCTGAACTTCCGGTTCGGTTTCCCTGGTGCCCGCTTTGCGTCTTCAGAGTCGCCCGGCTTCATCTGCGCCGGGGTCTCGATGCCTCCAGTTTTCAGCAACGTCACAAACAGGTCGAAGTAGATGCGGATGAGCTCCTCGGCAACAGAGGGCTCCTTGCTGCTGAGGATGGTCTGGTTGAGGTGTTGATTGCGCAATACCTGGATCGCGCGTCCTGAGAAGGGCGCAGGAGAATATCCTGTTCCACCATGCGGATGACAATGGGCTTCATCCCAGGGTGAGAGACTTGCAGCTGCAATAGAAGATAGGAAGCGCGAGACGATATTTTGCGATCCCTGTCGCCCAGCTTGTTGACAAGAAGCTTGAGTAGGTTGGACTCCTGCTCGGGCTTTTCCTTGAGAAGGCCGTAAACAAAATCCACCGCCTTCATGCGCGAGTACTCGATCTCATCTGAACACCACGATTCAAGCAACTGAATAATCTTGAAGTAGGTCTCCTTCAGCCAGTCCTCGTATATCCACGCAACCAGATGGGCTTCCGTGATCTTGCCAGGAAGCGGCTGGCCGGGAGACCATGTTTTAACCGACTTCCGCTGCAAAGTGCCCAGTCCGGGCTGGCTCTGAAAGGCTCGCAGGCGCCTGTCCGACGGAAGGAGAGTGCCCGGTCCGAACAAATCGACTAGGGCACCAATTGCACCAATCGCCTGAGCCCGACTCTTCTTGGAGGCCAGGTTCAGAAGGGCGTCGAGTGCGCGAATGTTATGGACTGGCGACTCCTGGACCGCCAACGTGAGGGCCGAAACTTTGTCGGTGAGGGTACCGGAGGACATGATGGTAGACAGAAACTTGTGTGACGAGGAAGCAAAGACACTGGTCCTGTACTTGGCCGTATCCTGCTCCAAAGAGACTTGGCGTGCTTTTGAGAGATTCGACAGAGGACGTAAAGGGGCCGAGCTGGTCAGACGTCGGACCAGGCAGCTTGCCTAGGCTGGCAGCATGCCATTCTGCCAGTGGCTCGAAAATCTGGTTAACCATGGTTAGTGGTCAGGGAGGCATTCCCTTGTTGCAATTTGCACTTACCATGCCCCCCGGCTTGCGATTGGCACCCCCATTGTCAGTCTCGGCCGGAGGCTCGTCAGCGTCGTCAGCGTCTTCGTCCTCTTCGTCTTCGTCTTCGTCTTCGTCTTCGTCCTGGATTTCCCCCTCATCACTGGCTTCTTGGGGTTCGAATTCGGCAAAGCCGAGCTCCTTAGACAGAGCTGCCAGCTCCTGCTTCAAGTTCTTATCAACCGAGCGCTTTGAATCCTGGGCGTAGTTCTCGTCGTCCGAGTCCACCTCGTTGATGAGTTCCAGGTCCTGCTCATCTCCTCCTAGCGCCTTGATTTCCGCCAGCAGCGCCGCCTGGTCGTCTTGGCGGTCCTTGGAGCCATCCTGAGGCGGTATGGCCTCGGACGCGCTGTCTCTTGGACTGCTGCTTGCTCGAAGCATTGGTGGGCGGCTTCTTTCGCTTGTGATCGTTGGCGCTCAGGCTCTTGTCAAGCTTGGACGTGAGCTTGGCGAGCGCGCCTTCATCGAAGCCTTTGGGCTCGTTGGAGGGCTGAGCGCCCTTGATTTTTCTTCGGCTCCTTAGGCATCGATTCGGCTCTTGAGCTGGGAGACATTGTGCTTCGACAACTTTTAAGGTGGGACTTTGCCGACCTTGTGAACTTTTTTCGACGGCCTTATCGCCTTATCGCCATCCCACCTGGGCGCTTGGCGCGGTTGGTGCGGCTCTGCCACGCGCCTGTGACGCTTCACCTTCAACGGCCATGCGACAGCTTGGCCAGTATCTCACTGGGGGCACGCTCAATGGCTTAATGGAAATATTCATTTGGCGGCGCGAATTGACACTCGGCGCGACGTCACCATCACCCAACAATGATCTGCCTTCGAAGATGTGTCATGGGGAGAAGCAGCCTCAAGCACCAAACTAGAGCCTTTTCGCGTTCAAGCGCATCCCTTCGGCCCCGGTCGGTCCTGTCAGGAATATGGCTCCCTACAGGCGGCTTGGCAGCGACAGAAGTGGAATGTGAGAACTGATTGCCCGGCTTGCTCTTTGAATCTGCTTCACTGACATACTCCAGCCGGACATGGAAAACTCGTTCGTGCGGGCTTCGTGCGGCAAGTGAGTTGATAGCCAGAGAGTGGAACCATGGACAAGTGTGCTCATTCCGTCGTCAAAGGCCCAATCAGGCATCTTCCAGATGCTTCCACTTGGGCTACGAGTGCAACAGAAGATCGAGGCCCTGCTTGACAGGCACATGCAATCGATAGGTACGCCGCGGCCTCCTTGGACACTGCGCCCCAGATCTTAACCACGCATCTTGCAGGAGCCTCGCGCCTCGCCCTTTCAGCCATAACGTCCGAGGAGCTGTGGCGAAAGAGCGGTCGACTAGAACATGTCTCGCCAGAGGTTGGTTTGGTCCTTGCTTTCTCCTTGTCCGAGATGTGCTGACCCTTTGCAGCTCTTTCGATTGACTGACCGTAGAAAGGTCCCGCTCATGTTGTCCCCGACTCATGAGGAAGAAATCACGACGCTTGTGGCGGGGACAAGACTGTCCAACAAGGACCTTCCACTGCGGCTGTATCAGACAAGTGAGTTCGTCCGTCCTTTAAGCTGTGCAGTGGATGCCGACTGACATTCATGTGTCAGCCCGAAAGTACCGAGACGAGATGCGTCCACGTCACGGTCTATTACGGTCCAGAGAGTTTGTAATGAAGGATCTGTACACCTTTGACACGTCAGTGGAAGCCGCCGTCGACACTTATCGGGAGGTTTCTGGCGCCTACCGGGCTTTCTTTGCCGACTTGAAGCTTCCCATGTTGGTGGCTGAAGCAAGCTCGGAAATATGGGCGGCGACCACGGTCACGAGTATCACCTAACTAATCCCATCGGGGAAGACACGGTCGTGACTTGCAGCAGCTGCGGATATACTGCGAGCGACCAAGTTGCAATGTCGCGGCCGCCGTCTAGGGAACAACGACGAGCAAACGAAGAGACGGCGTCGGCTGACTTTTGCGTTTGGCGAGGCATCACCAGAGATCGCAAAACGCTGGTCAATGCGTGGTATCCCCGGCATGGGGATTCCTCGGCGGATGCGAACATCAACATTCACGCCGTGGAAAGGCAGTTCCCGAGCTGGACACAAGCATCAGCGACCAGCGGACCACTCGCGAAGCAATGTTCCACTGAAGCATACTCCGCGGCGACATTTGAGTCCAAAGGCAGCACCCAAGGCTAAGCAGCTTCCCTTTGTAGGCTGGGTGATGGAGTCTCGGCATAGTCCGTGCGACGGCAGTCTCGGGGAAGCAGTCCTGGCGATGCGAGACGGGGACCTGGTCTTGCGCTCTGGCAACTGGGCCGGCTCTACCTGGGCACACTTCTACCTGGGCCTACTCAGGCTCTGGGGCTCATCAACTCCGAGCCCATGGCAGTCCAAATGGGCTGCTATGGGCTGGGCATCTCGCGCATATTCGGGGCCGTGGCCGAGCACCTTGCCGACGACAAAGGCCTCAACTGGCCCCGCGCAATTGCCCCGTTCGAAGTCGCCGTGATCCCGTCTTCCGACGTGACTGCCGAAGCCCGAGACTTTACGACATGCTCGCGGGTCAGGATCGTGGGGCGCCGGGCTCGACGTTGTCCTGGACGATCGCAAGGCGTCGTTTGGGTGGAAGATGAAGGATGCCGACACCATTGGCTTCCCGTTATTGTTGTGCGGGGCGAGCGTGGAGGGGGTGTGCGAGGTGCAGTGCAGGCGCCTCGGTGGGAGGGCGTGTCCGCCGAGGAGGTCGGCATCCGTGTCATCGCCTGCTGTCGCAGCTGTAGGGCTCAAATACACATGCCGTGTCGTTGTCGTGATGGCAACCTTGCGTGCATCTACAGGAGTTTATCACATCAACTGTCTGGAAGCCACGCTCAATCGGACCTTTCTGGATTCAAAACTCGGAACACTTGAAAGTCGCGTTCTATCGTAACATGTAAATTTGTGCTGCGACTTGGTGCTGTTTGGCCTGCTGCATTTTGCAACTCGCCCACCGAACCGCCCCACCAAGCGGAAGAGCGTGCGTTGAGGGCCACTGCTGCTGTCCTCGCTCACTCTCATTCGGCCCTCTTCCATCAACCAACCTGCGACCCTGAGTTCAGGCACAAAACCGCCCCGTGCGCTCGCCCTCCCGGCTGAAGATGTCTGGCGAACGCGAGACAAGTGCGAGTCCCCAATGCGACGCGCCGCCCACGCTGTCCAGCGCGCACCAGTCAACCCCCTCGAGCCTCAGCAGCTCAGGTCAAGAAGCAGCTCGACGAGGAGCTCGAGCATCTGACCCAGTCGTACGCCCAGCTGCACGGCGCCCAGGGCAAGTTCAAGGACTGCCTGCAATGCGTCCATGGCCGCTCGGCGGCTTCCGACGGTGCGTTCCTGTTTCCCAGGGACCCAAAGACGGACAGGCCCCTTTTCTGTCTCCTGCAAGGAACCAAGGCGCGGAGCTGAGACTCGTGTTGACAGGTCAAAACTCGGTCCTGGTCCCCTTGACCAACTCGCTCTACGTCCGCGGCGAGCTCGCAAACTCGGATGCCGTCTTGGTGGACGTCGGCACCGGCTTCTTGGTGGAAAAGGTGCGTCTTTCGTGCCACTGCGTGTGCTTGTGCGCTGCTGACCTGCCTCTAGAAACTCAAGTCGGCAGAGCAATTCTACGAGGGCAAGGTGCAGGAGCTCACGAACAGCCTCAAGGAGCTTGAGGCAATCGTGCAACGAAAACAGGCAAACGTGAGATCCGTGGAAGAAGGTAGGGCTCTATCACGTTCACCTTCAGTGTCCTCATGCTTACGCCCCAACAACAGTGGGGCAAAGCTCATGGCTGCGCAAAGCCCCCAAGCTTCGGTAGCTGGATAACGAATGTGGGAGCAAGCGGGCCGCACGCAATTCAAGCGACAACGATAGCGTTGAATGTGCAATCATGTTTAGATACATCAGTCTAGACTAGACGTGTACGCCTGCTGCATCACCTCGTCGGTCGACTACGCCTCCTTCTGGGGCATGTTCGCGTCCCATCCACTCCACCCAACGCAGCCTGAATCTTGACGACATGCTGCAGAAATCCACCTTCGGCTCTAGGCTGGCGCCCTCCCGGCCCTTCGAAGCCCTTCGCCTCGCTCCTTCGCTCACGGCTGACGTTGCTTCACTCCAGTGCTTTCCGTAAAACTCTATTCCCCACCAAGTCTCTGGCTCTCGGTGCGTCATCATCTGAGGCCATGCCTGAGAGACACTGATCTCGACGAGGAACGGAGTGTCGCGAAACGGCAGGAGAACCGAAGTTTTCAGTATGGTTTCCTCAACCTCGTCGCCACCTGGCCGTGTCAGGACCAGACGTGGTGATTGCATCGAGGCTTTGTTGTCCCGTCCCTGAGAGGTCAGTTTGAGTCCATCCCGGATCAGCCGGGTCAGCTGGCGCATGAGCGAGCCGAGAAGTTGCAGCCGGGAGTGAGCCAGTGCCAGACAAGACCGGTAACGTTGGGGCCTACATGTCGGGTGCGGCCACCGTCCAGTTCAAGCGAGGCCATTTCTCGCGCCTGATGATCCTGGCTGCAGACAGCTGTAGTTCCGGATGCTTGCCTGTTGGCGCCTGCGTGGTTGCCACAAGCTCTTGGTCTCGGACTTTGAGGAATACAGTGCACCGACGGGCACTCCGTCTATTCAACCCCAGGATTCCCACCACAGGGTTCTGCAAGTGCTGTACTACTTTGTAGGCATGGTGGACATCGGATAGGCTGGGGCCTGTTAATCTAGAAAACTCGCGGCTCTCTCGCCGGTCCATAACTCACCGAGGCACCGCCGCTGGACCGACTGAGGACTCATTTTGGAGAAGTCGGCATAAGACATGTTCTGGCCCAGGCCCTTCTTTCTCTGGCGCACTTCCAGGCGGCCAATGTTGACGCCCATCCTGAGGTCGGCTCCCAAGGCACGCAGGATATCTGTCGACAGGACGAGACTGGCCTGAAGCTGATGGCAGAGGTCCTTGGCAACGGCCGCGATATCTCCACGCGTGGCCTTTACAGTTAGAACATGGGGACGCGAGTTCAATTCGACCTTGACAAGGCGTCGCTTGGGCGTTGGCTGGTTCCTGGACCGAAGCGCGCGAAGTTTTCGCTCGACAGTCTCATGTCGTGCATGCACCAGTTAACCTTTATGGCTTCCTGCAGCCGCGTGATGTGCTTGCTGCGAAGCTCGAACCGTTGGGTGACTTCTGATCAAACCTTGTGCACTTGACGCTGCAGCCGGAGAGGTGATATCGTTGTCCTGGCCACAGGGTGGCCTGCACTCGAGTCAGGCGATGACGAGGTCCAGCAGATGTGCAGAGTCAACCACAGATGGCCAGATAGCATTGTGGGCCTGCAGCAGGGCCGGGCTTCGCCGAGTTTGATAGTGGGCCCGGCTTGCTCGCGAGCTTTTGCGGCATCCTTGCCTTGCTTGCGCCCAAGGTTTGTCGCCCTCCACGCTGGCGGCCCCTTCCGCGGTGCCCAGAACCCTGGGCCCTCATGGCCGAGACTGGGTTCAGCTCCATGGGAGATGCGTGTTGACCTGCAGGGAGATTTGACATGGAAGAGGTCTGAAGTTGGGCCGTGCAAGGTGCAGAGGGAGAGGAAGTGTGGGAGGCGAGGGTGCCTGAACAGTAAGATGCCAAAGTTATGTGCCTAGGAAGGAAGTGCTCAAACGGGGCTTCCTCGAACATAGGGGCAGGTACGGGGGTAAGCAAGCGAGATAGCTCTTCCTGCCTATATTTAGAGAAGGGCTCAGGAGTCAAGGCTGTATTCTTAAGCGCCCAGTTAGTATGCTGGTATCGTAGAAGAGACGAGTAAACCGTCTCTACCTCTATACAGTAGCCGAGAAAGCGTATAATACTAGTGCCTCTTGCGGCCGGCCATACCGCTAGAAATGTTTGTATAGGTGGTATTGACTATTGACTGTAGGCCAGTAGGAGTATACAGGATGGTCATCACAGCTGCCGCCTATTTGCAGTTCTCATTCTCCGAATTCCAGAGGCCCAGTCTATAGATAGAATCCGTTTGCAGTTCTATGCCAAGGCATTGCCATGTCCGCCGTTTTATTATTGATGCTAGTTGAGTAGTTTCAAGTTTGTTGAGCAGAGTGAGAACACTGTAAGTTGTAATGCGTAAACGGCAAGAATTCATTTGACACCCCTGCCGGCCGTGATGTAGGTACGCCTTTCTTCTCTGGGTTTCCATCGACCACTGAGAGCTGGCACCTGCAACCCTCAGCCCAAGTTCACAGCTCGAACTTCTCAAGTCCAAAGTCCATGGTACGTACCTTACCCCATCTCGGTGAGCGGCTTGCTGAGTCATTCATCATTCACCCACCGTCCCGGAACGCGTCTCCGCGCGCGTTAATGACAAAGTGACGGACCAAACTGTCGCACGCAACCATCACCCGTCATGGCGCCGCGTAACCCCACGAGACGAGCCGCCGAGCCGCAGCACGTCCGCCGCAAGCACGCCGCCCCGGCACCGCCCTCGAGGACTCGGACGAGGAGGCGCTGGGAAGCGACGACCTGGGAATGGATCTACAACGTCGAGGAGCCGGCGCACGACGATGACGGCGACGACGGCGGCGGCGAGGGCGACAGGAAGAGGAGGAAGGTGTCGGGCAGCAAGATCGTCGGCGCGCGCATGGGCAGCCTCCAGTGCCGCGTCGGGGATTGCGTGCTCCTCAAGGCGGACGGGTCCAACGACGCTTGGGTGGCCATTATTTGCGAGTTCATCGATGGCGATGCCGACGGCGCATGGCTGCCAACTTTATGTGGTTCTCGACCGAGAAGCGAGATTCGACAAGGACAAGAAGCGCAACGATTTCTACTGGGTACTACTACCCCGACCACACCCTCCCTCGCGACGCGCCCGACGCCAGAACGACTCTACATTTCGCCTTCCTGGGACGCAACCCCTTGCTTCCATCAACGGAGGCTAAGGTCATGTCACTCGAGGCCTTTCTCAGGCAAGGTGGCGCGCCATCTCCCCGACTTTGGCAGGACCTTCATCTGCCGACGGGGCTGCAACACCCGCACGGCCACGTATACGGACGAGTTCGTCTGGGAGGACATCTACCGCGGCGGGGACGACGTCTTCGACCATTGAGCGCACCGGCAAGACACCAACGCCAGGCGCCGCACCGGAGCCTCGCCGACGCGAGGATGCTTCTCGCCCCGCCAGCCGAAGCGCCCCGGCCAGCCGCGAGCCCCAGTCCAAGTATATGCGACGCGCTCCCCACCCTGCGGAGAAGGTAAGGCTTCCTTGCATGACCATGCACCAGAGCTGCAAAGGCTCGAATTCAACCCTGGCGACTCGCAAACTCTCGCCGAGCAATGTCCAATCATCCCCTTTCAAATCGCACGCTCCCGCCTCCATGTCTCGTCCGTACCAGCCTGCCTCCCGTGCCGCGAGGCGTCGGGTTTTCTCGTCTACTCGCCCTTGAGGCGGCATTGGAAACTGGCAACTGCATCTACATATCCGGCACGCCGGCACGGGCAAGACCGCCACCGTGCGCGAGGTCATCGCCCGGCTAGAGGAGGCCGTCGGCTCGGACGAGCTGGACGACTTCATTTTGTCGAGATCAACGGCATGAAAATCACCGATCCGCACCAGTCCTACACGCTGCTGTGGGAGGCCCTCAAAGCCAACGCGCAAGTCCGTCGCAGGCCCTGGATCTTCTTGAGCGCGAGTTTAGCAATCCCAGTCCGCGGCGCATTCCTGCGTCGTCTTGATGGACGAGCTTGACCAGCTCGTCACTAAAACCAGGCCGTCATGTACAACTTCTTCAACTGGCCTACGCTACGGCACAGTCGGCTCATCGTCCTTGCGGTAGCCAACACCATGGATTTGCCCGAGCGGACGTTGAGCAACAAAATCAGCAGTCGTCTGGGTACGTCACGTCAATTGGTAGTCGAGGCTTCGTATATATAAGGGTCCGAGCTGACAAGAATTCTCCCTAGGCCTCACGCATCACCTTTCGGGCTACACACGATCAACTCATGAAAATCATCCAGTCACGTCTCGAGGGCGTGCCCGGCGATGCGACCCGGACGACGGTTCAGTTCGCCAGCCGAGTCGCCGCCGTCGCGGCGACGCCCGAAGAGCCCTCGACATCTGCCGCCGCGCCGTCGAGCTCGCCGAGGGCGACGCCCAACGCGACCCTCAGACACCGAGCAAATCGGGATCCCACAACCAAGCGCGGCGCGGGCGAGTCACCATAGCCACCGTCAAAAGGCCATCAACGGCAACCACCAATCCCGTCCAACGACCTTGCCTCCCGCTCATGTCAAAGCTCATCATGGCGGCGCTGCTGCTGCGGAACCGAAGGACCGGCCTCGTGGAGACGACGTTTGGGGATACTCTGGATGAGCTGCAACGAGCAACAGCCCATTCCGCGCCGACGAACCCTGGTATGGCCATGATCTCGGCGACGGCTCAAAGGACTCAGGGACGGGTCGTCGGATCGCGGAGCTATGTTCCACTGCAGCTCTAGACCTTGTGGGCGCCGGGTTGGTGCGCGCCCATCGGGCCGAGAGATCAGAAGCTGCGGCTTGCAATAGCCGCCGACGAAGTAAAGATGGCTCTCCGTGATGACGGAGAGCTGTCCATGGGTATTGGGATATGAAGTGAACAATAGCCGAAAAAAGCCGACGTATTCAGTCCATCCCGACGGAAGCGCTCTTGTGATGAATGAGTGGGTTCATGTCCCGTCACGCCTAAAACTTGCGCCGTGCCAGACTCGGCGTCCACTGTATCGGATGGGTCTCCGCCGAAGCCTTTTCATCCTGCTTCCATATCTTGACTAAAAAGGGTCAGCACTCGGCCCAGTACGGTCAGCGGCGTTTGAAAGGGCTTACTGGTCTTGTCGGCCTCGCCGCAGATAAGACGGTCCTGAGCGGTCAAAGGTCGAGTCTGATGTCACTGCGTTTCGAGCAGGCGTTGCGCCGTCGTGCCGAGAGCCTGGAAGCGGTATCCAGACTTCCAGTCCCAGAAACTCATCGATCCGTTGTCACCTGCGTTCACGATCGTTAGCCGCCGCGGTGGAAGAGGCCAGGGACAGTGAGGCAGTTCCTCGGCGGGTCCGCATACCTCCCGAGAAGAAGAAGGTGTTTTTGGTGACGCCCCTCGTGTTGATGATCGCGTTGTGCCCTCAAAGTTCTGCATAAAGGCAGCCTCGGGGCACTTCCACTGCTTGATGCTCCCGGTACTCGCGCTCGCAAAGGCAAAGGGGTACGGCACGGCAAGGACGGAAGGTGGTGAGTGGACACATTGCCTTGCCCGCGGCAAGGTAGCACAACGGTGGAGTCGAGGGGCCGGTGATGACCTGCGGATCTGCCTCTTGACACTTGACGTCGGCGACGGTCTGGGTGTGGCCGGACAGGACGTGGATGTTGCTCCTCGTCCGCATGTCCCAGACCCTGGCAACGCCGTCTCGGCCGCCGGTGACGAGAACGTCGAGAGTAGGGTGGAGGGAGAGGGTGTAGACGCCGCTCAGGTGGCCGTGGTAGTGGCGGATGACTTTGTTGGTCTCGAGGTCCCAGCACTTGACCATCTTGTCTTCGCCGCAGGAAAAGAGTATGGGTGTCTCGGCGAGACGGCCAAGCCGCGAACGGTGCTGATGTGGCCCGTCAGGGTAAGGAGAGAGCGGCAAGGTCCCATCTTGATGGTCCAGATCCCGCACCACTGCCCGCAACCACTTGTTGCCAGGCAACCGCAAGACTCCGAACCCAGCCCAGGTGCCCTGAAATGACCCTCATCAGCTTCCAAGGCGGGTGCATTGCGGTTTCATGGCGCCGTTGCACGCTGCACCCAGGCTCATGTCACGCCACTCTCCGGCCGCCGCCCTCTCCGCCGAGGAGCCAGCAGCCGAGGCCAGAAGCTCGAGCGCGTCTTGCCGCCTGGTGGCCTTGACGCCTGGTTTGGCCTCGTCGACGACCTTGCCGGGCCTTGTTCGGGATGACCCGTGCATGCCGATAGGGCGGCCACGTGCGCTGGGCGAGTGGCGACGCTTGCCGCTGAGCTGTCCGCCGGCGGCCCGTGCTGGGCGATATAGCTGTCGTGCCGCGAGCGTCCGCGGCGGCGCCGTGCGGGCGCAAGCAGGCGTTCTTGCGATGCGATGCGTGAGCCGGGACCATCCGGGTCCAGATGATCGGTGGAAGTTCGGCCGTTGAATGCAGATGAAGGAGAGCGCCTGGCGGGACGGCAAATGGAGCCGCCGGCGAGGCCGTGCGCCACTACGCCACAGGCGTGGATCCAGCCCTTGGTCAGCCGTCGCGTGTCCACCTTGTTGCCTCGTACTCTCAACTCGCCCATCCAATAGGCCTACCCTCTCTACGGACGGTGCATCTTGAAGACACCGGGCTGCAATCTGGATCAAAGCGAAGAGGCACACAGCCATGGACGAGGAACAGGATCGTTTCGCTGCATACCGCCGCTCGCGGAGGCCGGTGAGAACCACGCGTCAGTCGATGCGTACCTCGAAGCGAAACTTTCTCACGACGGCAAGGGCCAGGGCCGAGGGACTATTGGAGGTACGGCGATAGCTCGCTGCTAGCCCTGCTACGCCCATGACCCTTTCGTGCAAGGCTGACCCTCGCGATTAAGTGCTTGGCCAGAGCGACCCGAAGCTATCGAAGTGCTTGATGACGACGGCGCTACCCGAACTGCAAAGATGATCCAACTGCTACGACATTGTCGTCCTGCTCTCATCCCTGCCCGCTGTCGTCCTGCTGGCCCCCTCCCGCCTGAGCCTGACGCCAGGTCAGCCGCTATCCAGCCTCGGATCGCGCAAAAGCGATGACTGATTCATCCCATGACGGGGCAGGATGAGGTCGGCTAGACGCCTCTCATGACTCAGCGTCTCGGTGCGAGGTGTCTCGGGTACTCGCAAAAGGAGAGGGCGACAGGAAGAGAGAAGCTCGCTCAAGACGCTGAGATTGGTCCAGGTCAGAAGGCCCCCAGCCGCCGCAGCGATAATGATGATGAACCGTCGGATGAATGCTGACTGCTCGTCACGTGGCTCGAAGAAGCATGGAGTTGCACGCCTCCTCCTCGAAGAGAGCCCCGGCCTCGAGGTCCGCGACCGCCGCGGTCGTATCCCAGTCCCCGCCGCGGCCCCGGCTCCGCGATGGCAGCCTGCGGCTCAAGAACCGCAGCCCGCTCAACCCGGCCGGCACGGAGGTCCGAGCCCGCAGGCGCAGAGGGCCCGGTATGGAGGGTGCGATTTCCAGATTTTACCGACTGCAGACTGCAGTCGGCAGGTTATGCAATAAATGTGAGTATTTCTGCTGGTGCACTATGTAGCTGGGACAACATGGCAGGAGAGTATGCCTGCCTCGACCAGACAACGCCTGGCCTGCTGCTTGCTGCCTGACCTAGCAATTACGCGCCTAATCCTGCGCCAGCTCATGAGTACCATCCACAGGTACGCCTATATCATGAAGGGACCCGAGAGAGAACACCGACCACGCTGGGCCTGTGGCCTTTTCTGCTTTCCCTGCGACCTGCCTGGTTACCCCTTTGCCATAGAATCCGAGGGTCCATCAGGCCATGTGCCGTCCAAGATAGCGGTCAAGTGAGCGCTTCATCAAACGTCAGCTCTGAGCATCTAGCCGACTTCATGCGAGCTGAAACGTCTTGGTAGCTCATATGCCGCTTGTACGGCGAGCTGAATCGTCTCGTAGACCGAGATCCGCTTGTACTTTTCACAGCCGAGTCAGAGGAACTCCTTAGGGCACGCATACAGATGGGCTTCCTCACGCAGCTGTACCAATGTCACGATGAAGCTTTGGGTCAACCCGAAGAACTCCCCAGATGCTTCGCTCAATGCAGTGGCTGCTGCCCTCCATCTTGACGCATGGGCGATTGGGTCGCGAAGAGCTCGGATCTGCTGATTCGCCACCTGTGAGATCGGCGCCGTGGTTGACCATGCGAATGAGGGCCGCCGTCGCGCGAGAACGGAGCTCCTGCTCGTGAGCACCTGTCTAGAGGCGGCGTGGTTGACATGCAATCGAGGACTCCGTCGCCGTCGGCTGGTCCTGCAAAACGAGGCCTAAGCGTATGGGGACAACCGGCCGCGCTGCAGTCGAGACGCTCCAGACATTGCTGTGAGAATGTGTCGCTGAACATGAGAAATGGTTGCCAGCGGCGGCCTATCGCTGCTAGATTCCTCCGCCCTGCTGAGTGCTGTTGAGCCAAGGCTGTTCTGTCGATGTCTCTCAGCTCACCATGGGTTCGACTTGAAGGGCATGGTCGACGAGGGACGGCTTGCATCATGTTTTCGATTGAAGTCTAGGCCGGACGAGGTCCAAGTATTAGCAGGGCTTGCTCCGTCAGCTCCGCATGGAGCCCTGGGACAGCGCGTGGTAAAGTAAACCTCTGTCTCCGTCCCCAAAGAATGGCCGTCGCATCCCCTGCCCCGCCTTCTGGCTCAACTCTCGCGCCTTGCTTCCCTCCCTGTCGCCGTTTGCGCAGTCGCTGCGTCAGCCTTCAAGCCGCCATAAAGCCCGCCTTTGCCTCCACCCGAGCTGTCCTTCGCCAGCCTCGCCCGTCACAGGCGACTGCGTGCCGACCTTCCCTCAGTGTCGTCGGCGACGCGCGCTGCTTCCCTGGAAGGGCTCGCTCGGGCGCTGCCGTCGAGGTGGGCGACACGAGCTCGGGGCTGGGCAGAGACAACCACTCCTCGACGTACATTCTTCTTGTTCTTCGTCGCTTCCTTGGCCGAGACAGGCGAGCCATCCTGCTTCTTTGCCTCAGACCGCGACTTGGTCTTCTTCGAGGCCTGGGCCTGAGACGCAGCAGCATCCTTTTGCCCAAGTATATTTTCTCAGCTTCAATATTGTGCTCCGTAGTCTCCTTGGACTCGAGCTGCTTCTGCCAAGGGCCTCTCGCGCGTCTTTACGGGTAGGCGACTGATGGTTCAGGGCCCGTCAGAGCCGCCCTTGGTCGAGCCGCCGCGGTATCCGCCTCCCTTGCCCGCGTTCGCACCCTTGTTCTCCGGCGCTGCGTGGCTCGGGGACACAAACGTCAGGGCAAGCGGGTTGAGGCCAGGGTTGGGCGCTGCATCCTTGACTGCTCCTGCTGTCCGTGGCGGACAATGTTGACATCTGAGCCGTTGCGTGAGAGGAGCTCAAAGGAAGACGTGGAGGATGAGGAAGGAGTACCGGCAGAGTTCCCATGGGAATCGGCACTCTGCGTGTCGATGGCGTGCGGTCGATTACGGCGCTTCTTTTGCATTCTCAGCGAGCCGCCGGCGTCGGCTCTGTACTCCTGCTTGGGACCGTAGTGGGCGGGTCGCGACTTTGAGCCACTGGCTGCCGGGCGATCTCCCTCGCTGTTGTCGTTCTGGCCCTGGGACGTCGATCCAGCTGCTTTGCCTTCATCCGTCGCCAGGTTGGGGCCTCGGTGGGACAGCTCGTCGCCCCGTACCCCAGCCGCACTGGCAACCTGAGAAAGACTGTCCTGGAGATTTTGCAGTCTCAAGACCAGCAGTGCGAGCGTCCATATTCAAGGCGGGACCAGCTCTCGACCTTGACCGACTTCATCGTCTCTCTGCACCGACACCTGCTGACCATCCGAGCCGATCCTGCGTGCGGTGCAAATGTCGATGTCGTCACTCGCTTGGCCTTCTTGTTCTTCTTCCTGTTCTTTCCTTGAGCGTTTCCTGCCCAGGGCCCTGGCCCGTGCTGGCCGGTCCGCTCTTGGGGTCGCTCGCCTGACCACGAGTAGCAGTCTGACTTGCCTTGGTTGGGTTTTTCTCCAGCGCCAAGAGGATGGACAGAAGGATCCGTCTTCGACCGCGTTCGCATCTTGCTTGCTGGACTCATCGCCCGAAGCTTGGCCAGCAGGTTGGTTGGACGATGCAGCGGCATCATTGGCCGAGCTGTTGGACGCCTTCCCGACTTGTCCGACGAATACCGTTTCTCAAAGACTCTGCGAGTACGTTAGCCACGGTTAAATCTGTGATGCGGACTCGTCATGGAATCTGACTCTTGGGTGGTTGTCTTTGAGCCGCCAGAATCAGACTTTATAGACGAAGAGTCGTCTCCCAGGTTATCTCCATTCTCAAAGGCGACTTCGGACTCTCAGTGTCCGCTGGGTGTTGAGCTTCCTCAGACTTGCTGGACTTGATGTCGGGCTCGCCAGAACGGCATTGGCTGGCTTTCCGACCTTGTGCGGATTCAGGGCATAGGAATCCTATCCCAAGCCTGCTTCCTGCCCTTGATCTGCTCCTCCGTGAAGATGCTAGGGCTCTCGCCTTGCCTCCCAAGCCAGCCTTTTGCTGCGGCTCATTGCCCGCTGCGGCATATGCAGCCGGGGACTTTCTTTGCCCTTGCGAGCAGCCTCATCATGCCCCTTCTGCTTGGGACAGTTGGCTTGGAATCTCTGCCAAGGCCTTTTCGACATTTTCGACTGCTGCGGCTCCTTGCTCTCCGTGACAGGTGCAGCCGGAGCTTTGTCTTTGCCCTTGCGAGCAGCCTCATCATGGTCCTTTGGCTTGGGGACAGTTGGCTTCGATGGCAGCTCTCTGCCAGATTCTTTCTCCGCACCCTTCGACTGTTGCGCCTTCGTTGCCACTGTGGTGTCCTTGGCATCTGCGGCAGGCTTGGAGCTCTGGCCTTGGTTGTCAGGCTTCGCTGGGCGCTTTGGCCTTGGGCTTCCCACCATCCTTGTCATGGACTTCCTGAGAGACATGGTTGGCAGAGCCACGCGAGCCTTGGCAGTTGGAGGTCTCGCTTCTCTGGCCGGTTGGGTCGATGGCCCCTGGAGCAACCGGATTCACTGGATCAAGGCCTCCTCAGAGGGCGGCGGACTGAGCCTTAGCGTGCTTCGGCGGCTCCCGCTCGTCTCTGGCAGCGTGAGTCGCGATAATGATCGGCGACACGGGGAGAGCCCGTCGGCTTTGAGCTCCCGCGTCCTCCGCATTCCCAAGGCGGCGACCAACGGACGCGTGAGTGGGAGACCAGTAACTGATCCCTGAAATATATCCGAGAATTGCACAGGGGCTCCAGCATGGGGTACAGGGCAGGCGGATATCCGGAAAGCATGACGGAGCGAAAGGCGCAGGCTGCATGGCAAACTGGTTCATGGGCGGCATACCGGGGCACAGGGGACCCGGATACCCAGTCGCCGGGTTGACAGGGCCCGCAGCCCACTCCTGGAATTGCGCTCCTCCTGGGTGTTTCTGGACGAACTGCGAAACGCCTCATTGATCCACTTCGACCGATGAAGGGCGCTGATGATCACGGAGAGCTGCTTCAGGGATGAAGCCGCGGCCGAAGCGAAGCACCACAACTGACGCCTCGTTCTGGAACCTATTCGCGATGCGCGTTAGCATCTTGTTCAAGCCCCGAACTCATGCTTTTGTCTGGGAACATGTGATTTCTTACCTGACAACGAATGCCAGCTTGTCGTGGCCCGGCATAGGAAGCACCGCTTCAACAGGACCGAATTGCCTGCCATTCCCACATGAAGGCGTGCCTGAACATCGGCGGCTGGCACCTCCGATTGCTCGTTGACCAGGACCCAAACACCTCGGTTCCGCTCATGGCAAAGGCACAGCTGCATGGCCAGTACGTGTACCTGCCATTTGGATTGTTGTTGCGGCACTCGATGTTGGCATAAGCTTCGTTGTGCGGCCCGGCGAACGCGCCAGGACCCTTGCCATGTAGCTCTCTCGTCGCGGCCATTGTACCGTAGTAAGCGTCTCGAGGTGCTGGCTCGAGGCTCTCGCCCCTCTGCCCAGAAAAGCCTCCGCGGCCTCTGCCCTTAGCGTTGCGGCTCCCATACCAGTTACCGCCTTTGGGGACGTCGAAGGAGCCCGGTTTCCAGGTTCGAGCTGGGATGGCTCGGCAGGAGGCCACTGTCCGTCGGCAACCGAAGGAGCACGGCCAACACGCGGGACGCCGGGTGCAGTGTAGTTGCGCTGCGAAGCGTTGGCGAGCGGTGGACGATACGGGAGCTGGGGAGCATTGCCACGGCCTTTGTGGACTGGCCGAGGGCCGAACTGCTGTCCTTGATTCTGTTCAAAACACTCATTAGCTTGAACTGGTCGTTTGTGCCATTTTACAGACGGGGCAGAAGGTGTCGTCGGATGGAAAACTAACCATGTCATTGAAAGACGGATATCTCGTCCCGGCTTGCCCCTGAAGGCGATCATGTCCCTGAGCCTGATACGGGTACGACAGGTGAGAAACTGCCACGGCACATGTCGAGTTTCTGGCGCATGGAATGCGGGCGTCGTCGCCAGACCAGCGGGAGGTGCAGTTTGGCAGCTTACCTTGGGCTTTTCGTCCACGAGCAGCTTCGGCTCATCCGCTTCCCAGCTTCACCAGCTTCACCAGCGATGATTCCTTCTTTGGGCCTTCCGGCTCCTGACTGTGTCTGATTTCTAAGCAGACAGCGGTGAAGGCAGGCGCCAGTGAGGATGGGTAACGGGAGCACAGCTTTTCTTGCCGTCATTCGCAATGTCGGCATGCTTGTGGGGCTGGTCTGGCTTGCCCTCTGACTCAGTCTCGAGCTTGCTCTCGGGCAGCGGCTTGGTCGAGGGAGCTTCTTCGTTGGGATCCTTGCTCGACTTGCTAAAGCTTCCGAGATCGGGAGAACTGGCAGTGGCCCTT